TAGAGGAGGTGCAATTATTCGCATGCAGCTAGTGGTAGTCTCATGCATGTATGCACAACTTTATTCTCTAACGAAAATGTTAGGGAGACATTGTACTAGTAGGTTACACTTTTGTTAGAAAGATAATACATAAGATGATTTGCATATGTGGTCTCTTTTAGTATGACCCATTTTCAAATATTCTCTCTTTGATATATCTCATCAAGTTAAAGTGGTGCTTATCATTTTATATATGCTTTTCATTCTCGTCATGTATACAAGAGTGAAATGATTATAGAAGAGTACAATAGTACAGTATGTTGTCCACCTATATTATAACATTTATACAAGATAAACTATATTATCCATTCATATTATAACACATGTACAAGACATATCACGTGATCATATTATTATATTATTTTATAATTATTTGGCAATTCATACCCCACGTGGGGTCCTTCTCAAGCTTTATTTATTATATTCTTCGGTCGTCTCAAAGTGCAATGGTTTGGCATCACAATTAAAGCAATCCAATTGTGCCTTGCGGGGCCTTATTTTGTAACATGTCACTTTGCTTGATTCTATTACAAATTGAAGCTTTTTTATTAATATGGTATCAGAATCTAATTGTCAGCGAGATTTGAAACCTCCGATCCAAGTATGCTCTGGGGGCTTGTCCTTTATTGAATTATTTGGTTTGTGTTGGGGAATGTGAACATTTATGCTTTTTCAAAATCTGATGATTTATTAAACAAAATGAAGTGATGCTCAACTGCTTTATGCTTTTTATTATAAGGCTGAAGACTCAAGTTATGCCAAGGTGATATGGAAAATATTACCTTCAAATGATTAATTATCAGTAGATTGAGTATTGACTTTATGGAAAAGCTTGAGCCTTGTGTTACTACACTCTTGAACATGCTTTACGGCCATGTTTGGTGATTAGTATTGGATCTGATTTAATAATACAAATTTATAAATAAATCCAATCCTAGACATGTATTTATAAAAAAACCATAGCACTATTTAAACATAGAAACACACCCAAAATCAACCTCAAAGTCAACTTTTTGGGTGTGTTTATAAATGGGTTTTGAGTGTGTGTAATGATGGGTTTTGGGTGTGTTTATATGTTTAAATAGTGCTTGAGTTTTTTTATAATTTCAACCCCCATTTTGGGTGTTTTAGTGAAACTCCCATTTAATAACTCACTAAATCTAAGATATATTGAAAAAGAAAAAGAAAGTATGGGTGAATGACTTAGATCAGGAGGCTGCTCAAAAATGTTTCTTTTTGTTTTTTGTTTTTTATACAAACGATAATCTACATTAAATCAATTTAATCTATGATGAAGATGATTTGAACTTAGGTACAAGGAAGCGAGCTCACTACCTTTTCCAATTAGTCTAACCCACGTATGCCAAGTATGCATTATATTTTTGTTTTAAACAAATGAACTTTATCTTTATAATTAACAAGTGTAAAGTGGAAAAAGTAAGAAAGAACTCTCTCTCTATTCTTTAGTCGTCTCAAGCTGCAATGATTTGGCATTGCAATAAAGCAATATTCTAACTGTGCCTCGCGAGACCTTATTTTGTAAGAAACTCATGTCACTTTGCTTGATTCTATGATGAATTAAGCTTCTTCTTTATTTTATTTTTCTTTTTTTTAAATGATCACTTTGCTTGATTCTGTTTTTTGAAGATGCTTTGATTCTTCTTGTTTGCAATCGTGCCTCCAAGTTTAATAACTAAAATAAGGCTGGCTCTGGCCCAATGCAGGCAAGACACAATAGCACAGGACCCCAAAATTTAAGGGCAAACAAAAATTTCAGTTGGCATGAGAGGAAAAACTTTTTTCTCCATGTGGGGGTGTGCACAAAGTTAAGGCACCCAAAAAAAAAGCCCGAATGTTAAAAACTAAAAAATTCGGGCGTTAAGAAGAGAAAAATATTATTGGCAAAGAACTATCAAGGTAATTATGAACAAACAAAGTGCCACAAGCGCACGAACAAAACCACGCATTTTAATGCACTTTCTTAGTCGTTAGTCATTGAATGATGAGTAATCCAAAGGTTAGAAATGCATCCGTTATGATTTTATTTTAAAATATTATTTACTTTTTGAAAACATTAATGCACACCATGTACGAGGTTCATCTATCTTCAATGCATCAGTTACTTTTCTCTCTCCTTCTTTCCCTACATTGCTCTACCGTCTTTCTCCGCTCTCCCTCTCCTCACCATTCTTCTCCTACCCTGTTATCTTCTCTGCAAAATTCAGAAAAATATCAGAATTTTTTTAAAAAGCTTCTAAAATGTCCAAATGGTTTGCACAATAACTGATTTATTATAAAAAATAAAGCATTGAAGAAAAATGAAAGTGAGGAACAGAGAACATTTAAAGCCTTAAATTTTTACTAACAGTGCTTGAAGCTTGAGCCTTTCAATTAGCACATGGAAATTTTTTTTTTTTATTAACTTACTTCGTTGGGTCCATCTTTCTTATTTATTTCATATGCTATTCCATGGGTCTCTGGAAATTAAAAACCCAGCTATGCCACAAAAATTGTTCCTACATAAGCAAGGCAATTTGCATAAGGATAATGTTAGGATTACCACATTTTTATACTACATTGTGTATCACCTCTCTAATAGAGATGGAGTCCACCAATACAATAGGGTCCACGTCTATTAGAGAGGTGGTACACAATGTGGTATAAAAATGTGGTAATCCGAACATTTTTCTTTGCATATTGAAAAGTAAAAACAGAATTAGGAAAGAATTTTTCTATTTAAACCCCACACTTTTCTTTGTTTATCCCAATACTTAAATCATTAAGCTCTTAAGTTTTATTATTGTGAAAAAAGACAAAAAAATGTCATCCAACTTAATATTTAACCCTAGTACAACACACCCCACCACTCTTCATATTAAGTTTAAAAAAAACACAAACTCCTCTACACCCTATTGCCAGATTACTCCTCTTTCAATCTAAGAAACCTACTACACTATCATCTTTTCTTCACAAACCCTAAATACAATATGCAAATAGTAGCTTGTGAGTCGTGAATTGAGGTATGCTACTTACAGAGATAATTAATGTTACAATACCATTAAGATTATAAGATCCTCAAAAGTAGAAAAGGGGAAATTATAAAAATGAAACAAGCAATTTTTTTCTATGAGTTCCATCCTTGAAGACTAGTAAGGTCTGCAATTTGCAAAAACTAAAACTAATGCTTCTAAGGTCGAGCTGAGAACCCAAAAAATGGTATCAATATCACAATAGCTGATCCTCCACTATAACTATAGAAAAAGAATAATTTCGGAACCTTCTCATTTTACAACACATTTGAAAATCTTCAAGACTCCGAAGCCACATAGTTTATAACGACAATAACCAAACAAGCCTCAATCTTGTGTCCAATTAAAAACAAATACTAATATACGAAATTAATAACACCCCAACAAAAGAAAGGCGCACCTTGAACACTGATATTCTGATAGAAAAATCGCTTCCAACAGGAGCAGTAAGTGAACCCTACAAGCAAAATCATTCAAACCCAATAACAAGAACAGCAAAATTAATCAAATATCTTCATTAAAACCCTAAACCCATAATAATAAAATAATGCTGCTACACATCTAACCTCTTTAAGTAATGTGAAGTTGAGGTAAACTTAGAGTGGTGAGGGACAAGATAGCGGGCTATGGGGTGTGGGGTGTGGGATGTGAGGTTGATGAGTTTTTTATTTTATATTTTTTCCTGTTGGGTGTGTATTTAGGGATAGTTTGGGAAGATAGTGGGGTTTTCTTAGAAATTGTGAAAATTTGAATTAAAAGTTGGGGTGAACTTAGAATATGGGGTGAACAAAGAGAAGTGCAAGGTTCAAATAGAAAAACTCATTAAGAAAACCCCATTCTCACAATCCCGCTCCGCCACTGGTTTAAGTGATTACTCTTTATCCATTACTTTTGACCCAAAAAATGTGTAACCAAAATATTTTTAAAAGATTTTTTTTGTTTTTTTTTTTTTGTAAAAAAAACGGCCCGGCCCGTTTAGGCCCATGGAGGCACATCTAAGCCCGGCCCAATGGGCAGGCCTGGGCCAGAACCTTTGAAACCTCAGCCGGGCCTGAAAAATTATAAAAGCCCGTAAAACCCGGCCCAAGCCTAAGGGGAGATGTGGTGGACTCCCAGTTGCAATCAAAGCCCTAAAGAACCTTAGGCCATCACCAAGTGAGGGCCATACCCTCAAATATAGCCCAAACCCCCAATGTGATCGTCATCGTTGACTGTTGCTGCTGCTTCTTCCTCTTTCTTTTTCTTCTCCTTCTTCTCCTTCTGCTATCACATCAAACCCCCCCCATCTCACACCACCAACTCTCTCTCGGTTCCCTTCCCTCTCTCTGCAACACTCTCACTCTCTATCACTTCGAAGGTGGTCATGTTTGGGCCAATAGATACCATCTTTTATAATTTTGAAGTTGGATTTGTTTTTATTTGTGGGTTTGATGGAAAATGTTAGATTGGGGATGATGTGGGTTTGTTTAGTATTTGAAAATAATGGAGAGAGAGAGAGAGAGAGAGAGAGAGAGAGAGAGAGAGAGAGAGAGAGAGAGAGAGAGAGAGAGGCCATACTGTAGTCAAAGAGAAACTCCATTTCCGAGTGGTACATTCTGGAAACTTTTCATACTTAGCACTGCCTTCTCCTTAGCACTGCCTGTTGTGTTTCTCCATATATCCTCAAGACTTTGAGATAAATGCCGATAAGTTAATCCTCTGGTGGATTGGAGAGGGCCTGGTCCAGGGCAAGGACTCAAAAACAGCTCTAGAACTAATCAGCAGATGCCTAGTTGAAATTGTGCAGTGTTGAGGCTTTGATGGGAGAGTCTCTATACGTGTGAGATAAGAGAAGTGCCATCTTCAATTAATAAACTCCGCAACCTCCAAGTGTTGGTTTTAAATGGGTGCTTCAATCTAGTGAAACTACACCCATCAATCACTAATTTGAATATGCTGATCATCCTGGACCTAGACAAGTGCCCCATCAAGTACTGGCCTTGGGGATTAAGAAGGCTTTCGTATCTTCAAGAACTCTATGGATTCGTTGTGAGTCATCTTAGAAAGCTATGTGCCTCTCTTCTTAAGATTAAGGAACTGACCACCATAAGAGAACTGCAAATACGTATAAGTGATACCACAGTAATCTCAGACAATGCACTTGATGTCCTATGTCAGCTTAAAGGGATCAAGGTTTTAGCTATTGATGCGGAAGGTTGTACAAAGAGCGATGTTTTCAAAATGCTAGACAACCTGACTCCTCCTCCAAGTTCCAACACTCCAAGAGCTGTATCTTAGGAATTACCTTCATAAAACTATGCCCAACTGGTTTAATCCCAGACTGCTTCCTGGAAACTTGAAGGTCTGTGTTTGTGTCTCGTGAGGCTTGAGGTAGATTGGGAGGACTTGAAGGAGGATATGCCTGAACTACGCTAAAATCTGTTTTCTTCAACTTGCTTACACAAACAAAATATTATAGTAATCCCTCATTCCATTTTCTATATCACATTCTAAATTCAGGATTTTACAATTGAACCTTATAAGATAGCTCAACCAAGTAGACCAAAAATTAGATAGTTCAAACGAATACTGCAATGAAACTATCGACAGCCTGAGGAATTCTTCCATGAAGATGCACTGATCGCAACTTTTAGATAGAGTGGCATCAACATATGTTTCGGTCAAAATGAAATGAAGAGTTATCTTCGTAAATGAGTGCATGCACACAATTTAGATTGTAAGATCGCAGACACACAAATTGGATTATAAGATCACTGAGCTGCATTAGTTTTAGACTTGTAAGAATGATGTGGATAGGAGTTGTATGTACATTCATACTGTATAAAACGGAATGCAAATACATATAGAAGCTTTTAACCGCATCAGAGCATCATTGGGGAGTGGTTTCTCCGATGGTGAAAAGCAAAAATTGCTTTCCTGTGTGCTTGGAATTCTTTATTAGCTAATGCAGGCCAAATATGTAATATCTATGTATTGTTACGTTTCTTTTATGTGTAATAAAATTAATATTGTATGTCATCATCCGCCTACCGGATCCCAGAAATGTAGAGATGGCCACAACCAAAAGAGTTTCGCCTTCGGGATTTGTTGATTCAGGAAAAAATTTCCTTTCCATAATCTATAATTAATCATTTGAATAAGAATTGCTTGACAGTTTAGATCATTGTAATAAAGAGAAAAATTTATACATAGCAGAGGAGCTTGTTGATTCTCCTGTTCTTTAGGACTAAGAAACAGCAATTATATCCAGTTCCAATTATCTAATTATTGTCTGCAATATGTTATAATGAGTGCACACTCTCTTATATTCACAAGTCTTACCTGTTTAGCTCTGCATCAATTAGATAAAAGTTTCTCTTTTTCTTTCCCCCAAAGCTTCTAGAATTGCTATTGTTTTGAAACATATAATATCTGTTTATGGAAAATATTCCTGCTTCAGGTTCCCATTTGTTTTTCTCACATTTCCAGCTTCCAGTTCCTGTGTTCAACTCTTTTGCTCCAATCTCATCACTACAAAATGGACTTTAAAAACAGCTTGTTTCTATATAAAATCTTTTTTTCTTGAACTTGCTTAGGCCACAAAATCTAAGCAATCTCACGGTGCATTTATTGATCCAATCACATTCTAAATTCAGGACTTTGCTGATGATGCTTCACAATATTTAAAAGTCAAAAGGGCCCCCTGCTGTAAGATCACAGTATTTAACAACTGTCTTAAGATAGAAACATCTAAAAATGAGAGTAATCATGCTTGGCAGATGGATTCTTTTGTCATTGTGAAAAAAATGTGTAAGCAATCTATATGTCGAGCACACAAAATTTCGGGCATGCTGATTGATTGAAACAATTAATCTCATGATACACCAGTTCAGGTAAGTTCGATATATATACATGTAATCTGAAGGAGCCTAGAGCATGGATGGATACAAAATATAGATTGAACAAATTACAAACAGTAACTTGTAAAAGCGGAAAATGGGCTCTCTATACAAAGAATACACATTGAATACACACATCTTTTGCTATATAAGAACATATGTACTTACTACTTAGAGCATCAAGAGGAAGAATATTACAGAGCAGATGGTCACACAACAAACAATTAATTCGATGATAGTAGCCCCGATAGCTCGTAGTCATATATGCTGACTTGCTGATCAATTTGAGCAAAACCATTGTTGAAAAAAGGATCATAAGGATGATCAGTGTCCAAAAGCCATGGCTCAAGATCTTGAAAAGGTAACATGTCATCCACCAATAACTGGTCTGCTGTTGAACCTTCATAATTTGTTGTTGTTGTTGTTGTTGTATCATCTGAATATATCTGATAACATAACTGGTTGAATTCTTGATCACTCATAAACACTTGGTTGCACAATTCGGAATAATCATCAAGCGTGGACGTGTCGATAGACGCATCCAAACTGCCTTCAGTGTCTCCTTGATCCTCCCGATCCTGATCATCAACAATATGTACAACTGGGATTTGCTCCTCATCAACCAAGTTGTGTTTTTTCTGAGGGTGCAGTGAGGAGGAAGAAGTGTTTGGATTTGAGGCTCCATTGCCAGTGAGGTCTTGCACAAGCCTCTTGAAGCTTGAGCTGTCAGTGATGTAGACTTTAGGCCTCAAGAGACTTATCAAACTGTTAAACTCATTCTTCTCTTTCTTAGATATTTTCAGTGATGTTTGGCTTACTTTCTTCCCCATAGTTTTGATACAATTTTGCCGCCCTAGGAATCACCTCCGAGCTGTTATGATGCTAATGCGGAGGATTCAAAGAGCTATAAATATTAAGGTTATTGAAGGAGCTGAGTTTTGAAGGTGGTGAAAACAGAAAAGGACACAGAGACATAAAGATGCTGAAAATGATATTGTTTCTTTTTCTTCGTTCTTCTATTTTTAAAATGCAGAATTGAAAGCTTCATAATAGGAATCCTTCCATATACATTATACACCAACCCAAAATCACACATACTCTCTCTCTCTCTCTCTCTCTCTCTCTCTCTCTCTCTCTCAGTATGACCCATCAAAGAAAATGCTAGGGTTTGTATTTACATGGGACGATGTAGACATTGGTCAATTCAAGAGGATGATTTTTTGGTATTAAGATAAGTTTTAAGATAATATATAACACTGTATGCCATAATGGGGTAGAAGAGCATTCATGGCACGCAGCTAACTATTCAATATAATTATATATAAAAATTAGTGAATTGTGTTTTAGAAGAAACAGGAAATATAGTAGAAATTTTAACCAAATTATATTTTTTTAGTCCCCGTAGTTTGATTCATTTTTCATTTTGGTTCTTATTATTTTGATTTTGACAAGTTTAGTTTTATAGTTTGGTTTGGTTAGCAATCAAGTACAAATCATAAATTTCATCATATATATAGATGAAATTCGATATGGCAATATGGAACAACCACATGCTACGACACTCTCTAAAACATGAGAATCTTATCTATTTTTCTAAATATTGTTAGACTTGCAAGACTTAATTGCTAACTAAACAACATTACTGAACACAAATCATCAAAATTGAAATCACGAAGACAAAAGTGAAAAACAAGCGAAGCTACGAGGACGAAAAGAAAATGTGATTTGACCTGAATTTTCTGTTTATTTTATGAGGTTGAAATGGAAATTGAAAGACATCATCACATCAATGTAGGGATGGTGTGAATGGTGTAGCCTCCATGTCCACATCCCATGTCATATCAAAAATCTTGATTTTTGGCGCTGGCTGTCTGCATATTTGGCTCCAGCCTGTTGCAAATCACTGTGTGCCACATTGGCACTGCAGATAAGTGAAGTTGTTAACAAACTAATCATGTTTAATTAATTTCCTCATCTTGACTGCTGCTGATGGACTTGAGCAGCTTTCTGTTCTTCTAACCAACCACGTCTCATATTTTCTTATACCATTAACCCTGATCAAAAGCAATTCGCCAAGTTTGAATAAATGCTTTTGTTTGAAGCTGTGTAAATGATTCTAATTAATCTAACCAATAAAGAATAGTCTTTAGCTAAAATACATTTCTTGGCATAGTGAAATGTCTCACCACCAAAACGTGTATGCGAAGTCATCACCTGACCTTGCCAAATCACCTAATGTTTGTATTAGGTTCCAACTGAGTAGTGTCAAGAAAGTAACGATCGACAAAAAGTCATTCCTCACTATGGGAACTTATACCCCCAATGATAGAGCACTTATCTCTACATGACAGAAGTTCGACTTTCATCCTTTATCTTTCAATCTTTAGGCCTCCTTTAAATGATAAAGAGGCTATGTTCCTGATGTATTTACTTGAGATCCTCTAAATACCAGAGTTCCAAGGGTAAGTGCAAAGAAAGGATGACACACATATGTAGATTAACAGTATGTGAAATCGCCACCAAAAATTGTGTAAAAATGTATTGAAGAAACAAAAGGTTCATACGATGTGAGAGCAAAATGTCACGGTACAATTTACTATGTGTATCTATTTAATTTACATGAAAGAGAGAACAATATCACCACAAATAGAAGGGTGAGAAGGAGAAAGAATGGATACAAAACCAAATTATAATGAACTGGAGTGCTGCTGCTGTTCTGCAGAGTTGATCAGCTGCTAACCCCACATTAACCTATCAAAAATGTTGAGTATAGACCTAAATCCTGAAGAATAACATAAAGTTCAGCTAAAATGTGTAACTCTAGGGGAAAAAGTCAAAAGAAAAAGCAAATATCTTTGTACCTTACATGAGGTATACTGGACATCAAGGCTTTTGGGTTGCAGGAGCATTTTCTGTCAAAGATGATCCTAGTCGAATCATTAGAGGATAGACAGGGCTGAACTCTTTATCTCCTCGGGCCCTCACATGTGTGGCATAGTCATCTAGTGTTGCTTTGATACCCTTCCAGACCTGATCCTCTCCTTGAGAATCTAGCCACAATGAGTACTGCAGAGGTGTTAGTTTGTTCCTTTGCAATGGAGACTGCAATTCATCGGGACCTCGGGAGTAAAGATGGTGAAGTATGACGCTTGGTGGTAGATCTTGAAGAAGAGGAGATCCTCCAAGTTGGGATGTCTCCAAGAAAATAAGAGGTCGAAATGCACGAAGGGCTCTGTATGGTGCACCAAGTTGCTCTACTGGGAACAAATTTTGACCTACAGCTAATTCAAGCTCAGCCATGTCCCTAGCCATCCTTAGCTTCCCTGATTCTGAAAGGGGTCTGACAAGAGAAGCATGCCTGATAAAGAATATTAAAACCCGTGCAGCCATGCTCCTAACAAGCCTAGTGCATATGGTCTCTGCTCCGGCAGTTGCAGTTTTTGAAGGCAACAGCCTAGACAGGAACTCGCTCCGGAAGTGAAGAATGCACTTCTGCAACTCCTCCATGTAAGGTGACGCATTGTTGTCCATAGCAGCATCCATGCCTAGCACACCAAATTTCTGCTCATGAATTTGCAAGATGCAGGACTCAAGACGGTCAAGCATCGCTTGAAATAAGGTCGTCACTGAGTCACAGGCAACCCCATATATTGCACCTAATGAGGGAGACAATACATCTGCAGCAATAGCAGGCAGTCCTGTAATTATAGATGATACGCGTGTATGAATTTCTTGGAGATGCTGACATAAAATGAAGTTCTTGAGTTGTGCCGGAGTTGCAGGACCACTGACTTGACGTGCTTCAGGACCAGTTGATATCTGCCATTGGGATGTATTTACAAAATGAGAAAACTTCAAACATGGGCTAAAAATCACTTGTCGAAATAAAAGGCTCAGCATAAGTTTTTATAATATACATACATCTTTCACATGCAGTCTGATAGCTCAATTAAAGTACAGGTGGGGGTATACCCTTTGAAAAGAACTTGATATCCTTAACTTTTTCTTTTTCTTTTTTTGTTTGGGTTACATGGGGCCAAAACCCAAAAACAGAAAAGAAAAACTATACAACAATCAGCTGGGTCTGGAAATACCAGCCCAATCATCACCAAGATTAGTCAACAACCCATCAGGAGGCTCTAGGCGCTCATGAAAACCCAAAACAGAGTTAAGGCCTAACTTAACCAAATAGTCAGCAGCAACATTCTTCTCTGTGTGCACATGAATAATCCTCCATAAGATAGTACGTGATTCCAAATTTCAATCAGTCTCATTCAATTACCAAAAGAGCAAGTGAAACAGTTTGGACCATGAAATAAACAGACTGTGAACCTTAACTTGTTGTGGTTATGCAGCAACTACAATGAGTTCATTACATCTAATTTTGGACGTCTTACATATTGGCCAAAACAAGACTAGGATCATTTGCCTGCATTGGTAATATTTGATTATGCAAGATAACTAAAAGATTACCTGGTATTCAGCCCGTTCAGCAAGCAGGAGAAGAACCTTGCCAATTTCACGCAATACAAGAAGAGTCAATCGCCCATCCAACTGAACAGCTTCTATTTCTTCTTGAATCCGTGTTATGATTCTTGAGATATGTTCTTTAGAGGGCACACTTCCACGGCTGGACACTGGAAATACAGTATTCACAAGGTCTGACAGACGGCCCAAGCAGTGTGCCAAGAATGATGTCTGGAATATTTCAACGGCTGACACCAGTTGTTCCTTTCCCTCTGAAGTAATAGCTGGTAAAACCCCTTTGACATCTGTGTCACGTGCAATTCTTTCAAGAAGATTATCTATCATTGAGAAAAGCTTTGGATACCCCATAGTGAATACCTCTTTAACAAAACTTGATGCAGTGAAAGCAGACTTCATTTGGTTGGCAAAAGCCTTTACAAGGGCCTCCCACACTCTATCTGTTATTATGGGCTCACCTTCCTAAGCAACAGATAAAGTGAGCAAAAGTTATTGATTTTAGACAAGATGAGAAGAAACAATCATTACCAAGAATATTAGCAATCAAGCAGGAAAATTGTTGGAATGAAGTAATGCAAGCCAGAATGGAACTGCAAGTCAACCAGTAGAAAGATTAAAAAGTTTATGCAAATATTCTAGGCGGCTGATCGGTAGATAGTGCAAATCATTCATCATACACAGAAAAATTAATGATCTCTTTGTAAACGAAAATTCAAAGTAAATAGACACAAACTGCAGCAGATCACGGGTACATGGTGCACATTGACAGGAATTGTTAGAGATATCCAAAAAGGAAGAAGAACCAACTTAGAACAAAAGACATTTAATGACTGGTCAGACTTCAGCACGGTCAGCATAAGATATATCATCTTCTTAGGAACAGCCCGTTAAAGGGTTTCGTTTGAACCAAGTCCAGGTTACCAACTAATACTTCAACAAATACAGTAAAATGGTTTTCATATATCCATCAACTAATAGAGAAAGTAGGCTAGTAGCAGAGACCTGAGAACATAAGTAACATTCATGTTCTGTACCATTCATACACATCAAATAATCAGAACAACTGAAAAGCAAATCCAATTGAACAAACCCTCTCACCTGAATAACCTCATCGAGCAGCAACACATGAGTAAACGGGTCACGCTTCTTAGACAACACTCTCTGCAAGTGCCACACTGCTACCATGATTGAATGCAGTTGATCCATAAAACTCCCAATCTTCTGCCAAATCGCCTCTCTCGCCTTGGCCCCGCCCCCAATCTGCGGCGTCCCACCGCCCCCTCTGATCCCACCCGGCCCAAACCCGCCTCCCCCCGACCCGGAAATGGCCTTCATATCCAATGCCACACTCACACTCTTTACCCCCATACCCTTATACTTGTTAATCAACTGATCGATAGCCTGTCTCAGCTCCCCCAAATTGTAAAACACCTGCAACCCAGTACCCACCTCGGCCTGGTTCAAACCCTCCATCCCCCTTTCCAAAACCCGCATCGCCTCATTGCGCAACTTGTCTCCGGTCTCTCTGACCCATTCGAGCTCGGCATCGACTACGTCAATGCCGGCGAGGTCATATTCGTTGTAGAGTGCCAAGATCTCGCAATGTAGCTGAGCGGCCTTGGCGAGATCCAGGCGTTCGGGGTCGTCCGACGCCAGAGAGCGGAGCTTACTGGAGAGACGAAGCGCTCTGATGGAGTGGTGGAGAAGGTCGGAGGAGGTGTGGAGGTTCTGGAGCTGGGCGGTGAGGGTGCGGATGGAGGTAAGGGGGTCGGAGAGCTCGGATCGGGTGCGGCGGAGGGAGGACTGGAGGGAGAGGACGGAGGATCGGACGGTGGAGAGGGCATGGTCGGCGTGGTGGAGGGAGGAGAGCTGGGAGAGTAGGTGGTCGTGGCGGGAGAGGACCTCGGAGCGGAGCTGGGACTCGAGGAGGCGGATGGCGTTCTGGAGCTTCTCAGCGGTGGAGGCAGGGGAGCCGGAGGTGAGGGCGGCGGAGGAGAAGTCGGTGGAGGAGAAGGAGGAGGAGAGGAAGACGGAGAAGATGGGGTCGGAGGCCAATGTGTCAAGGGGGGATGCAGTGGCGGTGGTTGGGGTTGCGGTGGAGGTTGGGGTGGAGGTTTTGAAGGTGGAGAGGCGTTGCAGTGGGGAAGCGCTTGAGGAGACTGGAGACGGAGAAGCCATTTTCGACTCTCTGGAGTCTCTCTCCTTGTGTAGACTGTTGCTATTTTACTACCCGCGGCCCCCTTTGCTTTGCTGCAACTGTATTTGCCTCCGTTGGCTGTTGGCTTGGCTTTCTCTTTTTTTCTTTTTTCTTTTCTTTTTTATTGTTTCAGTTGGCTGTTGGGTTAATATCCTTAGCCCAAATCAAGCTCAGCCCAAGTCTTTTTTATTTTTTCTTTAAAGCTGCTTGGCCCAAGCCTTTAACTTATAGCCCGTTTGATAACTATTTCAATTTTAGTACAGAGGAAAAATATGGAGAATGAGAACGAAGATGGGATTGAGACGGAAGATGAGAGGGGATGATAAGAGGGAGGAGTATCAAATGTGAAAACTAAAACTAAAATCTATTTGCAATTGTTTTCACTTTGTTACTTCTCCCTCCCATTCTCCCCTCTCATCCTCTCTCTCAATCTCATCCTCACTCCCATTCTCGCTCTCATTTTCCTCTATTCACTAGCCAAAAAAATGAAAAATTTTAGATGATTATCAAACAGGCCTTTAACTTCTTTTCATTTTTTTAGTTGTAGCTCAAGTCAATTGGTTAAGGCGGTATGTCTGCCCCTTACACCTGAGTTATTTCCTCCCCGTACATTAGAGTAGTTTAGAATATCGTCATTGTCAAAAACAAATATATGAAGCAATTTTTATGGGTATTGAAAAAAAAACATTGTCTAATGCACCCATAATTATTTGCAATATTCCCATTTGCAAATTGGCAAATTGTTGTTGATAGTTTAATTGGTATCTAGGTTTTATGTAATTAATTTGAGCAAAACATAAAAATATAAAAATAAAAAATAAAAAAATAAAATTTAAATCAAAGTTCATATTGATATCACCCAACTCTAATTTTCTTATAACTTTTTTTATTTATTTTAATAATGGGATAACTTTGTAGAAACTGGAAAAATTGAAGTAAAGTGAGTAAGCTTGAAAAAATAAAATAAATGCACACACACCCCATGAATCATAACGGAGTTCATCACTTCATCTTATTTTCCAAATGAAAATGGACCGCTACACAAATGAATTCTCGGCGACAAAAGCGAAAACCCATCAAATTAATACCCAATTATACAAATTAAAAGATGAAATTAAGAAACTAATTACTAATTAGAATGAATGGATGACGTCAGTCAGATGTGGCAACCACAGCAAAGGTAGAAGAAGCAGAGCGTGGAGACAAGAACGACGACCTCCACAGCAGAGAGAACCTTGAAGACGACGTCGTCTACGATGGTCGTCTGAAAATCCAGACGCTTCCATTTGAACACTGAGAATTTCCTTGGCCACAGCTCTTTGCTAATCACCTTCTTTAACGACCAAACGGCCTTCTCCTTCTTTGAGTTCTTCTCCGACTTATTTTCCATCACAATATGCACAAACTCTCTCTCTCTCTCCCTCCCTCTCTCTCTCTCTCTCTCTCTAAAACGTTGTCGTATTTTATGCAATTGGTATGCTGAGAGGGAGAAGTGTGAGCTGGTGGTATATATAGAAATGGAGGGGGGGTGTTAGAGGCAGAGCTTTGGTTTCTTCAAAAAGAAAAGAAGGTGTTGGTGGTTGCAGCTGGTGCTGGGCCTGCTGGCCAGAGTGATCAATGGAATTTGAGGTCTCACCGGAGGGTATTTCTGGAACTTAATAATTGGTAAAGCACCCTAAGCTTAGTGGCCGAATATTCTAATTTTAAAAAGACTAGTTTACAGCAAGACAGTATCATTATCATAATAATTCTAATAGGAAAATGTTAACCGATACACTGTTTATGGACTAGTTTTTAATTAATTTTTGTTCAATTTCTTATAACACCAACGAAGACGTCATGCAAATATATATCATGGCGATTGGGTTCGCTTCTAAAGGTCATATGTAGATTTGGTTTCATTCTTTTTTAGGTTATGGAGGCTGATGTATTCTCAAGCGCTAATTGGTTAGTAAGTTTACATATCACTAATTATTTGTTTGAACATATTACACAATATAATCTCATAATCTGACCGAACCATTCATTTTTTAAGTTATCATTCAAGTATCGCCTTTACAAAAAGCTTGATCCTTACAATAGAATATATTCTACCTTCCCATCTAATTCTTTTTCCCCTAATGTTAGGAATACATACACTTGACAGCCTATAAGCTCAATTGATTAAGACAAAAGAGGAAGAAAAAAATTACGTGAATCCAATTGGTGATATACAAAGAAAATAAAAAAGTTCGCTTATAAAAAAATAAAATAAAAACATATGAACCAACAACAAGGAACAATGATAGTAATAAATAAGGATCACAATCTATTGCCATTCATAATCATACAGGATTATATGCTTGCTTGGTTTGCACTGCTTTTGATTGGCATCTTCTTAACGGAGTCTTCTCATCATTTCTCTCTTTCTGTAACGGCACATAAAAAAATGCAATGGAAAGGACAAATTCGACATTTGGTAGTTTCATTCATCTTCTAATAACGGTTTGGTATGGTGTGGGCAGATGTTGTCCAGTTGGCAAGCTTATATTTAACGGCTAGTTTGTTGGAACAGTTCAAACCAATATTATTGGATCCTACCGCAGGGTCCAGTTCATCATATACACATGCACGGCTTGTTGGCTTTTCAATGTTAAACAATGCTTTCATTTTCTTCTTTAATTTTATACTTTTTAGCTCATGCCGGTTTTATACAAATTGTGTATGAAACCGGAAAATATGAGTTCTTCTTCATAAAAGTAAGCAAGCGTGACAAGGAAATCTTAGAAACACGAGGCATGCGTATACGAACATTATACCTGAAAGCTTTTTGCATTTAACAAATTGAAATTATTGACATCTTTCCCTATTAGAACTTAGGGATTTAAAAATATATATATATTTTTTCCTTATAATATATGATTTTGAACTTGATTTAGATTCTTAACTTAAAGAGGATGCATCCCAATATCTCTGATTTTATAGATACTATATAATATAAATATAGAGAGACAGAGAACTCTGAGGAAGCTTTAGATTATTTCCAGCGTGGGGGGGTGGAGCAACGTCCATCTAATGAGCACTTTGTGTAGGACGGTCAATGTCCAGATAGTCTAAAAAGAATAGTAACTTGGAGGAGACAGCCTCATAATTGGGTTGGCCACTTAATGCGTGTCTGTGGTTTTTTTTCACATAATAATAATTATTATTTTGGAAATTTTCACTTTATTACTCTGAGTTTACCGTGTTTCAACCTCTATTATATGAAAAAAATTTCGTTTTAGTCGTATACACAAAGTTAATTTTCCTACCACTTTCATACCTACCGTCACTTTCTGGAGAAAATAGACACAATTTACTTCTCAATTCCAAGCAATTTTCAAATTTGAAAACTTGCCTAGCCATTTTTTATTTTGGCAGTGAAACTGAGAGCGTTAATAAGAGAAACCTTGAAACTCTTAGTCATCATGATAACCTGCAGTAAGAAGTTGAAGTTAATTTGGCAAAATCAGAAGTTGCAAGCTCTCATTCCATTTACATATATATATATATATATATTTTTAAAGCCAGTAAAGCTTCATTTAAGGCAAACTCAGCTGCTGAAAAACAAAGTTAATTTGAAGACCCTGTTTCTCAGTTTCTCTCATCATCCAATTGCAAGTATTTTTCTCTTTCTTTTCTCTTGGGCTTTTACCCCTTTTGCTTATGACGTTATTTCAAAGTCGCTTTTTTGAGAAGCACTGGCTACTTATGGACTCCTCCAGAAGAAGAATTAAGATGATGAAACTCTACCTCATCTATCTGGGCAGCAGGGCATTTTATTGGAATTTGGAAGGGTGAATATGATTTTATTAGATCTGATTTTTCTTTTTGTATGTAGCTAGCACACTAGCATTCCTCTTTATTATTACATGAGATTCTCAATAGAATACGTATATAGAATTAAGGACAAACTACAGCAAACCCCCCAACCTATAGGGTCATTTACGAGTTCATACATGATTTTGGGAACATTTATGAGTACATACACAACTTCGCGAAAACTTACAGATCGCCCCCCTCCATTAGCGAATCCGTCAAGAAATCTGTTATCTGCCTACGTGGCAAATGTGGGCTCCATTTTTTAATGAGGTGGACTTCCACGTGGACTAAAAATTAATAAAAAATTATATATTTTTCAAAACTAGTTTTAAATTATTTAAATTATTTTAAAATTGATTATAAAAAAACAAAAAAAAACAAAAAACAAAAAACCAACCCAACCAACCACCACGACGACCTTGCCCACCCCTTCCCAACCCCTCTCCGTCGCAACCCCAACCACCCTCATCGACTGCATCTTCCCATCCCAGATTCTTCTAGATCTGTTTCATAACAGATTGGGTTTTGAATTTTGACTAACCATCTCAACTCAAAAAGCAAGCATTATGCCCTGCTACTCATTCAACAACAGAATCCAGATGACAAATTTATAGTTGTAAAATTATAACACATATTTCTGAAAGAGATTGGTATTTCAATTTCAAAGTTCGACTCAGTAAAAATGCATACATCATCTGATAAATCGATTCATAAAAGATAGCGTTGGCCCTCATGGTGGCGTGGCCTGCCTGCTGATGCGACACGTCTTCTACCCAGACGCCCACAACCACCATTTTCCCACAACCACCATATCCAACCTGTACCACCACCATCTCTCTCTGGAACTTCTACCATCGCCTGACGACCCACCAGCCGCCTCCCATCATCCCACCCAGCCAACCCCCATCCTCCCTTCCTCTTACTTAACCCTTCGTCGATCCACCCCGAACCCACTGCCAATGTCGTTCTCTCTCTCTTTCTCTCTCTCTCTCTCCAATACAACCAAACTCCACCTCCCTTTGCTTTCCACGAGTTGCCGCTTCCATTTTTAATTTACCCAAGCTCAGTATGGATGAAATTTGGGCTGCAAATATTAAAATAAATAAATAAATAAACTGGGCAGCAACATCACGTTTCAAAATGCCAAAATGGAGATTTCTGAATGAAAATTTCAAAACAAATGTCTAGTATTATCAAACCAAATAGCTCGAATTTGAAATTTTATTCAATCTAATGGCCTCGAATTCAAATTTCAATTCAAATTTCATTTTAAAGAAATATCAAATCTAGACATCCAACCACGGCCTTCCATCTCCCTTTCATCTCCAATGCCAGAATCAGATCTGGATTTTGTGTGCACTCAGAATCAGATTTGATTACTTTCGAGACATTAATGATGATGCAACTCTCTATTGTGTACTTGGGATCACTTCCTCATGGAGTGTACTCTCCATTGTCTCACCACCACAGTATTCTACAGAGAGTTATCCAGGGAAGGTAGTCTATGCAGAGTTTTCCTTGCCGGCAGTTTTTGGGTCTCTAAAGTTGAAGGCTTTGGGCGGCGGGAGCGGCGAGAATCGGAAGCTATCGGCGTCGAGGCCGGCCATGAGCTCCCATGAGTTGATAACCTCCGAGGAGGATGAATGTGTTTGGGTGGCGGTTTGTGTGGCTAGGGGCTAGGAGGAGAGAGAGAGAGAGAGAGAGAGAGAGAGAGAGAATCTGGACGAGGGTTGGAGGAAGATGGTGGGTGCGAGGTGGGCATATGCTGGAGAGGAGAGGGGAGTTCTGGGTTGGGGTGGGTCGAGAAGGAGGGAGAATGAGAGAGAGAGAGAGTTGTTTAGGTTTTTATTTTTTTAAAACAAATATTTATTATTTTTAAAGTAGATAATTTTTTATTAATTTTTGGTCCACGTGGAAGTCCCGTCATAAAAAAAAAGGGTTCTATTTTTGACACATCAGCATTTAACGGATTTTCTGACGGATTCGCTAACGGAGGGGGCGATATGTAAGTTTTTGCGAAGTTGTGTATGTACCCATAAATGTTCCCAAAATCGGGTATGAACTCGTAAATGACCCTATAGGTTGGGGGGTTTACTGTAGTTTGTCCTAGAATTAATATGGCAACATTGTTTACCTAGAAGTATCTCCAAGAAGCCAGATTTATGCAGTTCCTTCTTGGTTTGTCAATTAACCAAATCAATTGACTAGATCTTATTGGATTTTATCGGTAAGGGGTCGATATTATTGTCGATAATCTATCACAAACAAAACGTGCCGATACATTATTAACACACAGACACACAAAATTCATCATTTAACAAAGGACGGAGATCTTACATATAATTTTCTATAACTTGTATGCCACCTTGATTATTGCATGGGTTGACCATTTATGTAAAAGGACATCAAATATGTCTTGTTTCGATCATATCATACTGATTGTGGAGACAATCTGTAGTGCTTGGCAACATCTTGAACAAGTTTTTAGGATAAGATTGGGGATAAAGTGAGTGAACTGAATGAAGTCTAAATCATACTTAGAATTTTGATTAGCCTAATAGGAATATATATAGTTCATTTCTATTCCATGATAAGTAAGTATAAATTGTTCCTCTTGAATTAATCAACCCTCTTGATTGGCTCTCGCCTTTCATATCGTCATAATTCTTTTAATGCTACGTTTTGAGAGAAAATTTTCACGTCATTCTAGTTTACAATCGCTTTTAACAAATAACAATATCCTCTAATTTCAATACCTGATCCGTATCAACAAAGCACACAACTTCATAGACATATACGGGTACTCCACAGTGAATAATCAAGAAGAATCAACGGTAGTTGAAACAGCTAATTTTGTTCTTCAAGGGAGCGTATATAGAAGAAGAAGAGGGAGATAAGGAACCCTGGTGTGTGGACAATTTAGAACCATTAGCAGTCACATACACAAAACAGGACACAATGTATATCTGTGGTCCGACAAAACCACATCTGAGAATTCTTGTGGGTAGAATTTGCCTCTTTGGCCCAATAGAGTCGCATGGGTCACAGAATCCCTTCGGCGGTGTGTAGCTCTTGTCTGGTTATTTAACATGGACGCCGCGTCCAATTGTCCCACAAAATGTCACACTCCCTTAGATATTTAGCAAGTTTTTGACCCGATTGTGTGACGTGGCAGATGGGGGAAGGGAAGATAGACATTCCAACTTTTTTATTTATTGTGTTCAAACCCAAATTTACACATCACCCTTTTTATTATTATTATTATTATTTATTTATAAATATATTATTTTAACTTAAAAAAAATATTTATTTGTTGTCAAACCCCAGCTATTATGAAATGGCCGTGAGTCATGACCGTTGCCAAAGAAAGGAAGCGTGAATGCGCCTCCGGGGAGGAAAGATATAAGATGAGGGACACTTTTGTTTTTCTTTTGGATAAATCTTTAAGGAATATTAACTAGCTCTTAATCTACTAATAATTTTCTTTTTAGTATTGAAAAATGTGAATTATAGGGAAAAAAATATTGAAATATAAACCCTTTCGAAAAACAATTGAGATGATATAAATAATGTTACCTATTGCAAAAATACATTATGTAGTTATTTGGAGCAATTGTTCGTCCATTAAAGGTTTTGATTTCGAGTCGTAGAATTCATTTAATATGTGTTAGTTTAATATATTATCGCTCCTTCAATAGGATAGGTGCTAAAAAAAAATATTACCCCATCAACTCAAATATGGTTGAAAATACTTTAAATTTTCCAATTAGGCATCATAAATATCTTTAAATTATTAATTAGGACTTAGATCACAACAAGGTCGAGTTACACGTATGCAGACACTGAAATTTTTGGAAAATAGTGTTTATAACATGAAACATATCCCTTAATATTCTAAAGTATTTGTCACTAGTCTAGTGATATTTTAGGTACTTTTTTTTATTAATAAAAAAGTACTTTTAAATACTTAATATTTTCATTAATTTCTAAAACCTTATTAAACTTTCTAGATTTAATATTCTCTAGCAATTCCACATTTCTCATAAATCTTATAATTATGGTTTTTTCTTCAGAGCAAAAAATAAAACAAAATTACTAAGCTACAAAAGAGTCCCAAAAATCAACAAAAACAACAACAACAGAAACAGAAACAGAACCACAAGGGTGATCTTTTTTTTGGTGGGCAAAGCTAAATTTTTTGTGTCGTTCTCGTCCGACCGTACACTTAAAGATCCTTCTATATATATAAATACTTACAAAGCTGGTTTTTCTAATCGTTCTCTGTTTCTAAGATTAGATAGACAGAAAGTGAGAGAGTTAATAGCTAAAAAGGTCTCTCTTTTCCTCTGCTTTCGGGGAAGGTGAAGAAGAAGATGATGTTCTTGGAGCTCCTAGTGGAAAAAAGTGATTGCTTTCCTTTGGACTTGCTTGTCTTCAACATAGCTTTGGCCTTCTTCAATGGCGTTCTTGCTGTAATTGCGTTTTCTCAGGTTTGTTTGAACACCCTTTCCTCTGTCATCTGTATTGTTTGTGCTTTTCAGCTCTGTTAAGAATTTCATTATGTGGGTTGGTCTATTTTGAGGGATTTTCAATTTTGACTGATGTGTTAAACGTGAGAAGGATAATGCATGTTTATTCCATGAATTATGATTCGGATTGAATGGGTATTTGTGTTTTACGCTGTGTTTGGTTGCTGAGAAAGTGGAGGAAAAATTGAAATTCTACAGTTAGTTTGATCCTTTGAAATTATAATTTAGGCACATACATTAAGATAGAAAATGCTTGTGCATTGCTGCCCTTATATCAGATTATAAGTTAAAATAAGGGTAAAATAAATAACTCTAGTAAACATCCTGAATGTCTCCCCATTTCTCTCTTATTACTTCCACTATCACTATCCCCTTATCTTTGCAAGTATTCCGACTTCTCCAATGGTTTCTAAGAGCCAATTACGCATGTATAAGAGCCTAAATTTTGTTACTGTAATTACACTATAGATACTGGTATCTTTGATTTGTATTGTTATCTTGTTGGTTAAATATTTCACAAGTACTTATCTTGTTTAATTACTCTTTTCCCTAAGTTGGGAATCATCTAGCATTTTGTTTTTCCAGCTGGTCAGGATTCACATGCGCAATCGACAAAGTGGATGGACACGCCAAAAAGTAAGGGGCATCATCTCTTACTTCTAAAGCTTATTTTTTTAAATATCATAAGTTGTTCTATTAGTAATTGAAGGCAGAGCTAGCGTGTTCTTGTCTGATGTTTGTACTTCCTACTGCATGTGGTAGGAATGCTATGAGCACTTATGTGCAAGGATGCTGTTTTGAAAATTGGTTTTTGCAACTTCACGTCATATATTATGTGCAAATTCTATGGAATCCTTCCCCCCCACTTTGTGCTGATTCCATCAGTCTTACAATTTGTATTGCAATATGCTACGTTTGTTGAATGTGAAAAATGGTTTGTAATTCTTAAAAGTTCTATAATATTCATTTCAGTTGTATGTACATTCACTATTTATAGGGACCATTTGACTGAAATGATTACTAATTGGCAGGTACTCCACCTCATGATTGGCTCTTCTAACTTGGGTAAGGCTGAGGATTTGTGGTTCATGTCATAAATTTTCTTTTATAAAAGTCAAATAATGGTTCTGACTCAAATTTGAGTTAAACTGGGTAGTGGAATTTTAAAGTACTTCTCTATTGCAAAGGCTACAAGACTTTTTATGCCATACTATGGAAGCCTTTTGATTTAAGTCATTGTCTTCAGTTTTCCGTGTGGTCATATGCTACATACAATTTCAGATTGGCTTAGCGTAAATGATTGGTTTAATCATGCGACTGAACGGGTACAATAATAAGCATTACTAACCATAATGTGAATTTAAATCACTCATATCTGCTCGTCAGCCAGAATGCAAAGTTGGGGTATTGAGAGAGTGGGTGTACAAAGGTTCCAATTGTATCAGATCAGTTCTCCCGTGTATTTACATTGATAAAAAGGAAACACGTCCTTTATGGTATAATTTGATGTACACAATAGTGCATGAGCATTGACTACTTACGTCTTTCATTCTCATCATTTTCTTTGATAAAATTTTCTAAGTCTTCTGCAGGTTTACATTGATTTTCTGTTTGAACACTTCAACTCATCAAAACAGTTTCTATCTTTTCCTCTTTCCACTCTACCAATTCTTAGACACTCTTAAGCAATTATAAAAGCTCAAAAAAGATTGTCTGGTCGTATTATGCACTTCATCAAGTTATAGCATCAAATTTCTTCTTTTGGCAGGTTACTTCATATATTTTACATCTACGTTGGTTGCAGCTTGTAAGAAGTGGTTTTGCTGGTCTAATGTCTGCGGGTTCATCCTAATGGGTATATTTTACTTAGTTATGCTGATTGACGAGCTGCTTCAAATGTTTGTTTCTAGAGTTTCTTTGTAGTCACTGGTGATCTTATTGATGAAAAATATTGCTACAGCCTACCCCAAAATTCTGTTTCTCGCAGCTTTTCTTCTACTCCTATCCTTTTGGTGAGTTTTCTTATTCTAGATTAGGCTTTCTCATGTTGAAATTTTAGAGATAGTCTGGTTGATTGAAAAGCATGACAGCAACTTCTCTTACTTAGATCAATGTCTTTTCACCCTTTGAACTGTTGAAAGCATCTTGTTAAGGTTATGTTTGCTGTGTCCAATAGGATATTTGAAGAACTTTATCCTCCCCATCTTCTGATAATGCAATTCCATCTTTCTCAAATGCTTTTGATTTTTTTTTCTTTTTAGCTTTATTTCTATGATTAATGTTTACTTGGCATTTGCTAGATTTCCTTTTGAAATTTCTATGTTTTTTTTTATACAATTCATTTTTCATCTACACCCAATGTTGTACTTGCGATCGTGACTATTCCTTGACATTAATACTTATAATTGTTTGTATTTAACATTACACAAAAAGAAAATAAAAGGTTTTTTTTTTCTGTTAGTCAATTACTCAAATACCACTTTCTATTTGAAGAATGTTGCAAAATAGATAGAACATAGCATCATGATTTATTTTTTATATGTTCAATTACAATATCTAAAGACTGCACAATAGAAATTTGTACAGTTGCAGTGTAATTTATAATTATAAGGTATACAAATGCTGTTATGGACAATGACTTTGTAGGGTCGACCTTTGCCATCAGGCAAATGATGACGAGGAGGATGACGAGGACGATAGCATGCAGCAGGCCTTGTTGGAAAATTCAAAGAATAAACCTAATTCATCAAACAAAGATGGTCATCGAATTTGTTGTTCATTCCAAAGCATTCATGTTGGAAGTCACCAAAAATTTGTGATTGCGGTATGAGAAATAGACTTGTTTTGTTATTGCCCTTAATTGACAATTTAGAGTCTTTCTGAAAAGTATATCCCTATTCATCGAGAATTGCCCATTATATGGACAGAATACAAGTTAATTAGGAAAGAACACAGGCTGATATTCAGCCCCTGAAAACAGCTCACCTACCACATATACATGTATCTAATTATAGCTAACCTACCACATATACATGTATCTAATTACAGCTAACCTACCACATATACATGTATCTAATTAATGAAAGAATCTGCTGGCATTTAAATCTGATTTCCTTTGACATCCCCCCTCAAATTGATGCTGGTAAATCGACAAGCATCAATTTGCTAACGAGGAAATGATGGCGCTGACGTGGCATGGATTTGGTGAAGATATCGGCGATCTGCAGAGTAGTAGAGACATGTGGAAGGGTGATAACCTGATGATCATAGGCTTCTCTGATTGAGTGACAGTCAACTTCGATGTGCTTGGTGCGTTCGTGATAGACGGGGTTGGCTGCAATTTGGATGGCACTAGTGTTGTCAGCATGCAGTGGAGTAGGATGAATAGGACCGAAACCAAGTTCTGTGAGGAGACCACGCAACCAAATGATCTCGGAGCATGCAGCAGACATGGCTCTATACTCTGCCTCAGTGGATGATTTGGAGACGTGGTCTTGCTTCTTGCATTTCCAAGAGATAAGGGCATCACCAAGAAACATACACCAGCCAGTAGTAGATTTCCTGGTGTCTGGGCAACCGGCCCAATCAGCGTCACTGTAGGCTTGGAGCTGAAGGGAAGAACCTGTAGGGAAGAATAAACCACGACTAGGTGTGCCAAGAATGTAGCGAATGATGCGGCGAACGGCAGATAGATGGAGATGCGTTGGGGCTTGCATGAACTTGCTGACAGTGTGAACAGCATAAGAGATGTCTGGTCGGGTGATGGTTAGATAGATAAGACTACCAACCAGCTTCCGATAGGTAGTAGGATCCTCAAGAAGCTCCCCGTCGTCACGTCGATATTTCACATTAAGTTCCATGGGGGTGTCAACTGAAGTAGTGTTGGTGAGGCCGGCTAACTGAACCAGATCTTGACTGTACTTGTGCTGATGCAAGAAGAGACCATGAGGCCGATGATGCACCTCTAAACCCAAGAAATAAGTGAGCTGACCAAGATCTTTCATGTGGAATGTAGAATGCAACAAAGTTTGAACCGCTGAGATTGCCTCCAAGTCAGAGCCGGTGATGACAATATCATCCACATAAACAAGGAGGACAACGATACCCATGGATGTCCGTTGTAGAAAAAGAGAGGAGTCATACTGACTTTGAGTGAAAGAAAAACCAAGCAAAGTGGAGCGAAACTTTTCAAACCATACTCTCGGTGCCTGCTTCAAACCATACAAAGAACGTTTTAGTTTGCAAACTTCATTAGGTGAGGAAGTAGGCATACCATAGGGAAGTTTCAAGTAAACTTCTTCCTTGAGATCACCGTGGAGGAATGCGTTCTTGACATCCATTTGATGTAGGGGCCAGGATTGGGATGCAGCAAGAGCGAGTATAGTTCGGACAGTAGTCATTTTGGCGACTGGTGCGAAGGTCTCATCATAGTCGAGACCATATTCCTGTTTGTTGCCAAGTGCCACTAACCGAGCCTTATAACGGTCTATGGACCCATCAGAACGAAGCTTGACAGAAAACACGAACTTACTGCCAAGGGGTTTCACGGATGAGGGACATGGAACAACGTCCCAAGTTTGGTTTTCCTCAAGGGCGAGAAGTTCGGCTTCAACAGCTTTCCGCCAACACTCATGCTTCATGGCCTGTTTATAAGACGAAGGAAGAGAAATAGAAGACAAGGTGGCTGTGAAGGATGAAGGAGAAGAGGAACCAAACCTATCCGGGGGTCTACGAACCCGAGTACTGTGTCTGAGAGGGGGAGGTGCAGTTGCTGGAACAGGAGCAGCAGGCGGGGAAGGATCTTGAGGGGGCTTGGGAGGTGCCGAAGGCTGGTGGGAAGTGGCGGAGGAGCGTCGTTGATACACTAAGAGAGGCTTAGAAGGGACTGGAGTTGCAGAAGAGGTATTAACAACTGGAGCTGCAGAAGAGTTAGTAAACATAGGCAAAATAGAAAATGAGGGAGAAACGGGATCCAGATGCGTGGGAAAAAAATACTGATTTTCTAGAAAGATCACATTTCTAGAAACTCGAATGCGGCGCAAATTTGGATCATAGCAAAGAAAACCTTTCTGGTGTACTGAATATCCTAGGAAAGCACACTGAATCGATTGAGCCGTGAGTTTTGTGCGTTCATGTGCAGGAAGATGAACATAACAGACACAACCAAAGGTACGAAGGTTGGAATAAATTGGAGGGTGACCAAATAACCTGGTGAAGGGAGAGTTGTGGTTCAATGTGGGAGAAGGCAACCTGTTGATGAGATGGACAGCAGTGGAAAGAGCTTCACACCAAAAACGAGAGGGCGTAGATGACTCTAACAAGAGAGTGCGAACAACATCAAGGAGGTGACGGTTCTTCCTTTCAGCCACCCCATTTTGTTGAGGTGTTGAAGGACAAGACCGTTGAGAGATGATGCCGTGAGTCTGTAGGAAGTCCTGAAACAAATGAGACATATACTCACCCCCATTGTCAGAACGAAGGATTTTGATTTGGGCTGAAAATTGGGTCTGAATATATGCATGAAAAATCTTAAAAACAGAAAAGACTTCATCTTTAGAATGTAGAAAATATATCCATGTGAAACGACTATAGTCGTCAATAAAAGTGACAAAGTATTTGTAATTAGCATGAGAAGTGATTGGTGCCATGCCCCACACATCACTATGTATCATATCAAAAGGTTGAACTATATGTGGTGTGTGAATAGGAAAAGGCAGAGTCTTACTTTTGCCAAGTTTGCAAGAATTGCAATCAAATTGAACAGCACTACACAACCAACTGACCGACAGACACAAGATTGGTGGTAAGACCAGGAGATACAAAGACATCAGTGAGAGAGGGAGAAACATCACCAGTGGCCGTGATAGGTAAATGATTGCCATCAGCAGTATGAATTTTGAGATTTCCAAAATATTTGTTTACATTGGTAAGAGAATCAGCATTGTTTGTCATATGATGGGAAGCCCCAGAATCAAAGTACCAAGGAGATGATGTAGAGAAGGGTTTACCTGAGAGTCCTAAAGCTGAAAATGCAGAAATGATCATTTGTTGAATCATGTCAGGGGTCACAGGTTGAACAGGAGCATGAGCACTTTGTGTCAGCGGTACTGTAGTCACAGAACTTCCAGCACTAGAAGAGCCAACGGAGACAGTATATGCGGTCTCTGATTTCTTGGGGGGTCGAGTAGGACATTCCTTGATGATATGGCCATCCTTTTTGCAGTAGTTGCAGAATTTTCGGGGACAATTTGCAGCATAATGACCAAATCCCTTGCAACAAAAACACTGAACAGTGCTCATATCCCTGCTTCGTGGCTTACCTTGTGCTGCATAGGCCACAGGAACAGATGCAGATCGCCGTTGTTCCATGGTGGTTTGAGTGAGAAGGCGTTGTTCCTCGCGAAGGAGATCATTGAGGCATGTATCCAAGGAGGGGACAGATTCCCGGTTCATAAGATTGGATCTGGTGCCTTCAAATTCAGGTCTCAATTTCATCAGAAATTGATCCCTCTGGGTAGTTTCATGGATAGATTGAACAAAACTAAGACCTTCGGATGGTAAGTCAGCATAAACTATATCAGTGTATTCAGCCCAAAGATTAGTGAATCTAGAGTAAAAATCAGAGATAGAAAGGCTATCCTGTTGGGAAGCGGCCAATTCATGTTCAAGCTGGAACCGACGAGCAGTGTTTCGTTGACTATAGATCTTCTTCAGGTAAGTCCACATCTGAGCTGCAGTCTGAGATGATCGAAGGTTCAAGATGATATTAGGTTCGACAGATCCTAAAATCCATGTCATAACTTGAGCGTCCTTGACTTCCCACTTGGCGTGCTGGTCTTTGTCTTTGTTTTTGTCAGGAGCTGGGTTACTTCCATCAACATGTCCCCACGCCTCCTTACCTTTGACGAAAATCCCGAAGTGAAACGCCCAAGCAGAGTAGTTCTTGCCATTGAAACGAATCAAAGAAACATCTGACTTATCTGAAGACATGATGTCAAGAGAACTTGATCAAGAATAACTGAGACTAAGGAACTTGAGAGCAAGAGATAATTCAGAGCTATAGCTCTGATACCATGACAATTTAGAGTCTTTCTGAAAAGTATATCCCTATTCATCGAGAATTGCCCATTATATGGACAGAATACAAGTTAATTAGGAAAGAACACAGGCTGATATTCAGCCCCTGAAAACAGCTCACCTACCACATATACATGTATCTAATTATAGCTAACCTACCACATATACATGTATCTAATACATGTATCTAATTACAGCTAACCTACCACATATACATGTATCTAATTAATGAAAGAATCTGCTGGCATTTAAATCTGATTTCCTTTGACATTAATTTGTCGTATAAAAGTTGTGTAACTTTCACTGAAACATTGTCATCACTCGTTCTTCTTGTCATCTAATTTCATCCGTTTCTCCCACTAGGTTGTTGTGCTTGTCCTTGTTCTGATGATGTCATTTGCTGTGGTAATCTGGATCGGTGTGGGTAAGAATCCCATTGATTCTTCAGCAGTGGCTCAGGTATGGAGTACAGTCTTTCCTACTCTATCCTTTTTAGCATCAGATGAACTTTTGTCTTAACAGTCTTTCGGATAATTTTGCAACATGGTAACTTATACTAGGCATGACATCTACCGGGAAGTCAGGTTTTAAAGAATTAGAAGAAAACACAGTTCAGTCCATATCTGGCATTTTGATAATTCATACAGGAGAATTGAACTGCAGCTGGCATTTTTATTTCCTTATGGAGATTGATTGGTTATCAAGGTCTAGGTCAATATCAGTGTTTTTTGAGGAAATTGCTGGTCTCGTCTACTTGATTTGTTACTAACATGTGTAGATAAACGTTAGTTGAGATAAGTGTTTTTCCATCCCCTTATTTGTGTATAGAAGATTAGTCTTATCTTGGTTGTTCTAGACATCTAGTACATGTGTGAGACACCAGCACTTTGTGTATGCTTAAACTTCCTGAAATTCCAATAATTAGTTTTCCTTTTTAAATTTTGGAACATTTTGTTTGCATCACATCATATTTTCTTATTGTTCACTTAATGATGTGTCTTTATGTATCTATTCGTTTAAATGTGGCAATTATCATCGCCCAATAACTGCAACCATCTTACAGGCATATGAAGACTTTCTTGCTTTCACAGTTCTTTTATTAGGAGGAGCATTAGGTTGCTACGGTGAGAGCACTGACAACTTGTTATTATGCATGTATTTATTTTGGGGGGTCATGCCACATTTATCTTCTTATTATCAGTTTCATTTGGGTTTTGTCAATCTAGTTTCTTTGTTGTGGATATGATGATCAAAATTTTAAATTCTCATTGGCTTCGTAGTAAAACATTTTTATGTTTTTAGAGTCGTTCTTTTTTATTTAGGGCAGTGTTGTATTGATTGTAATATGTGCTTTAGCTTGAGGGTCTTCAGTTAGATATGATTACTCTTCATCCATTTTAATTGTACTTTCTTCCCCCTTTATTTATTTTTATTACTAAAGGTCTGTGTTTTTTGTTTATTTATTATTCTTATGTTGTTCTGTTCAAGACCAGTAAGTGGTTTTGGCATATCTTATACTATCGAATTATCATTTCCATTGTTTGGTAGTGCATAGGCTTAAGTTTCTTCCTCTAGTTTCGCTACTATTACCCTGTAACCATTTTTGTAGGGTAACACTTACTGACATTGTGGTGGAATGGTGTTAGGGGTAAGACTCAACCTGTTATCCAAGTTTTATGTTTTAAGGATTTTAAGATTGACTTGTTTGTTCCAAAAACTCTTCATATGTTTTGGTATATTGGATGTTGCAAGGTTAACTGGGTTTTGTTGTCAGAAAAGTGATATTGGCTTTATAAAGTTTAACTGAATTCTTTCATGTGCTGTCTGCAATTTAACTTCACTCTTTCTTTCTAAAATTCCAGGCATCCTGCTATTTTGTAAGTTAAGGAAAGTACGGTCTGAGAAAGCTTCATCCGAAATGTGGAAGGTATTATTAAACTGACAGAAATGATTTCTTCTATTTGATAAAAATATTATTCAAATTCTTCAAAGTGCACTTACTAATTTCTTCTTTGAACGCAAAATGCCTACTTCTTTACTTAAAATGTCATGTTATAAGTTCTGCCTAAACTGGCACACTTCTGTTTGTATTTAGTAAGTTTGGAATTTTGTAAACAGGTTGCTGGTTTGGCAATTACTTCTGTTATATGTTTTACGTCAAGTGCATTGGTAGCTCTTCTTACAAATATTCCTGTAAGCGGTCATTGGCTAGAGACCTTACTACTCTTTGTGCAATTCATTCCTTAGTTTACCTTATGTATTTTCTTGCTTACCTCACTTTAAGCTCTTTGCCAGCTATATTGTCAGCGGAGTCTGAAAAAAACATATGGCGGAAAAGCACTAGTTTTTCTGATTCTGTACTATTTTATGGGTAATTCTATCTTCCCTTCTGAGCTTTGTTTTCAATTTTCCCCATCATGAATGGGAAGGATACTGCATTTTGTTCATCACATATTGAATATCATGAGTTTTCTCGCACCCCTTCTATCCTATGTCAGGATCTTTGGTGCCCTCAACTTCTGTATTATGGATTGTAAGAGAATTGCCACCCTCAATCGCTAATCACCAAAGGGAACAATCAAGAACAATTACTTTTGTCAGCTATGCTGCAGTGGGCACACAGCGTCCTCGTCGTTGGGCTAGAGTAACAAGTTCAACTAATCAGGTCCTTTGCTACTCTATTTCATACTTCTGAAATGACAAATTCCATAATTGTGTTTTTTCACTTTCTCTTTTTGCTATAAACTATGTTCATTTCAAGAGGAGACATCAGATGGCTTTTTGATTGTATTGCAGGCATCACGAGCAAGTCCCATATAAGAAAAACTTATGAAGTTAAAACTTCTTTTGGTCTCGGGAGAAGAGACGTTGGAAATGCAGACTCACGTATGCATATGATTTGAGACTTATGCATCGCAGTGAAATTCAAATGAAGATGGAGGATGTGGATGCCTCTCAACTATACAAGCATATACTGCAGATGCATGGATGTGGATGCTGCCGCTTTTTGCATTTGGTTCATGTACATAGTTACATTTCAGAAATGCTGCTACCCTCTCCACCAGAAATGCTGCTAGCCGATCCACTTTTGCCAATGGATTCTTACTGTGTACACCCTTTTACATGTAGATGCCTCTCAACTGGGTGTTTTTGACGATATTAGGGTTTAGGGTGTTTTTGACGATGTTATGGCGAAAATATTATAGATTATTGGTACAGAAACCAGGAGAAAAAATTATATAAAAATACAGAGGGTGTTGCAAACAGATAATTATCTCTCTCGCGGGTGCATGCCTTTGGATCATGATTTTGATTCATTAAATATTTTAACTACTTACTGATGTACATATCATTCTTTTAGTTGCACAGTTTCAAAAATCCTGAATTCAGCCAGGGAATTGGTGTAGGAAGCAGAACGAATTAATCGCGTGATTTATATTTATTAGCAAATCTGGTATATTATTAGGTTATTAACTGAAAAACAAGAAACTTGAGAATCTATGATGGGTAGCTGTGAAAATAGTAACTTTTGTGATTTAACGTTGCTTGCTTTAGTTTGGCATATCAACTTTTGGTGGGAAACCCATCTGAAAAAGATTACAAGTTCGATTCTTGTGGAGGACTCTTGATCTTCAATGGTAAAGCTCATCCTACGGATCTATTCCAAGGTTCAACCCATATTCCTAATTGCTTAACAGAAGAGAAACCAAAAAGCATTTATCAACCAAAATCAATAATCAACCCATCAAATAACATTCCATGAACAAAAGAAAGTGAAGTGAAAAAGCCATGTTTATAATTTCTATGGTCTTGTTCAGGTTGAGAAATTCTTGTTTGGTATAGCCACGTGCTAGAATTCCTCCACTCCGTACAGTTGGACATATTCCACGTGTCACCCTCAGCTCATGGGAGCCCACCTTCTTTCTTCTTTGCTTGCGCCAGTCACAGTTCGCGCCCTGTTGTTAAGTTCCAGTAGGAAGCAAGCTCCCGCTGATTTTAAAAAGAAAGAAGCCAAAAGGAAACCCACACAGAAAAAGCGCTTCTGCGCTGGTGATTGAGATTTGTTTATCAAAATTTATCAAATGGAAAAGCAAAAGCACTCAAAAAGAGTCTGAAACCATACAAAACAAAACTCCTATCACCAATTCCTTTCTTGCTTTGAGAGCAAACCCACTTTGCTTTGCCTTGCCCTTGCCCCACATCTCTCCCAAAGTATCTATACTCTCTCTTTCTATCTCTGTACAAATACCTAAAAAGATGAACTCTTTCATTTGCAAACAAGCTACATCGAAATCAGTGAGACCTGAAACTGAGAGGCTGAGTATTGGTGGTGCTTTTCGGAAATGGCGAGCTCCAGCGGGACGAAGAGCAATCAGGACCCGCCGAGGTCGTTATCTAGGCAAATTACGAGAATGTCCACGAGGGTTTTGGACTTGCCGACTGAGGACGAGGAGTTGGATGTGCCCTCGTGCCTTGCATCAATTGCTCCCATTTTTCGTGTCGCCAATGAGATTGAGAAGGAAAACCCCAGGGTTGCCTACCTCTGTATGTGATTTTGTTGTATTATTTTGCAATTCATTATTATTAAAGCACATTTCTTGATGTTGTTAGAATGGTAATACATGGTGTTTGTGATTCTGATTATGTTGAATACAAGTGGTGGCCGGCTCAACTAAAATACTGTTTGGACCTAATTACAAAAAGAAAGTTCAATTCTTTTGTATGAATTTTATAAGTTCAGTTTTTTATGCATAATATCAAGTTGTCAAATTCAGCGTTCATTATTTTCAAATTAAAAGAATGGTAGTGATCCGGGCTTAGTTTCATATGTTTAATATAAAGGAGAAGGGGTGGAAAATGTGGTTGATAAATGTTATACATAGAACAAATAAGACAGAAAATTTGACAGAATCTTAGCAAGACTTTTATTTCTCATTAAGAAGATTTTCACCTAATCTCTCCTATACGGATAGAATCTAACAGTTCTTTGCATCACGTGTTCCCGTTTAGTTCAGTAAATGTTGTCGTCGCTTAGGTTGATATATTTTGTGCTATTAGGCCGCTTCCATGGATTTGAGAAGGCGCACAAAAAGGATCCAACATCAAGTGGACGTGGTGTTCGTCAGTTTAAGACACATCTTTTGCACAGACTTGAAAAGGTAGACTTTTAAATTATTTGTGGTTTCTTGTATTTTATTTCCTTTTTTCAGAAGAGTGGTCTGATTTTGGAACTTAATTTATATTTCTTGTGCTGTGTGTATGATTAGTTCACTTGTGATTTTATCTGTAAATTATTTTATTTCTTCCCCTCATCTCCTTTTATCCTTTTCCTTCCATGATAAGAAGTTTCAAACTCAATACCTCCTGCAATTAGAGCTCTGATACCATTATAGACAACAATTGGACCCCAAGAATTTAAGTTGTTAGGAAATAAGCCAACAATGCTTATCAAGCTAACAATTTATACAATTAGTTTTTTTTTATTTATTTAAAAAAAAATGGTAACATTTAACTTTGGAATGAAATGTGCAAATCAAGTCATAGACTGAATCGAAAGATAATCTCTAGACCTATAAATAATATTCTAGGGTAATACTAATTCAATATCATGACTGATTTATATTGTATTTAAGAGCTCCTGAAAGTGAATTGAAGTCTCTCTGTATCTCTTAAAATTCTTTTCGTTGCAGGAAGAAGAAGAGACAAGACATCAGCTTGCTAAATCTGATACAAAAGAAATCCTGTATTTTTACCACCAATTTTATCGGAACAATATCCTAGAAGGAGAATACACAAAAAAACCGTAAGGCTTGTTTTTGAATTGTTGGTATGTTACCTTTCTTTTACTATTGAATTACTCACTGTCTCTTATATATTGAAGGGAAGAGATGGCTAGGATTATTCAGATTGCAACAGTACTATATGACGTGCTCAAGACAGTGGTACCTCAGTCTCAAATTGATCAACAGGTTTGATTTGTATGATTCCAGGATTGCTCAAGTTCTTAAATGACAGATTGATAGAGAAGGCACTGAAAACATGGCTATTCTATTATTTTTTTTCATTGCAGACACAGAAAATTGCTGAAGACGTCAAGAGGAAAAGGGAGCAGTACGTAAACTATAACATTCTTCCGTTATATACTGTTGGTGTTAAACCAGCAATTATGGAACTGCCTGAGGTTGTACATGCGTAGTATATGTGATTTTCATTTATCTCTGCTTTAGTTTTATGAAATCTTATTTTTCTCTCTTGCTCATTTCTTTACCCTTTTATTTTTTCTGGAAATATTTAGATCAAAGCAGCACTTCATGCTCTACAAAATGTGAATGGTCTTCCAATGCCAATAATGCATTTAAAACCCATGAATCCTGATGACAAGTCAACAATGCCTACCGAGAGGATTAAACCTGTCAATGATATACTCGATTGGCTTTCCTCTATTTTTGGGTTTCAGGTAACTTATGCCTAAATACCTTTCTCTTTCATTTTACCTTGGTATTTATATGCCGCATGTCTGAAACTTGTATTGGTGTGCTAACCCTAAACCTGTCCAACTGTATAGGCATGTTTAAGTTTCTAAAAGGATTTTTCTTGATTTGTGGATCTCAGCTAGTAAACTGGCTACTCTTACCACTGGCCCACAACTAGGGGTGGAGCTTAATTTGACTCGGATGTGGCAATTAATGTAGGTCAATAATTATGAATAATCTAATGCCATCTAATGAAAGAATGGCAAGGTAATTGAAAAGGACAATAATGGACAGATACAAAAATTAAGGAAAATAACCATTGTTTTCTCATAACAAGAGTCAATACCGAGTTTTTTCTTTTTCTTTATCTTCTGAAGGTTGAGAGAATATGATTCTAATAATGTATTTAGACCTCTTGAATTCAATGTACCTTTACACACACACACGCGCGCACAAAAACCCAAGACATTGAAGAAAAAAAATAGCGAGCCCTTATTTCTTTATCCTTTTGCCATTTCCCTTGAGTTTTCTGTTGCCTTTCTACTTGGTCAAGATAGGAATGACTTGAATAGGCATGTTTCCATTTGAATCTACAACTTATTGAATTTAAAAGACAATAATTGCAGCACAATAAATGTCAAGGTGCTACTTTTAAATGTTATGTGATGGATTTGATATTGGTGTTTTGTTTCATATGAAGACTCTTGTCCTCTTCCTACCTCACTGCCTAATAACTGCGGGCATTAACTCCATGTGGTCTTGGCATCCCTGCCTCAAGTTGATCACAATAGTACTGCTATTTTACTTATATCCATTGGGAACCAAGACAAATTTTATAAGGGAGGATTTGTAGCAGTGGGAAATGTGCATTTTGGCTGTCCTCTCAATCTTCATTAAGTAGATATCATTCTTTGAAGTGATGCGAATTTGTTCTTGCACCTCGCATGCTCAATGATTCTTTGATGCAATAGACTACTGCTAGATACACACACACACACACACACACACACACATATATATATAAGCATAGACATGTTCTTACTATGTTGTCTTATCTTTTCTGGGGTTTGAAGAAAGGAAATGTTGCAAATCAGAGGGAACACTTAATCTTGCTACTTGCCAACATGGATGTAAGACATAGAAATCTTGAAAATTACACACAGGTAAATCGATGTTCCTTTGAGGTGCTTTGTGTTTTCTCCTTTGCTTTGAATTTTATATGCTCTCAATTTTCAAGGCTGTATCTGATGTGATCATTAAAGATTAACAGAAAGCTTATTGCAGTTGAATAGTGGCACTGTACAGCATTTGATGGAGAAAATTTTTAAGAACTATCGTTCATGGTTTAACTATTTGCATTGCAAATCAAATCTTAAGTGAGTGATCTGGACAATATCAAAGTTATAACTTGATTCCTTAAAGTTGAATACATATAGACTTGTTACCATTTCAGCAATACAAATTTTGATTTGGTGTCTCTCCAACCTCCCAACCCCACAACTTTTCAGGTTTCCTCAAGGTTCTGACAGACAACAGTTGGAGCTTATTTACATTGGACTCTATCTTCTCATATGGGGTGAAGCTTCAAATATTCGATTCATGCCTGAATGCTTATGCTACATTTTCCATCAGGTCTGTAAAAAAAAAAGTATTAGTCAAGCATTATGAATGGTCTAGAGAGTTTCATATCATAATGTTGTTCCTTTTCTGACTTACCATGGCCCATCTCAATGATAATCCTTCTGAGAATGGCCAAGTCTCTGAGTAGTTTCTATGATTTTCTTGGTTTCTTCTTATCATAGATTTTTTTTTTTAAATGGGGAAAGCCTTCTGACAGGTAACCTGATTTTGAAATCAATTCCTAACCATCTATTAAAACATTAAATTTCTAGGAACTGCTACAGCAGTCACTAATTAAAAGTTGTTCTTCCATGCAATTACTTGTCATGAGTCATGAAAACATGAAAACTGCCAACTCAATGACCACATTGATTTATATTATCAGTAAGATTTCTATGTAACTTCATATCAATAAACTTGTAGCGTTTCTCTTAAAAAGAATACTAGCTATATGCTTTTTGGTTCTTAGGTGTGATAGAATAACATTTTATTCTTAGAGAGAGGGAGTACAGAGGTGCATAGACAAGTCACCAAATTTATTCGGTTTGCATGACAATTATATAAATTACTACAGCTCCTGCTGATCTAACAAAACAAAATCCTAACTGTCAGTGATGAATCTTCAAAATCGAAGCCCCACTAGATGAGGTTATACCAGAAAAGGAGCCCCAAATGAATTATTGTGAATATAATCCAAAGTTGTTTTTAGTCGCTCAATTCCTCATTTCTGTCAATCTCTTAAATTTTTCTTTGGAAGAATCTATGTTACATGTTCTAATTTTCCCTTGTGTATTTACTTTTTCTTTTGTTCTGTTGTGAAAGAAATAGCTACTTGGTAACTAAAAATTGCATTATAAAAACCAATTGCATTAAAAATTAAAAATTCAATTAATTGTTTAGACTACTCTCCACTGTTGATTTTAATCCAACAATAAGTGACCAAGAAAGTCCCTGGTCCCGTGGACCAGGAGAACGGGACTGTAATTCTACAGATTTCTTGTCTGCGACATAAATATTATATCATAAAATTGTTTATGAGTCATGCTTGTTCTTAATACACAACTTGTCCCAAGGACTTTTATATGTCCTGAAATTTTTAAGGTATGACAATAATTTTTCTTCCCCAATTGTTAAGATGGCCAACGAGGTATATGGAATTTTATATAGCAATGTTCATCCGGTTAGTGGAGAAACATACCAAACAACAGCACGTGACGAAGAATCTTTTCTGAGGGATGTTGTAACTCCTATCTACCAGGTGTTGTACAAGGTAAAGATGGTCTTCTACTGCTTGTATTATTGACACGAAGCATCTTTATTACTACTTTTTAATTCAAAATTTGAATCTTCCTTTTGTTGCAAAGGAAGCAAAGAGAAACAAAAATGGCAGGGCAAGTCATTCAAGATGGAGAAATTATGATGATCTAAATGAATATTTTTGGTTAGTATCTTTGATGGTAATTTTTGTTTTCGATCCATTCAGATATAAAATGGCTGAAAGGTCTGCTCGTTCTTTCTAGGTCTGACAAATGTTTTAGGCTAGGGTGGCCAATGGACCCTAAAGCAGATTTCTTTAGGCATTCAGATGGGATTCCACCAGCAAATGAGGTACTTATCTTTCTTGGTTTTATCTGTTTATTTATTTGGGTGGGGGAGGGTCAACTAAAAACTTAGACATATTGGGGAACAATTTTATTACATTTTATTTCTGTTTTTTCTCGAGAAGAAACGGAAATTTTATTGCCAAACACAATTTACTAAAATATCATTCTTTTCTTATGAATTGGACATTTCTGCATTTGTATGTGTGCCCACATGCATGTCCATAGTTTACAAATAAACATAATTTGTTTTGTGCCTACATATGTATAGGTTTCTTTTAGATAAAGTTCTGTTAATCTGAATACATGTTTGACAGAGGACAAATCAAGCTGCTGGTGGGAGGAGGAAACCTAAAACAAACTTCGTAGAAGTCCGAACATTTTGGCACCTGTACCGAAGTTTTGATCGAATGTGGATATTCTTCATATTGGCTTTCCAGGTAGCCTTAAATGTTAGATAATGTGTTGGTAATTTGAGTAAATAACTCCAACCTCCCTTAGAGTTTTCAAATACACAATCATGAATTTACACTAAACTCCCATGCTAGAAGTTTCTGCCAACAATGGTAAGAATCAAATTTTTGGTTTGCTTTTAGAAATTTAATATGATCTTACAAGTAACTTTGTCTCTTGTTGGTTATGAAAAAACTATTGTCATCTTTACCGCTAAGGGTATTTATGGAATTTTCTTGAAATTTCTGTCTGCTTGTGTTGAGGGATTCTCTGTTATCATGAGACTTACCCTTGGGGGAGCTCTTCCATATGCATAAAAATTGCAACTCCTGCACACAAGTGAGGTTGATATATTTCCCAGATAAAAAATGTGTATTTTAGACAAATTTTATGGGAGGTTGGAGAAATCCTTTCCTTTTAATTCTTTACAGTTCTCCTTAAGGAATGTGCCTCACTATTTCTGATTTTTAGGCTATGGTTATTGTTGCATGGAGTTCTTCTGGATCTCTGACTGCTTTCTTTGATGCGGATGTCTTCAGAAGTGTTTTAAGCATCTTCATCACTTATGCTTTCCTCAATTTATTACAAGGTACTAGTGATATCTTTAATACTTCTGTTTGTTTCCATATTAGTTCATGGTGGGAATTCTCAGCAGTTGTTTCCATATAATGTATAACTATTGAGTGACTTTTTTCGTACTTCACTTTCTCATATGGTCTATTTATGTTCTTCAGCCACTCTGGATATTGTTCTTAGTTGGTATGCCTGGAAGAGCTTGAAGCTCACTCAAATACTACGATACCTCTTGAAATTTGCAGTAGCTGGTGTGTGGGCTGTGGTTCTGCCTGTTGGTTATTCTAGTTCTGTGCAGAATCCTACTGGACTTCTGAAATTCTTCAGCAGTTGGGCTAGGGATTGGCGGAATCAGTCATTTTATAACTATGCTGTTGCAATCTATCTACTTCCTAATATATTGGCTACTGTGCTATTTTTTCTTCCACCTTTACGGAGACACATAGAGCGATCAAACTGGCGCATTGTCACTCTTTTTATGTGGTGGGCTCAGGCAAGCATGTCTTGCTTTGGTTTTAACCAAAGTTCTCGTTGCCTTGTGATTGTAGTAATTATTTATTTCCACTTTATTCTCTGTTCTAGTTATGGCTAATTTGAATGATTTTTCTGTGGTTGTCCATACTACAGCCAAAACTGTATATAGGAAGAGGCCTGCATGAGGACGTCTTTTCACTGCTGAAGTAAGTAAAACGTGTCTCAATTTATTTATTATCTTTCTTCATCTTTTGAGAGTGGGGTGTTGAACGTGTGTGGGTTTAGCCATTTCGCTGCTTTTCTTTCTACTCATTGGTCATTCTATTTGATTTCTGGTGCTTTGCTTTGATTTTAATAAAATTATCTTTTTATTCAGATATACTTTGTTTTGGATCATGCTGCTAATCAGCAAGCTATCGTTCAGCTATTTTGTGGAGGTGGTTTCTCTTCAATAATTTTTTTTATCTGATCTGAAAATCCCTATTTTATTTTCTGTTGCTTATTCATGTCACATACTTGCGTAGTAAGACATTGGCATATGCATGTAGGTTCTTAACACACCCAAATTGCAACTGAAGAATTAAGAATTTTAGGATGCATGCCAGCTTAAGTTACCAAAAATAAGTTGCCAAGATCCACTCTGTAAATATTGGGTAACATGGACATGAAATCCTTGATCTGCACACGAATATTGTACAAAAAACACATAGAGGATAATCCTTGAACCACAAATCACATCTGTAGCATTATCATGAACAACATCACATTATTTTATTAATGTCTCTCCACATCAGTAGCTTATAAGTCATATTTGAAGATTACCACATATCTATAACCTCAGAAGTTATGAGAAAAAGAAGGAAAGTAATAGATTCATTGTGAATGGTGAAATAATGAAATTTTGAATTACCTGACTTCGTTCTCATTGGGCAGTGGAAAAGATTATTGTGGAAAACCTTAAACAACATTTGTAAAGAACATAACATGATTTCTACTCCTAGCCAGCAGAAGTCCTCAACTCCACTAGCCTGAACGTTGTCTCCTAATGTTATTCCACCTAGAGCTGAGCAACAGTATTCTTTTTCCTAATTAGGAAACTTTACCCGGTAAAAAAATTTGATAATGGAACTAATGTTACTATAAAGCTAGGTCATTCATTGTAACTGAAAAGAAGTTAGGTTTTTCCTTTGAGGATCCATTGGATTTAGATAATTTTACTAAGCTTTATTTGTATACTCTGGTCATAGATACTGCCGCTTGTTGGACCAACAAAAGTGATAATGAAGATGCCCATTAGTAATTATCAATGGCATGAGTTCTTTCCAAATGGTAATATTTCAAACTTTGTTTTACTGTTTTCACTTTAATTTTTTGCAACTGTAGCCTGTGCTTACTACAAATTCACGTTTGGAACTGATGTAGTAACTCATAATATGGGCGTTGTTATTGCAATATGGGCTCCAATTGTCCTGGTAAGTGAACCGCTGAAGAATTCTATGATTGAAAACTGTCATAATTTGCAGTTCTTATACACTGTTATGCCAGTTACCACTTTTTAATGATTATTGGTACATAGGTTTATTTTATGGATGCACAAATATGGTATGCAATATTTTCTACTCTGTTTGGTGGGATTCATGGAGCCTTCAGCCATTTGGGTGAGGTCAGTGTCCAATCTGTTCACGCTTTTACATTTGTCTATTTTTCTTTTTGAATATTGTCTTTTATAAGTATTTCTGTCTCAGATGGGCTCTTGTTTCTTCCCAATGATCCCTTTATTCCATTTGTTGTCTCTCAGATACGGACCCTTGGGATGTTGCGGTCCAGATTTGAGTCTGTGCCTTCAGCTTTCAGTAATCGTCTTATGCCATCCCCAAATAAGGATGCCAAAAAGAAAAGACAATTGGAGGTACTAATTTTAATCAGTGTTTTCATATTCCTTCTAGTACATGAATTTCAGTTGATTTTGCTCCACGTAATGTATTTTATACAAGATAAATGATTTGCATACCACATGCAGATGTGGGTAATTTGTTTTGCACTTGTCAATGAAACAATTATGACTTGGAGCCTTTGATCTTCTATGTGTTTTGCTAAAAGTAAACACTTTGATGTGGCAGGGTGAGGCACTCGAACGAAAGAACATTTTCGATTTCTCTTATGTGTGGAATGAGTTCATAAATTCTATGCGATTGGAAGACCTGATCAGCAATAGGTTGACTACTTCTTGCTCTCTAATTTGCCTTTCAGTGCCATTTTTGTAAGTTTCTGATTATATCCTTTCAATTTAAACCATTCAGAGATAAAGATCTGCTGCTTGTTCCATCTTCTTCAAATGATGTGTCTGTTGTTCAGTGGCCTCCTTTCTTGCTTGCTAGTAAGGTACATTTTGCATAGCTTCATTTGTTAATTTTATGTTCAATACAAATCAAATATGTGACTCTTATACTTTGTTTTTACATGTGAAGATTCCTATAGCATTAGACATGGCAAAAGATTTTACGGGGAAGGCAGATGATGATTTATTTAGAAAGATTAAGAGTGATGATTATATGTACTCGGCAGTAATTGAATGCTATGAGACACTTAGGGATATTATATTTGGCCTTCTGGATGATGCAGCGGATAAGATGTAAGTCAGAAGCATACCAGTTTGAATGTCATAGATAGCCACAACCTGCTCGTACACATTTTTTTATTGAAAAAATTAACACTACCATTCTTTTATAAGAAGCATATGAAATTTTGTTTCATCTTATATAACAGGATTGTAAAGCAGATATGTTTCGAAGTAGACAGTAGTATACAGCAGGAAAATTTTTTGACCTATTTCCGGATGAGTGGGCTGCCATTTCTTAGCGAGAGGTTGGAGAAATTTCTAAAACTCTTGGTAACATACTTCCTTCGATGCCTTACTAATTTTTAATGCTGAGTTTTTCAGCAATGAACTGAGACATTGTCTGGACATTCTACTAGTCTTGTCTGAGTATTTAAGTTGGTATGTAGCAGCTTGCCGAAGATGAGAATGTCGAGAATTCCATGCGTCAGATAATCAATGTCCTTCAAGATATCATGGAGATTATCACACAGGATGTAATGGTCAACGGCCATCAGTGAGTACTAAGAAATAAATACATGCTGGAGATGGAACAAAAACTGTCATATTTCACCAATGAATGAGCCTTTTTGTCACCTGTATGTTAATGTTCCTCTTCTCTTTCTAGAATACTGGAAGCAGCTCACTACATTGATGGTCAAGATGTCAAGAAGGAGCAAAGGTTTCAAAAGATTAACATATTCCTCACACAGAATACAGCTTGGAGGGAGAAGGTAACTTTGGCAGGCATTCTTTTGGTAATGACATTAACTGAATATCTTAGATCTTTTAGTCTTACTATCTTCTACATTAACATAGGTCGTTAGACTTCATTTGCTTTTGACCGTCAAGGAATCTGCCATCAATGTGCCTCAAAACTTGGAAGCTCGCAGGCGCATCACCTTCTTTGCAAACTCCTTATTCATGAACATGCCACGTGCTCCCAAAGTTCGTGACATGCTCTCATTTAGGTCAGTCACTATAAACACCAAATTTGTATTGGGAAAATTTGGGCTGTTAAATGAAATAGGGAATTAACCTCTTAAGAAAACTAACATGTTGCTGAGATTTGGTTAAAGGTGAAGGATCAATATGGTTTTTGTATTAACATGTTAAAATTTTATTGAAGATAATGTATCTCGTACCACTTTCAAGATTTGCTTATTTGCTTCAGGATCTGTATCATATGAATGGATGCATATTTTTTTTATCCACTATATATTTTGTGGTGGTCTTCTAATAGTTTCTACTATAAGATCAAATTTTCTTCCTGATTTTTGGTTCAGTGTTCTGACTCCTTATTACAAAGAAGATGTCCTCTATTCTGATGATGAACTTACGAAGGAAAATGAGGACGGAATCTCAATTTTGTTCTACCTGCAGAAAATATATCCTGGTGCGTTGGAGTCTCACTCTTGTATTATTCTTTTCATTGTTTAGAATTGACTTGAACTTACCCCTGCCAACTAACTATGACTGCCAAATAGATGAATGGACAAATTTCCAGGATCGCATAAAGGATCCTAAGAATGAGTTTTCTGATAAGGACAAGTCAGAGTTAATTCGCCAGTGGGTATCTTATAGGGGACAGACACTTTCTAGAACAGGTCTGGATAATGAGTAATTTGGTCTCTTGTACAAGTATCATTTAAAGCTTTGAACCTAAACTTTTTATCTATATTTTTCTGCTAGTGAGGGGGATGATGTACTATAGGAGGGCTCTAGACATTCAGTGTGTCCTGGAAACAGCAGGAGATAGTGGTTAGTAATTTCTGTGACAGATGCTGTTTTTGATCTCCAGATCAAAGTTCCTGATTTTGCTTCCAAAATTTTGTAAAAGCTAGTAAAGTGGCAAATGGTTATTTTGCAGATATTTTGGGAGGCTACCACACCATGGAATTAAGCGAAAATGATGAGAAGGCTTTTCTTGATCGTGCACAAGCTCTGGCAGATTTGAAGTTTACTTATGTAGTTTCTTGTCAGATGTATGGTGCTCAGAAAAATTCTCCTGATATTCGAGACAAAAGTTGTTACTCTAATATCCTGAAGCTGATGCTAACGTGAGTCAATATTGCCATAGGATGAACAATCTGTAGTTTCATTTTTTATTTAAATTGTTTATGGCATCTTTAATTATGTGTTCTTTTTTGTAGGTATCCATCTCTACGTGTTGCTTACATAGATACAAGGGAGGAGCATGTGAATGGAAAATCGCAAAAAGCATACTTTTCTGTTCTAGTCAAGGGTGGTGACAAATGGGATGAGGTATGGAAAAAAAAATACAACTAGTTCTATAGACCGTGAACTGTGGATATCATGTGCCTTACACTGTTACACAGAAAAATAAAGCTATTGAAGAACTTGTTTGCATAAAACTGGAAGGAACAATCCTTCAAATTAATATTATTTCTCAAATTTAAATATTCAGGTTTTATTACAAAGTGAATTGTTCTTTCAATCTTGGTGTAATTTTGCTGAATAATAAATTTCTATTATTTCTACAATAGAAAATATTTATAAGCTTTTTCTTTTCTTTTTGTAACATATTCTGCCATGTGCATGAATACATCAGATTTTTTTAAGAAGCGCTGAAAGTGATTGGTATTTTAAACTTATGGTTCTAATTTTGGAGATGAGGACAAGACCAAGAATAATAACACAAGAGAGATCGTGGGTTTTCTTAATAAATAAAATAGAAGTATGTATGTAGTGGAGGGCTAGAGTATGAAAAGAAAAAAGGAAAAGGAAGAAACTTATTCTTGTACAGCATAGTTGTATTAAGTAATAGTACTTTTCTATGGTGAATGTTTTAACAAATCACGGGTTTTATCATTTTATGCATAGTATGAACATAGTTAATTCTTCTTCATGCCATTTGTTCAAGCTGAAACTACCATTGCCCATTTTCCATTTAATTTCTGAATAATTTCAATTTTCTAATAGGAAAAAGATTTTCATTCTAAGATCTTGTTATGTGTTATGAAATATTCTATCACTAGAAACAAGCTAAGATCTTGTTCCCTAAATCTCACTTTGTTAGGCACTTGCCCATGATCTTACAATTAGTTTGCTTATCTAAGAATGTGCTTTTCATTTCTTGACCATTGGTTGTTTAGCTTCATCTCTAATCTCTTTGATTAGATATGCACTTTGTTGTAGACAATTTTTACCTTTTTGTGGAATGTCTACCTATCACTTACTCTCTCATCTCATCTATAACCTTCTTAAATACCAAGTGTCAAGGCAACCAAACAAATAATGGAGTAATTAAGAGCTGCTCCTTCCTACCTGTATTGATATTAATGCTCTCGTATGAGCCATATCAAATGTAGGTGATAGTTGATAACTAGTTTGTGGAATTTTCTTACGTTGTTAGGAAATATACCGCATCAAGCTTCCAGGTCCTCCAACAGTAATTGGTGAAGGAAAACCTGAAAATCAAAATCATGCCATTATCTTTACTCGTGGAGAAGCCCTGCAGACAATAGACATGAATCAGGTAGCTTTCCTTATGTCTTTATGTAAACTAGATTTAGAAAGTTGCTCATTGCATCTTCTTATTGCCAAAAGAGAGGGGGAAAAAAGGTGTTATATTGTGCCTTATTCATCCTCTTTTCCAGGATAATTACTTTGAAGAAGCTTTCAAAATGAGAAATGTGTTGGAGGAATTCCTAAAGCCTCGTCTTGGGCAACGGAAACCCACAATATTGGGGCTACGGGAGCATATATTCACTGGAAGGTCAGCCTTTTAATATATCTCTTCACAATTTATTGGACCTTAATTGACTGCTGTGACAGGGATTCTTTGCAGATATGTTACTGATTAGTGGCAATTGTATTGTTATGTGCTTATTTTTGTTTTTCCTTCTTAATTTTCAGTGTTTCATCACTTGCTTGGTTTATGTCGAATCAAGAGACTAGTTTTGTAACTATTGGTCAAAGAATTTTGGCAAATCCGCTGAGGTAATCCTTAAAATACATTTGACTGAGCCACATTTCAGTTTAAATTTGTACATTCTTTGTTTGGTTGCCTTTTCTTTTCTTAAAGGGGTGGGGGGACCTTAATAGAAGAGTCCTATTTACTTTATAATAGAATATTATGTACGTATCATATTTATAATTTTATTTCTACCGATAATGGGAATAATATCGGCACAGTACAATTCACAGACCGGACCAGTCAGCGTAAATTTTGCCATATACTCAGTTTTCTTTTCTCAAAAAATTGTGGAGTATTGTGGCTTCTAATATTTAAAGGTTTAGGCAGTGGACAAGGTGAATAAAAATTGAAGAGAATGGTAAAGATTATGTAAGATTGTTAAAAGTGTCTTATTTAATTTGTTTTTCTATTTTAAAGAATGATTAACAGTCTTAGTCCAAAGTTATGCCAGATGACATATATGGAAGTACAATCCACTGTTAAAATGTGAACTTAGAATTTTCTGAAGTATATACTTAAGGGAGAAGCCTAGTTTAAATTGGTTTCATGTCACTGGCTAATGACGCCTTAATCACCTTTTGCAAGTTAAAAAGAAGAAATTCAGCACATCCTAGGCCGTAGCTATTGGTATGGATAGTTTGTTCAATCTCAGGTTGGGCTTGGGTTTCCATTTAACTCTAGCCACCAGGATTGTAATCCAATCCTCAATTGCCTTTCTTTTTTCACAATCCAATCGTTTCTTCTTCTTTTCTTTTTTTGGTTTTTTAGAAAAGGAAAAGTTCTGATGTATTTATGTACTATTACCATTCTAGTATCTCTCTAATGCCATTCTCACTTGACAGGGTACGGTTCCATTATGGTCATCCTGATATATTTGACAGAATCTTCCACATAACAAGGGGTGGCATAAGCAAAGCTTCAAAAGTAATTAACTTAAGCGAGGATATATTTGCAGGTAATTTTGCCATTCATCAGAAGATCCCTGACTAGTAAGTATTATCTGTTGACTAATTGTAATTATGTTGGATGTCTACAGGGTACAATTCAACTATGCGTGGGGGATTTATAACACATCACGAGTATATCCAAGTAGGCAAGGGGCGTGATGTGGGAATGAATCAAATATCGCTTTTGAGGCTAAGGTTGCAAATGGAAATGGAGAACAGACACTTAGCCGCGATGTTTACCGGCTTGGGCGTCGGTTTGATTTCTATAGAATGCTGTCTTTTTACTTCACAACGGTTGGATTCTATTTTAGTAGTATGGTATGTTAGCTAAAACCAATCTCCTTTGTTTATTGATTTACTTAGTATCTATTAGGTTATAGCAGATAGGCTTGGACAGCAGTCTTTGCACTTGATTAAAGAATCTTTTCTCTAAAGGACTAGGTTGGCTGCGTTTGATTCATGTTAAGTGATCCGATTCTTCAAATTGTACAATAGTTGTAGATGTTACCAATACAATGTTCATGACAGCTAAATTGATTGAATCTAAGAATTGCATCAATAGGAAGAGTACGCCTAAAGTTTTGAGGAATTGTTTTGGCTGGTTTTGGCTTTATGTGTAGATGTTGCTTGGAAGGGTATAATCTTTACAATTTGAAGTATGTATTGCATCTTGATATGGGCATTATATTGTTTCAGGTAACTGTGCTGACTGTATATGTGTTTTTATATGGACGTGTCTACTTGGTCATGAGTGGATTGGAGAGTGAGATCCTGGATAACCCAGCCATACATGAGAACAAGGCCTTCGAAGAGTCTTTGGCTACCCAGTCTGTCTTTCAACTGGGCTTGCTGCTTGTGCTTCCCATGGTAATGGAAATTGGCCTGGAGAAAGGGTTCCGCACTGCCTTGGGTGATTTTATCATCATGCAGCTGCAGCTGGCCTCTGTTTTCTTCACATTCCAACTAGGAACAAAAGTACATTACTATGGAAGGACAATCTTACATGGAGGATCTAAATACCGAGCAACTGGCCGTGGTTTTGTTGTTTTCCATGCCAAGTTTTCTGATAACTACAGGCTATACTCGCGCAGTCACTTTGTGAAAGGGTTGGAGCTGCTTATTCTGCTGATTGTGTATGGAGTCTACGGGAAAGCTTATAAGAGCTCAAATCTTTATTTTTTCATCACTTTCTCCATGTGGTTTCTGGTTGCTTCCTGGTTGTTTGCTCCTTTTGTATTCAATCCATCCAGCTTTGACTGGCAGAAAACTGTAGATGATTGGACAGATTGGAAGAGGTGGATGGGAAATCGTGGTGGTATTGGGATCTCACCTGACAAAAGTTGGGAATCATGGTGGGATGAAGAACAGGAACACCTCAAACACACAGTTATCCGGGGAAGAGTTATTGAGATAATACTTGCATGTCGCTTCTTTGTTTACCAATATGGAATTGTTTACCACCTTGATATAGCTCATCACAGCAAGAGTCTGCTGGTATTATTTATGTCCCATTATATTTGACTATTTGTTCTCTTGGTTGCCTATAAAGAGTTGTTTAGGTTTACGGCCTAAGTTTTCCAACTTTTTCAATTTCTTTGCAGGTTTATGGACTTTCTTGGGTAGTTATGGTAACCGTTCTTCTCGTCTTAAAGGTAGAAATCACAAATAACTTATGCAATTATGCCTTTAGAGATTAGTGATGAAAACATAAGCATACTTTTTACTTTTTCCTTCTCCTTTTTTTCTTTTCTGGGATCCCTATTTCTATATCTCTTTATTTGGTCTGATGTTTCTTTTGGTGCCTCTCTCTCTCTCTCTCTCTCTCACAGATGGTTTCTATGGGTAGACGAAGATTTGGCACAGACTTCCAGCTCATGTTCAGGATTCTGAAAGCACTTCTTTTTCTTGGTTTCATGTCAGTCATGACTGTCCTATTTGTTGTTTGTGGCCTTACTATCTCAGATCTATTTGCTGCTATCCTTGCCTTCTTGCCCACAGGATGGGCCCTTCTTCTGGTAAGTGAAATGTCTTCTGTAGTTTATGCAATAGCTCGTTGAGAGTTTTCGTTTCAAAATACCTTTCTCAAAATTATGCTCAGAAAAATAGATGTCCTAAACTGTTAACAACATTAACATTCATTTAAAGTGTGAATTTACTAAACCAATTGTTTATTTTGTGCTTTCAAGATTGGGCAAGCATGCAGGAGGATGGTTAAGGGTCTAGGATTCTGGGAGTCAATAAAGGAGCTGGGGAGAGCATACGATTATATAATGGGACTTATAATCTTCATGCCCATAGCCATTTTGTCATGGTTCCCATTCGTATCGGAGTTCCAAACACGTTTGCTCTTCAACCAAGCATTCAGTAGAGGCCTACAAATTTCAATGATTCTTGCAGGGAGGAAAGACAAGACGACGTCACGGGAACAGACTTGAAATGGCATCTGATCTGCTTCCAAGTTTTTAGCATATCTCAGGTTCATATCCACATTAGAATATAATTTATTATGTGAAAAATTCCACAGAACCACAGATGCTATTTTTATGGGGGAGGAGATCAAGTAGAGTGACTTGTATTTCTTTTTATTTGCCCCTCACTGCCTATTTAAGTTTCATACATTCATGTATATTATTAGAATAGAAACCTACTGGATTGCTGCTCCTACCTTGTTTCCGCTTGTGATGTTTAATTCAAAATTTTGAATCTTCATTGGATTTGTAAGATTTCTCTAACTTTCTGAGGATGTTTGGGTTTGATTCCTTTTGCCTTTGGCTTAGGCGGAGAATCAGATTTTCTAACAGCAGATTAAAACATCCACCATTTTCAGCAAGTTTTTATCAATAATAGTCCAAATTTAACCTTCAAATTCATAAATGTCAGTTTTTATAAAAACTTTCAAATATAACAAAAAATGCACTTAAATAAACCAAACGCCAACGAGTGTTGGTTTAGTTGGTAAGGTCCCTGCATTATGTGTAGTCCCACTAGTGTTCAAGTCCTGACTTGAGGTTATGGGTATGTCCTGACGATGGTGGTGAAAGTAGCCAATCTCCTCTTAAACTTTTTTTCATACAAAATAATTAAATAATTAAATTAAATTAAATTAATCTACATGAAAAAGGAAAGGAAAAATTGGGAGCATCTGCTTCAAGGAAAAAAATTAAATTGAACCGAATTGAATTAATTGCGGGGTACAATTCACTCCGATTAAAAATTACAACCACTTGGATTGAATTGATTCTGTAGGTTGTTTTTTACTCCCGCCTAAGTTTTTATTTTTAAGTGATTTTTCTGACCAAAAGAAAAACTTAAAAGCGATTAAGCATTTCATAAAATTGGAAGGTAAAAAAAAAAACTAAATTCAACTGACTCGATCTTGCCACGTGTTGGCCGTTGCCTTGCCTGGGCCAAAGGAGTGTGCTGGAACTGTGAAAAATTGTAAAACCGAAAAAAAACACAAAATTCTGTCTTTTTTGTTGGTTCGAAAAAAAAACCCCAAATTCAGGTTGCAAACTGCAATTACCAAACGCCTTCCCGGCTTCGAGAGTTAAGAACCAGCACAATCTCTCTCTCTCTCTCTCTCTTCCCCCATCAAGTATCGAATCAAATCTTCTTCCCCGCTGACATGCCGCTTCTGCTCTCGGTACTCTCTCTCTATCTCTCATGTGTATTATTTATTTTGTGTTTGATGTCTTGCCTTCTGTTTGGTTTCCGGGAAACGAGGGTAGAAAAGAAACAAGGACAGTAAAATTTCTGGGAAAAGAATGGAAATTGGTTCGGGAAATGTTGTTTTGCTGCCCCGTCATGTTAAACGTTTAGCTATGTCGTTTTGGAATTACCTTTTTCTTGCTTCCGGAAGCTAGAAATGTACTTCCCATAAGGAGGTCACAACCCATCTAGAAAGAAATGCGTATTAGCATTTTTAATTAATTCATTTGATGGGTGTGTTTCTGTAGAGAAGAAAATGCCGCTTTAACAAAAATGATTCATTTTTCAAAAATTACTTCAAATTCTTATAACCTTCCGCACAAGAGATTGAAAGGTTTTCTGAAAATACGAGAAACAAGGTTTGTATGCCAAAGATTGGGGCACAAAGTTCGGATCTTGGCCGAGTTTCAGCTAGATTTTTTGTTGCTATTTCTCCTATTTGGTCAAAGACACTACTTGTGCAGAGACTTTTGTATTTATACGGAAGAGCTTATTTTATTTGGGCTTGATACATTATGCTTGAGGATTAAAATAAGGAAATTTTTGGGTATGCTTCAAAATCCCGCGTTTAGAACATTAATGAATCATCAGAAAGGCTTCAGCTTTAGATGTTAATAAGGGATTGAATATGGATTAAGCAGAGTCTGACTAGTGTATGGATCCCTGGTGGCGCTTTCCTGTCAAATTCTTTGACTCATCTTTCATGTTCCCTGAAAAAGTCTTTCTTCTTTCATTGTTCTTTTGAGTTATTCCCATCTGTAACTTATCCTTGATGGATGCTACTTCTTGCAATTAACTTCATAGCTGTGATAACATACCACATTTTGCCTGATTTTCGGGTTGCTTATTGCCTTAAGTTTTGTGCAGAAGAGCTATTTTCCTTTTCTTTTCTTTTTTTTAAATTTCAAAAATGGCTTTAATTTCTTTTCTTAGTTACTAAAAAAGAGCGCTTGTTTCTTCGTCCTTCTCATTCATCTTACTCCTTTTAACTTTTGGAATGCAGTGATCTCAACACCCAGATGGTGAAATGGCGAAATCACAAGGCATCACAGTTTCTCCTCCTGCGCAGCAGCAAGGAAGCAAGAATGTTCAGACTGGACGTCCCCAGAATATACTCACCTTAAGCTTGACTAAAGGAAATACAACCTATGATGAATTTAAACATGGATTCCCATCTGATGGCTTATCCACTGCATCCAATAAATGGTGGGGAAGCAACAGCCCTGATGGTTATGAGAGCGTTCGTGGAGAAGGAGCTGAGACTGATGAAGGCAAGAAACATCAGTCGGAAAAATTGGCAGATGATGGTGCAAGTTCAACTGTAGTGGACAAAGAGAAATGTGAAAGTGGAAAAGAAGAGAACATTAGTTCCCAAGGAACAGATTTATTGATGGCTGTGAGAAAAAGAAGTCTGGAAGAAGGGCAAAAAGCACTTAAGCTTGGTGTTTTCCGGGGTTATGGTGCAAAGAAGCTAGGCAGAAGGGAGAGGGCATTGCTTCTCCGAATATTCAAATCTTCAACACCAGAGCAATGGATTCATGAATTCTCTTAAATCGGAGTTGGACTGCCCTGGACATTATAGATTCATGTTAGGTTACACAGTTTTTTCTTTCGACATGATTGACAACTATATTGAATTCTCAATCTGAATGGCATTTCTTTTTTTATTTGGCCTCAATCTGAATGGTATTTTTTTTGTTTTTCTTTATGATGACCATGAGTTTCATAGGCCCCATTCGTTAAACTACTTCAGAATCCAGATTATTTAGCTAATGATCTGTATCTATACCCCTCTGGTATACAAATCAAGGGCATAAGTCATTCATTTTGGGCTTCCAGTTGATGAAGCCAACAGAGATTTCTTACTGTTAGATTCTTCTCTCCTTATCCAACATTCTTAGAACTCTCATCCAAGAGAGTACGTGGGAAAATTCTATTGGTCAGAGAGGTCGGGGCATATCAAACATAGAACAGCAACCAAGAATTGACAAAGAGATTAAAGAATACAATTTACCAGTGGAGCCTGGCAAGCCAACTGGAGTGAAGCAAAGGAAGAGAATTCATTGAGAGAAAATATGTGAACTACATTTTCACCAATAAGAAAACAGATCAAGAAATAACTTAGATAAGATAAGGACCCCATGCACCAACACTATAAATATACAGATTATATACCGTCTTACTCAAACAACAAGAAGCTCTAACGCTCTTGGCACTTGGCAATCTCACATTGTCTAAAAGGCAACCCTCAATACAATACACTTTCATTTTTATAAAATGGCCTCTTCAACTAGGGGTGACATTTTAGACCGAAAAACTGCATAAACCAACTGAGATATTACCGCATTTGAACCGAACAAGAGGGAAAACCGACCACAATTTGGGGTTTGAGGAACCGCACCTCAATTGCGGTTGCTGTGGCGGTTTGGAAAATTCTAAGTTTGCGGTTATTGCAAACCGCAAACATTTTTTAATTAATAATAAAAATATGTATTTTTAATTAATTGATAGCCGTTAGATTAATCTAACAGATTAATCTAACGCCTATGATCATACCTAATCTAATTGATAAATACATAATTATTACGCTATTTACTCTTTAAAATTTGTTTGCTAATAATTAATTTGGTTAAGTTGGTGTGTTTTATGTTCTATTTATTTTATTCCAATTTGAGAATGTGTTGGTGTGTTATATGTGTTGGTCTATTTATTTTATTCCAATATTCTCACTGCTTGGGCTTAGAACCATTGGAACCTTTAGAGACCTTTAAATAGGCTATGAGCATGGCATGCAAGGTAACTGGAGATGAATCTAGCAATGTGACTCTGTGGAAGATTGGACTCAAAAGGCTTCAAAAGAAGCTTCAAAACTAGGCTTCAAAAGTATGGAAGATTGGATTTTTATGACACAAAAAGACCCAACTTAAAAGACTTAAAATTGTATAATTTAGGTGCAAAATATCTCAATCGGTTTAAACCGTTAATTCACATTAACCAACCGAAATTGCGGTTTTACCATAATACGGTTTACCGCAAATAATTGGTCGGTTTGCGATTTGGCCAAAAAATCACGGTAACCAAACTGCAACCACCCCTATCTTTAACAATGGCTCTCTCCTTCCCTTCTCTAGCTGGCCAAGCTGTCAGGCTTAGTCCCAGTACATCTAACCTTCTTGGTGAGGGCCAGGTCACCATGCGCAAAACCGCAACCAAGTCCAAAAGTGTATCATCATACTTGGGCCCATTCTCTGGCGAGGCCCCATATTACCTCACCGGATAGTTTCCTGGAGATTAAGGTTGGGACACTGCTGGAGTCTCAGCTGACCCAGAGACCTTTGCCAAGAACCGTGAGCACGAGGTCATTCATTCAAGATGGGCCATGCTTGGTGCTCTGGGCTGTGTTTTCCCTGAACTCTTGTCCCGTAATAGAGTCAAGTTCGGCGAAGCTGTTTAGTTCAAGGCTGGGACCCAAATCTTTAGTGAAGGTGGGCTAGACTACTTGGGAAACCCAAGCTTAGTCCATGCCCAGAGCATTTTGGCAATTTGGGCAACACAAGTTATCTTAATGGGTGCTGCAGAAGGTTACAGAATTGCCGGTGGGCCTCTTGGTGAGGTGACAGACCCATTGTACCCAGGTGGGAGCTTTGACCCATTAGGCCTCGCAGAAGATCCAGAAGCTTTTGCGGAGCTGAAGGTGAAGGAATTGAGGAATGGAAGACTGACTGGCCATGTTTTCCATGTTTGGTTTCTTTTGTGCAGGCCATTGTTACTGGACAGGGACCAATAGAGAACTTAGCTGACCACTTGGCTTAACAACAATGCTTGGTCATACGCCACAAACTTTGTTCCTGGAAAGTGAGGTGCACGGAGAACTTGAGAGAGAAGCGTTTTTACAAATTGTGAGGGTCATTGTTTTGAATGGGATTTCTTTCAATTCAAGTGTTCTTGTTATTTTTTCTGATGAAATTTGGTCGTCAATGCAGAGGAATATAAGAACAAATCTGATAAATGTTCTTTGAGCATACATTTGTATGGGAATTTTTCACCTTATTACTTCAAAAACTCAATGTTCTTAGTTCTGACAACTTGATGAATCAACTTTGTGACTTGCAAGAAACGAGGAAAGCCTCGTAATTGGCATTTGTTTTCACCAACTCATACCAAAAAAATGGTGATAAATAAATATAGAAAGTAAAAGGCATAAATAAATAAAAATTGCACCACCTTCACAGCCAATCCATCTTGTCATGAAAATGCAATGTCAGTGTGTGATGGAGTTTAATACAAGTGAAACTCAATTAAATAAATAAAAACATGATTGTTACGGAATTAGTTAAGAGATCTTTTAAAATCTTAAAATAGAAGCTTTCATCTTTTCATGTGAGATACTCTCAACACGCCCCTCACGTGTCTCATCTTTTGTGCTTAATCAATGAACAATTCTTATCGGGGAACATGTGGGATTGTTTGGCTTGGCACATGAATAGCCTATCATGATGTTATATTAGAATTTGAACTTTCAATCAACCAAAAATCAATTGGTAATGAATGAAGAGGTCCAAGATCTTTTAAACTCTTAAGCTAGACTTCCGTCCTCTTCAATATGAAATGCCCTCAACATTTTGTAGCACCCTCCTCCATGGTAAGAGCAGCAGCTGAAGTCTCTTATAAGTTATGACTCAGCACAAGCTGCTGAAATATAGTGCTAATCTCTGAATGTAAGTTCTATGGCATTGGCTATGTTCCAGAACTACATCTAAATTAACATCAAACCGCCACATTTGTCCAAAACCGCATCCATATTGCATCTAAACTGACCACTCTTAGATTAGAACACGTAATAAAAGAACTAATTTTCTCTACAATTTCAATTAGACATAATCATGTTAAAATAGAGTTGCCCTAAATTATTCATTTGAGTACTCAGATTTTTCCTCTCATCACCCTCATCCAAAAGAGTACGTGGACAAATTCCATTGGCCAAAGATTGAAGTAATATAAAAAAACCAAGCTTTTTTTTTATTTTTTATTTTTTTCCTGGAGAAAAGCTAGTGGAGCATATCAAGCCAACAGGAAATTAAGAAAGTGTGCGTGGACAAAATTCTAGTAGTGGCTAGAAATCAAGCATATAATTTCCAAATTTGATACTAATTTTTCTTTCTGTTTTGGGAAGTAATAAACTAGTGGAGCATATCAAGCCAACTGGAAGGGTAGAGATTTTCAAACTTGGTCTTCTCCAATGAGAAAAGAGATGAAGATATCAGAAAGATAAGGACCCTCTGAACCAAACCTATACAAATACCCACCACCGTCTCTTCTTCCCAAAGAAAACAACCACTCGGCCCTCTCACATTGTCTGAGAGACTGAAGATTTTCACAAATAATACACTTTCATTTTTCCTCAAATGGCTTCTTCAACAATGGCTCTCTCCTCCCCTTCTCTTGCTGGCCAAGCTGTCAAGCTCGGTTCCTCTGTTTCTAACATTGTTGGTGAGGGCCGAGTTACCATGCGCAAAACCGCATCCAAGTCCAAAAATGTTTCATCCGGCAGCCCGTGGTACGGCCCCGACCGTGTCAAATACTTGGGCCCGTTCTCTGGCGAGGCCCCTTCTTACCTCACTGGAGAATTCCCCGGCGATTACGGTTGGGACACTGCTGGGCTCTCAGCTGACCCTGAGACCTTTGCCAAGAACCGTGAGCTTGAGGTCATCCACTCAAGATGGGCCATGCTCGGCGCTTTGGGCTGTGTTTTCCCCGAACTCTTGTCCCGTAACGGAGTCAAGTTTGGCGAAGCTGTTTGGTTCAAGGCTGGGGCCCAAATCTTCAGTGAGGGTGGTCTAGACTACTTGGGAAACCCAAGCTTAGTCCATGCCCAAAGCATTTTGGCAATTTGGGCCACACAAGTTGTCTTGATGGGTGCAGTTGAAGGGTACAGAATTGCTGGTGGGCCTCTTGGTGAGGTGACAGACCCATTGTACCCAGGTGGGAGCTTTGACCCATTGGGTCTTGCTGAGGATCCAGAGGCTTTCGCTGAGCTGAAGGTGAAGGAGCTGAAGAATGGAAGACTGGCCATGTTTTCTATGTTTGGGTTCTTTGTGCAGGCCATTGTTACAGGGAAGGGACCAATCGAGAACTTAGCTGACCACTTGGCTGACCCTGTTAACAACAATGCCTGGGCATACGCCACAAACTTTGTTCCCGGCAAGTGAGCCTGAGATTGAGAGAGGAGTGTGTTTTTCCTAATGGTTTTGGCAATTGTGCTTAATTATGTTGATGAAATTGGATTAGACTGTAATTCTAGTGGTCATCAAGATCTGAAAGGATAAGTTATCACCTTGCTCTAGATTACCTCTCGTTTAATCTACTTGTTTTGTTGACAAGTTCACCTGGCTCTCACAATTCACTGATATTCATCTTACTTCTAACTGTAGTACGAGTTATCTCTTACCAGACCCAATCTGTGAGATTTAATTAAAATGCTATGTGACATATTATGATAAAAAAAGTATATATTAATGTTACCAATGACCATTTGGACTAATCACATATGAGTGTTTTAAAAAAAGTAAATCTTCACTCAAATCTCATTGACGACAATTGTAGTATATATTTCGTTTTATATAAAAAATCGAACGTAAAGATGGAAGTGACATGTGGATAGATGCAAAGGCGAAGCCATGTAGGGAACAATATATTAGGTTCTTTTTGTCTACAAAATTAACCATTAAACTTCTTAATCACTCTTCTACTTTCAATAAATCTACTAGGTTATGTTATGATATTTGCACTAAAAACTCCTAATTTTTTCCCTTCTCTTTCTCTTCCTCTTTTGTTTAACTTAAGCTTAAAGTTTGTGATTTTTTTTCCCTCCCTTGTTACATGTCTGAGTAGGGTACTTTAATATTGGGATTTATGAACTTTTTTGTATTTAATCTCTTTGTTGGAATATAAATTATTAACGTATGAGTCTTTAATAGTGTAGATGATGAGATTAATATTCAATTATTTTATAATATGAAATTAAGGACAATTATGATTGTAATGAACGAATAAATTTTAATCAATATGAAATGATATTATGAAGTGAGCTAAACCGAGTAATTAGTATCTTATTAACTTATTAACCAGTTAGCGCTTGAGCGCTTCTATTTGAATTATTTTATAAATTTTTTTGAAGGGCCCCCTCTAATGCAAAATCCTGACTCCGTCACTGGATAGATGAATAATAATATTATTAACTACTTGACTTACAAACTCTTTGTCTAAATAAATAGTTATGCTACGATCGGCTTTGTTATTAGAGATGATAATGCTCATGCTGTGCTGGCTGGTGCTAAGAAGTTTGGTCGCAATTCTATTATTGTGGTGGAATGTTTGGCGCTTAGAGATGGCTTGGCTTATGTTGTTTCCAATGGTTGGTCCAAACTCTTGGTTCATGGAGATTCTAAGCTTGTTATTGACTCCGTTTTGAAGCGATGCTCGACTTCCTCATGCATTAATCAGCTTGTCCAATATATTCTACATCTCACAACATTCTGTGATCAAGTCTCCTTCTCTCATGTCTTTCATGAAGTCAATGGGGTTGCAGATGCTTTTGCTTCCCTTTGTCATTCACTTTAGCCTTGGAAGTTGTGGGAGAGTGGTCTCCCTCTTTCTATTGGTTCTTCTTTTTATTTGGACCTATTTGGGCTTGCATGCCCTAAAGGGTCGCGTCTTTGTTAGTTTCCTTTCTCGCATTAAAAAAATAGTTATGTTAGTGGACATTTTAGGTTGGATTAAATATATGTGAATGTCAGTAGGGTATAGCTCAGTTGGTAGCTCTTCCATCTCCACTTATGTGAGCAGAAGTTCGAAATCCTCAAACACCCAATGAATATTTGTGTAAACTCCCCTCTTCAATAATTTATTACCAATATATATGTGTGTGTGTGTGTGAGGGAGGGTGAGAATTTGTCCATCTGAAAGTGGAAAACGGAAGGGTGGGCCATGACATACAGAGTAGTAAGTAACAACAAACAATTGAAAAGTATAGGAATTAGAGGGAGAGTGTCTTGTAATTTCTGGATTCATGTGAAGAACTATGGTGGATAGCAACACAACCAATTGTCTGTTGTGTTATAAATTATCATCCTTAGATTCTCTCTCATCAAAAGAGTATGTGGCCATTTTCTATTGGCTACAGAGATCAACGGATATATTTTCTTCTTCCTTGCATGTCTTGAGACCTAACTAGTGGAACACATCAAGCCACCTAGAAATGAAGACGTTTCTCACCACCACAAACAGTACTGACTAAATTCAATTGGCTTAGAGCTCATTCGAAGCATGTAATAATATCCAAAACAGATTTTTAAATTTTCCTTTTTCTTTCTGTTGTTTGGAAGTAAAGTAGTGGAGCATATCAAGCCAACTGGAAAAGCATCAAAGCTCGAACGAAGAGATCCGTCTTGAAAATCCTTGAACATCATTTTCACCAATCAGAAAAGAGATGAAGATATCACAAAGATAAGGACCCCATGCCCCCTCAAACCTATACATACACCCACCAACGTCTCTACCAAAACAACAACAACAGGCACCCGGCCTTCCCACATTGTCTAAGAGAGACTGAAATACTCAGTAGTCAATACACTTCTATTTTTCTCAAATGGCTTCTTCAACAATGGCTCTCTCCTCCCCTTCTCTTGCTGGCCAAGCTGTCAAGCTTGGTTCCTCTGTTTCTAACATTGTTGGTGAGGGCCGAGTTACCATGCGCAAAACCGCATCCAAGTCCAAAAATGTTTCATCCGGCAGCCCGTGGTACGGCCCTGACCGTGTCAAATACTTGGGCCCGTTCTCTGGCGAGGCCCCTTCTTACCTCACTGGAGAATTCCCCGGCGATTACGGTTGGGACACTGCTGGGCTCTCAGCTGACCCTGAGACCTTTGCCAAGAACCGTGAGCTTGAAGTTATCCATTCAAGATGGGCCATGCTCGGTGCCCTGGGCTGCGTTTTCCCTGAACTCTTATCCCGTAACGGGGTCAAGTTCGGTGAGGCTGTATGGTTCAAGGCTGGAGCCCAGATATTCAGTGAGGGTGGGCTAGACTACTTGGGAAACCCAAGCTTAGTCCATGCCCAAAGCATTTTGGCAATTTGGGCCACACAAGTTATCTTGATGGGTGCAGTGGAAGGTTACAGAGTTGCAGGTGGGCCTCTCGGAGAGATCACTGACCCATTATATCCAGGTGGGAGCTTTGACCCATTAGGCCTTGCAGAGGATCCAGAGGCTTTCGCTGAGCTGAAGGTGAAGGAGCTCAAAAATGGAAGACTGGCCATGTTTTCCATGTTTGGTTTCTTTGTGCAGGCCATTGTTACAGGAAAGGGACCAATTGAGAACTTGGCTGACCATTTGGCTGACCCTGTTAACAACAATGCTTGGTCATATGCCACAAACTTTGTTCCTGGAAAGTGAGGCTGAGAACTTGAGAGAGAAGCAGATTTGTAATAATTGTTGTGGAACAGGATTTCTGTTAATGTAGTTATTTTTATGAAACTTACTTGGGTGTCAGCAGTGCAAAAGAATACATCAACAATTTCTTGGAGTAAAAATTTGCATGTGAATAGATTCACCTTACTTATAAAGCTCAATTTGCTTACATTACTGAAGTGAATCAGAATTATGATGCACTGCAAGAAATGGGAAAAACCTCATTGGCATTTGTTTTCATCCAGAAAATGCTGATAAAACTCATCTTGTCGTGGAAAAAACAAAAGCAAGGACTGGAATTTAGAGGCAAAACAAAGGTGCGAATCGCATTGGAGAAGAGAGAGGATACTTCAAAAATCAACCCAACTGACATGCATAAGACTCATGAGCATCTATATAAGAGAAAGTAACAGGGAGAAGGCAGCAGATGAACCAACAGACCTAATTCTGCAGCAGTCTGCAGAACTTCAGATGTCCAATTATCTGCATTGTTTTATTTCTGTAGTTTCTTATAATGAAGATTATAGAACTTCCATTTAATTAAGAGTGTCATATCTCATACAATACAACCATCACATTCATTCTAAGATGTAACTTGGTTTCGATTTTCCGAATCCGTATAGGCAAATGCTACATTGTGCATAAAATGTGAGAGAAACTAAAATTGCTCCACATCAATCCATGTGCAGAGCTGCTAGATTCATATTATTATTTTTAAATGAAGTGGCTTAAAATTTACTCAATTTAGTTGAAAAGGGGACCAAAGAAGTAGGAGAGAAAGAGCTCAAATGCCTCAATCTGAGCTTGAATGATTGGATTCATAATGGCAAAGCAAACATTTTTGTTTCAAGTGCAAGCTATCACAGGATGAATGATTTAGTAGAAAATGGTGAGTAAAAGATATAACCTTCCCTTATTCTAGGTAGCATTCAAGATGCAAACAAAGCTATAAATTATAAGAAATGCACATGCAAACATATGATACATACAGTTAATCCTATACTTTGCATCCAAAGGAGTGTTCAGGCTTCTACTGACACACAAAATTAAATATTTCTCAGTAAACTAAGTGATGGCCCTGTTAATCATTCCAGTAAAATAATACTTAATGTTAGCGCAAGTACACCTTCTCTTCTCGTATATACGTACGTAAATCTTTACTTTTTTAGAGAATGTCTTAAGTTCAAATATCATGTATTAAAGATGTTGAATAAATAAATAAAAATCAATTCTATCAAATAAAGAGTCATAACATATAAACATACCAACGTCACACTTTTCATTTTCCTCACCCCAAGAACCTTCCACTTCAAAATTCCGTATACTTTTTAATTTACCCAAAGTTGCATAAAGTTGGGACAACTTTTACCATCATGTTACGTGGCCTTTCATTATACTAAAGTGTAAAATAGATATATGATTATGTTCCATGATAAAATAAAGAAGACCAAGGCATGGATAATGGGAGGGATGTGGGAGACAGATAATAAAAAAAACACTTGGAATATTTTCAGAAGGCCTCGTGCAAGCATCCAAGAAATGAGCATCTTATTGGAATGTAACAGGGAGGGACAGATATGGAAGAAAGCAGCAAATTGATTTAATAAAAAACTGAGACACTTTCATGGCTACAAGATCTTCATGTTTCCTTTGGGTTTATCCTAAAAGTGGCAATGTTAGTCAAATTTAGAGGTTCATATAAAGAAAATAGCATGTGAAAGAATATATATATTATGATTTAGAATTGAGATGAGCTGGCCCTATAACTTAGGAGTTTGAGGCCTAGAAGGAGAGCTAGAGAATCAGAAGTGAGAGAAGAGTATTTTCTTCATCCAATAAATAAAACCAGCCAAGCATTGGTTAGTCTTAAAGGTGGAGAAAATTTGTTATATATCACCAATTGTATATATTTGTGAGTCTATTATGTGATTTTGACACGTAATAAAAGAGATAAATATGTCATATCACCAGTTGTATATATTTATAAGTCTATATCTCTCATTATATGACTTCAACGTTTAACGAGAGAGACAAATTCATAAATATATAAAACTAGTGACACCAAGACGTACAAATATGCCTTATTATCAGTCGTATATGTTCATGAATTTATCTATCTTATCACGTGACTTCAACACGTAATAAAAAAGATAAATTTACTCTATCATCAATTGTATGCATCTATGAGTCTATATTTTCATCACGTAACTTCAATATTTATTCATTGAGAAATTCATGATTATATAGGACCACTAACAACAAGCTTGTTGTGAGCAATCCTTCCTTTTTATGGAGAGGCTAAAGCCCATTACCCACAATATTTATAAAATAAATAGGAGAAGCTACATATATGATGAATTCCAGTTGTCTTATGCCCATCAATTGACAATCATAGTGGTGCCTACAACCTTGGCTTAAAGCTTCAAATTAGGCAACTGATGCAGGAGTATCTAATGAGCTGGCACAACAAAGACCCAAGACAAATGTTAAAAAAGTCAAATAATCTTATCTAATGAGTATCTAAAAAACACTTAGAATTATTATTATTGATGCCCAAAAATAGAAAACTATTTGTGGATCCAACTTAGAGATGTGATGTTATCTTCGACCTTTAGGACTCTTGGGCAGATAAGGATTATCTGCAAGAAAAGAGCAATGGCAAGACTTTGGGCACCGGTGTGGTGCCGATCGAAGGCTAGCTCTCCGATAATTAAGTTAGCTTACAGATGGAATGAATAGTAAATTTGATACAGTAAGGGCTAAGTAGCCGAATATAACTATTACCTCGCGTTTGGGGACTTGTGCCCCTATTTATATATTCTTGGGAGATGTGCACTTCAAGTTCAAATTGTATTTTGATGCCTGAGGGGCTACCACGTGTCCATGCAAGAGATAGCTTGCTAGGCGCCTTCTTTAGTCGGATCGGCAGGTAGGTTGCAGATGGCTCACCTACTATCGATAGTTGTTTATAGACCTCATTGTTTTTACTGGGCTCAATGGACTCCTTTTATGGGTCCCATGTTCCACATGTCGCGGAATGACTGGGCAATCAAATATGATATAAACAATTATCTTCAACACAATTGTTTTTACACTCTCAATTAAGGGTGTCTTTGATCCTAGTCATATTTGTAACAACCTAATCTCAAGTCATATCATTATTACTAACTTGGAGCGTAACGCCTTTAGTAGAGTTAAAAAAATTGGAAGTATACGGTAAACCACGTATGTCCTCAACTACAAAAGGACCAATTGGAAATTTGGAAATTGTTTTGAATGCTAAAAGACAAGATACGTTGAGGTTAATTCGTAAATAAAGATAAATAGGCAATGCCGTTTTTACAATGCTAGATTACAATACCTTTAGGTCGTTATTGATTTTTCACATGTCATTTGTTTTATTTTTTTTTGGTTAATTACAATTTAGTACCCTGTGGTTACACCCTTAAGACATGTTAGTCCCCATCTTTTTAATTTTAACAATCACATAACCTGGTCTTTTAAATTTGTTACAATGTGGTTCTGCCGTTAAGGTTTCTGTCAGATCTTTCTATTAGTTGTCTAGTGGCACTGTGGGTCCCATATTTTTCACATTTTTTAATTTTAAATTGATTAAATATGAATAAAATATTAAAAACAAAAAAAATTAAAAAATTAAAAAATTTCTCTCTCTCTCTCTCTCTCTCGATGACACCACCACCTGCAAACTATACCACTCAATAACAAATAAAACTGTCAACCAAATTAACATCCATAAATGCAAATCTCTCAATCTAGAAAACAACAAAATAAACAAACTAGTAAAATATCATAATGAGAACAAGACTCCCACTAGATTCCAGCATCAAAACTAGGAAATAATCTCATTCTCTCAACATGTCATAGAAAAGCTTCTAAAGATAAAACTTTGTGAACGGATCTGCAATCATATCTTGAGTTTTGATATAATCAAACCTGACTAGTTTGTCCGCCACCTTCTCCCTCACTATTAAATATTTTCTGTTAATATGCTGAAGTCCAGACGACATCTTGTTGTTCATGCAGTGAAAAATAGCCGCAGTGTTACCATTATATATCTGTATTGGTCTAAAGATTGAGTCCACTACCTTAATGTCTTTAATAAAATTCCTTAGTCATACTGCATGAGAAGTGGCTTCATAGCAAGCTATATATTCTGCAAACATGGTTGAACTCGAAACACCAGTTTGTTTAGCACTCTTCCAAGCAACAGCTGCTCCTGCCATCTTGAAAAGAAAACCTGAAGTAGGGATGTAATCATCCTCTGCTTTTCCAAGATTCGCATTAGCATAATCAACAAGCTCTAAATTTTCTGTGCGTCTGTAAATCAACATATAAGCCTTTGTTCTCTGTAGGTACCTCAGAATCTTCTTTCCAGCTATCTAATGTTTCATTCCTAGATTTGACTGAAATCTCTCCATCTTGCTAATGCACAAGGCTAGGTCTGACCTTGTACACACTTCTGCATACATAATGCTTCCAACTAGAGAAGCGTATGACTTGTTCCTCATCTCATCTTCTTCTTACTTTATTCTTGGGGCAATGCTCATTCTTTAAATCTCCTTTAGCTAACAAAACTTCCTGTCCATAACATATACTCATGTCAAAACGCTTGAGTATCCTCTCAATGTATGTTTTCTGTGATAGGCCTAGAAGGCCTCGAGCTCGGTCTCTCTGAATTTCAATGCCCAACACAAAATCAACTTCTCCCAAATCCTTCATCTCAAAATTATTTGAAAGTAGCTCCTTGGTGTCCTTTAGTAAATTGTGGTCATTTGTAGCCAAAAGTATGTCGTCGACATACAACACCAGAAAAATAAATCGACTCACACACTTCTTCAGATAAATGCACTGGTCAGCTATGTTCTCTTCAAAACCATAAGTGGAAACAGTTTGGTGAAATTTGAAATACCACCTCCTGCTTGCTTGCTTCAATCCATAAATTGTCTTGCCAAGTTTGCAAACCATATGCTTTTTTCCCTCCTTTTCAAACCCTTCAGGTTGTCTCATATAATTTTCTTCTTCGAGTTCACCATTCATGAAGGTAGTTTTGACATCCATTTGATGCAAAAGTAGGTCACAATGCGCTACCAAGGCCATAATGATGCGGAAAGAATCTTTGGTGGAAACTGGAGAAATGTCTCAGTGTAGTCAATTCCCTCCCTTTTGGTGAATCCTTTTGTTACCAATATAACCTTAAATCTTTTGATTCTTCCATCATTATCCTTCTTTGTTTTAAATACTCATTTTGAGCCTACCAATTTCTGGCTTTTGTGAGGTTCAACTAATTCTCATATTTGATTATTCTTCATGCTTTTGAGTTCATTCAAAATCGCTTCCTTCCATTTTTCTGCATTTTGACTCTCCATAGCTTCTTTAAAACTTGTTAGATCAACCTCATCTCCAATGTCAAAATCTACTTCTTGTAAGTACACATAATCTGAATTTGCTATAGATCTTCTTGATTTGTCAAATCTCCTTGGTTGTACTGGTTCTTGTGGATTATCTAGCTCAGGATTCTCGACGGCTTGTTCTTGTGGTTCGACTGGTTCTTCAAACTGAGGACTTTCCAATACAGTTTCACCTAAAAGAACAAAGGGTTTAACCTCTTGCTTAGCATTCTCAATCACAGCTACATCACCTTCTTCTTCAAAACAAAATCTTCATTCCTAGTAGCATTCTCCTCATACTCTATAAACTTTGCACAACCAGTCTTAACAAGTCGGGTACCAAAATTTGGACAGTAAAATCTAAAACCCTTTGACCTTGCGGGATAACCTATAAAATGACAGCTAATCATATTTTTTTTTAGGATCGAGCTTCTTCTATTGAGGGTTATAGATTCTAGCTTTAGCCTTGCAACCCCATAGACTCTTAGGCAAATCATTTTTGAAATCATGCTACGAACCATATCCTTCAAAGTTCGATTTCTTCTCTCAGCCACACCATTTTGTTGCGGAATTCCTAGCGTTGTGTACTGAGTAACTATTCCATTTTCTTGTAGATACTTAGTAAAAAGATCTGCATGTCTTCCTCCTTAGTCAAACATCCATAATATTCACCCATATGTCTTACCTCACAATTTTGATCTTTTTCTCAATTTGTCTTTCTACTTCAATTTGAATATTTCAAAAGCTTGAGACTTTTCTGCTATGAGATATAGATAACCAAAACCAGAATGGCCATCTATAAAGGTGATGAAATACCGATTTCCATCAATAGTTTGATGAGGGAATGGTCCATGAATATCTATGTGGATGATCTCTAAAAGATCACTACTGCAAGTTGCACTTTTCTTCTTAGTCTTAGTGAGTTTTCATTTGACACATTCAATACAAATTTCATCATCACTGAAAGTCATTAATGGCAAGATTTGTTTATTAACAAGAATTTTCATTCTTTCTTTTGAAATGTGCCCTAAACGTCTATGTCAGAACCTAGTGGATGTTCCTTCACTTCTAATCTTTTTCTCACTCGATTTAGCTATTAAAACTTCACCATCTTTATTGTAATTGAGACAATATAATCCATCTTTATTGTCTTTGAATTCTAAGATTCAAAAACATCCTTATTGAATCAAAATAAAACCAAGTCTTAATAATCTTGAAATAGAAATTAAATTTCTCTTTATTTAGGGTACTGAAACTACATCATCCAACTCTAAAAAAAATAAAAATAAATAAAAAATCCTGAATCCAACTTAAAATCAACCATTCTAATAATATTTAATGAAAACAACAAGTCGCTATCTAAATCTCATTGTCACAACGTGCCACCGCTGCCATGAAAGTGTTGTTTTGATACTCTTTTTGGGAGGGACAACTTAGAGAATGGTAGGATCTTCAGCATGGAAGAAGGTGAAGACCTTTGGAGTTGGAAGAACCTGCAGAAGGTAAAGAGGAAGAAGCAGTTGTCAAGCTTTGGACATCGGTGTGGTTCCTGCCGAAGGCTCTTCGATACTTAAGTCAGCTATATGTGGTGATTTTGGCAGAGTAATAGTAAATGTGAGAAAATAGTTACCTTTTTTTAATTGGGCATTGTTCCCTATTTATAGGGAAGTGAAAATGGGAGTTTTGAACAAAGTTTCGATGTGGGACTTTGTGCAAGTTGCTGTGGTGATGACATGTGTCCCTGGAGATTAGTTTCGGCAGTCGTGAGCTTCGGCAGGTGGCTGCCGCTTTGGAAGAATGTCTTCCATCGGCATGTTGGAAGGTGATGGTGTCAGTCACTTCCTAGGGATTTGTTTGTGTGTCCCTTTGGGGTACTTCAGTAGGGGAAAATGCATGTCTGCCTTGGTGCTAGTCTTTTTTACACTGGATATGCTTGGTTGATTATGGTGTAAACAGTAGTCCACCAAGTTCATGGTTAAGAAGTAACTTATGGGTTGGTTACTTGTGAGATTTTGTATAATCATGATCGAGCATTTCTGATTCAGTCAGAGTCGTAGGGAATTCCCAAGTACCCTAATTTAGCAAGCTAGAAGTTGCGTTAACCTTTGAAGGTATGGCCTAGGTGTTAGGCTGAGCGAGAGTCATATAGGTCTTGCCATTCGACTGGGGTTCTGGCGAGGAGAAAGAAGAATGTGTGAGCTTCCGGAACCTATAGTACCTGGGTACCTGGGAGTTCGGCCAGGAGGCCCGGTCTGGGCTTTGTGGAGCTGGGCTGCTAGGGGTTAGGCAAGAGAAATTTGCTTTGATGTGAGCCATAGCCTGAGAATGGGCCTTGTCGTTCGGCAAGGTCCAATGGTAATGATTTTTTAGGGCCTAAGTACCTTTGGCAGGAGTGAAGTGGCGTGGCTTAAGGCTAGGGTCTTGAAGCTTCGGCAGGGTTGATTATTTCGTGAGCCCTTTCTTCCTTTTTGTTTCTTCAAATTGTAGATGTCTGAAAGTTATGGTAGAGAAAGACATGACCCCCAAAGGAAGATACCAAAAGTAAGGAGCTGAGCCTGTATGTATGTTTTGAAGGTGAGAGTTCCCAGTCGAAGTATATGATAGAAGGTGTGATAGAGAGTAGGATGGTAGGGCTCGAGGGTGAGAGAGGGGATCCATCAGTGGATTCTGGGTCAACTGCGTATAGGGAGATGTAGAGGAATTATAGTGTGTTAAAGGTTGTGGTTGATCTGGTTCTGGCCATGCCTCAGACACCAGAGGTGGGCTCTAGCAATCAGGCAAGACCATCAGGGTCTATGGAGGTAGCCGTGGCTTCAGCTTCATAGGGATTGGAAGTACAAGTTGATGTCCCTTTGCTGAGGAAGAATACACTTACAGAGGTAAAACTAGTGGAGAGTCGGACAGAATTTAGTATCCTAGCCTCGATGGGCTTAAGGCTAGCTACTGCGGCTGATATTGTTAGATATCCTCCAGATGGATGTGTGCTTATTTTTACAGATATATATAACCATGGCTTCAGACTACTGCTTCGTCCGTGGGTGCAAATGATGTTGGCCAAGTTGGGATATGCACCGGGATAATATAGTCCCAACTTCTGGATTCTTCTGCTTGGGGTATATATTGCCTGGTGATTGGCAGGATTGGGTAACCGACATTTGAGCAGTTCATGTAACTGTACTCAATCTCTAGGCAACAGGGAAACTTTAGATGGGTGCAAGCTAATTACTGAAAGGCAAAAGAGAGAGGTTACTTCATTAGTCACTTGTCGTCTTTTCAAAAATCTTGGAGGAACAAGTGGTGTCTGGCCTATGGTGACTGGGAGTGTCCGCCAGGGAAGACCGTCGCCAAACACATTCCTAGCCATTTCTAGTATATAGGTCCTTGGTCCCAACCTTTAAGACTGATTGTTGTTTTGTGTGTTTAACTTCTAGCATGCTTGTTTCCTTGTTTGTTTTTGCTGACGCAAGTGTGTGGAGATTTGAGTGAGAATATTTATGTTGCATGTTCAGTGAAGTGGGGGCCTATTTCAAAGGAGAATGAGGACGAAGTTGAGAGGGTGAGATCATTGTTATCGGAGACGGAGCGGGAGTATCAACACTTAGTCACGCCGAAAAATCTGCTAGAGTCTAAACTCTTGCAAGGGAGTAAGTATTTGAATTACTATTGTTGTTTGTCTTATTTTTCCTTTTTTGTGGTTGTGACTAACTTAGTTTTTGATGTGCAATGGCATGTGTTGTAAAGGGATCGACAAAGGTGGTCATGACCATTGATGAAGCCGAAAAGAATATGCGGCTGAAGGCATCTCGGACGAAAAAGGCTGAGAAGGAGGGTGGCAGGCAGGCGATTGGGAAACGCTCTCGAGATAATGATGAGGGGCTTGTTGTCAAAGCCTTGGTGGGGAAGAGGAAGGCTTTGGAGGAAGCCCACCAGAGTGTGATGAGGACGGGACCGAGGCTTCCACCTTTTAATCTACTAGCACCGCAGAAGCTTCCCTTTGGTATGGAGGAGGTTTTTGCTGAGGGGATGGAAAGGGTTGACTTCGGTAGGTTGTGTTGGTAGGAGAAGGAGGTGAGTCTGGCCATGCACCGGTAGGAGGTGCCCTTGGTCAACGTCTTCTTGGAAGGCATCAAGAGTGACCCCGAGGCCTTGGCAAGGATGCAGACCTCCTTCTTTACAAAGCGAGCACAGAAGAAGATCCTTACGTCTACCTATGTAAGTTATGTAAGTTATGTTGTTCTCCTTAGCAGGGAATGGGTCAAGTGCCACTATCTCCCTATTAGTGGTGGCATAAAAAATCTCAACATGTGATTTAGGTTGGGGCGTAGGTTTCACAGATTGCACTAGGAGATTCTTGTATCGAAGTAGCTGATTGATGTTTCTTCCTCTCCCATAAGCGTATACACCGAGCTTCATAGAGATCCTAAGACTTCTGAGACTGTTCTTTGTAGCCATGTATATCCTTATGGGTCCTCCATATGGTAGACGATTTCGTTGCGCCTTAACTCTTTTTCGCTCCAGCTATATTCTTTACTAGAATGTCATTCGTGGCAAGTTTACACAAGTGACACCTATTAAAAGCCAAATGCTTTTCCTTTTCCCTAAGCTCTAGGAGTTGTACTACAAAACACATAGCGAAAAAGCCAACTTGAATTAAATATAGTCATGAGTGAGATCATAAACGATCTCATTCATTCCGACAATAACTTTAAAATCAAACGTCCATATTTTGAAGTTTGGTCTAGTGAATCTTTCAATTTGCGAGAAATTGATTGAGGGAGTATTCAAAGCTGTAAGGATTTGCAAAAGAAAGTATAAATACCTTCCAAGGAACTGATTCTCAATTTGTTAAGAGAAAACAGTTTTTCTGTTTAACTTTATTCACAAAACTAACAAATAATATATATACAAGCTCCGTAATTAAGTATCACATCTTTGTGGCAAGAGATTACTCATAGCTTATACAAAATTACATGTTATCTTGTGCCATCACAAACAAATTACATAATAGATTCTATTTGTTGAATAAACTTATCAAGCAATTTAGGTATGATGCAAGCTGTGACATATGGGCTTTTTAAGGGGTTTAAGGTGATTTGTTAGGTCAAAAACGTGTTTGAAGTTTTGAAAATATGAAAAACCAAATCAAAACATGCTTTTCCAGATTCTTTAATATTCTTGATATTTTAGAAAACATGTTTAAACTATCTTCAAAAAATAAACATAACCAAAAACTTCATACGGCATAAACAGATATGAAATTATAGTAAGCATGCTTGAACAATGATTACAGATATATGTGAACAACCTTAAGCTCTGATACCAACTATTAGATTTCTTTATGCACAAAAAAGATCTTTCACACAAAACTGTAATGCGTATAAAGACATGAAGACATACCTGGAGCCATCTTCCTTGAGTACACAGCTTCTAATCTCATCCAATCCGTAGCAACAGCAATCCTAGTAAGAACAGGAATTACTCAAGACTTTTGCTCTCTCTTAGAATATGTTTCATCTTTCTCTTTATGACGAAAATAGGTTTAGAGAACGTGTCTGATGAGAGCAGGGCCTTAAGCTTATATAGGGCTAGGTCAAGTCGTCGCGACTTATCATCGAGGGCTGACTTGACTAATCTTTCAAGCTCACTAGATTGGTTCACGCGTAAATGGAAATAAATAAGACCCCTTAATAGGCCCCAAAACCCTTTCTTATTTCACTAGATTTTGGGCCTTAAGTACAACTTAATTTAAACTCTTATCAAAACCTAGTATAATTTAATATCTAGTGCACCAATCTAAATAGGAAAACATAATAGATCAAACATGCGAGAATTCAATACCTCAACACCTCAAGTGTCGAGCTCTAACAGGATTTCATCTGTGAAGTAGTGCATGGACAACTTCCAGGTTTTAGCAGTTTAAGATATAATGTTCAAATCTGTGAATATATATAACTTATCCAAAGTTATAAGTCCGAGATAGAATATGCAGACATTTGTCTTCTATGGTGCAAACTGCTTCCCCATGCCCCGAAGCATGAAAAATATTCCTCCTCAACTCCACACACTCGGTTAACAAATTCTTTTTCATAGATGAATTAATTTAAAATAAAACACCATTTTACAGCAATGGCTGAAAAGAACAGGGAATGGAGGGGTAAGGTGACAGAGAAAGTATTCGAGCCTGCTGACTAGAAAGTGAAGGGGGTCATTTATGCCATATCAATGTCATCTCACGTGACATGCACGTGCAGTGGGAAATCATATCCATTACAGGCTATTGGAATGGAAGTAAAAGCACATGATTTAGAACAATTGGAAGAATGGGATTGGCCATTCAAATCAATATTTGGGCTCACAGATCTCTGATGTGGGCCCCTTGAGATGAATCTAATTGGTTGCTTCATCTTTTTTTTTCTTTTGGAAAGGCCCAATCCAATAGGTTTACTTTAAAGTTTTGGGTTAGCATAATAAAATATCCCCAAAATATTTTAATTTATTTTTAATCAAAAGTTATACTTCAAATCAAAGACTCTGTTCCTTCTCCCAATTGGGGGCTTTATGAGACCCCAAGTCCCAAGCCATGATGGTAATCAAGAAAGGCACATTTGTTTATCATAAACTATAATTACTCTGTTAAAAGTTTACAGGGTTAGGTTTAGTCAAATAATCAAGTTCTAATTGACAATTTTACCCTTCAGTACCGTTGCAACATGTTTTTTAAATAATTTTGTTGGCTTTGTCCAAACTCATATAATACCTTTCCATGAATTAAAATATATATATATATAGTTGGATAAGAATAAATTTACTCAGATTTGGTAATGCATCTATATCTATAGTGGTTCCTCTTTTTGAATTACATCAATTATTGAAATCCTTATCTTGAAAGCTCTACATCAAATTCTTGAGATATGGAGATAAATTTACTCAGATTTTGTAATCCATCTTTTGGATTATAGAGTGACAAAGATTTATCACAAGGAGAACTATTTGGGATACTTCTCATATATAAATTTACTAAGATTTGGACATCCCTGTTTTAAATTATTGTTTAACCAAAATTTATAACAAGAAGAATTCTCGAGATACAGATATAATTTTACTTAGATTTGGCAATCCATCTTTTGGATTATAGAGTGACCAAAATTTATCACAAGGATTCTTCAAAATCTTAATTTGATGGCTTAAAACCACATGTGACATCATCAACTAATTTGTATCGCTAGAACAAATTAATATTAATTTTCACAAAAAAGGTGAAGATACATACATACAAACATTAACTTAAAGAAAATTTATATAGATTTATGAGGTAAAACTTTGGCTATTACGTACAAGGTAGTCTTATTTACGTATGTTTTTTATTAAAAATAATGTATTTACACTAATGCATTCATCGGAGTGTTCACGGAGTGATGTGAGAAGCACAAATGATGCTCACCGTATTAGACAATATGTTTTTTCATGGGGTACAATTCACATGCTTGTTTCACTTATTAAAAGAAAAAACATGAATTATTTCATCTGAAAAAATAAACGTCTATGCATTTAGAGTCTCGTTTACCCTTCTATTCTAAGAATGAAATTACTTTATGTAAAAGGTCAAATTTCCACCCATGGTATGTTTAATTTTCTTTGAATTTGAGAGGCCTAACAATGCTGACTTTGAAATTGACATTTAAATTCATTATTTTTCTTTTCTTTTGTCCTCAAATATATCATTCAAGAATGTGTGTGCAATGCAAATGCATAGGCATATTCATTTTTTTTTTAAATTCTGTTATTGTTTTCCGAATATACATTCTAAATGGTTTGTAAAGCAAGAGTTAAGGCATTATTTTTAGCAACAAAAATATTACCTTATCCATATAAATAGAAGTTTTATCCAATCACCTAACCTAGACAAATGGTTGAAAATTATTTACCAAAAAGAAGGACAAATGCCTTTCTTACTATAAAAGTAATTAACTGAAATGATAAGAACTCCAAAAAATGTGGAGGTGAGCTACAACAAAGCTTTTCATCTGGTAAAGCAAGCATATGGTGTGTTGTTCATTTCTACCAAAAGAAAAAAAAAGGGAAAGGAAGATAGTTTATTGACAAAGTAATCAAGGTTGATAATGCTTAATTAATGAAAACAAAAATATATTTTATGGACCTCCATCACACCTCCAATTTGTCTGTCAGTTGCTAAGCATGCAATGACAGGCTATTACAGTCTCTGTCTTCCCTGAAAGTTAAATATTTTAAGATTTTATTTCAAACAGGATTTGCTTTAAGACATGAGGGCAGTTTGGTAACTAAACCTTAGGGCAAGCTAGATTTGCAGTTCCCTCCTGTTTTAGTGTTGGGTTGACTCTCTCTCTCTCTCTCTACATGTTTTCCACTTTACTTTTGATGGCTTAATCAATTTGTTTTCTTTACCAGCTATAAATGCTCCATCTTTGTTCACCTCAGTTTTGCTTTTTCTTTACTGTTTCTCTCTCTCTCTCTCTCTCTTTCTCTGGTTTCCTCCATTGCAAACCAAGCCAAGCTTCCTTTCCAGCTTGCTTTGGAGGCCCCTCTCCTTCACACAGACAAAACACCCACCAACCATTTTACCCACCTTTTCTTTTGTGCTCCTCTGAAATCCACCCCATATTTTACATATATAAATTCACGCCTTCCTTTCCTTTCTCTCTCCCCTTCCCCCACATTTTCATTTTCTCTCCCCTTCTCTTGAAAGATTAGATTTTTGTCTGGCTTGCCTCTCCTTAATTTTTCTTTTCTTCTTAATTTATTTATTTTTATTTTATGCTTCTCTGAATTCTTTTTGGCCCACTTGAGGACACATCCCCCTCTACTTGTAAACTACTCCTCTGGAAACCTTTCCTTTTTCGACATCTGGGTTTTGGTGGGTTCGAGTTATTTCAGGTCTGCATTGGCCTATCTATGCTTATTGAGTCTGTCTTGGTTAAAAAAGAAGCCCCTTCTTTTCTTCTCTGGGTTCTGAAGGAAGAAGATCAAGGGGGCTAGCTTAGATCGCTACAAAGGTAAATGCTTTCTTCTTTGAAACACTTTTTACACACACTCACTCACATTTCTCTTTATTGGTCTCTTGCTTGGATCATAAGTGATGCTGTTTGAGATTTTCCCTTTTTCTTTTATGAAGACTTGGAATTTAATTTGTATATGTTGGTGGTTCATGGGCATGTGCTTGCTTTATACATGGAATCTGAAATTTATAGTGTTGCCGGCGTTTTATCTGGTATTCACTCACTGTTTGCTTGTGAAACCATTAATGCCAGTGTAATCAAGCTTCTTAAACTTTTAAAAATAATAAAGCATCAATCTTCTCAGTTATTGTATCAGATTCTACTTTCTTTTGGGCACCTTTGGTTCTTCTTTAATATGATTAATATTTGAAGACAGTTAAGAATCTAGTATTTTCAGATTGAATTTAGCAGGATTATCTATTTATCAATTATGGAATTTGAGTGTTACATAGGAATAGGATGCGATGGATTAGCTAAAGACAAATTAACTAGTATTGCCAATATTATTACCTGCAGTTTTTTCAGCAAAATCACATCTTAGAAATTAGAAATCTCAGATATCTGTGACCCTTTTCACGTGCTTTGAGTTACATGATTTGTTTCTTATGTCCAGGTTGGAATGTCTTAATTTTTTTTTCTGGCACTGAAAGTTAGAACACCAAGCCAAGTTCAATATATAGCATCCAGAGGATAAGAATGTCATCCGGAAGTTCTTTGAATGCGGAATTATCGAAGAAGATAGGATTTTTGGGTTTAAAACTATGGGTTGTAATTGGTATATGTGTTGGCGCATTTATTGTTTCAATCCTATGTTTCTTATCTATATGGGTTACATTTCGGAGGAAATCTCGAAGATCACTGGACAAGTTCCCAGTCACCCAAATACCAAATGTCTCTAAAGATATCAATGTTGATAAGGTTGGGGCTCAGAGTACCCACGATCACCCTGATAATTTATTTCTGTCAGTACCTGAGAAAGCAAGCGATAAGAATTCAGAGAAGATGTTAGTTCATTTAGGCATGAGCAAATCAAGTGATCCTGATAACATGAGTCAGTGCAGCTCAATTTATCATCATGAGAGGGCATGTAGTTCACAGTCAGGGGAAGAAGGAAGCTCTGGGAATGTGCGAAAGCAGTCGTCATTGTCATATGGAGGACTTGTAACAGCCTCTCCTTTAATTGGCTTGCCAGAAGTTTCTCATCTTGGGTGGGGCCACTGGTTTACTCTTAGGGATCTGCAGTTTGCTACAAATCGTTTTTCTGCAGAAAATGTGCTTGGAGAGGGTGGATATGGGGTTGTTTACAAGGGCAGGCTGATCAATGGAACTGATGTGGCAGTGAAAAAGCTCTTAAATAATTTGTAAGGATATAAACTCAAATGCACCATCTTTGTTATCACCGTGCTTTCAGGAAACCTATAAATTTCTTTTTCTTTTCTAATAGTTGCTTTTTTGTTCTGGTATACAGGGGGCAGGCAGAGAAAGAATTTAGGGTTGAAGTGGAGGCCATAGGTCATGTTCGGCATAAAAATCTTGTCCGTCTCTTGGGCTACTGCGTAGAAGGGGTTCACAGGTATTATTAACCTTTTATTTTAATATTAAATTACTTATATTTTTCCTAATGACTTGGGCGTGTCTACTAAAATAATATTTTCACCTTAGGAGGGATTCTGTCTAATGTGCCCCTCTTTCTGCCTAGTGTATAGCTTCACATTTGTGTTTTGGGTTCGGTTTTTGTTGTTCTTGCTAAGTTGCTCTGTTGCAATTTGCACAGGATGCTGGTGTATGAATATGTGAACAATGGCAACCTAGAACAATGGCTACATGGGGCCATGCGCCAACATGGCACCCTTACTTGGGAGGCCCGCATGAAGGTGATTCTTGGTACTGCTAAAGCGTAAGTTTTTATCTTTCACTGAAATGTGTTTTATATGATAGTTTTCTTATTTAATTTTTGGATCCCAACCAATGGACAAATGACTTACATATGAATTGCAGGCTTTCTTATCTACATGAAGCTATAGAACCAAAAGTTGTCCACAGAGATATAAAATCAAGCAACATTTTGATTGATGATGAGTTCAATGCCAAGGTTTCTGATTTTGGATTGGCCAAACTCTTGGGTTCAGGTGAAAGTCACATCACAACTAGAGTGATGGGGACTTTTGGGTATGTAAATTCTTATATTTTTAACCTATTATAATTTATCTACAAAGTATCTTCTGATTGGACCATAAATTTCGGTTCATCGTGCAGTTATGTGGCACCGGAATATGCTAATACTGGCTTGTTAAATGAGAAGAGCGACATCTACAGCTTTGGTGTCCTCCTGCTTGAAGCAGTTACGGGAAGGGACCCTGTGGACTATGGCCGACCTGCTAATGAGGTTCAGAATTTCAAAACCATTGTTTACTATTTTTGATAGTGTCTTCCTTCAGCAGTCCTCCCTCTCTTTCTCATTCTCATCCTCATGATGCAGGGTTCTTACTGGTTATCAAAAGCTTTATTATTATATACAGATTTTTGTGAAGCATTTCTTAATACTCATGGCAGGTCAATCTAGTTGAGTGGCTAAAATTGATGGTAGGTGCAAGAAGATCAGAGGATGTTGTGGATCCAAACCTTGAAGTTAAACCCAGTACACGTGCCTTAAAACGTGCCCTTTTGGTTGCACTTAGGTGTGTTGATCATGATGCAGAGAACAGACCCAAAATGAGCCAGGTTGTACGTATGCTTGAAGCTGATGAATACCCATTTCGCGAGGTTCTAATCTTCATCTTACCCTGGAAATAAGTTTTATTGCTTTATTTTATTCCATCCGTTTTCATGAAACAATAAGACTACTTATCTAAATGTGGAGCAGGTGCAATTTCCTTTAGGAGAATTTGTGTTTGATCTTTAGAAGTTGTTGCAGAGAAATGGCCTTATATAGTGGAGTGGTGAACTTTAGACCCCAATTAGTTGGAACTAATGTTCACTTTGTTTGAGTTGCATAGCTTTGGTATTCTTCCTTTGAATTGTTCTGGATTTGTGAGTTGACTAGTTTAGTACCACGAATGGCTTTACTTATTCGAAATAATTGTCAGTTTTAGTCTTTTAAACTGACAAAACTCCTTTCCTAGCTAACTTCGTTATTGCCTCATGTCCCTCTGTTTTCTTTCCCATTTTGCTAGATGTAGTGACCAAATTGTCCTGCTATTCGTTACCATGCTCATCAAAATTTGGGTGATCTTATGAATCTGATTTGAACTTCTACACTTCAGGATCGAAGGAACAGAAAGAGTCGTACGACCAGCATGGATATTGAATCTGTGAAGGAAAACTCTATCTCAGCTGACATAGGAAACAAGCCAGGGGATCTGGAGAGTCAAATATCTGAGACAACTCATGCAAAGGACTGACAAACGCATGATCTTGATGAATGATTCCATCCTCACCTGCCAGAGTAGGTTTCAGTAGCCCATCAGTATACAAATTTAGTTTTTTTTTTTTTTTTTTTTTTTTTTTTTTTTTTATAATTTAAATTTAAGAGAGATTTCGATTGGAGATAGCCCATTTTGATCATGAAGCATTGGATCCTGATCCTTGAAGAATTAATAGAGGTGCGCCCAACTCCATAAGCAGGGGATTTTCAGAGAGAGAGAGAGAGAGAGAGAGAGTGAGCTAGGCTCTTTTGTACATACGTTTCTTGGGGATCAGTGGGGCTGTCTATTTCATACTTGTTGTAATTTCTTCTCTTTCTATTATCAGTTTATTACTGTTCTTCAGGTGGTGAACAACTCCAATTACTTTATTTATTTTTTCATTAATTTTATTTTAAAGTCATCTCATTTTCTGTCAGAAAACAAAGCATTGAATTAATGATGATGAATGATGATGGTTCTCTTTTTCTCTTTATGCAGTTATATGTCTTGCTAATTTGTTACAGTAGAATGATGGCAGCCCATTTTGTTGCTTTTTTCAATTCTCTTTACATGGTGACAGCTTCAGTTTAACCTATTGTGGAACCGAATTAAATCATACCCTAGGTCAAATAATTTCTTCCATTTGGGGATTATTTGACTTAATTGAGAATTATTCAACCTAATTAGGAGTCATTCAATTTAATTGGAAGTTCTCCAATTAATTGAGAATTGATTTGATTCCTACCCAAATTCCCAATTAAATGAGAAATTACCTAATTAAATTAGGTATTGATTTGATATCTACCACAATTAGAGATTTGATTTACTCTAATAAATCAAATCCCTAATTAATCAAATCAATTCCAAATCGGGGAGGAATAATTCATTTCCAATTATTCCTTTGAAACCCTAGCCTCCGAGACCACTATAAAAAGATGGCCACACAAAAGGTTTAAGGTATGTCTAAATTCCTACTGAAACTCTGCAGAAATCATTTCTCCAAAACCCTAGCCACCATATTCTTTCTCTCTCTCACACAAGGCTCTGGCCACCCGATTTTCTTAAAACAATCTACCTAACTTAGGCATTGGAGGGCCTTTGGCCAACACCCCCCGGGTGTGGTCCTTTTACTCCGATCTGTTTTGCAGGGAGAAAGGGAAGCGGAGAATACGAAGGAATCTTAGACGAATATTCTAGTAGGATGAAAATCGCTCCCGCACCTATAATGCCTTGTCTCCTAAAGTGTGTTTTGCAACCAGGTTCAAGTTTTGATGAACTATAATGAAGTTAGCATATCATGTGGTAGGATTGATTTATAAATTGTTGGACCTGCATTTTAACATAAATCTTACAAAATATAGATACCCAATATGGGAATTGATATTTGCATTTTGAAAAGGAAAATACTTCCCTCCTTACCATGTAAGTAAGAGTTTCTACATTCCTGCCAATAGTAGTGTGATATATGTGCACAAGTTTTTTTGTGTATTTTTTATGAATTATTTTTTCATATGTATCGAACTATGATTCGTAGGAAATAGTATCTCCTTACAGGGAAGAAAGGAGGCAAGCAATATCCTTTTGAAAATAATTTCCCTCACTCTAGCTTCTCCTTGCACAATCTCACTCAATAATGGTCCTAATAAACTTACAATGTGGTCCTATTTGCATTGTACTGTTCTTAACAGATCAGAAAAGCTACTTCAATTTAAATGAGTTAACAACAGAAAGGAGCAATAGATGTATCAGTTTCATCTTTATGCAGTGATGAATGAAAGAAGCCATTCAATGTTTTGGGATGGCAAAATTTCAGTCAAATGAGTCATTAATATATATTGATGGGTGGTATGAAAATTGCAATGCATTATTGTGTCAGCTTCAGCCTGACAAGATTCAACAAGTCCTTTTGCTGTGGACCGTCTTCCTCCTACAATCAGTTTTTCTTTGTGTTTCCAAGAGCTCTCAGACAAAGAGAGGCATGTGATATATCATGATCATACACGGAATGGGTTGCCTTGCCTGCTATATTTGAATTCTGAGTTGTCCAGCTTTTTTGACTTTGGGTCCAACGGTCATCTTTTGGATATTTTCTGCTGAGCCCAATTTTGATTTTTTGCGGTTGGAAGCTTTGAATGGCAACAATAATTTTTTGTTTTGGTCGGTGTTGGACAGCACGAGCTGAGCTTCTCAATTATGCACCCTAAATTCTAACTGAGCTCCTCAATTTGTACACGTTTTATTTCCTTTTTTCTGTGGTGGTAAATTAGTCAAGACTTGAAAAGCAATCAGACCCACATTTGACCCATGCAAGCCATGCATCAGATATCGTAATGTGCACTAGAACCAATATAAATATGTATTCAATTAGATTAGAGTTTGCGTGGGTTAGTCCGCCTCCCATGCACTCAAGTTCAAGCCTCCTTCTTCGTAAATTAGAATGATTTTGAGTTGTGTTTGCTTGTATAAAAGAAATATAGACAAATTAATATACGAGTCAAGTGCATTTTGGCTCTGATGGAAAAGTGGAGCAACAAAACATTTGGGAGCTTGTGTGGAAAGGACCACCAACAAGAAGAAGACCGTTATCCTCTAGATTGCTTCTCTTCTCAGTCTCAGGTAGGTAGGGAAACAAATATGTGGGCCGCACGTGACTTTATTTAAGACACTTACATCAACAACAGACTGATAAATGGTGGTGGGCTGGTATAGATGTCCCCATTGCAACCGGCAAAAACAAGATTGGGCCATTTGAAGCCAATCCAGCCCAAACAAATGGGATAATAATTTATTAATTTTCTTAGTTACATACGTTTGGTGTTACAAAAGCTTAGTGCTTCACCACCACCAATATATGGAGAATTATAGAATCCTACGGCTAAGTAGTGTATACTGTGCATGTGTTATAATGGGCCCATTTAGGAAATAGTATTAATAAATATTCATTTATATTATAACATGTGAACAATACTACTCGTACTATACTATAATTACTCCAATATATAAGTTGCCTAAATTTTAAGTCTAAGTGAGGACCAGAAAATTTATGTGCTATTCAGTAATGTTTTGGGGCCACGTTTTCTGCTTTGCGGGAATAAAAACATCCTAGAAATGCATTTGGTGAGGAGTTTCCCAAAACACAGAAAATGATTGTTGAAGAAAAATGTGAATCTCCCAACATAATTTCACCACCACTATTTAAATAATGAAGTTTTATTATTTTAGGTTCGACCCATTCAAGACGTGGTGTCTCTTAATTACAATTCCTTACTTCAAAGGAATACCCTTTGATTCTATCATAAAGAAACAAAACGTGTGTGTTTGGTTTTATGGCTGCTCCTAAGTCCAACATCAAGGTGCTTACGTATCCCTTGCAGGAATCAAGCCACTCGTAGTTCAAAGAATTGCAATGAATAAATGACTCATTGCAAGGAAATTTTAATTTGAATTGAATTGAGGAATGTTTGAGTGAATTTAGCTAAATAAACCAGGGATTCAATATGGAATTGTGTTTGGGGCGAATTTGGTTAAGAATAAACCAGGGATCTGTTTGAATATAAGATTTGGGCGATTACATATAGATTGAGTTCTAAATTGCCTACGTACCCTTTCGAAGGGATCAAACCAACGTAGTTCAGAATTGCAATGAGTGAATGACTCATTCCTCTTGGAAAAAGTGTTTGGGGGAATTTTGTTAAGAGAACCAGGGACTCAAATTGGTTGCGGTTGCCTCTAGTGAGATGCTAGACTACTTACGTACCTATGATGGGATCAAACCAACGTAGTTCCAAAGTTAGAAAATTAATGAGTATGTTTGGCCTACTAATTTAGAATTTGTGTCTTTGAGACAATTTAGAGATTTTCATAGGTAAATGACCCATGGGAAAAATTTGAGTGTTTTGTACCATTTTTCTTATTGTCAATGTCCAAGAAAAAAATAATAATGAACAATTTTGATGAACCCACTAATTTTCTATAATTGACATTTGCATTTGGATCCAACTATGGCTTTAAAGAGTTTAAAATTATTTGGGCACCTATAAATTTAATGAGTGTTTATTTGGATAACCTATTAAATATTTTGGGCTTGTGAGAATTAATAGGTAGACAACCCAATAATCTGTTTTCGGGCCTTGACATTTTTTATCAGTTGTCCCATGACTGGTCATCTGTGTGAAGCTCATCCTTTTTAGCTAAACCAGTTGCAATTGAATTAGGACTACAGATGTTGAAGCCGTGAAGGAATTGTAGTGTTGATTGACTTAGGAAATAATTATTCACGGCCAAGAATCCATAGACCAATTTTCCTTTGCTTTCCTATCAGACCTTCTTAAAGAGCCATCTTTGTTTTCACAAAAAAAAGGCATGCATGACATTTCTCTTTGTCATGCCACACAACCAAGAGTTTCATAAAATAGCATCTTTTTTTTTCCCTTCAGTCAAAGTAGACAACAACTTTAATTGAAAACCAGCCTAGGGACCCAAAAAGGCACATGCTCCTTCTTTTTGCTGACTTCCTTTTGTTCTTTTTTTTTAGTCTGTATGCAAACAAACATAACACAAAGCCATCTTCCAAGCGGGGCTGTATATAGGCAACTTTTCCTTTATTTGGTCTGTATGCAAACAAACATAACACAAAGCCATCTTCCAAATGGGGCTGTATATAGGCAACTTTTCCTTTGTTTTGTTTGTATGCACACAAACACAATATGGGGAATTCAAAATTTCTTTCTCTTTTTTATTTGATGACTTCTCCTCTTCTTCTTGCTCTATCTATATGCAAACACAACACAAAGCAATCTTCCCAACACCATATTTTCTTCTTTGTCATTTGCAACAACTAATTTTCTCTTTTTTTCTTTGCTTTCGATGCAGCATACTCAAATTGAGAAGAGAATGGTTTGTGCAATTTTCTCAGACGAGGAAGAAATTGGTGTGTCTTCTTAACAGAGATGGAGAGAGTTGGTCAGAGAGTTTCAAGAGGTATAAACCCATTTTACAGTTGCCGTGAGATTAAACTCCTATTGTTTTCGTTTATGTCATCCACTCCTTTACTGCAACTTGTGGTGGAGAACTAACTTCCCATTTTTATTTGAAGCTATAGAGAAGGAATTGGTGTGATTTTCTCAACCAAGGGTAGAGGACATTCATGTTTTTTTTGCACATTTTGGAATTAACTCCCATAACATCATTTTTTTGTTCTCCTATGGATTTCCTTTTGCTTGGCACAACTTTATTGAACGGGAATCATCCCACGAATTTTCTATCCATATATGTGATTTAAGGGTTGCCACCTAACATGGATTTATCATCCAAGAATTTGATTTAAGGGTTGCCACCCAACATGGATTAACATCCAAGAAATTGATTCAAGGGTTGCCACCCACCATGGATTTATCATCCAAGAATCGGACACAATGGTGATGACAGTATACTTGTGACAATTTCTTTTGTCTTTATGCTCTAGTAATTTTTCCAGCAGCAACTCCTTTTTTTTTCTTTCTCCACCTCATCTTTTTTTTTCTTTCTTCCTCTCTTCTCTTTTTATAGAGTCATTGCGAGAGAGATTTGAGATGGAATAATCCTCATTCGAATTGGATTCCTCCTCCACTTTATTAGATTATCATTTTCCTTTATTTACTGAATGGATGATTCTTTCCTTTTCTTTAGGCATAAGATTAGGGACAATTTGATTTCTGAGTGTTTTAAATTTGTTTTGAAAACAAGTATAGTGTGAGGACCAGACCCACCCAGCGTTGTGGGGCTTATCAAAACCCACATTTGAATTTTATTTTATTTTTTGTGAAATTTTTTATTTCAACAATGATATTTTGGAAACGATTTCTGATTTGTGCTTTAAGTTAGAAAACAAGAAAAACATGTTTTCATGGCAAAAGTGAAAACGTGGAAAACAGCTAAGACCAAAAATAAAATTTATACTATCTCTATTTGTGTAAATTTTCCACACATCCACTCTTCATTCTCTCTAAAATTCTAGTTGTTGATTTATTATGGGTTTTGTTGACGCTCAGAATAGACCAATCCCATCTTCCTAATAAGAACAAAACACGTGAACCTCGCTAGCCAGGTGGCAAAAGCAGTCATCCAGCCCTCTTAACTACCAACCATGCACATCGGCTCGGTTCCTGACCTCACCACCTCGGGCTCAGTACCCTCCAGGAAAACATAATGAAAGGCTATTCGTCAGCCACGTCGACGACAATACCTCCCCTGACAACGGAGGATTCACCGCCTCTTGAAATACTACATTTCTCCTCTCCAATATCACGTACAAATCATCTGTTGAAGCAGAAAAATGGTTCGGCACTTTCCCGCACAACTTAGTGATGTTGGGCCTTCGGTATGCTATGGGCCTCGGTAGGGCGTTCGATCTGCAAGATAACAAACGCTCAGTAAGACCTAGGGCATCGGTGTGGTACCGGCCGAAAGCTCTTCGATGTTTAAGTAAGTACGGATTTAGTAAGATTGAATTGCAGATCAATAGGCAGTATGCCGTAAGTTCTGATTGATTACCTCCAAGTTGGGATAGTTGTCCTCTTTTATAGGCCTTAGGAGGTGTGCAAGTTGTTTAGAATTTCGATGTGGGACTGCGGACTCCAATTGTGGGACTGCCACGTGTCCCTGGGGGTGAAGTTGCCCTAATCGTGCGATCGGTAGGAACGGTACCGAAGCTAGGTGCCGAAGGCTTCCATAGCTCTAGTTTGGTCCACGTGTCCGATGCTTATTGGTTGTTCATTTTGGTATAAACATCATCTAATCCGTTCCATGACCAAATAAGACTCCGGCTGCTCATGGCATACTACTCTACCCACTCCCGGCCCCTAGCAAAACGCGTAGAGCCATTATGAGAGGAGGACTTGGAAGGACCTCGACCATCCACCACATGACAGAACGGCCTAATGTGACATAAATGACTTGGCTCATAGCCGAGGTGATCGGCTTATAGAATATCTTGTGAAACTCCCTATAAATAGGGCTTGAATTTGTGTAAAAAATCCGTCTGACCTTTTCCCAAGTATAGAAGAAGATCTGTCAAAGACATAAAAGATTACTCTTGTTCGTGTCGTTATTCCAACATAAGCATCATACCATCAAGGAATCAAATCTCCTCTTCATTTCAAGTACAAACACTTGCATTTCATACGTTGACCACATGAAGTTTGAGGTCTAAACAGGTATCAACTCTCTTTGATCAGTATATATTATTAGACTTATTTCCTTTGAGAGCTGTGATTTATTTTGCTCTGTTTCATGATGAGCCATGTAGAGAAGGTGGACAAGATGAAGCAATCAAGAGAGATAAAAATGAAACAGAGAGGGATTGGGAGGAAGACAAAAGGAGAGAGGTAACATGAGGGTTAGAGGAAAAGAGATGACTAGATGGAATTGGGGTGGGTTTTGCAGAGAAACAGTGAAAGAAAAGGTGGGGAAGATTTTTTTTTTTTTTTTTTTTTTTTTTTCTAATGCCAAAGGTGGGGGTTGAGGTTTTTTTATTTATTTTAAATAAATTTCTCTAAGAAAATTATAGGGCTAACAACAAAACACACCCTTAATGTTTGGGGTCATTCTCAATATGGGCCATCGACTTTCAATTTCATCAATTTACACTCATTTCCCTATTTTCCCAATTTCCCTTTCTTTCTCTATCTTTCTTCCACCCAATTGTGGGGCTGAATTGTTGTGAAACCCATCAACCCATTTGCCCAAAACCAGGATCTCCTTCCTTCCTTGTGCCCTGTGATTGATTTGGTTCCCATTGAAGAAGGTTGAAAAAGAAGAATTTGAAGAAAAGGAGAATTGCGTTTTTATGTCATGCATACCCATTTTCATGGATCACGTTCTTATAGCCTTGGGTGGAACTAGGGAGGAGAGAGCGACCATAATTCGAAGCCTTTTCAATTCCTTTGATGCTGCAAATCTTGGATACTTGGACCATCCCCAAATTGAGGCTGAGTTATCGGCTCTTCAGATTCTGCCATTATACAAGTATGCCAAGGATCTTATGAAGGTTCGATTATCTGAAGTTTTGAAGGTACATGGATGACAAGGAACTTGAGATGTATTGAATTTTTCAGGCCATTGATGGTGCAACTGTGCATCGACGAGAGGGGGTGGGGAACATCGGGGAGGCGCTGGGCACGAAAGGGGCTAGGTTATGGGTATATTTTTATTTTATTTTATGTGATTTTATCATTTTATATAATTGATTTAGTTTTTTTATTTTATAAAATTGGTGGGTCCTACAATAGATACGTCATCAGTTAACGTCTGAACAAACGGTCTACTTAACGGAATGCTTAAATTGATCATATGTAAAAACCATAGGATGTAAATTGATGAAATTGAAAGCTGAGACATTAAGGGTGTGTTTTGTCGTTAGCCCAAAATTATAGTTTTTTTTTTCTACTACATTATAATGTTGTTCTAATTTTTAAATATTTTTCTGTAGAGGAGCAAAAAATGCCTTTAAAAAATAGTTCACATATAAATTCCATGATGTATTTTAATAAAAGTTATAAATTGTTTGTTGGAGTTTTTATCAAATTGTATTATCAGACACGTTTTCACTGTTTACATTTTCAGAAGATGTTTTGTAATTAAGCTACCAGATGCATTCTTAAATCCTGAAAATGCAAATTCATTTTCTCATTTTCATTTTCTGAAAACATTCTCCGAAAACATTATCAAACACGGGCCTTAGAAATCAAATCCCACTAATTATATGAAAAGGCAAGATTACGGGTGGTTGGTTTGGTATATCATGGTTGATATATAAAGTAACTTTCGCGGTCCTAAGGTTTTATGTAAAACTTCCCTCCGATGGACGTCATTCTCTACGTACACATTCAGACAACTTTTACTAGTGTCAGCTTCTTCTTCTTTGTTAAAGCAGTCGCCTCTTCAGTAGCAGCAAGGCTACCGTCATGTCTTGTGGCTATATATATAGTCTTTGCTTTAGAGATCGTTGAGTCATGGAGCCTCTTTGAGGGGAGGCTAGAAGGCTCAAATATATGGAAATAATATTGATGGCAAGTTAGTATATGCTGCAACTTGGCAGGCATGGGAGTTTTTATATATTCGTGTTAACCCACGACATCCAATTTGGTGACACTCATGGTGGACCGCCCGGTGGGAGGGGCTGGACATTGGATGGTCCGCAGTCGGTTTATCTAAGTAGAAAACTTTGGAGGTCTGAATAAAAATCCTCACATATTTAAGCCCTCATTTCCAATGTTAGCTAGCTAGCTATATATATGAGAGCTTCCATTGAGGGATTTCTCAAAAATTTATTTGAGAGACACTCTTGTAGGGCCCACTCCGCATTGTATTTCAAAGATCATCTCTTCAAAAAATCACTTGAATCCGATATCATTTGACCACTCAATTGAGTTATTAAAATTTTAGTACTTTCTTGAAGTACCGTAGTTATTGATTTTGTAGGACACAATTGGATGTCGAAACAGTTTCCAATTTGTCTAATATTTTTGCAAGGATCTATGAATGTAGACTTAAAAATAGATGGTTTGGATCGTTGAAAAAAAAATTGTATGGGACCTTAAAGGGTGTCCCTCAATAGAAGATGACTGTATATATACGTACAAATTATAAGTAAACAAATGTCAAGTATAGCTAGATATATACAGGCTGCCATTCCTTCAAAACAAGCACCTTCACTCATGCATATTTTAGAGGCTTAATATGTATTAAAAGTCTGCTTTTTAAGAACAAGAACAACTTATATTTAAATATATGTATAGATGTGCACTCCATGCAATAGTCAGAAGTACACTAGTACGTAGGCATTGAATGCTATTCTTGAGAGCCATACTGTCTCCTAGTCCACATATCAAAGAAAATCTAAGTGCTAAAAGAAGAGAGATGACCAGAGAGAAAGCGTATATATTAGACAGTATTGCAATAATGATATAGGAAAAGATGTACTCATGAGTGAGAGTACTGAAAATATCATAAAGTAGTGATCATGAAACTCATGGCTCTTGCTTGTGACCAAATGAAGGAACTAAATCTTGCAATAACCCATAGTCAGGAACATGTAGCTGCTGCCGCTGATGCTGCTGCTGATGATGATGATGAGGGCGAGGGGCCACGAGGTTTGAATATATCATGGAATTACTTGCTTGGTGATCATCCTGATGATGATGGCTTTGCAATTGCAATTGCAGTTGGTTGTTCATTGGGAGAAACTGAGTTAAGAATTCATGTTGAAATCTCGCTGATCCATTGAGAGACGCAGATGTCAAAAGGGAATTAGGGGACAGCATTCCAACGGCATTGAGATTGAGATTTCCCCGGAGTGTTGCCGGACACTGATGGTTGTGCTGACCCTCATATGTTGTGATCACAATAGATGGATCTTGAAATGATCTCTCGACGCGCTTCTTTACTACGCACTTTTGAGTAGTGCATCTATAATAACTTCTGAAAATGGAAGAAGGTAGTTACAAAGCTGTGTGAGATCACCAAATTACTCTTTTAATGTTCAGGTTATATAAGTTTCTCGTTCACAAACATAGAAATGAATGATGTCAATTAAAGAACAAACTACAAAGTAGAGCCAATCAAACAAACTAAGGGCCCGTTTAATCATTTCAACTTTAGTTTTTATTTTTTGTCCTATATATAGAGGAAAAAGAGAAAGAATGAAAGTAAAGATGAGATTGCGAGAGAGAATGAGAGGGATGAATAACAAAAGTGAAAAAGATGGGGAATGGAAGTGAGAAAATGAGTGAAAGATGCGATTGAGATGGAAGGATGGAAGGGAGGAGTAACAAAAGTTATACAAAAACTAAAAACTGAAATCCATTTGAAATTACTTTCACTTTCAAGTTTGTTACTCATCCTCCCATTCTAACTCTCATTTTCCGCTATATTTTAGCACAAAAAATGAAAACTAAAAACTAAAATTGAAATGGTTATCGAACGGGCCCTAATTGTTCTATATAGTTAGGGCTTAATATGAAGGCTAACATCATTTCTGCATATAATAGAACAGAGTTTTAATTAACTAGTAACCATAACAGATATGAATGACATATAACAAATATTTGATCATCAAATAACGCCTATTGACCGGCCAAAAAATAACGGCTGGTTTGAAAAATTGGAGAATTGTTCACATCACACATCCAGAAATCATTATAAGTTGGACTCTTTTTTTTTCTTTTTTTTAAATAATTTATAATCTTTTTTTAATGGAATGTACGTTGAGCTAGTGTGGAAATTGTAAAGAAACGCAATTAAGTATAATTAAGTATACCTAGGATAAGGGCTGTTCTTGACTGCCTTCTGTCCGTACTTTCTCCATCTGTATCCATCTTCAAGGTGATCCACTTCGCTCTTAGTCAGGAAGGCAAACCGTGGTTCCCTCTGCCGTTTCTCTTTCTTTTTCGCTTTGCTCCTGAATCACATATATCTAAGCAAATTAGATGTGTATATGCACTCGATTTTAGGGTTCTAAACACAGATCCCATTATTTTCCTTTTTGCTCCCCAGAAGTTTCTAGATGTTGCATGTATGGTTATTGGTTAATCATATCAGAAATCTAATGAGAAAGCAAAATAATTAAAGAAATATCTCTTCAATTAAAGACGTATTAATTAATGACATGTGAGTTGAAAACACAAGGGGAAAATTGCACTAAAAAGCTTTTTTGTTTACCTTTTATATGACAGTCTACCTCCTGACAAAATATTAGTCAATCCAAGCCCTATATTTATCCATACATATATATATATATATATATATATATATATATATACCAAGAGTGAAAAATAGTGGAGTAACAAGTGATATCCCTCAAAAGCTGCTAATTAACCTTTACCATGAATCTGGCTACAAAGAACAAAAAAAAAACCTACCCTTTCTTTGACTTGTCTTCCTCATCTCCTGCCGCTTCATCACACACTGCCACTTTTGGCTGCTTTTCTTTCTTCTTCTTCTCTGAATCGTCATGTTCATGAGAACCAGCAGCTTCATTAGATGATGAAGAAACTGAGGAGTTTGGTGTAGATGGGTTTTCGGTGGTGCTAGTCCCCACCGAGTGATCTCCTACACCTGCAGCTGCAGCAGCCTGCTGGTTCTTGGAATTCTCATGGTCCAACTGGGGAGAAATGACTTCAGATGAAGAACATGACATGTCAAAGGCTCTTGAGAGGGTGTTGTAGTCCATTGAGCCATGGAGACAGTCAGTGAAGCTCATGAACGAAGAATTGGGGTGATCGGATTCGAACCCATGTAGGTTTTGTGGATCTTGTATGGAGGGAGTGCCATAATTGAAGAATGGAAAGCTTGACCTGTTGATTTCATGGGGGTTGTAGTCGAAAGGGTCATACTGGTAAGGGTTTTTCTTTCATTTGACATAGGAAGAAAGAAGAGGAAGAAGAAGAAGAAGAAGAAGAAAGTTGAGAGGTGAGAGAGATGGGGCTGAGATTCTTGCTTTGTTCTTTTGAGAGAAAATGAGCTTTAGGTTTGATTTTTGTCTTTGCCTTTTTTTTTAATAGGAGAGAGAGAGAGAGAGAGAGAGAGAGAGAGAGGAGAGAGAGAAGAGAGAGAGAGAGAGAGAGGAGGGTTGATCGGATGGGATGTGTGGTAGCTTTTGCCTATTTTGCACACTTGTGCCCTACTCTACTTCTGTCCTAGTAAGACATTTATGTGGGTAAACATACACGTGCCAGTTTCTATTATTGCAAACAACACATTTAGGATGCAGTCCTAGATCACCAACTTCGAATTCCCCTCCCGGTAAAATGAGTTAGGGCAGTTGGTGGGATAGTGAACATGCCCTCTTGCACTCAAGTTTGAATTCTCCTCTCGATAAATTAGATTAATTTTAATTATCACTTGTATAAAATAAAAAAATTGGCAAAATAAATAAAATCATATAGGCAACTCATCTACTCAATAAATAAAAAAAATCAACAAAATTGCAAAATATATAGGAACAAATATTTAATAGTAAAATGGTGGGAGCTGCCAAATTTGCAGAAGCCGTTTTAAGGTTGGAAAAGAATCACAAAGAATTCGCCATAAGACATTGAAATCAGATCAGAGAGCCCATCACTTCCACAGTTCCACAGGTCTGTGGTTGTAGGCAAAGGTAGGCTGCCCGAGTCGCATCAGATTATTTTAGCTTTGGGGGTAGGGACCACCGGGGTGTGGTGGTCAAGATATCCAGCATGTCCAACACAATACACTACGGTTTTCTTCGAGGGCATACACGTGTAAAGGATTGGGCACCGTCATTTGACCGTAGTTGGCACGTGCGAAAAGACATTCTGTTCCTTTCTCACGCCTATGTCTTGCTGATTGGGCCTTCACGTCATCTCCGTTACGGAAACCCCCGGATTTTAGTGGCTCGCTTTTTCCTGTTTCCTGAAAGCCGGTCAAAACGCAACAAGTTGGTCAAACACCAACCTCATATGATTTGTTATATTGACGAACTAATTTATTTGTTTTTTTTTCCTCAATTATAAATAATTAATTCTATATTGCAACCCCTTCTATTTAATATTATGTGATTGCATGAATCTCTCTCTCCTCAAATGTGTACATATAACCCAGTTTTGCAGGCCTCAGATCTCATTTGTATTAGATAAAAAAAAGTGTATGGTTTCATGTTATTTGTTGAATTATGTGATTTAATTCTTTTATGAGAACAATGATATTAAAAGTTTGTATAATGAAAGTAAGAAATTAAAGTACTATAAAGTAACAAAACATTGAGCTTAAGTTCACTTTATAAGGAGTTGTATCTTATTAGAAAGGACGAAGCTAAAAAAACTTGTTAAGAATGTCGAAAAGTCCAAATATCTTAATTGAGGTGATCATTAGATTAATTTTGATTCAAATTGTTCGAAATGCTACAGATTTATCCCAAACCTACATGTGAGTTCGCTACTATTATATATTATGTTTTCAAACTGTAAATGTGAATCATCATTCAGATACGGTTTCATATATTCAACGGTCCTAATGCACAACTATATATGGCAATATAACAAAGAATGCTTAAGGTTGCAAAGTATAGTTTCTTCAATAAAATTGCTTTCACACAATCTGTCTCTTACAAGGTTTTGTACCTGTATCGTGTGCGTATATATATATTAGTAAGTCCCATATTCCGCAACGACCTTCCACGAAACAAAATGGCTAAAACTAATTGTTTAATAATCAGACGCTATTTAGCAAACTAAAATAAGACCAAAATGTCCCATAATAAAAAAGGAAATCATCAAACGAAAATAATAGTTTGGTACATAATGTGTCAAGTGATCTGTAACAACAGAATGTCGGGACCATTGATATGATCGATGAAGTATATAATCTTTGGTGTCAAAGAGATCATGATGAGATGGATCCAAGACTTTTCTATGCAATCACCAATCATATATATATATATATGCTCTATTATTAAAATTTACAATTGACTGAAAAAAAAAATGAAAAAAAAAGAAGCAGTCATTCTGTAGTTGATCATATTTAAGGATGACTAATTTGATTTTAGAAAGAAGATTATACCAAAATATGATATAAGATGTGAAACCAAAGGTATATAAACAAGAAAAGTGGGGTAATAATTAAGTAATATATATAATAGATGGTTTGAATTAATAAAATATAATGCAGAATAATCTCTACAATAGTATCTCTTAAATAAGCTTATTTGAGGGATTCTTGAACGGAATATATATATATATATAATGCATATTGGTGTGTGATATATATGGTTTGGGAATATTTTTAGTGGTGCGGCTTTTGATAGGGAGAACATCAATCGATGGATGGATCAATCTAAAAAGAAATAATTATAAACGCAACTAAAATTGAAGAAGTAGCTTGAGATTGTTGACATTTTGGGGTCCTTTGTAAATGGTAAAAGGAGAATACCATCTGTATCTGACAAGTGACACTACCGTTGGCATAGAGTGTTGGTCAATGAAGAGCAGGTTATTTGTTAGGTCTAGGCAGTACGAACCATCCTGCACAAATAGACATAAAGTATATATAGGATATTAATATATATATATATATATTTTAGAATAACAAAATTACTCAGATTTTGGCTCATCTGGGGGTAAATTATTCAGCCCCAGATCTACATTAATTTGATTAATCATATTTAATTCCAGGCATTTTAGTATTAGGGTAAAGCAAAAAACTAATCATGCATACATATGGGTCTAAGCATATATGAGCAATTAGTTAATGAGGTCTAGCCTGGTAGGAAAGGACCTTAATTTGCATACCAATAGTCTCAGGTTTGAATCCCCATAACATATTGGTAGTGTGTGTATGTGAGAAATTCTCATTCCCCTCGTAATTTAGACTATAAAAAATTAATGCTGCTACGAATTAGTTTGAGAATAATGGTATTTTGCATTAGGTTTCTTGTGGGATTAATTTCTTGAACATACCAAAAACATTCTCAAACTTGTTTAGACCTTTGTCTTGGAGTAAATGAATTAGTAGCTAATCAAGATTTGTTCATGGGACATGCAATTTAGGGAACTTTTACAAGCAATTTTGATCAATTTAATCAATAAAAAATGGCGAAATTGGAAAATATATAAGTCCTTATCATCCGTATCGTATTTGATAATGAAATGTAGGAAGCAAAAACTGGAAGATACAAAGAACAAATTTGATGAGTGTCAATTAGCTAGCGTGTTTGACTGTAGCTCATATAAATGGTAGCTCACCGTTTTTAGTTCATGTTAGGCACATGAATTTTCTAATACATGTCCTTTCTTGTCATACTATAGTAAATGCATATAGACAATAGAGTATATGTGCTTCTCACTCTGAACTCGAGTTCGAATCCCCCTTCTCGTAATTTAGATTAGTTTAAAATAAATTATCGCTTATATAAATACACACCAAAGAGGAAAGTGGAAAACGAATCATTTCCATAAAAACAACTCAAAATGATCTCTGACTCTTTAAGGATTAAAAAATACAACCTTGTTTTGTTTAATTTAAGATTGACATTCAAATTCATGTGGTTTTTTTTTCAAAGGAGAAGGTTCAAATGTGAAAGGAAGGTTCTTCCTCAATTAAGTCAGAAGCATACTTGACTGCACCCAACCACTAAAGCTTTTAGATTGAAAGGGAATCTATTCAACCCTAATATATATTTTCTTCATAAAGATCTCTCTTTTTTTTTCTTTCCTTCTGAATTGTTCAAGCAGTCATGGTAGCATCTGCTCCACCAAAGAATTAAATATTATTTTTACAGAGGAGATGAAAGGGAAAGACAATGACAGTTTTATATTATGTCTTGACACGAAGCATCAGAGATAATTTATGGGACAAGTTGACTAGTCCATCTATATATATGCCCAAAAGGTCAAAATTTACTAACAAAGAGTAGCTGTTTGATTCCCCAATCACATTAATTTAAGTTCAGTTTGGAGATAGAAATGATCAGATTTGACTTAGCGTTACTGATTTAGAAACAACATTCTAGATTCGTTTTTCCTGCACATAGAAAGAGGGGCAAGCTTGGCTTTATTATCTTTTGCATATGCATGTTCTGTTCGCACTCTAGATATGATTCTAAATTGTACATATGTGTCATAGAAAACGCAAGCAATACTATTAGTATTAGGGTTGCCAAAAAAGAAGAAGAAGGTATTATGGTTGATTTGTGACAGGGTTTTTAGGTCTAATGGTACTTGAATTTTGACCTGATTTGCATTTTGACATGAACGATTTTGAAAATTGAGAGATGAAAATGCGAATTATGTCAAAGTTTAGGGACCAATTGAACCTAAAAACCCTTTGTGATATTACCAACAAGTCTAGTTCAGTAAAAAAGGGCATTGACTTGCAGATAAAATGTCTTAGATTCAAATCTTCATGGAATCTTGGTTGTGTGTGTGAGAAACTCCTCCCCTATAATTTAGATTATCGTTTGTATTAAAACGAAAACTAACTCTGAATCAATTAGTGACATTTCTCTTTTCAATGTTAAACGTGAGTTTAAATTTGAATTTCACATATTAATAAAATATATATCAATATTGGAAATCATAAAGTTAACTCCACCACAGAAAAAAAAATATATTAAAAAAGAGATAAATGTGTAATCGATACATTGCGTGCGTGTCATGCCAGCATAGTACTATCTAGTTCACATTCATATCAGAATGAATGTGCAGTAAGTAATCCAATATATCGGTTCAACATTTAAAGTTTTGATGTAACAATTATATATACGTGTGTTTTCTTATATGGATGAATTTGATCCGCTATGTCCACATGGCACGTAGTATTTCGTATGCACAAAATAATTTTTCAAAACGACAGAGCATAATATCTTATGTAGGATCGTTTTGAAGCCCACTCTTGGGTTTGCTTGCTTGTATAAAACTCCTCAACGCCATATTTTCGTACAAAATGACAAGACTGCCTAACTATACACATAATATATTATATATATATAATCTTATTTAGATCTCTGCACGTTATTACAGTACGGACGTCATAGTAAACAAGAAGAAAATAGAGACGGGTAGTACAAAATATACAACGTTTGCATAATAATAACATCCGAATGTTCGCATAGGAGAATTTTCAATTTGACTTAGGTTTTTGAAGGCGCACTAGCTATACATGAAAAATAATTAAATTATACTTGATTCAAGACATACATATCTACATGTAGAAGAATGCAGATTGGATGCTTTAGTCGTACTAAAACGTGAACTTTCGAGAAGAAAATTTACAAAGCAAAAGAAAAAGTTAACTCTTGAGAAGTGCGAATGGAGTTTCAGCAGAGCACCACCCAGGATAAAAGAATTTAGTTTGTTTCGTACGCAAAATTATACCTAATAAAGTAAACATATGTGAATGAATACCTCATCTGTTGTTATAATATTACAGATCAAATCAAATGTCATATAATCATATTAATAGCTACAAGTCAAACATTAACCCCCAAAATCCGGCATAATTCACAGACTCAGACATTTTGTTCATATCATATCAGCAGCACCCATACATGCATCCTAGCTCCTCTCTCTCTCTCTCTCTCTCTCTCTCTCTCTCTCTCTCTCTCTCTCTCTCTCTCTTGGCAGTTTGATATCATTATCTCTCTCTCTCTTGGCAGTTTGATTAACATCATGATCATTATCTCTAATGCAAATTAATGATGGTGGAAACTTGTAGCTAGATTACTTCTACTACGTACTACCAAAAGTTTCCCAATTTGCATTTTGGAAGTGGGCTAGTTTGACACTCTTTCTTCAAAAGCCTTATATCCTTGTTCCATGCGACAACAAACTTTCTATGAAAGATGTGGTCTATATTAAATGAGTAACATTCTCTAGTCAAAGTTATGTTTTTTGGTTGTTGCCAAAGTTAGGAAGGAGGATGAGGGGAACTCGCATGTACAGGTATCACAAGAGTTTGAGCTCATGTAAAACCACTTGAAAGCACACCAAAGACCTTAGGCAATCCAACTAACACTTTGGTCAAAGTTATGTTATCATACTGATGTTTATGTTGCTAGACAATGAATTTACTAATCAGGTTAACTGTAATTGAATCTATCAACATAAACATCAGTCTAGCAATAAATCACGTTCCTTATAGGTGAGAGCAATAGATCATCATGAATACGCAGTACACAAATTGATTGACATGTTGAAGGGGATCTTAAATTCCCATGTTCATTTCAGAAAATATAATTGCAGGCGTGCCAGCTTTTTCTTTTGTAACAACGAAATAGCTCCTCTTCATAATAACGGAGGTTCAACTTCAACATCAACTCATAATAAATTGATAAAGAGGAAAACTGAGGCACAATTAAAGAAAGAAAAGGAGGAAACAAAGAAAATGAAAAATTTGGCATGTGATATAGACTGCAGTCTTAGGTTCTTAGCTCATGCGCGCTATGTAGCAACCATACCACATGCATGCGTCGCCACAGCTGACATGAATATATATATATATATATATATATATATTATTTTTAAGCTTAGAAAAGCACCACAAATTGAAATTCATATTCTCTCTTCTCTTTCTTTTCATTTTTTTCACCGTGAAATATGAATGAATGAATGAATTAGGAGGTTGTCAAAATCACTTTGTTGTGTTGAATTGAGCGTGGGTGGGCGTTGTTGACGGGGGCTTTTCATGACTGACTGACTGACTGACTCATGACATTCATGATTTATAATTGCCTTGGTTGGTATATATGGGATGGGAGCAAAGCAAGCAAAACTGAGATGACATTCATATTATTATTAGTTTTAGGTCAAATCAAATCATGGGCTCTCTCTCTCTCTATCTCAACACTCAAGTGCCCTTGGACGACCTTTTTACGTGGGCCCAAATTATGATGGACTCAGCCTACCAAATCCATGAGCAGAAGAAACACTTAAAACTCTGAAACGAAAGAGATGTGACATAATTAGAAAATAAGATAGAAAAGGAGGGTTTCCACATTTAGAGGCTCCAATTTACTTCCATTTGCTATATGCCTGAGTTGTGCTTGATCAGAAAGGTAGTGTTGCTATTTGGAAAGGTAGTGTTGCTATTTGGATCACTTTTACTCACCACATTGATGATCACCTCTCTAATACATGTGAGTCTCACATACACTAATCGGGCTCACCTCTATTAGAGATGTGGTTAGCAATGTGGTTAATAAATATGGTACAAATAACATTATTAATAAATAAAACATATTTTTTCATAAACCACGCCGAGGGTAGATTGAAAGAACTATAATCCATGTATACGAAATCCAATTTACTTCAATTCATGCCATTAGTTATATTCATTCAAATGAATTGCACACATGACCTCAATTGTAGAAATAATATTTTTAATCACTTAAACTACATGCCTCTTACTACAAACAAACAATGTTGCACACGAGCCGAGCCGCTACAAAAGAAAAAAAAATTATGACACGAGCGAAGCATTGGACACGAGCAAATACAATTTGAAGCCCATTTCAAAAGAAATAAAGGCCTTCACAAACCACTACCATTTCGAAACATATAATTTCGTCTAAAAATGGGCTTCACCCTTCAAGACCATAAGTTATGGGCCTCACCATGGGCGGACCTCCTTTCATCCCGACTTCCAGTTCCTCTCAGAGAGAGAGAGAGAGAGAGTGAGAGAGAGAGACAATGATGTTGTTGAAGATTGGTGGTGGCACAGCCATGGCTGTCCCTCGTAGAACTTTATGGAGGAGACCCATGTGCTTGGCTTCCAACGTCGACACCGAGCAGCTACGTGTTCAACTCGTTCAGCTCCATTCTGAGGCTGAGAGCGCCAGAGGCAAAGGTATATAAATATAACTACACAATACACCTGTTTTGGTGTCTTCCATAGTATTGGGCATACCCTTTTGCCTTCATGAATGAAAAACCACATTTTTATGCTGAATCCATTGCAAGTTATTGTATTGTGTTTGTATTCTGTTATTGGAAGTTATTTTTTCTAGAGAATTTGTATGAAGCCTCTTGTGAATCAATAATATGATTAGATTTTCTGCTTAGTGCAGAAATTTGGTTATGCTTATAGCTATATGCTTTTGATTGGGTTATGAAGTTGCTTTCTATCCAATATTTGATGGGTTGTTTGTTCATTGTTGATGATAGGATAGTGTATTGTTGGCCTAGTGTTTCTGTTGAGTTACAATTTTCTTTCTTGGTCCTCTATTTACTTAATCTTTTTCTGTTCCAATGTGCTTTTAGTGTAAGGTTGAATTCCCTGTTGGTTAATTGCTGCACCTTATGATAGTTATTCATGGTTGTGGGTTTAGCAAACAATGCAAGATTGAGGCTTCTTCGACTGTCAGAGACAGCTGAGAATCTTAAAAGGCAAGCAGCAATTAATGTCCAAACTGGGAAGGAGGATGATGCAAGGGAACTACTCTTTCAGAAGAAAAAGGTCATAGAAGCATTGGAGAAGTCCAAAAAACGCATTGAATTGCTTGATGAGCTTTCCTCAAAGCTTAATGAGGTAAAATAAAATGGTACTAATTATGAAAGAAATTTGCTTGGTTTTAGCTGAGGAATTTACTGGATAAAATCGTTGGTTTTAATAAAGCAGTTTAAGATGAAAGTCCACTAATCCAATATGGTTATGTTGACAAAAATGAACCATCGGGTGGATTGGCTTATGATGTTTGAAGCTTCCCCTTTTTCAGCATTCCCAGATATGATTAATCATCACTGCCCTGGTACTTTGGAAGGCACTCATATACCTATATGTGATTTTTTTTTAAAAGGTATATAGGGGAACATCTCTGTTCTTAGGGTGGATGATTCTTGTTCATTACTGCATAAAGGAAAATAATGTAAGGTCTTACCTCAGTTGAGCGTTTAGGAAGGACATCAGGGTATAGCCCAGTTGGTAGCCACACCTCTTTTTTAGACAGGAGGTCCTGAATTCATATCATTCTTCCCCAAAATGTCAGGTCTTAACTCAGTTGAGCCTTTAGGAAGGAGGTCAGGGTATAGCCCAGTTAGTAGCCACTCTTTCTTAGACAGGAGGCCCCAAATTCAAATCATTCTTCCCCAAAATGTCATAACTGATAACAAAAATCCTAACCACTAGTAAGATCAACTTTTTCCTTCAAATTTTTTTCTTAATATTTTTATTCCAATGTATGATCTTTATCTTATTCAAGAACTTTACCTTTCAGCCTATCATATGATCAGAAGAAGACTAATTTGGTTTCAGGCGATTTCTCTAAAAGAAAGGCAGCTAATTGGGAATGTTACTTTGGATCTAGAAGTTGTCAGAGATGATGCTTTTAGTCCAGTTCGAATTGTATCCCCAACACCAGATGTTGCAGAAGATTTGGAGGAGGGCAAAGAATTTGCCTCTAATGATCTGAAGCTCAGTAATGATGAAGAAAAGCCGCTTCTTGCAGAGAGCCAAGCAAGCATACCTGTTGAGCCAGAAGGGGAGGATCTTCAAGAACCTTTAAATAAGGGAGCTTGGAATGAAGATGAAATAATTACTAGCTTGAAGGGAATAACCTCTTTTGAGAAATTCTTGGAACATCTGGATCATCAACTTAACAAAATTGAAGCAGAACTTGTCACTATTTTAAGAATCTCAACCTTGGTAGTGGGCAGCCAGGAGAAACCAAAACATTTTAAGGTGCAACAAATAATGGAACTTCTTGAGAGTATCACTGGCGTTAGACAGAGGTATGCATATTAGTGAACACAAAAGTTGGTATAGTTTGTCAATGGTCTCCTTTACAAGACTTAACACTCATAATTGTTACTCCTGTAACATTTCCTGTATGCCTTTCAGTTTTTATTTTTTGCTGGATCTGTATGTTCATTTCTAACTCCATTTCTCATTCATGATCTTTGCGGTCACAGAATTTCAAGTATCAAGATGGCAAATGTGGAGATCAGATAGAGCTTCATTGTTTTATTTTCTCTGGAATCTAGTAAGGATTGCAACTCTGTTTTTAGCACGGAAGTTTTTTAAACTAGAAGTTGGAGATCATGTAAATTACATGTGAAAAATTAAGACGACAAGATGTCTCTTCAGTCCCTGATGTTGTCAAATCTTACTTCTCAGGTCTGCTGGAAGTTTATAGCATGAAAACTAGCAATGACTGTGTCTATATATCATCTGCCTCTTGGTATGCATCAATATTAGGCTGAGGGACTGGGGTTGGTGTTCTAGGCCTTGATAATTAATGGAATAATCAGGAAACAGTTTTATGTAAATGGTTTTGCTTTTTGGTGATAACATGTTGTCCTTTATTTGCTTCCCTGGACACTTGATACTTGATAGCAAAGATCCCAAGAAGATATAGGGAGAGAGGCTATATTTAGAGTTTTGGCTGCCAGTCAAGTATACATAGAGGCAGAGACATACGCATCTCTTCAATCTATAAATGCATCTTTGCTTTGGTGTGGACAACCTAGTTGATTACAACGTTCTTTATAATATGACTATCATATTGTAATCAATAAATGTCATATCACCCCTCCTTTTTTCGTGCCTTTTTTTTTTTACCTGTATATATAGGGATTTATGCCCTAGGTGAATCACATATTTTCATCCATGCCTAAATCAGACAGTTCTATTGCGCGATAAAGAAACTGTAAAACAAAAGTTTACTGTGTGTAATGGAGAAATTAATAAAAACTACAGTTGACTGATGATACGCTCTTTGTCCATTCTGTCAGGTAGGCCAAGCATTAATAAATCTCTAAGGAAAGCTCCACCTCGTGTTGTGAACTTATGTGTGCATAGAACGGTACAGTTTGTCAAAGGATTGCAAAGCAATAAACAGCTACTTCATTGCTTCAGCAAGATTTGGGGATTGAATGAATTTTAGCAGACATCATCTATATTTCCTTGAAAAAGGTGCTCAACCTACAGGAACTGTTCATGATATTTCAAAAAAGGCGGGGGTTTTTACGGAGCTTCGCCTTAATCAACAAACACAAGTAATATTAGTTGCTTTGCCCATAGTATTTGATTGATGCCTATCCAATTTCCAATGTCATTCATTTCAGCTGCCTTTCATGCCCTTGCTTCTGTTGTAAAATGTTTTGTTTGCATTAGATAATGTAGTTGAGTAGGCTGTATATGTTCCATACCTGAATTCTGCGCAGCAATGCATGTTCTTTTGATGAACTCACAGATTTTCTAGAACAGAGAATGTAAGTGAACTTTCATTAAAATTGTAGGGATTAATATAACTTGCGAGATGACTTCAGTAAACAAAACGAGCAAGTAACAATGAAATGAGATCTTTGAGTACTCATTTTATTTGGAAGTATTTACAAAAGAATTGAATTGGGTTTTTCTTCTTTGGAGTGAAACCACCAAATTCATGTGCCTAGTTCTACTTCTATGTACCTGTATATTGAAAAATTCAGCACCCTCACAGTTTGCTCCCATTAATTGCTGGAGCAAGTTCTGTATCATGCTTCAGTCTTTCCATTGAGGAAATCATACTGGAATTAAGTCACCTGTTACCTTCCATTAGGTCAACAAGAGTAATTTTGTCATCATTGCTATGTTCCAAAGAATCAAATTGCTTGCAGATTTGCAGGATGTCATTCTCCGTAACCCTTCCCATCTCCTTAAGCTTGTATATGACAAACTCTGATTTGCTGTCATTAAAGAGAAAAAACAAACAAACAAGAAAGTTAACATAAATACATATTAAGCAAAACATAAATAGAAAGCTACTAAAGGGAAAACTCAAAAATAGGCTTAAATCCATGTAGAGAACGTTAGGGTTTACCTGATGCATCCATCATTATTAAGGTCTGCTGCTAATAAATCCCTCATCGTAACTTCCTTCTGAAGAACCCATTTCGCGATTCGGCGATTCCTCTTGTCGATTCTAAGCTCAGTCAAGTACAGAAAAGCCCTGGCAACAGCCAATGTGCTTACCAATAACCACACAATTGCAAAACACCTTCCTCCAACTGTCTTGAAAGCAAAATCCCCATAACCCACAGTTGTGACCGATGTAACAGAGAGGTAGAAGCTATTAATCCAGCTCATGTGCTCCAAAAAATGCACTGTAATTGTCCCTATAGCTATACAACCAATAACAACTGACAATGCCAACCCCACCTTGATTCTTATTCTCATTCTTCCTTTCTCTCTATCGATCATATACGTCTGAATCATGTTGTTGAACTTAGTCTCATCCATGGTGCTCAACAAGACTGCTTCTTGCCTGTCACAGATGTACGCCACCAACCCGTTGAGAAGGATATCGATGAACCCGAAACCGACCAAGATGAAGAAACAGGTGAAGAGCTTGGTAAGCGTGGTGTCCGGAACAATGTCGCCATATCCAATGGTGCAGAGCGTGACCACAATGAAGTACAGAGCGTCCACAGGCTTGTAGGTTTCTTGGCCCTTGAAACTTGAACCGGTTGTACAGAATATGACAATGCCAATTATGACATACACAATGATACCGATGAAGGCTTGGCGGACAATTAAAGGGGTTGATTTAGGGGACGGCCTAGGATCCACAGAGTCTCGAATTGGCACCCGGGCGTCAGTAAGCACCGATGGCGCCGAGTGTGACCGGTGTTGGAGCTTCCTCTTCTTGTTCTTGTTCAAGTTGACAATGAGATTGGCATAAGAAGAAGAGTTTGGTGTTGTGATAATGGGAACAACAACATCACCGCCCGTGAGGAGCTGAGCAGTTGAGAGACGCCTGGATGGACCAACATCAAGGTAAGCTGAGGAGGGGAAGGAGCTTCTTGGTGTTCTGCCTCTGCTAGGCTCTTGCTGATCTTCGCCGCCAACGCCAAGTCTTGTTTCAATCTTGGGAAGAAAAGATTCGTCCATGGTGATTGGCTCTGTATATATTGCACGAAACTAAAGATTCAAAGTCTTGGTATTATTGAGATATGTGTCTGTTTTAAGAAAGACGGGATAAAAAAGCGACGGAAAAAAAAAACGAACTCCAACTACAAGTCAAATCCAGGGAAGAGAAGAGAGTTGAGTGGTTGTTAATCTAAATTGCACCCCTTTTTCATAATTGCTGCTAATGTATGTGATGGTAGTTGTAAGTTGTGATCTGACTTGTGACTTGGGAGATTACTTGCACTGGGCTAATTTCTCCACCTTCCTTTTTTTATTATTTTTTAATAAATATTTATTTATGTAATTTTCTTAATACAAGCACTATTAGGAAAGGAGCAAATCGAATACAAAATCTCGAGTCCATTGAGGAATGTTTTTTGATCACTTGAATTACAAACTTCCTTAGTTGTTTCTTAACCCATAAAATTACGTAGCTTTTTTTCCTTTTTGAAGTTAGGAAGAGTTAATGGTATGAGAGTTCGAAGATGAAATCACTGGTGAATATTATTATTATAATGATGAAAAACTTAATTAAAACTTGTTAGTCGGTGTTAACGTGATATATTATATCAAGGACTGTAGTATGCTATTTGTTGAAAAGTACATAAAGAGTGACGTGTGCTAATTAAAAAGGTTAACCTCATGATCTTGCCAATATAATGGGAAAAAATAAATATTCAAACTTCTATTTTGGCTGACTTGGATTTGTCCAAGTATATGATGATGAGGACTTGACTAACCTAACTTTTGGGTCTGACCAACCTAAATTCAAAACAAAGTTTTATATCTTTTGTGCTTATTGACAGTTCAGAACTTCAGTATATTAAATAAAATAATATGATTAAAATATTTCCACCATTTACAACTTAAATTATTTTATTTTATTTTATTTATTGATATTATGTTTATACTTGTTCTATTTCAATTATCCTCTGAAAGTCACTTATTGTCACTCATTTATTTGGTTCATGTAGATCGTGCATTTTCAAAAACATGTCAAAATAGGCTTAAATCCATATAGAGAAAATCAGGGTTTACCTGATGCATCCATCATTATCAAGTTCTGCTGCCTTTAAAACCCTCAGAGTAACCTCCTTCTGAAGAACCCATTCTCCATTCTAAGCTCAGTGAAATACAGAAATGCCCTGGCAACAGCCAATGTGCTTACCAATAACAACACAATTGCAAAACACCTTCCTGCAGAAGTCTTGAAACTCAAATCCCCATAGCCTAGAGTTGTGTGACTGATGTAACAGAGAGGTAAATGCTATCAGGCCAGCTCATGCCCTCCAGAAAATGCACTGCGAATGTCCCTATACCTATACAAACAATAACAATTCCCAACGCCAACCCAATCCTGCTTCTTCCTTTCTCTTTATCCACCATATACGTCTGGAACATGTTCTTGAACTTCCCATCCGAGGGCCTCAACAAGACTGATTCTTTGTCACAGATGTACGCCACCAACCCATTTAGCAGAATGTCGAAGAACCCGAAACCGAGCAAGATGAAGAAACAGGTGAGGTACTTGGCAAGCGTGGTACGCGGAACAATGTCGCCATATTCAATGGTGCAGAGCGTGACCACAATGTAGTACAGAGCATCCACAAGCTTGTAGGTTTTTTCGAGCTCGAAATTTGTTGTGCAGAATGTGACAATGCCAATTATGACATACACAATAAGACCAATTATGAGCTTCTTCTTCTTGTTGTTCAATATGGCAATGGGATTGGCGCAAGAAGAAGAGGTTGGTGGCGTGGGAATAGGATCGGGACCGATAGCATCATCACCGGTGACCAGCGGAGCAGGTGATAGGCTTGGAGGGCAAGGAAGTTGTTGGTGTTGTGCTTCCTCTAGACTCTGGTTCATCTTTGCCGCCAACGCCAAGTCTTGTGTCATGCTTGGGAAGAAAAGGTTCATCCATGGTGATGAAATATTAAGGATTTAAAGTCTTGGTGTTATTGAATTTGAGAAGAAAAAAAACCAACTCCAATTACAGGTCAAATCGAGGGAACACTGGCAGACCCAGAAATTTTTTAGCGGAGGTGCAATATTGACTAAGTATGAAAAATGGTTTTTCGGAATAATCATTTTCTCAAGATAATTTTTGGCGACTTTTATTCCTTACACATCAAATAAGAAAACTTGATTTTATGGGATTTTAGTATGAAGTATATATTGACTTAATGAGCCATCATTTTTAGCATAAATCATATTTTGCACTAAAACCGAATTTTCATATTTCGATTTGGTGGGAATTTGATTTTCTAGTATTTTTATTTGAATACAAATGGGGGGTACTTCCTTATTTACATTGTAAATTTAAGTAAATGGAGTAATATAAAAATAAATAAAAGTAAAAGGATAAAGACATTTACTTAAATGTTGAAGATGAAAATAAGGTAATATGTACAACAGTTGAGCAAAGGGGAGGTGAAGCACTTACAATGGTTTTTTCCGGCTAGGGGAGGTGCAGCTGCACCTCCTTGCGCCTTACTAGATCCGCCAGTGCCAGGGAAGAAGAGAAAGTTGAGTGGTGGTTTGTTTGTTCATCTAAGTTTTAAGTACAACCCTTTCAAATTTTGTTTGAATTTTTTTAGGAAATAGTATCGCCGTGCGTGTATATACACGCTTTCCTTAATTTTTTTTAAAAATAGTATAGCCGAGCGGCTTGACTCTTTTGACACGTGGCACCTATGCGTTGGGCACTCTTTTTTTAATATACAAATAGTATAACTGTGCGGCTATACATTTAAAAAAGAAAATTTAATATGAAAAATTTAATATGGAAAATTTCTTTGTGCCGACGAACTTTCATCGGGATAGGTTTTTTAATTTTAAAATATAAAAAAATTGGTTTCTTCACTTTTATTTTTTTAGCTTACTTCTTTAATTAAATATATATAATTGAGTAATATCTGAGCTTTTTTGAATTTCATTAATTAGTAATAACAACACAATTGCAAAACACCTTCCTGAAGAAGTCTTGAAACTCAAATCCCCATAGCCTAGAGTCGTGTGACTGATGTAACAGAGAGGTAAATGCTATCAGGCCAGCTCATGCCCTCCAGAAAATGCACTGCGAATGTCCCTATACCAATACAAACAATAACAATTCCCAATGCCAACCCAATCTTGCTTCTTCCTTTCTCTTTATCCACCATATACGTCTGGAACATGTTCTTGAACTTCCCATCCGAGGACCTCAACAAGACTGATTCTTTGTCACAGATGTACGCCACCAACCCATTTAGCAGAATGTCGAAGAACCCGAAACCGAGCAAGATGAAGAAACAGGTGAGGTACTTGGCAAGCGTGGTACTCGGAACAATGTCGCCATATCCAATGGTGCAGAGCGTGACCACAATGTAGTACAGAGCATCCACAAGCTTGTAGGTTTTTTCGAGCTCGAAATTTGTTGTGCAGAATGTGACAATGCCAATTATGACATACACAATAAGACCAATTATGAGCTTCTTCTTGTTGTTGTTCAATATGGCAATGGGATTGGCGCAAGAAGAAGAGGTTGGTGGCGTGGGAATAGGATCGGGACCGATAGCATCATCACCGGTGACCAGCGGAGCAGGTGATAGGCTTGGAGGGCAAGGAAGTTGTTGGTCTTGTGCTTCCGCTAGACTCTGGTTCATCTTTGCCGCCAACGCCAAGTCTTGTGTCATGCTTGGGAAGAAAAGGTTCATCCATGGTGATGAATATTAAGGATTTAAAGTCTTGGTGTTATTGAATTTGAGAAGAAAAAAAACCAACTCCAATTACAAGTCAAATCCAGGGAAGAAGAGAAAGTTGAGTGGTGGTTTGTTTGTTCATCTAAGTTTTAAGTACAACCCTTTCAATTTTGTTTGAATTTTTTGAGGAAATAGTATCGCCGTGCGGCTATACACGTTTTCCCTAATTTTTTTAAAAAATAGTATAGCCGAGCGGCTTGACTCTTTTGACACGTGGCACCTATGCATTGGGCACTCTTTTTTTAATATAAAAATAATATAACTGTGCGGCTATACGTTTAAAAAAGAAAATTTAATATGGAAAATTTCTTTGTGCCGACGAACTTTCGTCAGGATAGGTTTTTTAATTTTTTAATTTTAAAATATAAAAAAATTGGTTTCTTCACTTTTATTTTTTTAGCTTACTTCTTTAATTAAATATATATATAATTGAGTAATATCTTAGCTTTTTTGAATTACATTAATTAGTAATTATATTTTAATTATTATTTAATATAAGAAAAATTAAAGAAAAAGTCCACAATATAACTAATTTATATTTATTAATATTAGACCATTACTCGAGTATTTTTCTCCCATGAAGTGATAAATGGGATCAAAGAAATGCCAGAAATGCAGATAATAATAATAATAATAATAATAATAAAGGGTTTCATCAATCTGGCTGTAGCTCACCCATGAAATAAGACAAGTCTCCAAGAACCCTTTTGGTATTATGAAGCATAAATGCATTACTCTATGAAGAAAGTTTTGTTTTTCGGTTGGAGAACACATGAAGAAAGTTTAACAACTTCTTATTATTTGTTCAGCTGTCAAACTAAAAAAGAAAAAGAAAATTGGTTCAGCTGATGAGAACATAACCTGCGCCATGTAAGAGTCTACCTGCATAAACGAAACGGTTTCATGAATCTGGCATAAGCTAAAAAATGTCACCAAGAACCTTTTTGTGTAATGAGGTATAATTTATAATTGCACTTACCGCATGCCTATGGCGTAACGAACAACTTGCGGATTATTTGTTCAGCCGATGAGAACATAACGTGCAGCGCTCTCCGGGGGTCTACCTGCAGCAGTTGGGTTGGTTCTCAGAACAGTTTTTCGTACCTGTGCATGACACTCTGCTTCTTTCTGAAACATCTTAACCAGTTCTTGGAGCTCTAGTTTTCTAGCTTCAACATCCTCTTCAACAATGGGTTGTTTTAATCCAAGGTAAACCGATCCAATTCCAATTAGTATAACCCCTAACAAGACCAGAACAGCAGAAAACAGAGCAAACGCATACGGAGATCCTTCGTTTCCTGGTATTCCATCCACATTGATCCCAAAAAGGCCAGTAATGATAGAAAGAACAAGGCCACAACCCCCAAAAACTCCCAAGTTATGCGTCACTGTGAGGCTTTTGTCCTAGAATTAGAGTAGTGGCAGAGTGTGAGAGTACCATTATATTAAAAATCCAACAATGACAATAGAGCATCAAAACTATACCTTGATCAACTAGCCACTAAAGCAAATTAATTTCAAGCTAAAATGTAACACAGATCCTGTAAATGAAATTGCTGTTCACAAATTTATACTATAAATATTTCCACTATATTCATAATGAAATGCATTTTCCGTCATAAACTTTTGAAGATAAAACATTTGAGCTATGGAAAGTTATCTGAGGGGTTGTAAGGAATCCATGACAATTTTAAGTGTTTGAGTTTGTCTGTAAACCTGCAACCATGCACGAACAGTGCTCTGCATCACATCTTGAATGGTAAACAAGCGACCACGAACTGCTTCTTGCTCTTGAATCATTTCCCTTGTACTCTTTATTACTCGTTCTAGCAAGCTCTTTGCGGCATCCCCTCTCAAGTGCTGAAGAAGCTCAAACACAATTTCCTCTCGTGCATGGAGTGTCCACTTCACTCTTATAACCTTCTCAATGAACATTAATAAACCAAGTTTGGGTGAAAAGTATGTTTGTGTGATTCAAACTAATTAAAAGATTTGTTATATAAACTAGTACGAAATGAAAAATTGTAGCCAGGCCAGAGAAACTGAAGCAACAAGAAGAAATGTGACTCATGGGAAGAAAACAAAATGTCTTAAAAATAGGAATAGCAACTCCTTTCTAAAAGGAAAGACATAAAGGAGGAGGGAAAAAAAGAACAGAGGCACAAAACTGGCAAAAATAAATTATAGACAGTTTGAGCATGAGCATGTTGGTTGTGGCAGAATAACAGTGTTTTGATGTTCAGAGTAACTGCAACCTTTTTGCCTCCCTTATTTTGTCTGTGCTGATTAAGTTATTTTTGCGACTACATACCACTGCCTCAGTAGAAAAATATATTTCAATATTTTATTCATCCAAAGATTGAAGCATACTTGTCATGAGACAAAAGGTGATAAAATTTGACAACTGGCAATTTTAATTACACACAATCAGAATACAGATCTATATCGATTATGCTAATAACAAGATGAAGCAACTGATTTGAATAATTCTACATACTACAGACAGACTTCTAATTGCTTCTCATACTGTACAAGATAGAGAGGCTTCTGTTAAGGATAACACAAGTATCATACCTGGGTTGATAGCCTTTGGATTTCTTGGTTCAATATTATACTGAATAGATACATATCCTCATGGGTTCTCCTATTCACAAGGGAACATAATTTGTTGTACATGTCATACGTTGAAATCAATAGGCCTACATCCAATGTAAATATTTTCTATAGAATACAATGAGATGGGTGGAGTGAAGCACCTGTCCATAAACTTCAGCTCAACTTCATCTGCAGCCCCAAATATGGACTTGCGATATAACCTGAAAAATAATGAAAAGTACAAAGAGAAAAAAAATTAACAAGTCGTTTGATGATAGAAGCCTTGCATGGTTTATGAGTGTAAATATATAGCAGTGCCAAAATTGCTTACATGGAAAGTTTAGGATGAAATGCTTAATGATCTTTCGACATATATTCTCCCCTCTTAATTAATAGCTAAGATAATAGGAGGCGGTTATTTGACTATAACTGAAGTACTATTAATTGGATAAGGTGAAGATGAGATTTAAAAAATCTATCACCTATCATCCCAACACGCAAGGCGGCAAGCTAAATGTGCTATGATTTCGTGAATACTCCGCGGCATGTTAATGCCCTCAGCAGCAAGCAGTTCCTGCACCAAACATGAGATGAATTATGATGGAAAATAAATTTCAATCAATCTAAGCATGGAAACTTAATAAAAACTTTAATGCAGTAAACAGGAACAAACCTGGACTTCTACTATTCCTAAAACATTAATGTTCTGTGCAGAACCTTTAACATGCAATGATGTTACTAGAAAATTTTGTGACTGCCATGATCGTAAGACAATGGGAATGTCATCTTCATTAACAAGTGGATCCCCTGCTGACTGGCCTAGAAGCTCAAATAATAGGCCACAAGCAACCCTTACAGGAACCTGGCCATACCATAGAAAATTACTTGCATTAACTTTTAACAGTAGTAAGTTAGATTAGTGGTTCTGCATAAATAGGAAATAAATGTAGACATGATATAGATGGTATAATGACGAGCATGAGGAAGTTGCATCTTAAACCTAAATACTTACACAAATAGATATTATACGAAGAACTTTCTTTATATGATTCCTAGTGAGATCATTGAATAAAAAAACGAGGAGGAAGAAGAAGAAGAAGAAGAAGAAGAAAAACCTCATATTCTATAATCTTTGTTGACAGTAACAAGCAGCACATATTTGATAGTCTAAATGATAAACAAGCATTTACCTCATACAGAATGTGCTTCATTCGCTCACTTATCAGCTTACTTTCATCTCGCAAAGCAATACTGACAGCAGGGTGTAACCATTGAGCAGTACGCAACCATGAATTGATGTATGGATGACCAGCAGCTACATGACACCACCAAGTGGGACCTACTGGCCGTTCCCAGTAAGGAGCTGCAACATCTGCAACGGCAACATCATTGTCATCTTCCTTGAAGTCTGTGGGCTGTTCCCAGCAAGCATCAACTTGTACTGTCTGGACCAGTTCAGATATCCTATCCCAGCCAATCGGTACCCAACAATTTCTGGGAAGACCTTCTTTGCCACGGAAATGACCTGAATGAGAGTCCGGGCTGTGGTTATTGTCTTCTTGATCATCCTTACACTCACATGAGTTGTTTCTATTCTCTCTTGAGTGTAAGGAATTACTCAATTCAGGTGAAGAAACTTGCTTTTTTGCCACATGATTAACAAATTGTGGTGCGGACAGGACCTTCTTATGGCCTCGAACAAATTCAAATGCACAAATGAGTCCATGAGTCCAAAGATCAGTATTGGCATCTGTACTATTAGAGTGGCCTCTCTGACTCTCTTGCTTCTTCATTTTGTTGCGCACGGGAGCTGCCATGACTCATACCACACTAGGCATAGCAAGTCAAATAATCTAAATAAAAACCTCAATGAATATATACCTTTTAGAGGAAATCAGATGAAACAAAACGCAAATTTTCATTACAAGTATAAGGAAATATTGCGTTTCTATGCTTCGGTTAGACATGTATCAACAGGTTTTCATAAACTGGATAACAAGTCAACAACCAAGAATAATTGCTAACTTTCTGCTGAACCACAAATTGACATTCACCACTAAAATCCTAGCTGAGTTTTAACTTTTAAATCTTGCAATTTTCCAGTTTTACTCTCTGTCGAAAATGGGGGAGGTTTTTAAAAATAAAATAAAATTCAACAATACATAATTTAGGCTTCTGTTGGTATGGAAGAGCATCAGTGGCAAATGATTTGAGCAAACTCATTCAATCAATCCAAACTGGCATAAACCAAATTGGGTAGTGAACATAACATTATTTCTTTTCCATTTCCTTCTCTATGAAGAGGGAAGTTCTCAAATCTTGTACTGACAATAGCTTGATTTCCAATTAAAGATTATAAAAAAAGCCTCGGCTACTCGTATTTAACTAAATCCAATTCAAAGAACCAACAAACGGACCAAAATAGAATCTGATTAGTTTTGGCATAATCATGAATTACATATAAGAACAATGAAAGACAACGACACTCGTAGCTGTCGACTGAGACAGTGAAGAAGGAAAGAGAAACTCAACCTCTCAACCCAACAACAATCAAGCTCAAACTCTTCCCATCATATTTCCTCACGAAATTAACAAACTTACCAGCTCTGAGAGAGAGAAGCTTGATGAAATTTTGCCTCAGAGAGCCCGAGAGGGTCTTCAAAGATTTCAAGAACAGCAGAAATATTGAGGCGGCAGCAGCTGAGGCAGGCATGGGAAGCAGTTGATAAGGGCACGTGGACAGCTTTCCAGTGACGCTGCATGATTGTTCAGTGCAGGCACAACCTCTTCGCTTGCCACACACCCAGTGAAGACTCTCTCTCTCTCTCTCTCTCTCACATATGCAAAGTTGCAAACTTTTTGTTTTTGCCGACAACAAACAAAAATGCAAACTTTGCAATTGAGTTAATTTTTTTCTAATATGCTTTTTTAGAGATTGGACCTGCGCTCTAATGAAGTTTATGGTCAGCCTTGCTTTGGTCCCCGGTCCACCGTTGAGCTTGAGCTCGGTTTGTCATGGAGCAGAAGAGACCTACGAGCAGGAATGCGGACCATATATTTTTATGGGGCCCACTGACCCGATTTTGATCCGTTTACAATCAACAGCCCGACCAATTGAAGAGCATCAAGTCAAAGTGTCCTTTTAAAGAAAGCACCCAAAATGTATTTTATGTAAAAAAATACTATAATAATTTTAAGCCATTCTTGATTCTCAAGAAAAGAATGCTAATTTGAGTGCGACTGGATTCAACTCCCTAATATTATTAGTAATGGAATGTTTAAATTCTTTCCCAAAACTGGTTAGTACGACTATGATAATATCCGTTCGTATTACACTAGAATGTTAAAGCAATTATATTAACCGATCACATATTATCGTAGTTTACTTTTATCTTACGTAACGTTTTATAACTTACTAATTCACATATGCTAAGCATACACATGATTATTCCATTGTTAATTAAGACATCAATTATAAAACCATATCACCAGAAAAATATAAAATGTGTCAATTACAATACCGACGCTAGAGAACTTTTCTGCTAACAAGCAACCCTAATAAAACCTAAAAAGAATTAGCATGTACAAAAATAAAAAGGAATTTGGTAAAAATTTACAATTAAAATACGTACTATTTACTTTTGACGACAAGTACTGACTCTGTCTCTAACCTAAAAACGACCCTAAAAATCTTCCTAATCTTGGACCTAATCTCACCGCCAATCTTACATTCCCAAATCTTAGCCTCTCCACAGCCGTCCATTCCTGTGATCAAATAGGCAACACAGACAGCGTGGCGTGCAAGGGCAATGGACTGTGACGAAAAAACTATAACCGCCCGTGAAATTAGCAGCCCTCCCTGACTTGCTGTTACTAAACTCTAATTCTTAATCAGTCCACCAGGAAAAGAAAAAACCGGGTCGTATATAAAAGCCAAAAGATAGAGAGAGAATTTTGTAATGTCGTTTCAGAGATAGAGATAGAGAGAGAGAGAGACTGAGAGACTGAGGGTTTTGGTTGTGTTTGGCTGATCGGAAATCTTGAGCGAGAGCCGCAAAGAAAGTTTTTTCCCGAGCAAATTTTCTTCGATTATTTTTTTTGAAGAAAGACAGAGAGAGAAGGATGGGGAGTGAGACCAAGAATGGTGCGGCGGCCCCGCTTTCGCCGGGGATGAAGAAGATGGTGCAGAGCCTCAAGGAGATTGTGAACTGCCCTGAGCCTGAGATCTACTCGGTGCTTAAAGACTGCAATATGGACCCGAACGAGGCCGTTCAGCGCCTCCTCTCTTTAGGTTTCCACGCCACCACCTTTTTCTTTATCAGTTTTATTTAGAATTAAAAAAGATTTTGATGCTTTTGTTTTGCGAAAGGAATGAAACTTTTTTAGTTTTTATTTAGGTTTTTTTTTGTTGTGTTTGGATGTTGAGAAACATTAGGAGGAGATAGGAAAGTTCAAAGCTTTGAATGTCGTGGGCCTTGTGGCACAGCCGTTATAGGTATTGGAGGATTTTTTTTTATATATAGTGTGCCTATGGAATTTTTACAAGGAAAAATCTGTTTTGGCTTTAGAATATGTTTCCTGTGAAATTTTGGATTTATTTAATATTTTGACCCGTAACCTGGAGATTTTGGGAGATTCACTCTGTTCTATTCGCCTTATTCTTTAGATTTTCGACCAAATTTTCAAACACGAATTGAAAATTGTGATGTTTTGTTGTGTAGTCCTAGAGGTCTGGGTACTTCATCCAAGTAATGCATTAGGAAAAATTTAATTCTGTATTCTAATACTTATGAATATATGTAGAATTTGAAGGTAATTTTTGAAAATTTAATTATGTATTCTAATACTTAATGGATGTATTCAAAGCACTTTGTAGGTTGTTGCTCATTCAATATTGATTTATTAAAGCTATTTTTTCAAAGCACTTACTAGTACTAATCATCAATATATGTTATTTTTTCTTTTACGTAAAATGTCTTCCTTGCCGATTCTCTTTAGTGCATTGAGTTTAAACATATCTATTCAACCGAATTTTCTTCCGCTACTTTTGGATCTAATTAATATTCAAATTCATCATTGATTTAGTATTCTGTAATTGTGTAGATACTTTTCACGAAGTGAAGAGCAAACGTGAAAGAAGGAAAGAGGTTTGTGTAAAATGCGCTCACTTTAAACTTTGTTTTGTGTAAAATGTGCCGATTTTAATTTGTCCTCTAATGGTTTTAATGTGTTTTGACAGAAGTTAGCAACAGTGGAAATTTTTTGGGACTTAATTTATTAAGTATCATAAAAAATAATTCGTTATCACAATTGTCTTATGCCTACAGCTTGTTTATTAGTGTGATGAGGATCTTTACTGTTATTTTTTTCCGTATTTTGAAATTTTCAGTTTAAGATTCCTTTCCGTTTCTGATTCTCTGGTATGTATTTTCAATGTGCAATTGGAATGATTAACAGGGCTTCCTCCTTTTTATTTGCTACATTATTTGTTTTTGTTTCTATTTCTTTATAATTCATGTTATTTTTATTTATTTTAAAATATTCAGATGAAGGAGACACAAGATTCCAAGTTGCGAGTTCACAGCAGTGGTTCAAATCGTGGAGTTAGAGGTAGTAGTGAGCGTAATGGTGGATGGTGTGGTTCAACTCAAACTAGTTCCAATGGTATATTAAACTCACTGTCTTGTACTTGTATGAGTTGCATGGTTGTGCATTTTAATATTGCATGTTTTTAATTTGTGAACTTTTTGTGTTCCTCCTGTTAGAGCTCGGTCAAGCTGCATGCAAGGGACAGAATGGGTTTGTTGCTCCTTCAGCTTCCCATTTTATGGGAGGAACTATGAGCCAGCAACCTTCGTCTCACAGGTAAACTCTAAAATGAAATTCCTAGTCTATGCTGCTTTTGTTTTCTTCTAGAAATTACTGGTAAGGTTAGCCAGATGCTCTGCTGTATTTTTGATAAGTCATCTTTTAATATCTGCTGCAGTGATTCTCTAAGTACTTCAATAGGGTCAGGTGATGGTGCAACCTCTGCATCTGTGCAACCTTCTCCGGGAAATCAATCCACTTCTTTTGGTACCAGCTCAGGACATCTTTCAATGGCTGAAATTGTTAAGATGGGTAGGCCACCCTGCAAAGGCTCACATATTTCATCTGATACATCTTCCCATCAGGATGTATTTGCAACAAATTTATGTAATTGCCGTGTGGAATCTTCCCAAACTTCTGCACTTATGGAACCAGAGATGCACCGATGTATGCACAATCAGAATCCTTCTCATGTATCAGAGATGATCCATAAACCTGGTGATACTTCTGGACAGAATGCCTTCCATGATGAATGGCCTGTGATTGAGCAGCCCACAGCTGCAAGTAGGTCATCAGTTTCAAGTGCAAATGTTGAGATACATGCTAATCAATCTAATCTCTATATCAATGACTCCAACATGCCAAGGGACTGCCAGTCTCATAAAGTCCAAGTATCAGAGGGGAATTATAGTTGTCAAAATCTTAGTTCAGACCACAATGCTTATGCTTTTGCTTCCAGCAGACAGAAGATGGTGGATGCTTCTGGTGGAAGATCTTATTGTGTTGATGATTTGTCTTCTAATTCTAGTTCCTATGATTCTCATAGGTCTGCATATGAGAATGGGGAAGGTAATTATTTTTGTTTTAAATATGAATTTGGGATGATTTTTTTTTCTTTTGTCAACGTTTGAAGTAAGAGATCATTGCTAATGACATTCATGATGCTAGAATCCAGATCAATACTGGCATGAAACACAATTCTAACAATGTAATTTACTTCTACTGATACTGTTTGTATTGTGATGGATAACATTTACAAAAACCATGATGCTTCTTGCGCTTGGATAGCTATTAAGTGAACAATGCAGATATCAATGCCAGAAGTTTTGGGTTGGTAGCATGATTTGTATCCATGCTTGTTTGATTTGTTAGGTCAAAAATCTTTGGCTGAGTGAAGCACAATTCTGTGTCTCGTTTTGTCTTAACTTCCTTTGTTGCCTTTATAATTTCACTTTTTGTTTCTTTTATGTTCCGAAGATTTTTCGACCTGTATCAGCATAAGTTTATTTGTTTACTTACTAATATATTTGATTTTTCTGCATGATAAAAATTGTTCCTGTCACTTTTTCCTTCAACCTTCCTTGATTGAAATCATTAATTCACAGAGGAAGTTGCTTGCATAGCCAATTGACTGTTTTGCGAAATAATTTTCTTTTTATAATAGAAGACCTGATACTTTTTTATCTTCCTAAATCCCTTTTTCGGACTAGATTTGTGTAGTTATTGATGTGATCTTCTACCCTAGTGCACAGAGCCTGGGATTTGAAACTTGAAAGGGTGGTGGTCAGGTTTGGATTTGGTTTGTGAAACTGAAATGTCTTTGATGAAGGTGTGTGATAGTTTTGGTGGAGAAGGGTTGCAAATTTACCTTCATGTCGTATTATGTGAAAGAAAACAAACGGTTATGTTTTTACTCATAAAGTTTATTATCTTTACCACCCAAAGTTTATGTTACCTTTTCTTTTGTCTTTATTGTGTTCATTGTGTTTGTGTAATTCCAGGAACTGGCTTTGGTTCAAATGTGTCATGTCCAAATCGTTCTGTCTCCAATGATGTCGCTGTGGCTGTATCATCAGCTACTATGAACATGCAACAACTAAATTTAGGAAAGGAGGAGCCTACAGATAATTGTGCAGTAGTCCTTCCAAATAATTTGCAAGAGTTGGCAGCTGATTGTTCGCATTTGAGTTTTGGCACCTTCAGATCAGGCCCTAGTTCTGCATTTTCCAGGTCGCCATCTAATTCCTTGAAAAATGACTTGGGAGGATTCTCAGCAGGAATAAATGTTTCATCAGCCGGGCACTTGGATACAAGGCAGGAGTCTTTCAATTCAGGGTACAATCATGACGAACTTCTTGGATCCTTATATGATACAGGAAGGACAACCATAGATGCTAAACGTTATGACTTGCCTCAGCCAGAGCTGATAAAACATGATATCCTTGAACCTACCCTTGGACATAAAGACATCTCCGCCTCATCTCTACGTGATTTTGAATCGGAGAACATCCAAAGAGCAAGTTCTGGATCGTCTTTTGCTAGGGCAGATCCCAAATTCAGAAATATTCCTCCTCGTCAAAATGATATGGTAGAGTTATATTCTTAACTTTCTGTATTCTGTGGTTTTCACAACTCATAAAGAATTGGGAAACTTTGGAAAAGATCAAAGGAGATAAATTTTTTAAAAGAAGCCAAAATGGACAAAATTGCCCTTATTTATTTTTGGATTTCCTAAGGAATCCTTTACATTTTCATGTCTTTGGTTTGAAAGTTGAGAGGTTTTTCTGTCGTTTTTGAAACAGTTTTGGCTTTTTCCAAAAGTGAAATTTTGTGTGTGGCTAAAACCTAAATTTACTTAAAGAATATTTGTTTGCTGCTGAATTAAGGAAGGGTTCTCATTTGTTGACTGAATTTGATCAGTAGTTGCTTGTGTGCATTGGAACGACTTATCTAAGTGCCACGCAATTACATTATATTGTATCTTCAATCATTTGATGTTCATGGAGTTGGTATATGGGTTTATTATACTTGTCATGGTACTGGGGTTTTCCTAAGAATTTTCAAAGAATTTTCATGTGTGTACACATGAAAGAAAATCATATTTGAAATTATGCACATCTACAATCTGTTGGTGTCCCTAGTTCTTCTAACTGCTGATTTGCCCATTCTTGAATCTGCGGTTGAATCTTTGTAGGTTCTTAAGAAAGGGAAATTTTGGTGTTTTAAGTAATCATAGATCTGTTCTCTATCCATCTCATTGCATCATCTAGTATTGGATCTCTCTCTTGCTTTCTTCATTGGTGTCTCCCAAAGTTACCATCTAATTTTCTTCAGTCTTTGAATATTTTGATTATGCATGTGGTCTGATTTCCTTGTATTCTCTCTCTCAAAAAAAATAAATAAATAAATTCCACAGGCATATTCGGATTCTATGCGAAGTGATCTATTGGAGTCATACTCACAGTTGTTGGTGACACCATCAGTGCCTTCAAGATACAGCAGTGCAATTTCATCTATAAACAATCCAACAATTTCCGTGTCAGAGGTAAGGGATGGGTGACCTTTTTGTGCATCACACTCATGTTATCTGTCTCTTGCAGTGGATTAAACCCCTGATCATGAATTTGAGGCCCGCATTCAAAACACACACACACATTTCTTTTCAAATTGACTAAATTGAATAAAATGCTTGTTGATATCCATGGCATTACAATCATACAGGCTCTGAGACCAGGCTCCATACCTATGTCTGAGGCATCTTCTGTACTTCCTCAGCACCTAACATCCCGTTCATACTCGCAACCTGCCCTTTCTTATGAACAGTTAGCGAACATAATTGGCTACCCTTCCATGACTCAGAGCTACTCCCCTGCACCATCAACTTTGCAGCAAGCATATCTAGGTGGTAGTGCATTCCAGCAGTCCGTGGCTGGCATGGATTACAACTTTCCACAGTATAGAAGTGGCGCCTCAGTAAGCAGATTGCCACCATCTGCTGCTGCTGTTGGTGTTCATGGAAATTTTGGGGCCTCTAATAACGTTCATGGGAGTTTCTTGCAAAATGCATCTGCTGCTCCTGTCAGCATGAGTGGCTATGATGATGCTTTGCGTGCTCGGTACAAGGATGGAAGCCATTTAACCCCTCTTCATCAGGTAGAGATGAGCATTTTGATACTATATTTGTTTTAAGTTTTCTGTTGTGTTTACCGTAAAGTCAGTAAATGGAGTTTATCCCATCTGTTATCTGACATGTATTGTGTGTTTATAATGGTGGTGCTGTTTAAGGATTTGTTATATGGTTTGTGGGATGGCATGCCACTATTATGGAACAAATAGTTGGCGTATAATATGTGATTATTGGCTTCCTATGCATATGGAAAACTTCCTTTCTTGAAGGATAGCAGTATTTTTGCGCAACTTTTGTTTGTGCAGCTTCTTGTTTGTTGTGTGCTTCTGAGCAGTAGTTTACCATGACTTTCTGATTTGATCTCCACTGGCTTGGTCATAGATTTTTATGCTTGATTGTTAGTTATCTACTTTAAAGTTCCTTTTTGCTGTGTTTTGCAGAGTTCAAGAACCTTGTCTTCCGTTCCAGACAGCGTATATGACAATGTACTTCGTCAGAATCAACAGAATGCAGGATATCGACAAGGGCAAGCTGGACAGATGCCCTCACAGTTGCAGCATTATGGATCCCCAGGATACCCCGATTTCTATCCGTCCCAAATGGGCATAACACAAGAACATCACCGGCAAAGCCTCAATGATTTAAGCTTAGCTGGGATTCAAGACCTGTCACCTCAGCAGTTGCACCAGATTTGGCAGCGGACCTACTAACGAAAATTTTTCCCCTTCTCATTTTTTACTTTTTTTCCCATGGGACTTGTAGTGAGTTTGGAGTTGCCAAATTAGGGTGTTACTATAGCTCAGAATCTATGGTGGTTATGTTTGGCTGTCCAATTGTACATACTCTGAACTGGGAAGTTATTGTTTTGTGCCTTATGCCTCAATGTTGTATCTTACGAAACTGTGTTGGGGCATGTTTTTTATTTTCAATGGGATAGCTTGCAAATTTTGATTGCCCTAGTGAAAGTGTTCTCATTCTTTGCTTTACCGATTTCTCTAAATAGATATTTTAAAGGCAGGAAATGCGCATTAAATGACCTTAATTAACATGGTTTATCAGCCAAAATAAAAGAGTTGAGGTTGGTAGCTTAAGCTCAAAGGAACTGAGTTGTTGAGTTTGTGAATGATTTAAGTATAATATATGTAACATGGGTATATGTTACTGTTGGGGAAGGCAATTGACATGAAGAAAAAGTCAGTTGGGAGGTAGGCAGTGAGAGGAGTGATGATGTTGGTTTTGATAAAACTAGTGATAAATTTTGAGGTTGGTGGAGTATCACTTAAACATCTCCTAATTCTGGATCATTCTTTGTGGTTTGCTTGATAAAACTATTGGTAGAAATGTTGCTATTTAAACCCACTTTCTGAACACAGCTCATGGTGAATCTCTGGTGATTGCAAAAGAGTGAGCTCCAACACTAATGGCAGGAGGTGCAGATCTACCAGTGCCTTCTGTTGTGTCCAAAACTGCAATTGATCGGAGCCAAGACGCTGATAAAAGTAACAGCCACCACAGGCCTGGCATTGATGCAACACTTATGGCACCCAAGTTACCAAAGGCAGTGCCACCAATTTCTGCAGCAGCTGAGGGGGAGAGTATCCGGAGGCCACGTGGCAGGCCAGCTGGTTCCAAAAACAAGCCAAAGCCGCCCATCATAGTCACCCGTGACAGTGCTAATGCACTTCGTGCTCATGCTATGGAAGTAAGTTCGGGCTGTGATGTGAGTGAAAGCCTAACCAACTTTGCAAGGAGGAAGCAGAGGGGCATTTGCATACTGAGTGGAAGTGGCTGTGTGACCAATGTCACATTGCGACAACCAGCTTCCTCTGGAGCAATTGTGACCCTCCATGGCCGGTTTGAAATTCTCTCGTTGCTCGGGTCAATCTTGCCCCCTCCAGCCCCTCCTGGGATCACAGGCCTGACCATCTATCTAGCAGGGGCTCAGGGGCAGGTTGTGGGTGGGAGTGTGGTTGGTGCACTCATTGCTTCAGGGCCTGTTGTGATCATGGCTGCATCGTTCATGAACGCTACTTTTGATCGTCTGCCACTGGATGAAGATGAAGTTGCTGCAGCTTTGCAAAACCAACAATACCAAAATGGCCGTCACCACCACTTGGATATTTCGGATTTATATGGACTTCCACCGAACCTGCTCACCAATGGCAATGTGCCTCCTGAGGTGTACTCCTGGGCATCAGGCCGGACCATGTCAAAAACTTAACATGGTTGCAGCAATGCATGCCTCTATTGATCTGTGGCATTAATGTTCTTCAGATGTACTGTTATTGCCTTCACTGTAGCATTAAGCTTTACTGAAACAATTTCAAATGCCTTTGTTTCTGCTTGTTTTTCTGTTAATGCATCATTAAGTATATAATCATGTAACAAGTGCAAGAGCACCTATATAAAATACAGTTGGGCTACTTCACCTCTGTTCAAAACCACAGAAAATCACTTGCATGCTTTCCCACTGAAAAGGGTTGGTATGTAAATGACCTATAAGTATTTGAAAGATCTTCAGCAAAACAGAAAAGAGAAGAACTAAAGTTTGTGCAGGGATGTATCTTGGACCAGAAGAAGGCCCACGGACTTAAAAAGAGGCAGATATGAACCAGGTTTGGAATATAAAGGAATGAAAGAAATAATTCCCAAATTCCTCGTTGACTCTGACCAGCTACTGTGAGCATGCGCAATTGAAGACTGACAAATGAATTTGGATACAAAAAGACGAAAAAAACACAATTTAAAAAAAAAGAAGTGGGAAGAAAATGTAACTGTATTAAAAATTAAATGGGAAATTTGACAGTTTTGCTGGATTTCTTCGTCTTAATGAGGCGATATTAAGGATTAGGGTCTCCCGTTCAACGGACAATTTACCAAAGCCCCTTCACATCATTCATGCAATGCATGGCCATGGATCATGGATGATGGGTAGGTACAAAATTATACAAATCTAAAATATATGTAGAGAGAGAGAGAGAGAGAGAGGGATTGGAGTTGAAAACTTATTGAATCTTGATGATGACAATAGCTATGTTGGTTTCTCAAAGGAAAAAGGACACGTAGCCATGTTGATAAACAGAGGACGGCACCGAATCCTTTTGACTTCTCCCTTTTTTTTTCTTACCCTTCCAGTTCGTGCCCTATTTATACATCTACGTCTGCTTTGCATTGGGAAGGTGCATTATATAAGGGGCGCTTTGGCAGTGATCGAGGAAAGGCCACTAAGCTAGCAAGCTCGAGATTGATTAGAAGCACTTCAATGGAGGAGAAAAGTTTGGCGTAAGTACTTATCTTTTGTTTTGCAGTAATCCTAGCTAGCTTCAACTAACTAATTTGTTCCATAATTTGCTTTTGTCTATGAAGCTCCATCTAATTATCTCATGTCTATCAATGATCTTCTCATCAACTTCTTCTATCTGTTATTATATATAATCCTCTGTTGCAATACCATTTAATTAAACTTTCTCATTAACTATAACAGCACAAGCAAAGAACCTTCTATAGCGGAGTTGCCCAAACATATACTTTCTCTCATCGCTATGCAAGGCGCACTCCTTTCGCTGAAGCAGCAGAGAGCCGGAATGGCATCTCTACTTGACATAGACGATCCAAATGTTGTGAGGGTTAGTGTTGCCTTGACCTTTTTTGGCGGGTCATCAATTGGCGCTGCTTACATACTTGAAGCTCGCCCCAACTCAAACTGGGGAAAATTCATGAGCAAGCTTAGCCTCCTTTTTGGAGCTCTTACCTACATTTTGGTATTGGTGATCCTACTGCCGGCTTTAGAGATACCTACCCTCCTCTTCTGGATCATTTGTTTTGTGAGCTTTATAGCTGTTTACTCGTACCCATACCTCAAAACATTGTTTACAGGTGCAGTTGGAGCCTTTGAAAATTTGCAAGAGAATATCAAGAACATGATCATTGCCCGATGCTTCACATCAAAACCTGATGAAGAGGAGCAATCTGGACATGTTCAACAAATTCCTGGATCCATTCCTGCCCTAATTCAACCACCAATGTTAGAATCGCCATTTTCTATTAAAGCCATGGATGACCAAATTATTGAAGATGAAGTTGCTGCAGCTTTGCAAAACCAACAATACCAAAATGGCCGTCACCACCACTTGGATATTTCGGATTGATATGGACTTCCACCGAACCTGCTCACTAATGACAATGTGCCTCCTGAGGTGTACTCCTAGGCATCAGGCCGGACCATGTCAAAAACTTAACATGGTTGCAGCAATGCATGCCTCTATTGATCTGTGGCATTAATGTTCTTCAGATGTACTGTTATTGCCTTCACTGTAGCATTAAGCTTTACTGAAACAATTTCAAATGCCTTCACTGTAGCATTAAGTTTTTCTATTAATGCATCATTAAGTACATAATCATGTAACAAGTGCAAGAGCACCTATATAAAATATAGTTGGGCTACTTCACCACAGAAAATCACTTGCATGCTTTCCCACTAAAAAAATGCCATCGTGAAATTCATAAATATTTCATCGTGAGTCAAATAGAATAAAGTAAATTGAGAAATGACATAACAAATAATATGCCAATTGCCAAATAAAAAGGGCATAATTGCACGACTCTTATGCAATTGCATTGTTTTTCTCTTAACCTTAAGCCTTAACATTTACCTGTTGTAGCATGTTATATTTCAGTTTATTTATAAATCAATTAGCATGTGGACATGCTCTATTAAAGACAAAAGGCGCATCCATGCACCTGATGCACCCTATCTGTTGCCGACGAAAATAATATTAATAAAGATGAAACATAATTTAAAATTCCGGCAGGTACGATGTGAAGAAGAAAAAGTAGACAAGGTCAGACAAAGGGAGGTTAATCGGAAGGTGGCATGGCAGCATTTGGGATACTGATGTGGTTTGCTGAGCTCACCTACCTGTGCCAGGGAAGTCTTTCTCGTGAAGAAGTAAGAAGAAGTAAACATGGTCAGACAAACATAATATTAATAAATATGAAATATAATTTAAAATTCTTACAGTTACGATATTGTGCACTGCCTTGTAGAACGTGCTTTGTCGTTAACAATTGAAATAAGCTGTGTAAAATATTTTCGGTCTTGTCAATCAATCCGGCAATGACGGGGAGGAAACAGCCCAATTAAACCCATTTTTGTTTGTATATAAGAGGAAGGGCACATGTACAAAAGCTAGCTAGCTAGCTCGAGATGATTAGAAGCCCTGGAGCTGGAACCGGAATGGAGGAGACAACTATGGCTAACTCTCTACGCCTCCTCGAAGGGTGAGTATGTCATTCTTCAAACAGCATGTGTTTTCCGTTATATTAATGAACTTCTCATATCTAGTTATTGCAATACCATTTAATTAAACTTTCTCATTAATTATAACAGCACAAGCAAAGAACTTTCTATAGCGGAGTTGCACAAATACATACTTTCTCTCATCGCTATGCAAGGCGCACTCCTTTCGCAGAAGCAGCAGAGAGCCGAAATGGCATCTCTACTTGACATAGACGATCCAAATTTTGTAAGGATTAGTGTTGCCTTGACCTTTTTCAGGGGGGGCATCAATTGGCACTGCTTATATACTCGAAGCTCGCCCCAACTCAAATTGGGGAAAATTCATTCGAAAGGTGAACCATGTCGGACTTTAATAAATAAATAAATAAATAATCTATTATAATGTAATGAATCTCACAAGAATATATATTAGAACATACAATGGACAACTATTGTTTTGACATGAAGGAGGCCGTAATATTAGATTAAATCTAGGGTATGTCTCGGGTTTGATTCTCTCCCCTCCTATTGTAAAAAATTATAATAACCTCATGTGCGCTCCATCACGTGGCTAACATAAATACCAAGTCCTCTCTATAATGTATAGATGATCTTATAATAGTCTTTGATTGCTGGTTTGCGTGCGCCACCGAACTCATCTGATTCACTGCAACGCAGTCCAAGTGCTCATCACATTTCTGAAGTAATTTTTTTGTTTTTCACCAGGCCGATTCAGTTGGTTTTGGGTTAAAAATTCCAGTTCTATTTGTAGTTGTGTTCTATTCTGTAAAAAAATTACTTCAGAAATGTGTAAAAAAACTACTCTCCCCTCTTTTTTCAGGACTTATTTACATATTATCTCGAATATGTAAATAAGAACTTCTATTTTTCTGCCGATGACAGTTTGATATATGTGTAAAAGTTGTGTTATTTATGAATTAATTTTACATATGTGCCAATTTGTGATTTGCGGGAATGTCTCCTTCCAAGCAAGCAATCTCCTTGATTAAGAAGGGGAAATAAACTATATTCCTAGTCTGGCTACATAAATTCCTTTCTTTTGCTGGAGATTTTATTTATTTATTTGTATGGATGTATTTGACACCTCATACTGCGGCATCAAATTAAATATATTATAGTGTACAGAATTACTCACACAAGGTAATAAATACTCTATATCATATGGATGGAATGGATGCATATTTAATTTATTCTTGAGCCCGTGAAGCCGCCTTGTTGGAAGACATTGGCAAATTAATTAATTAATGAATTAAAGGGGTCAGAGTAGGAAGGTTCGGATCGAGGAATTAGAAGAAATTTGAGGCCTTGCAGCAATTTAGATTTGAGTAGTACGCTAAATTTACGTAGCGTGATTGCTTGCTTGGAAGGAGATTGCAGCACTCAAATTAAAAGAAAAGAGATTGCAGCAAGTCAATATTTTGTAAACTTCTAAGCAAGTGTGGAAGCATTAATATTGACAAAGCAGTTGTGGTAGCGTTGATATTGACCAAGGCCAACACTAATTACAAGGAAACCTTAAATCAAGGAAAAGGTGGTAATCACAACTCACCAATTAGGTAGAGTGTTGACTACAACCTATCCTATACAGAAACTAATCTATATCTTCCAAAATATCTTCAATATTGTTTTTCTGTTAATGTATCATTATGTATATAATCATGTAACAAGTGCAAGAGCACCTATATAAAATACAGTTGGGCTACTTCACCTCTGTTCAAAACCACAGAAAATCACTTGCATGCTTTCCCACTGAAAAGGGTTGGTATGTAAATGACCTGTAGGTTTTTGAAAGATCTTCAACAAAACAGAAAAGAGAAGAACTAAAGTTTGTGCAGGGATATCTCTTGGGTCATTGGAAACATAACCTATGCCATTTCTGGTAACATAAATCCCAACTCATCCAACAAAGAATAAATCTCTGGGGCTTTGTGATGGAGCCTTCCACCAGCTATAAACTCATGAACCTCCCCATCCACTTCGATCAAACTACATCCCGGTTCTTTCTCTATCTTCTGCTGCTTCATGCAAAGCCTTTCCTTCATTGCTTCCTGAAATTGACTAGAGGCAGCATAAACATTTGACATAAGCACATAACCGCAGCTGTCACTTGGATCCAATTCAATCACACGATTTGCTGCCCTTTTAGCCATGTCAACGTTTCTATGCTTCCTACAAGATGAGAGCAAAGACCCCCAAATTATGGCATCTGCTTTCATTGGCATACTATGTATAAGCTCCTCTGCTTCTTCAAGAAGTCCAGCTCGGCCTAACACATCAACCATGCAACTGTAGTGTTTTATTGAAGGTTCAATCTTATATGTCCCTCTCATTATTGAGAAATAATCCCTTGCTTTATCCACCATTCCCGAGTGGTTGCACGCAGTTAGGACACCAAGAAAACTGACACCATCCGGTATAAAATTTGAAGATTCAAGCCTTGAGAATAGCTCAATTGCTTCTTCCTCACAACCATTAATGGCTAGCCCCATGATGGTGGAGTTCCAACAGGACAACCCTTTTCTGGGGGCTGCCTCAAACACACGAATAGCTTTTTCGATGCTTCCACACTTGCAGTACATGTTTATAATTGCTGTGATAACAATGACATTCATTTCAACACCATGTTTCTTTATATATTCATGAATCCATTCCCCTTGTCCAATTGCTCCTAACTGAGCTGAAGCATTCAACAGGCTCACCATTGTAAACTCACTAGGCTTAACCCTCTCCTTCTGCATTTCACTAAAAAGATCCAATGCCTCTGTATACTTCCCATTCCTAACAAACCCACTAATCATAGAGTTCCAAGAAACTGAGTTCCTCAAAGGAATCTTATCAAACAGCCTTTTAGATTCACTGACTTCACCCCATTTGGAAAGCCCCATTATCATAGAATTCCATGCAACAGTGTCACATTCCAAGTCTTCATCAAACAGTCTTCTTGCTTCACTCAAAAACCCACAATTTGCATACATGTGTATGATGGTGTTTCTTATAAACTGATCACTTTCAAGACCCAATTTTACAATCCTTCCATGAAGCTGAGCTCCATCATGGGCTAGACCAAGTTGAGCATACGCCTTAAAAACTGAAGGGTAAGTCAATCTCTGTGGCTCAATTGCTGAAGTGACCAACATATCAATGAAAAGAGAGATTGCGGTTTCTGGGGTTGGGCTTTCAGAGAAGCCTCTAATGATGGTGTTCCAAATGAAAGGGTTTGGATTCTGGATGTGCCTGAAAACCATGTAAGCGTAGCTGATGTTTCCAGCTGGGGAGGCACAAAAGGCCAAGACGCGGCTAGCTGCAACAGTGTCACTGACAAGGCCAGTTTTGATGAGGTGGGCATGGATCTTTTGGAGGTCTTTCATGTTGGTGCATTGTTTCTCTAGCATGGAAAGGTGTGGTCTCTCTGAGATGAATTTGGAGATAGAGGTTGAAGAAGTGAAAGAGCAACAACATGGTGTCATTTTCTTTCGTGTGGCTCTTGTTTTCTGTTTCTTTCTGAGTTCTATCTAAATCCTCTTGTGGGGGATATGAAGTAGCAAAGAGTGAAACAGGGCAGCAGGAGATTGGATTTTGTGGGGAGTTCTTGTAGTGAACGTGAGGCTTGGTACTTGTGGGTCACAGCCCAAATTTCCACCATGGAAATTTAATTGTAAGAAACTATAGTTATGGGCCTATCTACTCTCTTTTTTTTTTCTTTTTTTTCTTTTTTTTACTAACAATGAAAGTATAGTTACCATACTTACTTTGAATATGTATGAATCTCTAACAAGTGGAACTTAAAATGACCCATTTGTTTATCGATGTTGAGAGAGATCCTATGTTGGAATTCCTTAATAATCTCAATTGATAAATAATAATACTAGACACACTAATTCTTATCTCAACTCTCTCACATGACGTGAGATTCATGAAAACATGAAATTATGTAAAACCCATGTAATATGTAAGAGAGTCGGAATCTAACAACAGTACTCTATATTTAAATGGATCACACTCTTAGGAGAGAGGTATTGTCAATAAATTTGGTAATTTTAAAATAAATAAAAACATTACTCCTATGTTAAACCCATCTGCCACCCATGATGGTTGCTTTTTATTTTGTTTTTTTTTGGTCTGGCAAACATACAGTGTTCCTTCATGACTAAGCACTATGATAACAAAGGTTTTGGAACCCATATTTTCCTTCCAAACAAACATGCTCTGACTAAAGCCACAAAGCATTTTGTGTAGAGTATTAGGAACTCAAAGATATAGGTACATAAATACAAGGTTTGTCGACAAAGATGCTGCTTATGATAGCTAGCTACAAAGAAAAAACTTATTATATCTGAGCAGATCCTAAGCCTCCAATTATTTTATACTCCATAGTCTTAATCAAAAACATTCCCACCGAATACTAATGGGATTATGGGAGTAACAATCAGGAACTGCCTTTATTTGGAACCAAAGCATAAAGCAGACTTAGGGTTAATAATTTATACACATAAGTATATTTCGAATCCAATTGGTCAAAAGTGCAGGCATAGGATAGGATTTTAGACCGTCCACTTTAAGGTCTCGTTCCACATATGGTGCCCCACATAAAGACCTACAATAAATATATTTTTGGGCTATTTTCAAGGGCAATCAAAGACTATAAGATCATTTATACATTATGGAGAGAATTTGGTATTTAAGTCAGCCATGTGATGGAGTGTACAGAAGGTCATTATAATTTTTTACATTGGGAGATGAGCAAATCGAACCCGGGACATATCCTAGATTAATCTAATATTATGGCCTCCTTCATGTCAAAGAAATTGTTTGTACATTGTATATTCTAATAATATTCTTGTGAAATTCATTACATTATAGTAGATTATTTATTTATTTATTTATTAAAGTCCGACATAGTTCACCTTTCGAATAAATCATGCTCATTACATATGGGAAAACTATCTCCAAGTTCAATTGAAGCCCATTTTTCACCAAGCATTGATTGCTATTTGCTAAAAAGGGGAAATAGTATGTCTAGGAGGACAAGTTGCCACACTTTTGCTAAGTTGGGGATAGTACGCTATAATATATGGTTGTGCTCTTTGCATATATATATATATGGTGGAATCATTATTTACCAGCTGACTGCAACTTAAAGTGAAAAACTTGACAACACAACACAAACAAAGCCTGGCCAAATATCATCCCAACCCAAAAAGAACACTTGACTCTGCCATACCATTAAGAGCTTTCAAACCAGGTAAGTTGGGCTGCCCAATTAGGGTTTATTTTTAGTCCAAATTAGGGTTCACTTATTTTTCATGCTAATTTACTTCATTAGATAGTCAAATCTTTCGGAATTTATTCGGCTCAGATTAATTATTTAGCATCATGGAATGCCATGTTTTGAAATTTTGGAAGAATCCAAGGTCCCACTCAGAGCATAAACAAGTTATGTTAGCTTAGAAGACTTGTTCTACAACTAGACACCTGCCATGGAGTGTGGTTGGTTAATGGTCACTAGATTAAATCTTATCAGACAGAAAAAGAAGGGGAGGCAGAAAAAAAAAGAAAAAAAGAGAAAGGCAAGATGGACACATCACCACCATCATTACAATCATCACTTACCAGCCCACAGACCCAACCTAAATTCCAAACAATTCTCCCCCCTCTTTAACTTTTTCTTCAGCCTTCTTCTCTTCCCTACCTTTTTCCCTCCTTTTTCCAACCCTCCCTCCCTTGCTTCCACCTCCCTACACACTACTATACACCTCATCTCTCTCTCTGTCTCTCTCTCTCTGTCTCTCTCTCTCTGATGTGCTTATGCCTTATAAGTAATATATATTTAAGTGCATGACAATTGACAAAGGGTACAAAGACCCCTTCTTTTCAACAGCATCATTGATGCTTCTCTAGTTTAAGTTATATTTGCTTCTCTTTCTTTCAACCCAAAGAAAAGGTAGAACAAGACTGGAGAAGGAGAAGAAGAAGAAGAAAAAGTTATCAAACAGAAGAAGAAGCAGAAGCCACCAAAGACAATAGGAGAAGTAGCAGAAGACACCAAAGAGAAGAAAAAGAGGATGGTGATGAAGGGTGGAAGGTTTATTTATCCTTTAATTCTAGTCTTCTTCTTCCTCCTATTGGGTCATTTCCTCTGTTCAGGTGACTTGCTTTGTCTTGTTCTGAACTTTGAGTTGCTTCTTTTCAATTTTATATCAGCATGATCTCTCATCTTCTTTTGTTAATATATTTGGTAATAATCTCATTAGCTTCTTTTTCTTTTTTCTTTGTTTCTTTCTGCCTTTGACAAGTATATATATTTTTATTCTTTTCTCTCTTCCCATTAGCTTTCGGCGTACTAAGAATCTATGTGTGCATTGAGAATCTCCTTTTTTTTTCTTTTTTTTTCTGTTGGTGTCTGAGTTTGGATTGAGATATGAAATTCTGAGGAATATGTATATGTAATTTTCTTGCTCAGAATTTTGTCATTTCAAATGCTGTTCTTGTTCTGTATTCTTAATAATCTACATCCAAACATCTATTGCTTTACAATGTTGCACATCCAAAACATCTCATCTTTCTTTCTTTCTTTAAGGTATAAATTTTATTTTGTGGATAAAAAGTTTCATTTTCCCATTCTTCTAGATATAGTTTCCTTAAAGATGCCCTCTCTCTCTCTCTCTTCCTTTTTTCTTGTTCTTAATTTTCAAATTTTCAATGATGGTTCCTGTTCAATTTTGCTTTTCCCTCTTCTTAGTATTTCCTTATATTTCTTCCAAGAACATAGGTCCTTTGTGGAATAGGATGTCAGCTAACCTCTTCTTAGTATTTCCTTATTGTTCCAGTTCTTTGAGGCAGTTACATGATTACATTTTGAAATTAGCAGTTTTTCAACTTGGTAAGACCCCATCTGGGTACCATATATTGGACAAAAGTCACTGAACTTTTCAGTTTTTACTATTGACTTTAAAGTCCAAAAAGAAAACGTTGCTTCCCTCTTACCAATCAATCATTCAAATATACTAGGGTCGGTCGTCCATATGTGCAAAATCCATTGCGAAATGTGATAACGTGTTGGTTCCTGGAAGTTTGAAACCATTTATATGGGTTGATGTTATTTTTTGAAATAAGGAACCACTAACCTAATCAGATTTGGCACCATTTTGTTTCCATGTTCAAAAAGTGCAAAGTTGAAAAAATAAAGCTTACTGTAGTTTTCATTTCTAGCACAGGTTTGAAGGTGACAAAAAAGGAAAAGAATGTTGGGAATATGAAAGAACAAGACCATGAAAAGAGAAGGCTACAATTCACAAAAACTCCAATTTCTACCACCAAAAGGGACATCACAACTCCAATAACAACTGTTCCTACAATAACTCCCACCAATCCCACTTCATCAATACCAATTGTCAACCCAAATTCAGACCCAGATTCAACCTCTCCAGTCAGTGCAACCCCTAGGATGACCCCATTTTCTACAACACCATCATCCACTGGTTCAAGTTGGTGTGTTGCTAGCCAAAGTGCATCCCAAATGGCACTACAAGTTGCTTTGGACTATGCTTGTGGCTATGGGGGCACAGATTGCTCAGAAATTCAGGCTGGTAGAAGCTGTTACAACCCAAACAATATCCGGGATCACGCTTCTTTCGCGTTCAATAACTACTATCAGAAAAACCCAGTTCCAAATAGCTGCAATTTTGGTGGAACTGCTGTGATCACTAGCACTGACCCAAGTAACATACCATTTCTTCTGCTTTTTTTAATCTTCAAATTTTATGTCAAACATTTTTTTCTTATTTTGCAACATTGTTTTTCAGGTACTGGGACATGTCAATATCCATCTACCAGGTAACTCTCTCATCAATCTCTGCTTTCTTGTGTTTCCTACCAAATTTTTTAGGGAGAAAGAGATTCATATCTGCATATATGCATTTTGGGTTTTGGGTTTTGCAGCACAAGTTCATCAGTCTTGAACACAACAAATACAAGTGGCTCAACTGTTTTTGGTGCTTCTGGCCCTTCGACCTCAGCATCTGCAGCAGCTGCAAGCTCACATAGCCTTAGAAATGTATTCATCATGGCCTGTTTAATTTTGTTCACAACATAAATTCCCTATACAAACTTTTGTAGGTTCAAGTCCACTTCCCCCATGTAATCTACTGGTGAATGTGTTTAGAAGATAGTTTTTTTTGTCTTTTTTGATCAGAATTTAGAGGATTATATGAATTATATTACATATATACTAGTGTCTTTGTGATACGCCTCCTTAGTTTTGAATTTAGATGAATTTTGTAATTGATATGTCAATGAGGTTTTATTGATGAGAGTGACAGTGACCCTTTCTTAAGTAAAGACAGAGAGAAAGTAAAACATCAAGTGGTCGTGCCGGAGTGGTTATCGGGCATGACTAGAAATCATGTGGGCTTTGCCCGCGCAGGTTCGAATCCTGCCGACCACGTTTTTGTAGATCTATCTATAAGTTTTTTTTTAATTTAATTTTTTTGTTTTTATATATTTAAAGCCAATTAGCTGTTGGACTATTGTAATTCATGGGAATGAAAATTTTGATTGGTACAGCAGCTACTGGCTTGGTTGTTTGAGCCCTCATTTAGACATGGGCTACACCGACACTTCAAATTATCTTCCTCACCTAGGTCCCATTTGTGATTCCACTTTCAAATTATGGGCCCATGACTTCGTACAAGAAGTTTGAAAAATATGGAATGAAATTAGTTAATCAAAGTTTGATACACGTGTAAAATTGACTTATTAAAAGTACGAAATAAAAGTTTATATGCATGTCAAATTATAATTTATTTATATAAAAAAAAATAAGCCGTTACATGTGAGAGAAGCCAAATATTGTCCAAGTAATTTAGAAATTTACATTCGTACTATGCCACCAAATACAAAAGGAAAAAATTTGTTCGGAGTTGGTTACGCTTAGTCAAGTTTTTGAATACGAGAATGATATATCATATATTGGTGATGAATTTGATATCTAATTGTGACTAACCCTACTGTAATGTGCAACCTTCATTATTTTAGACGCATTATCCTCCTCTTGTAAAAATCTCTTTATAAATATTATTTGTGAAAGGCCAATCATTTTCCACATGGATGTCCTCTTTCAATTATGATAGGAATGTGATCACATGCATGGGATCGGGGACCCTAAACATATGGTACTACTAACCACTCATTTTGCCTCATCTCATAATTCTTGTTTCCTTTGCATCTTTTTTCTGTCATTTCATATTCTCTCTACAATGGACGACCAACCATCCCTCTTCCAACCCCTCATCCATGGAAAACCAACAATCCCTCCTTCAACAAACAACCATTGTGTTCATCGTGCATCACACAACTCTGTTACTATCGACATCCTCGTTCGTTTCCTCTCAGTCTTCTTCATTGGACTTCTCGCATTATATGCCGACCGTGAAGCATCCAAGGGCTTCGACATAACCATCATAAACGACATCAAAGACTCTTTTGCTGGCCGGCGCTTCCACCTCTTCTACGTCTCCAACGACAAAGCCACCCGCATTATCCTCGACACCAGCAATTTCGTCGAACACCTTCTTTACCCTGAAGCACATGCACAACCCAAGAAGCACATAAACCATGTCGTTTTGAGGCTCTCCAGCCTGAACTTGACTTCCCACAACACAGGGGTCGTCGTTCACCACTCACCCAACAAAGAAAATGGCCATTTTGCCCTTGACATAAGCCCTTCAATCATGGACGACCAGCCCAATGGCAATGCCCACCGCGCATTGGTCACTGCCATCCTACGCGGCATGGCACATGTATGGATCTGGGACGGTGCGGCCCATGCCCCACCGGAGCTTATAGATGGCATGGTGGAGTACACAAGGATGGTGGCTGAGCAAGGCTTATTTGATGAGACGAAAAGCTATGGCATGAGCACCAAATTGCCGGGGTGTGACAAATTTTGGTGGAAGGATAAGGACCCTCGAGTGGTGGCACAAATGTTGAACTATCATGAGGGGCATAGCAAGGGGTTCATCCAACGGCTGAATGGAGCCATGAGAGAGAAGTGGCATGATAGGATGGTGGATGATGCATTAATTAGGCATGCCATTGCAAAATTGGTGTGGAACCTATAATTTTTGTAGGTACAGCTCTTGAGAGTTGGTGGATTTAAATTTAGTGGAAAAATTTATAGTGGAGCTGTCACATCGTTGATTTATATTCCATAATGGACATGGACAATATTAGTTGATTTTTTTTGTCAACAAAAAATAAGCGGATTGAATCACATGGATATGTACTTTTTGCATCTTCCATTGTCTAATCAATTGCTTGTCCATAATGGTTGGGCCAGTGGGCCCAAGTGTATGCTTCTTCTGTTTCTTTTTCAGTTGAATTGATAGCTAAAAGCATTCAAGGAAGATATCAAATAGAAAATGTTAAATTTGAATTTGATAGGTTATGTGGCAATTTGAAAATTAAGAAAAAATTTAACTCCACTCGAAATGTCAAATATTATATTATTTTTAAAACAAAATGATAGTGGGGTTCATGACTGAAAAAATTTTAAAATAATATTTGACATCAAACTTTTTGATATGTTATTTTTGACATATCTCTTCCATCTTTCAAATCTATGTAGAATTTAATTACTTGATTTGAGCAATTTTAACAGTTAAAAATTTGAAAATGATAATTTTAATGGTTGGAGCAATTTGTAGATACTCAGTTTAATTTTTGTCATTTCATATCCACATGATAATTTGACATATCGGTTGAAAATACTCTAAGAGCATCTACAATCATGCTCTCTATTTTTTAGTTAAAATTTAGCTAAAAACATATAAAAGCTATTTTAGGTGCACTCTAAATTTTTTTTAACTCTAATCATACTCTCTAGTTTAGGGAGTCATAAATGGTATAACTCTTTTTTAATTGGTCCATCTTTATAAAATATATATATATAATAGTTAGCATTAATTAAAGGTTTAAAATACTCATAAAATAAAGCAGCATTAAATTACAGGTAGCCACTAGGAATTTTTTCTCTCTCCTCAAATTTAGGAGCTCCTAGAAGTCTCCTTATTTTAGGAGGTGGATATGGAGCATGGTTGGAATTATATTTTTCCATTCCTCCCTAAAATTTGTCTAAATAGATGATTTAAGGAGCTCATTGTGGATGCTCTAAGTTATCTATTTATATACACACCCAATAATTAATTATTTTGGTTTCCGTTCGAAAGCATGTATTAAATTAAATTAATTATGTTGGATTAATTTTAAGTTGAACAACCAAGGAACCTATGGCAGGGCAACACTCTCAAGCTCAACCCAGCCTAGACTTGGACCATTTGTTGCTGGCCCAAACCCAACAACCCAAATTCCATTTTCTTTTTTTTCTTGTTTTTTTCTGTGTCTTGCTGTTTTTTTTGGTCAATTTCTGTGTCTTGCTTAACCAGATAGAGTAGCTCTCAAAAAAATTTGTTCAACTGTTTGTCAACTACGAAAATATAAATTGAAAATCAATGTAATTGACCACCAAAAAAAACGACAAAGAATCGTTTGAGAAGCTTGTAATTAATCATATGTGTCCTATTGTCTTGTGTCGACCAAAGTTGGTGCCATCTAGCTTTCTTTGATCTCCATCACCAAGAGAAATGATTATTATTCTGAGGACCCCTTCTCTGATTTATGACTTTGCATTTATAATATCATTAATTGCTATTTGCAAAGCACTGAACATTTCACAAACATCATCACGCTCACACTTCTCAATACATTATGCAAAAAAAATAGTGAATAATTAAGTACCTCGATTTGTAAAACAAGATCGAATCGAACCAACTAGCTCTTATTCATGTGATATTTTTCTTATACTATGTTCTTTCTCAATGTTAAAAAGAAGTCTCAAACTCAATCCCCGCTTATGAATTTTTTTAATCCCTCTTTATATCACATCTACAAATACTATTTTGGAAATAATATTCTGGTCACCATGAAGACATGTTGATTAAATTCACATGTAAGAACAGAACAAGAGATAAAAGAATATGCAATCATTCGACAATACCAATGGTAAATAGTGATAACTGAAGCATCTCACTGCTGGTATCTAACAAAAAGTTACCATATATATGGTTTCCTGGCCACCTTAACAAAAGAAGAATAAATATAATCAGTCCTTGAATTCTAAGAATAAGAAGGGAAAAAAAAAGACCACTCAGATGGAAATCTCATAACAAAGATGGGAAACTAAGGCTTCTTTCTCTTATTATCTTGAACAATTCCTTCATTCCCAGCTAGCATCAAGTACTTGTCCTTTCTTGTGAGAGTGGTGCACTCAAATCCCAAAGCATCAGCCAGCTTCCTCTGTATATAGTTTGCCACTTCATTGCTGGACTTACCCCCTGCGCAAGTTAGGTCTTTTGGGAGCTTCCCAAGAACCTCAACATAATATCCAGGCCTAGGGTTCATCAAGAAGAAAATTGGGTCCAGGCATTTGAGGCCACTAGCTGTTGTCCCATAAAACATGGTCACATTTGTGTTGATGGCCACAGGAACAATCTCATCAGCCAATTCTGCAAACAGTGAGCTGAACCTCAGCAAATAAGGCTCTCTGCAAGTTGTTCCTTCAGGGCACACCACCAAATCTCCCTCACTGAGCATCTTCTGCATGGTTTCTCCGTCTTGTTTTCGGTCTCTTGTTAATCTCACTGTCTTAATTGGGGCTATGATCTCAGACATTTTGCTCAGGCTGTATGTGACTGCAGTCAAAGGCTTGCACAGAGATGTGCTGAGGAAAACTGGATCCAAAAGAGTCCTGTGGGTGCAAACATAGAGAACCCCTCTTTTTTCTTGATCTGGTTTTGAAGAAGTTGAATTGTCACACCCTTTTGCAGATAGGTTGAGACCTGTCAAAGTGACCAAAAAGAGGGCAATTTTGTAGGGAAGGAAGATGCCTACAGAGATTCTGAATATGGCTAGGATTATTCCAAGAGGGAGCCACATGAACATGGCAAGAGTTGCAGATGGTGTAGGCAAGAATGCTAGCCTTCCATCATGAAATATTACTGGCTTTGGGTATTTTTGCCTCGGCATCACGGCATTTGAACCACTCTTGCTGTCTTCCTTGTTCACTACATAGGCTTCCTGTTACAATCCAATACACAGAATTAAATAACTATTTATCTTAAACATGTATATTACCTGGCTAATTCATTTAATTTAATTGCCTATACCGTACCCAGCAAAAGTAAATTGAAATGTCATCTGTCATGTCAGAGTGTCCTTGAAAGGAAAAAAAAATTAAAATCCTCTTCTTAATTAAACGAAAGAAATTCAGACCAAAAAATATTGAAGGAAGGGAATTATTGGTGGGTTATTTTGCTTGCAAATTACATGATGCCAAATACCTGTCATTAATTTATAGCACGAGTATGGCAAAATCTTTTGAAGTACTGTAACCAGAAAGTTGATAAGATCATACCCAATTAGTTATGTGTTAGGTGTAGGATTATGCATCAAGAAAGAAAATGAAGTACAAGCAATTAATGGTCAAAATACATGACAATTCTTTCAAAATGGAATTGTATGATATTTTACATGCAACAATTTTCTAAGGGAGAGTTTGAAAGTTCTGATGTGCACCTTGCAAAGGGAGATAAATAGATGATCATGGAGGCTTGAAGTTCCAAGCCCAATATCTGGTTTTTTGTCTCCAAAGTGTTCTTTTAGAGCTCTGTGCTTCACAAGAAAACCAGACTTGGATAAGAAGCCAGTGAAATAGTGCCCAACAGTTTGCAGCTCAGTGCCTATGACATCATCAACCTCCAAGTACTCCTTGAGAAATCCTTCAACCATGACTCTAGGGACACTTGTAAACACAAATTTAGACCCTGTTGAAGCCAGAACCTCATAGGCCTGAAGGTTGAGGTTGTCAAGATAAAACTTGGGCAAAACAGCCCTGCCAACACTCTCCATGTCCTTTCTCCTAAGCCCACAAAAGGTGATGAAAATCATGACCCTTAGCTTGAGCTCATAGTCCAGAACCAGCAAAATGGGGCATGACAGAAGCAAGAGAAAGGCTCTGATAATGCTGCCACCTTCAAAGGCAACCAACATGAAGTAAGGGAAGACAGATTGGGATTTCAAAAGGGCTCCAAAAATGTCACATGCAATTGTGGCACAATCTCTACCCTCCAAAACACACTTGGTTACACTGGGAAATGAAAAGGGTGGTTGTTGTTGGGATGGCTTGTTAGGAGGAGAAGAGTTGCCTAAAAGGAAACCATAGTTTCTAACTTTCCTTGCAGCTCTGTGACATGAATTTGCTAGCAGCTGGTACCAGACTAAATCTATGAGCTTGATAAGTACCACTGGGAGGACCATAGTTCAAAGATGTTATGAGTTATGAAAAAGGAAAAGAGAGGAAGGCAGAGACAGAAACAGAGGAGGGTTTAAATGGAAGGGTTTGTGAAGAAGAGGAAGGGGCTGCAGTGTATATTTATAGGACACAATTAAAGAGAGAGAGGGAAGGTTGACCAGAAGCATTTGGTTAGCCACACCGTTGGCATTAATTCAAACCTGAACTTCTTTTTCTTTTTTTTTCTTTTTTTCTGTTTTGATTTTGATTTTGATTTTTTATTTATCTTTTGTTATGAACCATCTTTACAAGTGCCTTAACTTATGCAAATGCCCTCAACATGTTGCCAGGCAACCCCTTTTTCCTTCCTTGGCCAGCCAAAAAAACCCAGTAGGTTGGATTGTTGGTGACTGCCTTACCATAATTTGCTATTTCTCTCTCTGTCTCTCTCTCCCAATGGCATTGGAATGTGTGCACATGTATAAGGATGCAATTGACCATCCACAGCATGGGGAAAAAAGAAGGGAGAAATGGATTTCATTCAAATATATTTTAATCCAGGAGGACCAATCCACGAGTTAGATCACCCATACACCATCTGATTTGTTGACTTTTTTCACCATTCAAAAGCTTGCAGATAGTCTTTGACTTTCTTTAGTAATAACTTATAGGTAACAACAATTTCTCCTTTCTGGTTTTCCCAAACAGGCCAACAGTACCATGCATTCATACTTAAATGTATCAATGGAATAATAAATTGTAATTATAATTCAATTCTTCATCTATTAAAAATTTATGACGAGTCTGTCTGTTCATAATTTACAGATTCTTGTCTGCATAAATCAACACAGCCTTGTCTGTGTGAAGCAACCAAAGGGTTGCTGAAAGAAAAGAAAAATGTATTTCTGTGAAATATTAGTCAGAGATTCAGTATGCATGATTCAGTTGCAAAATCTACGAAAATCAATTGGTTTTTTTTTCCGGTTTTTTTAGTTATTTTTGGTATGGCAGTTAAGATCATGCAATTCTGATTAGCAGGTTGGTGAACTCTTAATCATTTGATATGGATGTTTGGTTACCCTGCATATCGTTTGCATGAAACCCTAGAAGATTCACAAATCTAAACGTGAGTTTTTTATTCCTTTCTTCTTCTTTTTTTTTCTAATTTTTGTTTATGTTTTCCTGACTGTTGAAATAGAATTCATCCAGTATGGATGCTTGAAAGCTAGCTAGCACACGATAGTGACGACAAGCTTTTCAAGGAATGAGATTTCTGTTCCTCTTAAGAATTGGTCCACAGCAAGGACAGGTGACCCACCTAAAATAAATGAAATATTGGGCTCCAAAATTAGCTTATTGGGAACATTGTTTTGACACTTAGGGTTGTAGTACGAAATAATTGGTTCGTTGTTTTGGTGAATAGATGAATTGGCCAAAAAAAAAAAAAAAAAAAAACCCCCCCCCCACCAAAAAAAAAAAAAAAAAAAAAAAAAAAAAAAAAAAAAAAAAAAAAATGTGATATTAATCTGTCAATGGAACAAAATTTGATGAACTAAGTTTTAACAATTGAATCCAATGAAGATCTCCATACTGTACATTTGAGAGAATTTCTTCCATACGATTGTTATAGTGCGACTACCATTCACAGACACGACACGGATGTAGAGATCCGTGAGTGGTGGCCTCACGGCATACAATTTTTCAAACACTGGGAGCTGTCATCGCCGCACAACGCTGGTATACGTCAAGTGCTAACCCTTCCATGCTTGGGTGTCACCCAAAATGATCATCACAGTGATGTCACATGGGAATAGGATCCACCATAAAAGATGGTGCACTTTATTCTAAAGGCGTGAGCAAGGTGAGAGGATGTGAACCAAAGTTTGACTGTGCTGCTCAAAAGCACCTTCAGTTTTCTCACTAAATAAATGAAGGGATGGGTGTGGTTAGGAATCAATTCTCTCTACACCCGCATATATAAATACTCTGCATCTGAGTATTGTGTGTAAATGTAGTAGGTCAACGTACAGAGAAATGATCTCACACGTGACAGCACAGTAAGATTGGATAGTCAAACCCTGTTAATTACCATTTACTCTCCGTCGATATTGGGAATTTGAGTTTCGAGCATCTGCCACATCCATCACAAGAATTGACCAAGTGCCCACATAAAATATATAATATTGGAAAGAGGATGCCAATGTCCTATCCTATGTTTGGCTTTGGCATGTACCTTTTTTTTTTTATAAAAAAAAAATACAAACAATACTAGAAAAAGGAATATAGAACTAAGATCTCGGATGACAAAGTAAATGCTCTTAGACACTTGAGTTACAAGTTTATTATTTTTCTCTTTTTTTTATTACATATTCTAATGTATGGCATGTCAACTGCTATTTAAAATTTAGTCTGCAAAGGACCTATTAGTATAATGGTTTGGAGTATTTGCTACTGCAGGAAAGATTCTGTGTTCGAATCCTAGCATCTCTGTAGTGTGTGTGAGTTGAATATGTTAGGCTATCTCCAACCATGGGCTATATCCCAAATATAGCCCTAAATTAATGCAAAACTCATCTCCAGCCATGGGCTAAATAAAATTTTGGCCAAATTTGGAGGGCCACATTTGGCCCTTTAGCCCTCCAATCGGACCAAATGTAGCATAGCTTTGGCCTAGGCCAAATTTATAGTGGGCCCCATCCATGTGCTTTTCAACAACCAATCATTAAAGCACTCCCCACTTCTCTTTTCAAAATAATAAAATATGAAGGACCCTAAAATATAATCATACATGGCTGGAGATGGAAAAATTTAGCCCTACACTAATCTTTAAAAAATTAATATTTTGAGGGGCTAAATTTTTAGCCCTGGACTGCATTTTGCCCTATGACTGGAGATGGCCTTATTGTCCCTCTCAATATGAAAGGTCCTAAAAAAAATCAAAAGATTCCTATTGACAAGAAAAAGACAAAAAGATCCACTAAATAGTTAAGTAACCTAGGTAGAGTCAGCTAGTAAGAGCAGCCAAACATGTCTTTACAAGTTAGGGTTAATCGTTTTATTAGTCCCTGAATTTTGACCCGATTTGCATTTGAGTACCTCAATTTCCAAAATGGTTCCCGTGGTTCTTTAACTTTAGTTTCGTTTGGACATATAGTCATGCCTTCAATTTTGTTAACTTTTTCTGTTAAATGTAAGGGCAAAATGGTATTTTTATAAAGATTTTTTATTTAAACCTCACACTTCTCTTAGTTCACCCCATGATCTAAGTTCACCCCAACTTTTAATTTAAATTTTCACAATTTCTAAGAAAACCTCATTATCTTTCCAAACTACCCTTAAATACACCCCAAGCTGAAAAAATATGAAATAAAATAAATTTTCTATTTAAATCTCACAAGCTATCCTTAGAGGAGGAAGTACGTTATGCGCATGAGAAATAGTAAGTAATGAAATTAGTTTTTTTGTACACACACATGGGATTAAGAGGTTGCAAAGGGAAGTTTCATATTTCATGAAGTATGAAACACGCAATGGTGTAAGTAGCCGCTAAGTTTGATCAAGTCTCCTGACCAAATGGGTCAAATTGTTAAATGAATTTGACAAACACCTGATTTGTTGACAATGTGAATTATAGATTGGAAAATTTTTGTGCGTAGTATGTTATTCTTATTTGATTTCTATCTCCGAATGCCATCTAGAATTTTCAAACATTGAAACACTATGTACTTAAGCTTTAGGCACTTTGGGTTGATTCATTGTTTCACTTCCTCTAGCTCAATTGTACCTAAGAAATGGATATATATATATATATATATATATATATATATACCATAAGAGATAAACAGGGAAGAAGCTGTAACCTGATAAAACTTTATAAAAGTTTACAAACCCCAATATGTCGAATAAAAATGTTAAGTATTAAGTTGGATGACCTTTTTTGTTTTTTTACACAATAATAAAACTTACAGCTTAATGATTTAAGTATTGGGGTGAATAAAGAGGAGTGTGGGGTTTAAATTAAAAATCTCTTTTTATATTAAAACCAACAAAATGGATAAAAAATCATATCTTTAAAATAACAATAAAATCAAATCAAATAAAAAAACCAACAAAAAATAAATAAATAAAGTTTGGAGGAAGTAGAAATCAGGATAGAGGGGGGCAGAGAGTGAGAGAGTTTAATTTTAATTTTTTAGTTTTTACAAATTTTATTCATATTTTAATCAATTTTGATACAAAAATATCATTTTGCCCTTGAATTTAACAGAAAAGTTAACAAAATTGACGGCATGACCATTTGTCTTAACGAAATTAAAGTTAAAGAATCACGGGAACCATTTTAAAATTGAGATTGTCAAATGCAAATCGCATCTAAATTCATGGACTTATAAAAGGATCCCTTACAAGTTATAATTCTCACTATCTCTCCCTAAAACCCTCTCCTGTCTGTCTGTGGGTGCTTGTGGGCTCTGTTCCTCTTACAAGATAGACGGCCATGGAAAACTCACAGAAGAAGCAAGTGTTCCTATTCTACTGCGCTGAATGCGAAGACCTTGCTCGACAGGTCGCTTCTCAGTCTGACCACATAACCCTCCAGACCATCAAATGGAGGTTCTCTATTTCTCTCTCCTCAAACTTGTTTTGTCATGCTCTGTGCTCCTTTATTTGTTCCTTCAAAAGAAAAAATGGGCACTTTTCTTTTCATCTGTTATTTCTGAAGGTTGTGATTCATGAATATTAACAGAATACAAAACCAAAAGAGCGAAACTTGTGATCTTCTGTAAAGCTGTGCATACAAGAGTTTGGAAAAGTGGAAAACTTGAATGCTGAATTAATTGATTAGTCAATGCTAAGTAAAAAAGAAAGAATCTTTCAGACCAAAGAAGTGTAATTGAGAAAGATTTATATGAGGGATGCCTTCTAGTTATCAAAAATTTGACTATCCCATTGTATTTTACTTATAATTTTACCAATTGAATCCCTTGTCATAGATGCCTAGATGGGGGCAGTGGTAAAGGAAAGTTGAGACTAGCATATTTAGTACAGGATGTGTAAGATAAGTGGGAGTACTGATTGGATCGTATATATGCAGGACTTTTGATGATGGATTTCCAAACATTTTTATAAACAACGCACAAGACCTTCGAGGCCAACATGTTGCCTTTCTTGCATCATTTAGCTCTCAAGGAGTTATCTTTGAACAGCTTTCTGTAATATATGCACTCCCCCGGCTGTTTGTTGCATCGTTCACATTAGTTTTGCCTTTCTTTCCAACTGGTTCCTTTGAACGAATGGAAGAAGAAGGGGATGTAGCAACTGCATTTACCATGGCAAGAATGTTGTCCAATATTCCCATATCAAAAGGTGGCCCAAACAGTGTACTCATCTATGACATACATGCTTTACAGGTTTGTCTGCATATCCTAGTTTTTTTGTTCTTCTCTTATTCTCATGGACGAGCCTTCTAGTAATTAAACTGGCTAAGATTTTCTGATATAAATTTTTCTATCAAGTAATTTGTACATGATGCTGCTGAAAACTTTGTATTTGAGTTACTCCAGTTACAGATATTTATGCATACGTACCATTCCATCTAGTCTCCTTTTCATTAAGGTGTAGTGCAGTAGTGTAATAATAGGATGCAGTCGATCATCCAAACACCTCATGCCCCTGCAGTTCTAATTCTCTGAAATTTGTTTCTTAACTCCACTCTAAGCATCATAAACAAACTTTTCATTTGTAAGTGATGAACAGAAATTCGTATGATAACAATTATATACTCCCTAAAAAAACAATCATATACATCTGCAACCTAATAACTTTTTTAGGTCAATGTTTTTCTGCAACTTATTACCACACCCCTATTTCTATGATAATTTGTTCTTTTCTCTTCTTTCTTTAGCTCACCAGTGTTTGGCCTCTGTTTGCAATTCTCATTTTCTCCATTTTTATGATTTCACATGGGGGGATTGTATATTGTTGATTGTCATTACCGTATTGACTGAATATTTGTGTTCTGTACTTCCTTTCTTTTTTGCAGGAAAGATTTTATTTTGGGGACCATGTTTTGCCTTTGTTTGAGACTGGAATTCCACTCTTGAAGCAGCGTCTCCACCAGCTTCCCGACTCTGATAAGGTGAGTGTGCGGCACTGTCTTCCATGTGTCTCATAATGAATCGTTATAATCATTTTTTGGGTTTATTTGCCTTGTCTATAAATGCTTGCCAAGTGGCTCTATTCTCTGTATTTATGATTTCCATTCTAATTAAAGTCACCTCTCAGATAGTTGTTGCATTTCCCGATGATGGAGCATGGAAGCGATTCCACAAGCAGTTGGATCACTTTCCCATGGTTGGTTTGAACTTTTGCTTAAAGTGAGAATTATTTCTATTATCATTTTAAATCTCACCTTTATGAATTGGATTTTTTTTAATGGCAGGTGGTGTGTAATAAGGTTCGTGAAGGTGACAAGAGGATAGTTCGGATCAAGGAGGGAAATCCTGCTGGTTATCATGTAGTCATTGTTGATGACTTGGTGCAATCTGGCGGCACCTTGATCGAGTGCCAGGTATATTTCCAATGGGTGACCCCTACTTATCAACACCTTTCTTCCCTACTCTTTATATACTCATGAACCTGTTGCTTCTGAATTTTGACATGTTTAAGTTCTTTCAAGATTGCAAATCTTCATGGTATCACTACAGGTCTTGGCTGTAGTTTGTATTCTGAATATCATAGAGCTAGCTTTTTAAAGCTTGGCCTAGATTGTGGACCTCTTGTCCACGCTAGGAAGTTTTGTTGTAACTATTAGTGTTATCAATAAAGCCTTTGTATCTGTAATTGGTATGTGTACATCAGAAACATAAAAGCATTTCAAACATTTATGCCATGCTTTCGGAACTTGAAGTATTCCGTAATCATTCCCTTTGTGTCTTTTATTCTGGCAGAAAGTTTTGGCTGCTCATGGTGCAGCCAAGGTTAGCGCTTATGTCACCCATGGTGTATTTCCTAAACGCTCATGGGAGCGGTTCACTCACAAGGATGGTAAGTACTTGCATGCTATTGTATACATGTCATCTTCGTAATTGTAATTTCTGTGATCCTTATTGCCAGTTGATTTGATTTTCAGAAGGCTCGGAGAAGGCATTCGCCTACTTTTGGATCACGGATTCCTGCCCGCTTACTGTGAAAGCCGTGGCAAATAAAGCTCCCTTTGAGGTGTTAAGTCTTGCAGGTTCCATTGCTGATGCTCTACAGATTTGAACGCATGCACTAAAAAATACAGTTAGACAATTTGCAATACTTATGACATCATTATTCTGCCGGCAAGTTCTGATATAAGTAGGTGATTTCACATTTTATGTTACTAATGAGTCATGACACATGACTGAAATTCGGATTGCTTCTAGTATTCCGCATTTAACGTTAGAACTTGCCTTGTTGTAACTCTCAGCTTTATAATGCGTTCACAAAGACAATAATTTAGTTGAGTTTGTGCCTCCCATGTGTTATGTATGGCCTGAGCTGCTCATTAATCTGTTACCTACTTTACAACCCAGACGCAAGGGAACAACTAAACCTTCGTAGCAACCAAACTGAAGATGTTACTCAATCCACTACATGGTTGATTTCTGACTGTTAATACATGTGGAGTTCACATTTCGTCAATGGTCTGAAAACACCCACATGGCCAACTAATCTTAGCAAAATCCTTCTACCCTTTTCCTGGCTTGCTCTTCTAATAAATTTTTTGTTTTTTAAACAATATATTTGGGTTGAACGTTGCGTCTAGCATGCCCTGTACTCGTGCCTCGCGTGACACAAACATGCATTGTCCAATTGAAATGAATCGTGCTCAGTGCCATGTTTATGACTGTTCAACCTCTTTTACACCTACTTTGACCAACATTCTCTTTGAAAATCCCAGCAGGCATATCCAACAATTAACTTTCAAACAAATGACATTGAGAGATTAAAATTTTGTGTGCGCACCATGTCACAGAGAGAGAGAGAGAGAGAGAGAGAGAGAGAGAGAACATCTGTACATCCATATATTTATTTAATTCAGTACAAAGTTTTTTGGTATATGACAACACCGACCCACTATGAACATGACGATTCTGTTTGTCTCCCTTCTATACAACCTTGAATATTTTTCCCCCTTAAACAGCCCTGAAGCCCTATTACCCAACAGGGCATTTTAGCCATATGAACACGTAAAATCATATTTGCAGTGGGATTTTAAAGACCCAGGACATTACAAAAAACAACAAAAGGAAAAAACCAAAAGGAGAAATTCTGCACAAACCGTTGAGCAATGCATATGGCTGCAGAGAGACTTCACAATTCAGCTATATGCTTCACCTTATTCTAATCCCTTGGTTGAATAACAATTTGCACTCTACAAATTAACAAAATGCTCTCTGCCCGCTTTCCCTTCCATACTTCCTCAGTAAATATCAGAGTTATCCAGTACTCAAAAGCGGACACTAGCCATAATTTAGTTATTATACGCCCCATACCTCGACTTCTCTCTCTACTCTGTACACTTGACTATGCAGAAGTTAGCAGCCCTGTCCCCCTCGGGCATGTAAGAATACCAATACATTGTCAACTGTTCTCTGGCTTCTCATCCAGATCCCCCTTTGGGCTGTCCAATGAGTCACCCAAGTAAGAGCCATCCGGCTGCCGGATACATATGTTTAAGTTTCTGGAAAGGAAAGTTTCCTGGAGGATCCACAAACATAAACATATGAATATATCAGAAAAGAATATAGGGTGTTTATGTTTGAGATCAAATTTTGATAACTGGAGCAGAGAGAGCAACATCATTATAACAAAAGAAGACATATAACTCAAACATATAACCTGATCACTAGTCTCTTGGCCCTCTGAGTGGAACAGAATGGGCCGACAACGCTTGTCCTCATTCATTAGGCTTGAATTCTGAAAATGAGTCACAAGGGCAGCTTTGCCCTGGATTCGTGCATATGCCAATGAAGCAACTTTTTCACTGTTGAACTTCTCCCATTTCTTCCCATTAAATGCCTGCACCAATTTAATGGTTTGAGTACTATCGTAAACATTAAATTTCTCATTAGTTTTCACTCTGACTGATGAATTTGAACATTCTCAAATTGCCAATCAAATATCAAGAAAAAGTTCTTCGGTTCAAGCTAGTGAATAAAGCACCCAAATACAATTTAACCAACAACAAACAAAGGGATAAAATGGCCCAAAATTAACCTCATAAAAGGCTATAATATGGGAAGGAGACACCATATTGATGAAGGCATAACCCACATTGCACTTATTCTGCAAAGAGAGCAGGGTGCTGATTAGCATTAGATAAACTTGAGGAAATTATAGAGCACTCACATCAAATAGTAGCGCAAAGAATCACCTTAAAGTCGATTGGCAGGTAGAGAAAATCATATGTACCACAGTGATTTTCATCAATAGCAGCCAGCAGCATTTTTGAAGTGTACCTAATATGAGAAAGACGAGCAAAATGATAAAGGTATTCAAAATGATAGGAGTTGCAAGCATATACTTCCTAGGATGATTACAACTTTTTTTCTTACTTGTTCGGGATGTTTTTTATCATTAAAGTAGTCCTAATATCTTCCCCACTGATAATTTTATCCAAATCAAGTTGATACTGTTTTTTGCTATCTATTTGATTCCCATTATTCTCAATTCGCCGACTTCTACTACGATCAGCCAACATTTCATTGATGGTTACTGCTGGTCCAGTATATGAGCCATTCCCAAGGTACATAGGGCCATGCTTTGGCAATGACATCATTCTGAAACTAGGCGAGCTATTTTCAGTAATGTTTCCTGGAAGACCCACACCAGCACTCAATGTTGCACGACTGCCCATGTTCATCATGTAATTCCCACTGTTGCGACTTAAAGCCATGCCCCCAAACACTGGATTCATGAAGGATGTTTCTGGTGACTCTGGAAAAAAGCCAAAATGTCTATCCAGAGGAACACCAGATGGAGCAGATCCCACATGTTGGCTATGTGAACTCAGGAAAGAACCATGCCGGCTACCCAATGAAAAACCTTGTCCCTGTCCACTGGATGAAAATGGATTCCCCACAGATGAGGTTGGCCAGGCAGAAGAATTATGCTCGGCATAAGGAGTTGGACTTCCCCAGAGAAACTGAGGACCTGACAATGTTCCAATCCCTGCTGAATTTGAATTTGACTCGCTAAATGAGATGGGACCTGGACTTGCACTTAATTTCTGCTCGGGATAGGAAAGGGAATGCTGATACCCTGCTCCTTGTGTTGATGTAGAGTTGCTATATATTTGATTTATATTGTTTAACCTTCCTTGATCTTTACCAATAGGCGCAATCTTTGGAGAGTTAGACGCATGAGCTGGGAGAATTGAAGCTAACCCAGGCAAATGGTTGCTGTCTGGACTGAGGCTTCCCAAACCTGGGGACTTACTGAAAGCTGGCTGGTTATGCTCAATGGGGCTTCCAATGTGTGCCCAGGTACCTATCACAGTAACAAATCAATTGTTTAGCTTCAGCAGCATGCATTCCCAATAAGTGCCAATCCAACACTTGGTGAAAACAAGCACATTGGTCATTGGTGAGAGATCTACCTGGAGGAGAGTTGGTCAATGGTGAACCCACTTGATGTCGGAAACTCCGAGTTTCATCTTGTTCAAGCTCTTGAGTGAGTTGTTGCATCAAGCTAAACCCAAAAAAAAGGTGTGATGAATTAATTCCTTGCCCAGCTTAATTATTTAATAAAAAATCAACAGTATTTCTGTAGTAGTGGGATTCAAGAAAGGTTATATAATACAAACAGAGTCAAAATATATAAAGGATAGTAAGATTCAAAGGAAGAAGAAGCTTGACAATTCATGAAAATATGTGTTGCAAACTCTCCATAAAATAGGGGGGCAGCATCTAAAAATTCTATACATGGCACAGGATCTATGCATTGATTTTTTAATAGGTAAGCAAAGGAGGCTCCAAAAGAACATCCCCGGATAAGATTCCAACGGGTCAAAGGAAGCCCAGCCCAAATCGAAAGTGTAACCATTAAATTTGAATAGAGCTTTAATCTAAGACTCCACTTCACAGGATGGAAGTTACCTCTTGAAACACATTTATTTTCTGTGGATAATTATTTTTTGAAGTCAACTAAGCAGCCAAGACTGTAAAAAAATATTTTTCAGATTATGCCCAGGAATCTGACAATCTTGACTAAAGTTCTCATGAACACTTCACGTTGAACTTCAGTAAAATATTTTTATTTTATGCGAACCTAAATTTTTGCATACAGTAATTGCCAGTGTTTGAAGACATTGCACTGAATGGAGGATTTGGAAATTTGATTTTTGTGTGAGACATTTAAAGGGAAAAATTCAACAAATGAAAGCACCATTAGTCAAATAGGCAACATTACACTTACAAGATCCAAGGAAACCTTTCGCCTCACTATTTGTCACCCTCATGAAATTAATGGATGATGAAATTCAGGGCAATACAAAATGTCTAAACTCATATTGCAAATTGTTGCAGAACCCAAAGTAAATTGATACTTACGTTCTACGTGCTCCACCAGGGCGGCTAGGTTCGAGCTTTATGCGTTTCCCAGCTATGTCACTCCTATTTAATGCCCGTAAAGCTGCCTCTGCAGCTCTAACATCATAAAACTCTATGAATTTATGGTGTCTCTTGTGTGGTGTTTCCCGAATCTGCATTTTGTACTCATGGAATGTTAAATATCAGACAACCAATCAAGATAATAAAAAGGTGCACAACTGCACATACAAAACAAGAATGCTAACAAAACGACATACAACATTTATGCACTAAAATTTACCTCTTTGACTTCTCCATAAGCCCCAAATATCTGTCTAAGGTCATCATTTGACACTGATGCATCCAAATTGAACACCACAAGAGTTCCTTGGTTGATATCCTTTTCTGACGGGTTATCCTGGATTTCAGCAGAGAACAGGACGCATTACGAAGATGTTGAATGAATAACTAGTACAAAACCAAACTATTATGGATAACATGTATTCAAACCTTAGGAATTGAAAAATGAATGTCAAGTTTCCTTCGTCTCAAGGGCTTGTTCTGTAATGCACGCATTGCAGTGCGAGCAGCTCGGATATCATAGTAAGATATCATCACAAAGCCCCTATGCTTGCATGCAGTGTATAAAGTTCTGATATCCCCATATTGCTGAGGAAAAAAGGGATGGGTCCATAAATCAATAAGAATCAAGAGTATTAAAGTGCAGACGAAAAGTTGCCATACACACCAAAAATATATATATAAAAACTCAAAAAACACTGCCGATACCAATTCTGTTTCCCTTACACACCAAGAGGAAACGCGCGCGCGCGAGAGAGAGAGAGAGAGAGAGAGAGAGAGAGAGAGAGAGAGAGAGAGAGAGAGAGAGAAAATCATTGCAAGGGCAAAGAAACCAGTGCACCAAATACATTATCTACCAAAAGATTATGTTGCAAAGAAATTCCCACTGACAAGAACAATGTTGGCAGTGGCACTTGAATTATCTGTAATGAACACTGAAAGTACAGTACAACAAATTTGTCACCAAAAGTGGTCTCTAACTATAGCAGGTAAGTTCTTAGAATACCAACCCTGAAACCTACCTGTGTCATTCAGTGAGTCAGCCAATGCAAGTTGCAACAACAAACGAATTTATAACAACACCAACTCAACAAAGAGAGCATGATTGGAACTCCAAAGTGCAAGGGAAATGAGTTACATAACAAGTTCTGCCGGAAAATTTACGTGCATGGATGAAACTACTAAAGGAAAGGCCCTCTCCATGATATCAAAAGTCGATTGCTTGATTTTCTTTGCAATAAGGAACTTCATGAACTTGAATAGTCTTAAGTTTCTAATAAGGGATTTTTAAGGGGCAAGAGACAATTCCATTGAATCAGGAAGCTAGAATTCATTTTGTTCCATTTCATACAGAAGTCTCACCTAGAGTTTTATTATTATTTTTCTTCATTTGTCTGAAAAGCAAGAATCCCTCCTAAAACCTACTACCTAAAAACACCACGAAAATCTTTTGACTTTTGGGAAAATCATCATGGCCTCGGATTTAATAACTCACCAAGTACTCCAAAGCAACCCGCAATTCACCCACCCAAAAGAAAACAAGTGAACATTTTATTTTTGGTCGAATAAAACAAGTGAACATTAAACCAAAACATAACCAGGAGAACAAATAAAATAAGCAAGGCACAGAGGCCAAGCAAAATTGACACTTATAACGAAATAACTGGCAATACCTCAAATAGAGTTCTCAATTCAGAGTCCTCCACGTTACTATTGATATTTCTAACGAACAAGGTCCTTGATGGATGCTCTCCATATGGGTGCTCCCCAGCCACAGCTCCCACACCATTTGGAAGAGCATAATGACCAATCCCATTTGGAACAACCCCATCAGATATGCTTAGTTTTGACATGCCAATGCCAAGGCCATCTTGAGATTCAAAATCCAATTCCATTCCGCCTCCACTGCCAAAGAGGTCATATTCTTCAACATCCTCCAGCTGATTAGGCAATCGACTTAGATCAAAATCATCTGTTATGCCTGCTAAGAGATCATCTTCATCATCAGGAAGCATGATCCCAAATGCGTTGGATTCAACATTTTCAAGCGGATCCTTAATCTCATTTTCTTGCTCAACATTGTTTAAACTAGGCAAGCTATCATCAACAGACTGACCCAAATGCTCCAAGTCAGAGAAGTTCACTGCATATTGAATAAATCGAGTCTCAACTCTCAACAACCATTCTACAGATAGGGAAAAAATTTACATTGAAAAAAGAACTCACACATACACTTTTCACGTGGAAGTACAGGCAATGAGCTCGAAAACAAGCTAGTATCACTTGATGCATGATATGCCTCAGTTGCATGAAGAATCCCCCATGCATTACTTTCCAATTTTCTAGGATTATTAACTGATGGAATCTTAAAGGCCCCTACAAAAACGGTTACAAATGACAGATCACGAGAAAGATCATGCATACATAAGGAACTAATATGTATGTAGCATATGCACGTGGCTATGACCCTGTGCCATGCTTCCATCAGTTAAAGGAAAGAGAAGGAACCTTCAAAACGACCCAACATAGTTTCCTGTAAATGTTTCTCCATTGAATCACTTTCTGCATACACAAGGGCAGTAAAAATAGAAAGCTCAACTATCAGAAAACTCTCAAATTTATATTTCTGCTAGTTCAGAAAACATGCCTGTGTAAATACAGATATATCACACGCTGATACAAATGTAATGGATTAACAATACATACAGAAGCCGTTATGGTGCAAAGAAATGAAAAGTAAAGGAATAATTAATAATTTTTTAACATAATTTATAACTGATTTACAAATACAAGGGCAAAAGACCATGGCTGAGCTCCTCAATATTTCCCTATTTGTTGAGTCAGCCAAGGAATCAAGTCAGTATCACTCAGAACGTACATAAATGGGAAAGCATCAATAATTGCTGTCTTCATTTCAACCAAGAAAAACCATCAATGATTGGAAAAATGAGCATCGGAATATGTACATATATATGTCGGAAGTATAAAAAACCTGCAGAGGTATATTTGATCTTTTAAGTACACACAATTTTATGGTTCTTTTTTTTTCCCTAGAAAAAAGCACACACAAATTTAGATGCTTGCATAGAAGAATATAATCAAGGGAGAAAAGTATCCATTAGCACAAAAATAAAATATCCCCCAGAATTACCAATGATGGGACGGACTGTTATAACTGCAGTTTTGCATACCAATAACAGAAGGACCTACCGAAACCCAGACAAGTTTTCTAATTGATAGTATAAAGCTAAAACCAGGTTGACAGATTACCCCAAAACCAAAGTTTGGGCTGATACAAAATCATGCTAAGCCCATATAATAAGTCAAACACAATCGACTTGGAATTGAGATGAAGAAAGAGCAACAGAAACAACCTAGTAGCTCAAAAATCCAACTGGGTACCAAGTAAACAAAGTTCTCAGCTCAAATTTAGCATCTAATTCAAGTTTCAACAAAAGGACTTAAATGTTGAAATACCCCTGTACACCTACCCACATCAGAACCCAAATTAGCTGCAAATTATTCAACTTTCCCTCAATAGTAAAATTAATCTCACAGAAATAGAAAAACCCACATGCAATATCAACCAATCACATGCAAAAATCCAAAATTTTCAAACAAAAATCATAGGGGGAAAAACTCAAAAACGAAACTCAAATTTGAATTACCTCAAACAATCCAGAACTGTTGTTGTTGAGAGATGGAAAAGAGTAGAGAAAATTGAAAAGAGAGACAGAGTTACCTTATAGAGAGAGTACAAACAAAAGCAGCAATTAAAGAGAGTCCATTGAAGATGGATTATGTGGCAGCCTGAGTTCAGAGTTGTTTGTCATGATCAAGGAATTGCTGAGAAAGAGAAAGAAAGGGTAGAGAGAGTGTATGCGTTTGAGAGTTTCGTAGAAGCAGAGATATTTGTTTCTTCCACTCCTCTACTTCCTTTGCTGTCGCCGAGAAACCAGAGAGAAAATGTACGAAAATTGTAAGAGAAACCCAAAATTAAAAATATGAAATGAAAAAAAATATGAAAAATGAAAAACACGGTCAAATGATTGGAGGCAAGGACCAGTGGCAGCAGGACATGGAAAATATTTTATTATTTCCGACACTCACACACTCACACACAAACCATCGAAAACAATACACCAAGCTCTCTCTCTCTCTCTCTCTCTCTCTCTCTCCAACTAGAAATTCGGCTGCATTTGAATTTCATTTGGCGTCCGTTGACACAAAGCATTTGAGATATGACACACCGCAATCCAAACTCTTATGAAATTCGGATAATTTCGCGGGGGTCTTTGACCCTTGTGCTTGCTGGAATTACGTAACTGCCATGCTTCCCTCGCTTTTACGGATGCGTGCGTGTATGATTGCGTGAGGGATGGGACGGGACCAATGGGAGGAGGAGTTAGAGGCAGCTTTGCTGCTGGTGGTTGCAGGGGATTATTGTAATACTTTATGGTGGTGGGGTTGCTGACGTCTTGTTGCGTCGGCCAGAGTGTTGGGTTCCACTACTTTTCTACGGTATGGCCCGGGGAATAACTGGGACCAATTAAAAATTGCCACGTTTCTTTACTCATGGGTCGACTTTGACCGAGGCCTCGAGATGTAGGGCTTTAGCCCAACCTAATGGACTTTGGGCTGGACTTCTTTCTTTCTTTAATCTATTGGGGGCTAGACTTTAAGACTTACGTAGGCTTTATCATCTTAGAATGTAAAATAAAATAAAATAAATAAAAGTTATGTTTTTTTAAGATTTTTTCTATTGAAATGGAACGATAATATACTAAATTCACACACACTATAAGAATGCTATGACTTGAACTCATGATCTTTACTAAGAGAGCATTTACTCCAAACCACTATACTAACAGATCATTTGCATTTTAAGTCGGATAGATTAGCATATAAGATTGGATTGGAAAGAATATCCATCATTGACACTAGTGTTTCGAATTTAAGTTGCGGCTTCCAAGTCTAGGTCTTGGGTCCAAGGTCAAGGAGAATAAATATGAAAACTACGAAGCTAACCTCATCCCATGTCGATGTCATTCTTACTCAAAATTCGAAAAGTATGATAAATTATAACCTCTTTTTTGTTTTCAAAAATATGAAATAATAAATAATAAATTTGAAAAAATGGTGTTGGGTGTTGTGTGTGTGTTTGCTCTAAACCAAATTTTGTGATCACTGATCATGGGTGGGGCCCATATTCCATTATGACATTATTGTATAGACTGGGTTTTTATACGTGGATGAAGCATGGTCCATGGAATATAAGCAGAGTGGGGGAATAGAAATCCTTCTGATTGGTCAATTGAGAAGTGGGCTCTCTATGTTGGACTTCAGCAAATCCATCAATTTTGTGGGCTTTTTGGGCATAGAAATACAAGCAAGTTCAAAACCGCTCTCACACACAAAGGGCCTCAGGGTTGTAGTTGGCAGAGTTTTTCTTTCTGTGGGCAATTACAAAGTTTTGTTCTATTTTTCTGTTTTCTAGATTCAAACGCGTTCGACAAATATTACCTGGAATTTTCTAATCAATGGAATTGATCACATGCAAAACGAGTTACGCAAAGTGCAAATGTAAAATACTATATAATATATTAATTTGAGTTGATTAAGTTATTCCATAAGATCTTCTTATCTTTCTGGTCATATTTGTTTTGTCATCGAAACCCCTAAAATCGATTTAGCGAAACCTTAACGATAGTTATATACCGCTTACGCATGTGATTGTTTACTTAAGCCTCAAATTCAACAACCCGCCTCAAGATTCAATTTATTTCCTTTTCGGATTTTTGGCTTTATACATATATAATATATTATTTTTTCAATTGTCGGTGTACATTTTATACATCAACGATTGATAACCGCTTAGACGCGAGTCACAATCGTATTGAAAGCAAGCCTAATATGGACACCTAACCCCCCAACCCCACAAAAATACCGGGAAAGTAGATAGAAAGAGCATGTTGTGGCTTTCTTTGCTCGGAAGACACACATTCTAGGGTGAGAAAGAAAATGAAAGTGGAAGCACAAGGCCGAAGCAAAGCCACATATAGAAAGGGCCTTTGGGGTTTGGGTTGAGTTGGCAGCACTTGGCATATCAACAGTAAGCACTGAGGGAGGAGAGAGGAGAGAGGAGCATCAGCATCATGAGCAATGCACCTTCATGAAGATGCAATCATGTATGCAATTTGCAAACCGACAGTTGTGGGATCCACTTCCACAGGTCCCACCCACAATATGAAAGGTAGGATCCACCTACTTTTCTTCCCCGCCGGTCGCTTACTTTGTCAAAGAAAAAGTTCACGTGGCCATGTGGGGTGGGGGGGGTTATTGACATGACAGGATATACTTGTGATGGAGGTTAGGGATATTCCTTTTTCCCTCAACACGTAATACAACCGTACAAATACGCAGCACATACTACTTGTACAGTTTATATATACGTATTTGGTCTGCCCATTTGACTTTTCGACTACGGATCCGTGCAACACGCGGGTATGCCTTGACGTGTCAGATTAGTATTGGGCGGGGCCATTGCTTCGCCTGCATTTGCATGGGCTTGGCTGGCTGGCAATAGTCCACTTCTTCTTATTCTTCTTCTTCCATGAAACAACTCCGAGGCTCATAATTTATGTGGTGGCTATTGGATTGTGTCCACGTCAACATCTTATATATATGTATGTACATAAGTGTATTAGTTAAGGTACCATGATACAAACTCCACATGCATGCTATAATATTTTGCTTTTTTTAAGGATAAGTTCAAAATCTCTCTCTAGAATATATTTTGTGTTTGTTCTTTTTTCACGATCCTTTCCTATGACTGATTGTGTGTTTGTTTACTTTTGTTTGTGGCCATTTGTCTGATTAAGAATGGTAATCGGAGTTGTCGGGCAAAATCATGTAAAAAAGAATCCGTTGGGATTCAAGAGTTGGATATTTTATATGACATAACTTTACAAAAATTAAGCCTTTTTAACTCACTTGATGCAACTACTGGCGGACCCAAGAATTTTTTAGCGGAGGTGCAATTTTGAAAGGTTAAAAACTCTTTGTGGATTGAACATCTAAGGTTTTTTACCTAAATTGACCTTAGGTCTCTTCATGCATTCATATCATACATGAAAAATTGTTCTATGTAAAATTATTGACTAAGTATGAAAAATGGTTTTTCGGAATAATCATTTTCTCAATATAATTTTTTGCGGCTTTTATTCCTTACACATCAAATAAGAAAACTTGATTTTATGAGATTTTATTATGAAGTATATATTGACTTAATGAGCTATCATTTTTAGCATAAATCGTATTTTGCACTAAAACCGATTTTTTAAATTTTGATTTGAGGGAAATTTGATTTTCTAGTATTTTTATTTGAATCCAAATGGGGGGTACTTCCTTATTTACATTGTAAACTTAAGTAAATGGAGTAATATAAAAATAAATGAAAGTAAAAGACAAAGACATTTACTTAAATGTTGAAGATTGAATTAAGGAGCAAATGGGCAATTTCAAGCACCAACAATGGTTTTTCTGGCGAGGAGAGGTGCAGCTGCACCTCTTTGCTCCTTAACAGATCCGCCAGTGGATGCAACTGATAAAGGGAATTAATTAGATGTTATTCCAAACTCATTATTATTGTTCAAGACTCTCTTGTTGCCTAACTTGAGAATTTAATCGTAAAAATTTCAATACTCAAAGTGTCGTCTCATAGTTCAAAATCGAATAATGCTTTGTCCCGAGGGATCCAGCCTTTTCTCCTTGACCTAATTTTCTCCAAACATGGAGGTTGTGTTTCGAGTTGGATCGGAGGGGAACTATTATAAATGAGGCAATTGTTACAGTTTTTTTGTTGATAATCAAAACGAAATTATAAACTAGTAATACTATAATATATGGGAATGATGATCGAACTCGAGTGCAAATGGGTGAACACACTACTTTAATCAACTAGCTTAATCCATGTATTCACATTTTATATCCAAAGATGATGAAAAGTAGTTATTATTAGGAAAGTTAGAAAGATGTAGAAAGAAGGAAAAACTCTAGCTATCCCTAGTACCTAGCTCTCACCTCATATGGCATAAGCTAAGAATAATGCTCTAACTTCCTCCATGCGCGTCGACTGGATAAGCACAAGCATGACCTATTTATATATAAAAGATTTACAAAAATATAATCACAGACCAAATTTCTAGCTTTTTGCTAGCCTTTGACTAAAAACAGAATAAACAAAATGATTGAATGAAAACGACACAACTTTTTTTTAGTGCCCAAGATTCGGCATTCAACTTCCTTTTTCAGGCTTGATTGTGAAAGGGAAGGAATTATAGTAAATCTAATTGTTAAATCCCTTAATTTTTGCAGCAAAATCATCTCCACTTCAATCAGTGGCTTGTGGAGTTTTCACGGCAAGCTATTGGAGAAAGGGATATATATTCATATATTTTTAGTACATCTTTTGTCTTCTGATATGAGCCACAAGGAAACGTATAATTTATTTCTGATAGAAACAAGCAACCCCCCATGAAAATAAATAAAATTAGAAAGACATGATAGACAAACAACTTTTTTATTATTATTATCAAAATAAGAGCTTTCGTTCATAAAGAAGCGACGTCAATATAACCAGAACTCTTGACTTCTCTACAAAGTGGCCTCATTAAAACCTTATCATAAAAATCCCAAATGGAAGAAATCCGGTTAAAGAGAGGGACAAACAACTTTTCTTTGGCTTTTTAGGAGGAAGAGAAAAAAAAACCAAGGGTCTTATTCTCAAACAATTAATATTGATGAATGGATGCCTACATGCCCCACATCGCATGTTGATAAAGAAAGAAATGCTGGTATTGTGTCTCCCAACTTTTGAGGTCTGCCTCCACCCCCACTCCCAAAACTTCAAAAGTGATTTGAAGTGATCAAGATGGTTTTGGATCACGCAGTTTTTATTTTTCTGTGGAAACGCTTTTCTTTGAAAATTGAGTTTCAGATCCATTTTTTGTCTTCTGTTCTTCTGTTGCCTTTTTGTAACAGGAAGATGTTTGTGCGGATTTTTCTCTTATCCAGACATCCAGGTTGTTTAGTGTGCGGATTCCAATGTTTGCAAGTGTGTTTCATTGTAAAAAATGATTTGAAGTTGTACACTTCTACAGCACCACCGACTGGATATTTTTATATAACAGTGTAGTGGCTTGTGATTTGGCAGCATGTATAAGAGGAGAAAACTGAAGAAACATTGAGGTCCGCATGCTAAACAATCCGGACATCCCGATAAGAGAAATACTATATATATATATATATATATATATATTCTTAACTGCTATATAGTTTTCTTCAAAGTTGTACTAAATATCTCAAACGTTTCTTAATATGGTTCTGTTGGTAAAATGTCTTATCCTTGGACAAGAGATATAACACCAAATATTCAAGCTTCATTTACATTTGACCAACTACCATTTGATTTAGCGGTATCTGTCTTCATTTTGTTGGAAGATGTCTCTTGATCAACTTACTTGAATAATAAAGACGATATATATATATATATATATATATATACATGATGAATTTAATATCTAGTTATGAGTACTGTCTCAAAATGGTGCAATTCCCATATGTAATTGGTTTATAATAATTAATTTTTGGCAAATTTTTCTTCCATATTTATTTACAATATTGCATGATCCAATACCAAAAGTCAATTGAGGTTGGATAAAACGTCCATGTTGGAAGGTGTAGCACTTGCTTTCAAGTACCAAACGGATACATGTATGAGATTTGTTGGTAGTATGGAATTTTCATTTTCTTTAATATATAGTTATTATATGGCAAAAACAAAATAAAAATAAAAATAATGTGTCTAGGTTCTTATTTTTGGGTGGTCCTCTCTATAACCTTATTTAATATAATAAGTGTGACCATTCATGGAAACTAGATTTTATGTCAAGTAATCACTAATTGATACGGACTATTAAAAATAATTTATCAAATTAGGTGGATTCTTAATGAGAAGTTGAAAACTACCCATCTTTAATGCATTGTCTTGATAAACATGCGTGATGCATGATTGAATTTCTTATGGGGGTATGATTCTTGATTACTATATATATTATGATTTCTGATGTGATTTTTAATTATTTGTCGCATATGAGTAATACAATACCATATGTTAAACCGATACGAAAGTATTTGAATTTGGAATATCATCTAATACTGGAAGATAAATACCACTAAGAACTAATTGGTAAAAACCTCATTTTGGAATTTATTTGAGACGTTATTGATTCTATGTTGAGGGGTCTATTGATTTTACAAAATCCATTCTTATTGGATTGATGATATATTTTTCTTAATAAAAGAAAAACAATGTCACAAATATTTGGAGAATAAAAAGTGAGTAACGACTCATTTAAATAACACACTTTATTATTTACTAGCTCTTTGGCACATGCAAATTAGTTTTATTTTTTATTTTTTATTTTATTTTTAGAATTAAGAAAATATAATATGTGTAGTTATGTTACATAAAAGTAGCACATATTATTTGATTTTGTTTTTAATTTGAATTTTTTTAATATGAAAAAATGTGAATTTACCATATTATCCTTATTTAATTAATAATTTTAATTCTTAATGTTTGAATTAATCAAGGGCATTTTCTATATTTCACCATTTTCTGTTTTTTGCTTTATATATATAGATAAATATATTATACGTAGTTCCAAATAAAATCATCAAAATTTGATTGGATTTAATTGAATTGTAACATAAATAAGTCAATATTAAACCTAGCAAATTGATTCTAATTGGATTAGATTAGATTGGATTAAAACGGAACTCTAAATAATCACGTGGTGATCAATAATGGATCACAATTCTCCACCCTTGCCTTGTTTTTATTTTTTGAATAATAAACTTTTTGTTCTTTATATTTGATAAATAGATAATATTTAAATGATTAATGTGATCATGATGATTACCATCATTAAATTTTAACCAAACCACTTATCCATGTGGCACCTTGTAGACCTCCCACATTGTTCCCACCAACCTCCACCCCACCACTTAAAACCCACCACGTGTACACCACACCTTACCTAACAAACTTTGTGATTTCTGAATCAGCAAAAAATCCGATTAAAAGAAGGGCAAAAATGCAATTTAGTTTGCAAATCCTTCTTCAATTAGAATATGGAATCTCCATACAAGAATCTGCCACCTCACTCAAAAACCCACAATATCCGAAACAACCCCTACATTTCCTCGAAATTTCATCTCACCGCCTCTGTAGGCTGTAGCTAGCTCGCTCTCTCTCTCTCTCTCTCTCTCTGTATATCTCCATTATTAATATCCTTTTCCGTATCCCTAAGTTTCTACAATACGATTACGATAGCATACCATTCCATCTACTCGCACCCACTAGATTTATTCTTTACAGCTCTCTCTCTCTCTTTTCTCTCCCTTCTCTCTCTATTTCTCTGTGAGTCCTCTCCACCCTTTTGTCGGTGTTATCAGATCTTGCAGAACGCAAACTCCGGGGCTCTCTCACTGGTGCCTTTTCTTCTTTTTTCTTCTTGTTGTCCTTCAACACCAAGTTAGATAGCAATTCGGAGTTATTTAATTTGTGGGTGTTGTATCTATATTGGAAAATGTTAAAGCTTTGTGTGTTGGGTGCTTTATGGTGGTAGTTGGTGGGCTGCCTAATTGCTTTTGTTCAGCGCGTGAGGTTTTGGACTTGGAATCGGAATTCGAGGGGTGCATGAGGGATTTGGTTGTGTGGGTTCTATGCTGGGTGAAGTTGGGATTGAGAATAAGGTGGGATTGTGGGCTTGTGATAAGGAGCAGGGGAAGGTGGGGCAAATGTGGCTGAGTCTTTGTGGAATTTGAGACCTGGGTTTTTTCTGTTTGTGCTTGATCTCAGCTGGATAAGAGTTTTTTAGCTCAGTTTTTCGAGATTTTGAGTTCTGGGTTTGACACAAAAATGCAGCAGGATCATTTGAAGAAGGTGCCTTTTCTTGAATTTTCCAGTTCTTTAATTTGTGATAGGCTTTCAGAAATTGTGTGAAAATAATTGCCGTTCGTTTCATTTTTATTTATTTATGTGCAACTGTGTTTTAAGTAACGTTTTCTATGTGCAATTGTGTTGCAAGTAACGAATCGTGATATGATTCATTATATTGTGAATTTTTTAAATAAATATTTACATAAAATTTGTATTTGTATTGTTTATCGTGAAAGTTGAGATCTTTGTGCAAATTGAGCTTTGAAATGGAGCTTTTTCGACTGATGATGGAGTGGGACATATGTTAGCTGATAATTATTGGTTTTGATTTTTCCCATCTATGATTAACTGGTATTAGATTCAGTTCTTGTTTAATATAACAGTCATAATGGATAACGGCATAAGTTAATGGCAATTTTCCTGAAAGAACTTTTCATTCTTATTCTGGAATTCCATCCAATGAATTTAATGCTTATACTTCTCTTTTGAGATCATTATGTGCCAATTTCATGGCTCTCTCTCTTCTTTCTATCTCAGGTGTAGATTCCTCTTTACTAAAATGATATTTCTCTCAGATCGATCCTTTCAAATATCTTGTTTTTCTGGATCAATTTTTTTTATTTATTGTTTTCAAATTTCGTTGCCCGTCTTCAACTTCTGAAACTGCTGGAGTAGTTGTAGGAATTTGAGGTATTTGTTGTGCGCTTTCTGATTTTCATTTTTTTTTATTTGTTTGGAGTTGATGTCTAGGACTTTTAAATGTTGTTCCTAAAGTATCTGATTAGAAAATACTTAGAAATCACAAGCGGGATGAAATGTTTCGTCACGGTTACTGAAATTATCATAGAATCTGGAAAGTGCAACATATAAGAACAAATATATAGGTTGGCTACACAGAGGGTAGCCTTTTCGGAGTTGATCCCGTGCAATGTAAGAATTTGGTATATGTATTAATTGTGTTGGTTGCATGGCATCTTATGACACATTATATATATCAAATATGCCTGTAGTATTCTTGCACCTTTGTTTTTCAGTCTGATGTTTTTGTGCACATACTTTTTTGTATATTAACACATAAAAATCCTGTGCTCATTGTCATTGAAAATTATTTGTTGTACTCTTTGTTCATATTTATCTTTTGTTAGTCAGCATTTCTTGATGTCTGTTGTGATAGCATCATACTTCATGATTGTATCTATTTGAGTATCATTGTTCTTGATTTATACTGTATTCTAATCTGAATGGGATTCAATGCAACAGAATCAAACTGAGATGGACTTCTTCTCTGATTATGGTGATGCCAATCGATACAAAATTCAGGAAGTTATTGGAAAAGGAAGCTATGGTGTTGTTTGCTCAGCAATAGACACACATACGGGTGAAAAAGTGGCAATAAAAAAATACATGACATTTTTGAACATATATCTGATGCCGCTCGTATTCTTCGTGAGATAAAGCTTCTCAGACTTCTACGACATCCCGACATTGTTGAAATTAAACACATTATGCTACCGCCTTCTAGAAGAGACTTTAAAGATATCTATGTTGTTTTTGAGCTCATGGAGTCAGATCTTCATCAAGTTATCAAAGCAAATGATGACCTGACACGAGAGCACTATCAGTTCTTTCTTTACCAGCTGCTTCGTGCATTGAAGTATATTCACACCGGTACATCCTTCTCGCTAATTACTTTGCTGCTTTACCTATGTACTTTTATACTTGGTAAAAAAAATAAAATTCAAAACCATGCTAGGTTTACTGCCTGCCATAAGGACCCTTATTTGTGTATATGTGTGCACTTAGGTTCTTGTGGTCTATTATATTTCTAGCGGCTGATTGGGTGTGTTCTGCATTTTTTTCTTTTTGATTGTACTCTTGTGTTTGGGTATCTCTCAATCTTTCCTGTCCCCCTCCCCTCAGTCTTTCATTTATTTTTTCCCACTGAATGTGAACATATCTGATACTTACCTAATTGGCTGCAGCAAATGTCTACCATCGAGATTTAAAACCGAAGAACATATTGGCAAATGCAAATTGTAAACTAAAAATCTGTGATTTTGGGTTAGCAAGAGTTGCATTCAATGATACACCCACGACAATATTTTGGACGGTACTCAATCTGTGATGTCGTTTGTTTATCTATCCTAGAGTTATTTCACATAGAATGTGAGGACGTTTTCCAACATCTTAAAATAGTACTAATACTTCTGCACCTTTAATGGGACATTTGCAGGACTATGTTGCAACTAGATGGTATAGAGCTCCAGAACTTTGCGGATCCTTTTTCTCTAAGGTAGAGCTTCACTTAGAGTTTCTTAAACATTTTAAAATTCATAACAGCTTAAATAAGGCAAGGGTTAACGAGTAGTTTGATCTGAATTTAGTAATTCAGCGGTCAATCCATGTAATCATTCGCCCAAGATTAGTGCATCTAAATGCAACAGATATCTCCTTCCCCTCTATTTATTTCAGTTGCATTTTCGAACTTGCAGCATGTATTTTCCATGGGGATAGCCAATGTGATATGGTGCCATTAAGTAATATTATTCTTTGGTGTTGAGGAGAGATGGCACGTACTCTTATTTCCTCTCCTATTGAAATGGAAGAGTGAAATGGAAACCGATAACTTACTATGGCAATATTATGTTTTATATTGCAAGTTGTAGGGGAGTTGTGGCATGTCTATTGTTCTTGTAATTAACATTCCAATTTGATTCTAGTGTTTGAGTAAAAGCATTTTTTTCTTCTCTACCTACTAAATTTTGATTTCATGTGAATGCAGTATACACCTGCAATTGATATATGGAGTATAGGCTGCATCTTCGCTGAGGTATTAACAGGGAAGCCACTTTTTCCTGGAAAGAATGTTGTTCACCAGCTGGATTTGATGACTGATTTGCTTGGGACACCATCATTAGATACCATATCTCGGGTACGGAAAAGCCGTCTTTTCTGATGCAATGTTCTGTTGCTCTTTCTATTTTATTTTAATTAAGTATTTAAGTTTGTGTCCTCATAATCACAACCCGCTACTTTATTTGAGTGCAGGTTCGAAATGAAAAGGCAAGGAGATACTTAACTAGTATGAGGAAAAAGCAACCTGTGTCATTAGCACAAAAATTTCCGAATGCTGATCCTTTAGCACTACGACTCTTGGAAAGATTGCTTGCCTTCGATCCAAAGGACCGACCAACGGCCGAAGAGGTTTGTCATGCTGTAATAGACTATCTACTTTCTTAGCATTATGCCATATGTGTGCCAATGCATATATCCAGCCAATTGCTGGAATGAAAGCATCATATGTGATTAATCTAGCTAGTGTGGATATTTAGTCGCTTGATAGTAAATGTGTTGAATTTTGCCTTTTGTGTTTTTACCAGGCACTTGCTGATCCTTACTTTAAAGGATTGTCAAGAATTGAGAGAGAACCTTCGTGCCAGCCAATTACAAAGATGGAGTTTGAATTTGAAAGGCGAAGGGTCACAAAGGAGGACATACGGGAGCTAATTTTTCGGGAGATATTGGAGTACCATCCTCAATTGCTAAAAGACTACATAAACGGAACCGAGAGAACTAATTTTCTCTATCCGAGGTTCAACCAGCCATAGTTGCTTTTAGCATTCAAATATTGTTGCATAGATTGATTAAGGTCCTTTATGCTGCTATCTTTCCCCTGACTGTTTGTGTGTATTTGTACACAGTGCTGTTGATCAATTCAGAAAGCAGTTTGCACATCTGGAGGAAAATGGTGGTAAAAGTGGTCCAGTGATTCCACTTGAACGAAAGCATGTGTCTCTTCCGAGGTAAAGTATAGTTCCTTATGTTTATTGGTTCACATATTGACAAGCTGCTATCAAAACAGTGTATGCAAAGTACTGGTACACTGTAATCACGGAGATAGTGCAAATAGGCAAGTTAGTTGTTGTCTAAGGGCTCCATTGTGGAATGTCCTGCTACTGCCTGACCTTTAATATCAAACAATCCCTATTTGAGGGATGTCTCCTTGTTAGGTTTGGCTAGGGATCCCTAATTAGTTGAGCTCATCCCTCTGCCCATTTTTACAGTGCTAGGATGTCTTCCGCTTATGACCTGTACTGTTCTTCCATGTCCAGGAAAGCTGCATGTATGATTTTTATTAGATTGTCAATGATTAAGATGATAATATCTTTACAGGTCCACGATTGTACATTCAAATACGGTCCCTCCCAAAGAGCAACAAAATTATGCATTCTTGAAAGATCAGAAAAATGCTGAAGAGGCATACAAGAATTCAAGGGACAATGAAGGAATTCATGTAAATCTATCAAGAACCATGCAAACACCACAAAGAATTTCTTTGGGTACGCTCAATAACTTTTAAGAATTTGTAGCTATCCATTTGCTTCTTGCTTTTCCATTTAGTTTTAACTGGATTTTGGTTACTTATCCAGCCAAACCAGGAAGAGTTGTTGGACCTGTTGCACAGTATGAGAATGGAAACATGATGAAAGATACCTATGATCGAAGGACACTAGTTAGAAGTTCAGTACTTCCTCCTCAGGCTGGCCCTCCTGCTTATTGTTATCGCAAACCCGGTGCTGGAAATCAAGAAAGGTCTGTAGTGGAAGTCGAGAGGGACATGTCTTCACAAGCCAAGCAAGCTGCACAGTGTGGCATGGCAGCGAATGTAGCACCGGATGTAGCTATCAGCATCGACTCCAACCCATTTTTTATGACTCGGGTGGGAGTCAGTAAGGTGGAACATGATGACAGAATTGCTGTTGACACAAACTACTTGCAGACAAAGGCTCCATATGGTGGGATTGGCGCTGCGGCTGCCACTGCAGCAGCCCACCGCAAGGTTGGAACTGTTCAGTTTGGCATGCAAAGGATGTATTAGGCGAGCATTCAAAGAGTCGGGTCATGGTAATGATGCATAATAATTATGCATAATGAAGCAGTTGATGCAGAGGCAGAGGACGAAGATGGAGCACAGTTCATGCATGTCAGGAAGGGCTCCATCAAGGGGAGGACGGATAAGCGATGGATAAGCGCTCCAAGGGGGTTGTGATGAAAAGAGGCAGTCGGTGCTTTCCTTTAAAGAGCCAGTTTTCTGTGGTTATGTTAGATACGAGTACGTTTATCTTGCTTCAAGAAACTATATGTAAGCAACATTATACAATCAAATTCAAAAAAACGAAACTGTGTCCCTTACCTGCTTGTGGAGTTCATGTGAACATTAAACATAACTTGCATGCAAAGCACGGTTTACAGCTGATTGCAACAATTGCACAAGTAATTTTTAACATAATGGCCTTATACAACTTCTCTCTTCACTATATTTCAATTTGGCCAACATTCCACAACTCTATCAAGTGCCTCTGTTACTTCGAGCCTTCTAAGGATCAGCCTTGATTACACAAAAACCTATATGTATGCAGAAGTTACAACTTACAACCATACAGGATTACCTTTTATTGTAGCACTTGGGTTAAAAACAATGCCTGAATTGTATTGAACCGACGGTTTGGTTATAAAAAGAGTCAAACAGCCCAAAAATTGAATTGGACTGCTCCGATCTCGTTGAGTTTGTTGTTCTTACCTTTTTAAACTCGAATCAAACTAGACTAGTAATGTTGGGTGATTCTGTTCCTAATTAAAGATATGAACCGAATCAAATCAGATACGTCAAATTGAACCATATGAACCAAAATTGAACTGAACTGTGCTCGCCCTTACACAAGCCCACTCGAGCCAAGTTCTTTTGGACCATCAGATCATGTCGTAATGCAGGTGAAATAACCCTTCACTACTAAATGACTTAAAAGACTAAAGTTGATGCATGCTATCATTCTGAAAGGCCAAAAGGACGTCTAACCTGTAACCCTTTTGTCTCACGACTAGGCATGCTCTAGGCATGAGGCCCAAGTTGAAAGATCACTAAAAACAGATACGTACAGTTGGTGATAGAAAAAAGGTAGGGAAGTAAATGAGTTGGCAGCCATGGCCATCCAGCAACAAACTACAAGGCAAGGCAAGGCAAGAAGGGGAAGGCAAGGAACAGTTTCTGACTCAAACACAAATGCACCCACATCATCAGTACATTACGCATGCATGATGAATTCTCTCCTCTTCTCTCTGGTGATTATAATTATTACGATGGGTGCGCATAGTTCCATTCCATGCCATCATTATTCAATTCCATCACCCTACTTTTCTGTCCATATGGGGAGTCATGGACCCCTCTTTGCACGTATGCTTTGTCCCCATGAGCCCCATGAGCTGGACCATCTCCTCCTTCACCACATGCACTTCTCATTAGGAATCAGAGGTTTCAATTTTCATTTCAATCCTAGATTAATATTGTTGAGACGAGTAGGATTTACTTGCACCAACGTCTGATTGTCCTTAGCACCACCCTTGTTAAGATCGCCAATCATTTACACGCACGTGAACGGTTGAATCATCAATCCTAGTAGAATCGCAATCAGCATCTCGAACATGATTTAGAAATGATTATATTAGTTTGATGAATAGTCAAATGCACTAATTCAGTTGCATTAGGTCACCCAACCAGACCTATAAAACTTTGTACTTGACTAGAGTACGGATCACAAAAAGGAAGGAAAGAGAAAAGAAGAGGAAATGCAAGTAGAAGAGAACTCCAAAGAGAAAGAAAGAAGAAGGTGGTGGGAGGGAAGGATCTGATTCTTTTCTGATTGCGATTGTGATCCAAGAAATGTTAATTAATTAATTATATTTATTAGAATAATAATAAATAAAGTATAAAATAATAATATGTATAAATATAATGTAGTGTGTGAATGTGACAGCAACAAGAGAAGAAGGGAAAGGGAGCTTGGGTTTGGCTTTGGGTGGGTGGCTCTGATCACATGGAGCCCCATATGCCCAACACACCAAATCTCTAACACAATCCCAATGACCAAAACCACCCGCTGGTTTCCTCCTTGGAAACACCACCACTCCTTCCCCATAATAATATTCACCTCTTCCGATTTATTATTTATAGACTAAATATTTATAACTTAATTAAAATAATTTTTTTTTAAAATGAGATTTTTTTTTGTGGGGCTCTAGGTGGGTCCCGATGGGAGTGCCACTTGGCAACCATGCCAAGATAGATAGTAATGTAGATCACAGGGAGAGAGGGAGAGAGGGAGAGGGGGGGGTGGGGAGGCACTTAGGCACATGGGTGGTGTTAGGTTCAAGAAAATCATGTGATCACATGTGCTCTCTCTTTCCTTTTGTTTTCTACTGTGGAGCCCATTGACATTGCTCTCTAGTCTCTACTGTAATTTCACATGAACCTATCCACACCTGATCCATGGAGAGTCTCCTCCCACCCTTCCTCCTGCGCGTTCGCCTCTTCCTTCCCCATTTGTTTTTCTCTCGTTATTATTATTACTCTCTAATTGGTATTAACAATATTTTATTTGTTCATATACAAGAGAAGATCTCAACTAATGTGGTAGTATCTTATTCGATTCTATTTTAGACCTAATTTAATTTATTCGATTCTATTTTAGACTTAATTTAATTTTAACAATTACGAAATTATCATGTATCACACTAGTCAACGTATTAATCGTAACAACTACGAAATTATTGTGTATCACACTAGTCAACATAAGTGAACCTAAGTAGGGATGAGAGGGAGTTGTTGCCCCCACTCAACAAATTATTCTCCATTGGTTTTGTTCAATTACTAGGCTAGCATTAGGATAAAGTAATTAAGGTAGGAGTGGGGAATAGAGTATAATGCCTGTTAAAATGTCTCTAAGAGGTTGAACAAGCAATCAATTATTAGTTTAGTAGTATGAATTTTATTCTTTTGAAAAACGTATGAGAACTTCTTTACCTTATTCGATTGAGAAAAATTCATGTATCTGTCACTGTTAGTTAAATGATTTATTTATTATGTAAATTAGGATGGAATAGATTACATCGCATTTGTGTCGAAACCTTAATGAACAGGACAACGCGCTTGATTAGAGAGGTGAAGAAAAGCACTAGAGTCCAAATCCAAAACAAGGGATTGGGAAGCCAAAACTAGTGGGCCAAAGCTTCGTTGGCATTGACATTTCTGGAGCTCAACAATAATTTAACGCCAACCTCATACACACCTCCTCCTTCCTCTCTTCAGTTCACAAAGAAAGTCATAACCCACCTTTGCCTTCTCAATCTCTCTCTCTCTCTCTCTCTCTCTCTCTGTCTGCCCCTCACAGACTCACACAAAAGACTTCCTCCCCTCAAACTCATGGAGGAAGCTCAAACTCAAACCCAAGTTTCCAAATCTACATTCAAGAGAAAGCAAAGAAAAACCCAGCAAAAATCTCACATGGGTAATGCAGTGCATGAATCTTTATCCAGCTTTAACCAACTGAGAGCAGAGAGTGCTCAACGAAGAGCCCGAAAACAGAGAAGGGAAGAGTACATGAAGACTAATCAGCCCAGTGATGTAAAGAATGGTGGTGAAGAAGATGGTGACAAGGAGGAGGAGGTGGAGAAGAAGATTGAGGCATTGCAGAAGATTGTGCCAGGGGGGGAGTCATTTGGAGTTGACAAGCTGTTTGAAGAGACTGCTGGGTACATAATGGCCTTGCAGGGTCAGCTCAAAGCCATGAAAGCTCTTGCAAGCTTTGTTGAAGGTTTGGAGAAGGAGAAGAGGAAGTTTGGAGGTTGATTGATTGATTGATTAATTATGGCCTCTTGCTGATTGGGAGTTTGGAAGGTTCTTATTATGGTTCCATGACAGACCAATGAAATCTCCTCTTCTTTTTCTTCTGTTTTTTTGTCCTCTCTTTTTTTTCTTTTTCAATTTTCTTTGTTGGGTAGTAGTGGGTAGCTTATTTTTTTCTTCTTCTTTATTTTTCCTCCTTATAATGTTAATTTTTTCATATTTTTGTAATGAACTAATGGATAGGAAAAGATCAAGTTCTCTAGTACTAAAGAAATGATATAATGCCTTTTTATTACATGGATGTAGGAATTTTATTTCCTATATCTACATATATATACAGTCTTCTTCTATCGAGGGATATCTGGATTATTTGCATTTTGCAGTACCTCATGGGCACTGGAGGCTCAGAAATCTGATTGTCTGAAAGGCTAGGAGTTGTGATTAGATAATGATAGTTTTGCTGCATCTGGTGGTGTCTGATCTCTCTTGGTTTATTTGGATTGTTTAATTATACTTAGGAAACTAATGGTTAGTGTCCAATGAAAAAGATTGAGGTGGTTTAGCATGTGGTTAGTGAGCTACTCTCAGTGACTAAACGTTAATGCTGTACTGGTTTTGGCATCTTATACGGAAACATTATTAATGAGGGCTAAAAGTAGCTTTTAATTAATTGGTATTTTGACTTAATTACCCCCTTAAAAAGTTTAATATATCTATTGGAAAACAAGACAAGAATATAAATTTTGAGCAATAATAATATATCTAGGTTGAAGGCTTTTTCATGTAGCATTACATATGCGTTAAAGTAGAAAGAGAAAAGGTAACCATGTGGAGATAAATGGAGAACTGATGCGTGATTTTTAATTTATTATATCCACAGGTTTGAAATTATTACGACTTTATCTCACTCATTACATGTTACGTGACTTGATGAAAGAGATATATACATTGTATATAACTCATTACATGTTACGTGACTTGATGAAAGAGATATATACATTGTATATAACTGATGATAAAGGAAAAACGAAAGAAATTTTCAATTGAGAAAAACCAACCGATGATAGGCACATTGTATGCATTAAGAACATCAACTAGTTAAGCGGTTTCGATTTATTTTGACATTTTTCTTTCTAAGCCTAATTTGAATCATGCATGATAAGATTATTTTGGTCACCCACGATGTTGAGCCGTGATTTATTTTGACACACTTGGTGATGTCGTCGCTTGTGGCTTTGTGCAACCTTCCAATGTTTGACTTGGACTCCGCAAGTCTAATGATACTTTGTTTAGTCAAAGTACCTAACTGGATTTCCCCTTTTTGACATTTGGTTATTGGCAACAGATGATGAAATCAAATCAAACCGTTAGTTCTTCTCTATACCTGATCTTGTCCCCGGAACTATCAGAAGAGGGCTTTAGAACTAAAATAGGTCATCAGTTAAATCGATCTCACCCAATATAATATATCTAATCATAAACCCTTCTACTCTTCATGCCCCACTCTCGTTTGGTGGTTTGCCTTGAATATAATTAGAGTTGAATTCAAACCAGTTCATATGAGTCTTAATTCTCTAGATGAGAGTACAATTAATCATGATATTTATAAGTTAATCAAACAACAATCATGATATTTATCCAATTCAATTGAAATAGTTCAATTCATTCCGACTCACCAGACGTGGTTAGGTCACATTTGAAGTGTTCAATTAAACTAAGTTGACTAACTATTACAATTGATTAGACTATTCCAATTAAATTACGAGCACTGTTAAAATGAAATGTGGTCGTTCAAGACTTAAGATCTAGGTCTTAAGTTTTAAACTTGGGACGTTTTTTAATACTGATAAGAGAAATACCACTAATTTGAAAAAAAGTTGAGATGACCATAAAGGCATTGCACTGCACCACTTGGGAGGCAAAAGTTTATGGGTAGTTGGAAACCACTGTGTCCAACGGGTGCATGCATGTGTGGACTGTTAATGTGCATGTTGGTTGAGTAGAGTTGCACTCAGACTGATGAATTTAAGAAATAGATAAGAAGAAGAAACAAAGGAAAAGTGGCATTGTCCAAAAAAAAGCACTCTGCCCATGGATCGCATTGCCAATGGCAGGTGTGGTCCTCCCTCATGGAACATTCATGGTATATGTTAAGGTGCTTGCTCGCAAACAAAAACTGAAAAAAAGGCTGTCAAACTTGGAATTTCGATTTTTTTTTCTTTTTAAAGTTAAATCGACCAAATAAAATACCGCAGACGTTGCCCATTCTCTTATGTTTCATCTATCATCTCTCTGCCTCCTCCGTGCTTTATGTTTCATTCCATTTTGCTTGGGGCTTGGCCAAGAATGACATGAGATTGGGGCTTGGGTGGGGTGTTTTTGCTTCCAACAATAATTAGACTGCCCGATGGGCCTCTCCCTCTACATCCGATGGCTTAAGAGATGGGCCCCCATTTGTTGGATGGAGATTCTATCAAAGGATTTTGTTAAGGTTAGTAACTTATGTAACGAGTTTTGACTGTTAATGATATGTGCACCTCAATGTATTAACAGTTAGAAATAGTACACGCGCGTGTGAGTTACTACTAACTTACAATTGAGTCCTCTAGTACTGCAGGAGATAATTGCTCATTATACAACTCATCAAACTTCTCATCAACAGTTAGGAATTACACACGCGCATGCACAAGTGATGCACGCAACAGATTATCTAGAATGTCTCAAATTTCAAAACTCTAAATAATAAAATATTTTTGAAAGAATTGAGAACTCTAGGTACAAAATTAAAAAAGAAAAAGAAAAATGGAGGAAGAAAGAAGGTGAGTGATCTCGCCGGCCAATCATTGCAATTTGTCAACTCTGTTAACTAAGTTTCAAATGAAGGGTAGGGTTGAGATTTTGTAAGTATTTATTGGGTGCCCAAAAGAATATTACAAATTCAAAAGATTGAAGATGGGTGTCCAGAGACAAGTTTGGGCTAGATGTTTGTTTCAAATCCAGCCCAACAAGCAAAATCCACTTGGCCACCACCCAAGTGGTTCAAATCATCAGCAACATCAGAAAGGGACGGGTCCCACAACTTTTAGCACCTGCACCGCACCATCGACGACTCTCAGCCGTCCGTTCCTCATCACTGATTAGATTCGATGCCTCCTGTAATTCTAGGGAAAAAGAAGACGGAAAAGGATAATGGAAATGTGTAAGAAGTAGAAACCCTAAAGGCTCGTCACCCTCATCTGCCCCTGTTTACACGGAACATTCTCGTCCCACGCAGATCACCTCATCAGTAGAAGCACCATTGCTGATTGCTTTCGGGTTTGGTTTTCTCTCATACTATTTCTATTTCTTTGAAGCATTGAAGTCCTATTATTCTCGTTTTCGTTTGAAACTGCAAGAAAATTGATAGATGAAACTTATTTATGCGATTTTGAATTTTGCATTTTGCATTTTCGATTTTCTGGTTGTGATTGGCTTCTGTTCTTGTGCGTGTGCGCGCGCGCGCGTGTAGGTTTAGACATGGCAGACGAGAAGACGGTTGAAATCGTCGACGATACTGAGGCCTTCTACGATGCCGATCAGACGGCGGAAATGGGCCGGAAGATCGAGGGTTTGGAGCGGGAGAAGCTGCAGTTGGAGCGCGAGAACAAAGAAAGCAATGAGAAAATCAAGGAACTGACGACGGAGATCGAGAAGTTGAAGAGAGGCGAGAAGGACACGAAGGAGAAGCTGCGGGAGATGGAGTTGGAGATCGAACGGAACGACGAGGGAAAAAATGTTCTGGAATCGGTTGCGAATAGAGCGATGGAGCTTGAAACTGAGGTATCGAGGCTCCAACAAGACCTGATCTCGGCGATGGCCGAAGTAGAGGAGGCGAATAACGAAGTTGCGGACCTGAAGCGTGTTTTGGGAGAGAAAGGAGCGAAAATTGATAGATTGGAGAAAGAGCTTGAGAGCCTGAAGAAGGCCAAAGCTGAGAGCGAGAAGTGGGTTAGGGAATTGGAGAGGAAGATTGGGGTTTTGGAAGTGAAGGAAACTGAGGAGAAGAGCAAGAGAATTAGGGTTGAGGAGGAGATGAGGGAGAGACTTGATGAGAAAGAGAATGAGCTTAGTTTGTTCAAGAAGAAAATTGAGGAATTGGAGTCGGTGATCACCAAGAACGGTGTTGAATTGGGGAAGAGAGTGAAGGAGACTCACGATGTCGAGGCGGCATTGAGGGAATCGGAGGACAAGTGCAGAGCCGTGGAACTGAAGATGGGACAATTGCAGAAGGATGTGGTGGAGGCTAACAAGGTTATTAATGGATTGAGGGAGAGGACTGTTGGGGCCATGAATGGGACTGTGGATGAAATGAAGGAGATTTTGGAAGGCGGAGAGACGGGTCCAAAGGGATTGAGCTTGCCAGTTGTTGCAGGGTCTACTGGAGCCATTGTTGCCGTGGCGGCTGCTGCCGTCTATGTGTTGTATCTAAGGCCTAGGTGATTGGATCGCGATGCGGCTATAGAGAAAAAGTCCAGGCAGGTTTAAAGCTAGAGGTTAGGGGTTTATTGATTAAGAGCATGTTACAATTTTGTTAGAAATGCTTTTTTTGTTGGCTTTTTGGTTTTTTTTTATTATGAGCCTATGGTTGTCATGTTAGCTCAATCATTTTGGGATGCTTTGCTGTTTAGCTTTTACTTGCTTGGTTGGAAAAAAACTTCATATATATAGTTTTGCAGATTTAATATACTTCCACTATCGTCTATACTGTATTTTGAATTGCTTGAATAACACAAATGCAGTATCAAGATTTTTTGCTTATTATTTGATGTTGTACTTGTAGCACTTATATTCTAATTCTGTTTTATCGCTTTCGATATCTCGCATCACTTTTACTAAGATTGTCCAATTCCCTTGTTGGTGCTTTCCTTAAAATGCTATTTAGTAGGTTTTGATAAAAAAATGTTCTGTAATCAGAGCCAAGCCGGTAACCCATCAGTGATCATAGCCTTAGTCACCTGTTGTTTCTAATTTAGTGCCTTGTTGCGCCCCTCTTTTCATTTTTGTTTATTTTTTGCCCACTTAGTGTGGTGCTGGGGGTTATGAATTGTCACAATAGGGACTCTCAATAAGACGAGTCCTCAATTCGGTTAACTGTAGAACACCATTTTTACATAGAAGCCGAAGTGTATCTGTCCGTAGGGAAACATTCATGGAACCATGTTTGTTCAACCAGTTTAGCTGCATTATGGTGCAATTTGTGGAGGCTCAAACTCACTTGGGTTTCTTTGATAAGTTGATCCTCCGTTTAGGTACAATCCACGTTAACTTGTTAAGCAATCATCCGTGTTGCTAATGAAATGTATATCGATCTTATCCGATAATCCAGTCGTGTCCGTTTTATTGCCACAATATCCTGCTCTTTCCGGCGGTTCGTTAAGAAACTTGGTTTTAGTGTTACGTGTTATGATCTTGGTTGTACTTGGAATCAGAGTATGTGGAATCAGAGTATGTTGCATATGTGCATAAAGACTCTGCCCTGGTTGAGATTTGGAGTTACATGTGAAGTTATCAAAATTATAGCTTGGATCATTACAGACAGGTTAAGATATCCCTTTTGGATTTGGATAACAAAAGTTAAAATCTTGTACAATTTTAGGTTGACTTCACTTTGTCATATACGCATTTGTGAGAGATCTGTTGTCAAATTAATACACCCTTTCCAATTTTTATTTTTATTATTTACATCTTTTGGCCGGTCCTTACTTTTTATTTTGATGATTTACACAACCTGTTATTCTATCATTGCTATGTGAATGATTGTTAGCTGTTGATGTGCATAGAATACGGTCTCGTATTATGCTCGTTTGGTTTTGATAATTGCTTAGCGATGATGACTCTCCTTAGCATTAAAAGTATGATAAACAAATAGATGATATACATTTTGGTAACAAACTTTTCCGTTCAATATTTACCCAAACAAACAGAAGAACAGAGGAAAATCCTCAATAAATACAATACAAATCACTGTAGGAATATCAAAGATTTTTTTTTTTTTTTTTTTTTTCAATATACGGAAAATATAATTAAAGAACCACTGAGGAAATTCACTCGACACACAATCACGCATAACCAAATCTCAATCTTCCGCTGCTAAGCTAAACGAATGTGAAGCTCAAAATCGCTGAAAAGGCTTATATAATTAAGTGTAGCTGTCTCAGTCTTTGCAACCTTCATCTCTGGTTCTCAGCTGCACCATAACGCTTCGCTTTGTCTCTGCACAAATTGGATTAAAACAAAACTAGTTAGCCTACACTTTTGGTGAACAAGTTGTTTTTTTTTTTTTTTTTTTTTTATTTTAAACGATAGTCTAAATTATAAGGGGATGAGAGTTTTTTACACACTACCAATAATATCATAGAGGTTTGAACTTGAGACAACTGGGTTAGACTCATTGACTGGTGAACATTTTGTTTAGCAATGTGCAAAAGGAAATGAGATGCAATGTCGAAAGACCTATATACATGGTAGGCCACCAACTGTAAAGCCATGTTTCTGAAGCAACGTGTTAATGTACAGAGTTTATGCCAACACATGCCACCGCATGACAGCACATTCCAAACTTTTATTTGGTCAATTCTTTCACCCAAAAATTCAAGAAGAAAAGAAAGTAGGAAAACGTGAATGAATTCTCAGCCCTAAAACTGAATCCATATGTAAATTGGTATTCAGAAAAAAGAAAAAAGAAAAGAGAAAAAAGAAAAAAGGTCTAAAACAAAATCTTAAACAGTTGATGGGACAGTGTTTCGTTAGGAGTCTTCCGTGAGTTTAGGGTTGTTCATGAAGAGCACATTTAGTATATCTTGTTCTTCCCACTCAGATCGATTAAAACGACCTTTTATCATACACTAAGCACAATAGAGTTCACACCATAAACTAATCTAATGATAATTAGACTATGATCTTGATGTAATTTACCTTGAATTATCGATTGGATCGATGCAGAACTTGGAAAAGTCCACAGCAACTCTTCCATGAAGTTGGTTGCAGGGGGCGTCCAGTGACAGATACAATAGACTGCCAACACACGAAACCAAGAGATGATCATTCAATTGAAAAGAATTTCATGTGAGCTAGAAAATATTAAACATGTAAAGAAACAGTTTAATCAACTTAATTACCGGATTTCCGGTGCTTTCAGGAATCTCAGGCTTCCCATACTCTTCTCCAGCATCAGCTGATTCAACTGGAGGAGGAACCTGATCAGGCGACGGCTTCGAGGATCCACCAACCACATTCTCACTAGATGCCTTGTAAGATGACTCTCCAATTGTCTCTTCAATTCCCTTTGACACCACATCTACAACCTCACTCTTTTCTTCAACATCTGTTATGACTGGAGCAGGCTCATCATGCTCACTCAAAGAAGGCAATGCTGGTTCCTCAACCTCCTTGGACACCAAATCTGTTTCAGCTAGAGAAACCCCATTGCTCTCATCCACATATGTCAATGTTTTTTCCTCAATCTGCTCTGACACCAAATCTGTCATGGCCGCAGAAGATTCATCCGTCCCATTGGCAGATGCCAAAACTTTCTCCTCTTCTTCCTTCACAGCTTCCAAATCATCAACACCACCTTGATCCAAATGGTTGGACAGAGATTCAACAGTCTCAACAACCACTACGGAAACTTCTTTCGTCTCCTCCACTTCCCCTGAATCCGCCACTTTAGCACTCTTCTCACCAGCTTCTGTCTCTTCATCCGAACTGCTACTACTCGAACTCAAATCATCACCGTCATGGGTTTTCTTTCCAGCCGCTGAATAATCATCAATAGCTATGTCCGTCACAGATTCAACCACCTTAACTTCATCATCTGGTTGAACTTTCAGGGTCTGCTCTAAATTCCCGTTTGAAGAATCCGCCATTTGGTTAAGATCTGCAGAAACTTTCCTTCTCTCTTCTTCTTCTCCTCCTAATGAATATTGATCATCAGAATGGCTTTGACAAGTCACAGAAGCAGTCTCACAACCACTCAATTCTTTGCCATCACAAAATTTCAAGTCATAAATTTCTCTCTCTCTCTCTCTCTATATATATATATATATGTATGTATGTATGTATGTATGTATGTATATATATATATATATATTAGTTTAACATGGTACAGAGAGAACCAAAAAGTAATTAAGAAAACATAAAGGAAATTACAGATGGATCAATAAGAAATAAAGTCAAACTATGTGGAAGCCAATTTCCAATTAAGCAAATAACAAATAGGAATCCAATAAAGAGAAACAGTAAGAGAGAGAGAGAGAGAACCTTGGACATGGAGTTGAAGGATAGGTGGAGACTGGTGGATGGATTCTTTGGTATGCTTCATTTGTTTCTTAGCAGATTTTGAACTGGTTTTCTTTGGACGTGAATGCGAACGTGAAGGCATGGCCTGCTTGTTGACTGGTGGCTGTGAGTTTACAAAGAAATCATATATTCATATGGAATGGCAGATAGAGCAGAGAAAGAATGCCGTGAGTTTGATTTTTAACGTTTTTGAAATTGAAACGGTCAAGGAGGGAAATACAACGCTACATCTGCACATAATTGATGCATGGGGGGCCCTCAGGAGTTAAAAAGGCGGGAGCTTTACTAAACGGCTTCAATGCTTCAACCAAGAGTCACCACCAGTGTGCGACTTTGTGTTTCACTGGAGTGTTTTTTGGCAGTGTGAAAAAGTTATATTCCTATACTTCAAACCATTTTTCTGTAATGGTTGATCGAGATAGATCTTTATTTGGAATTAAAGAGGCATTTTCATGTTTAAGATGTGAGAAGTATTTAGGTTTTTAATGAAATTTTATGCATACTACTTTTATTTATTTATTTATTTATGAGCTTTTAATTGCAATGGTTCATGAACTTATACCCGAGTTTTATTTTGGTTATTCAACTAATTTTTGTGCCATTTTGGTTTTCCAACTCTCTCATTCGTTCCTATTCAGTCATTCCATCACATTATTTGTAAATTTCACCATCAATTTGAAGAGTAAAACCGTCATTGTGGGTTATTTATAGGGGAGGTGAAACTATTGAGGTGAGGGGCCATCTCAAGATTGTGATACATGTGAGTTATGAGGGACCATCTCCAAAATGTTAATGGAGACCTCTACTAGTTTTAAAGCTGTATGATTTAATAGTACTTTTAGTCCTTGTAGTTTACCATTTTTGCCACTATGGTCTTTGTAGTTTCAATTTGATCAATTTTGTCTCTGTAGTTTCAATTTCAAGCAATTCAAGGACAATTTCTAATTTTTTGCCTAATTACTTTAATGTGGAGGGGCATTTCGGTCAAATCATGCATCCCCTCCACAACTATGCCCTAGCCACCCAAGCAACCCTTATTGTTGCTTTTCTTATGCTTTCAAGTCTCAAGCCCCTACTTTATCATGGGTTCATGAGGAGAGGTTTTAGGCAATGTACGGAATTAGTTTTGGAGTTTGATGACATAGCGTAGTGAGGGGAAAGGTGGTCGTGGAGGGAGGGTATAAGGTGATTGCGGGGGTGGTTGGGTCGTGACTATATAATAGGGAGTGGGTTGAGTTAGGAGGAAGAGGTTGGGTAGGGAGGGGGAGAGGGGATGGGAGAAGGTGGTTGGGGGAGGGGTTGCTAGGTGTTTGTAGGCGTGGTTGTGGAGGGGCTATAAGTTGGACTGAAATGCCCCTCCATATTAGAGTAATTAGACAAAAAAATGGGAATTGTCCTTGAATTGCTCGGAATTGAAACTACAATGACAAAATTGATCAAATTGAAACTACAAAGACCATAATGATAAAAATGATAAACTATAGAGACAAAAAAAGACCTTTTGCCTAATTTAAATTAATTTCAACCCCATAACTTACAAGTTCCAAGCCTTCCAAACATTGTTGGCATTACAACGTGCCTGCCAATGCCATGATTGTCTTTTGTATTGAAACCACGCCCAAAGTCTCTAGCCCAATTCAATGTGGGCCCATAATATACCCAAGTTAGCCCAATTTTACATACAATTCTCAAGCTCTGCCCTCTCCAAAAACCAGGAAATTGGCAGCTTTGCCCCGGTGCACTTAATTTTTTCAATAATATCCCTATTTTGAAACCTAATCACAAATGCCCCTTATTAAAACTCCCTATTGACAGCCTATTGCCCATCTTTCACTTAGTTTTTTTTTCTTCTCCGTCGTTGCTCTCTGAAATCCTCATCTCTAGTCTCTTCCTTTTCTTCCTCCTACCAAACCTCATTGGAAATCCACTCCACAATAGAATTTTGCCTAACTTCATCTCCTCTTAGTTATATCTTCCAACTAGGAGTTGATTTCAACCTCAAGGTTGAACCCCAAATTTGGAACCGGACCCTAGCCTAGGTGCGACTCGCCACCTCCGTCGTCGGCCTCCACAACGAAGCCACAATCGTGACTCACACCTCCGTCATCGACTTACACCACAAAGCCACGACACCTTAGTCGTCGATCTACATTGTGGTGAGTTTTGATATTGGTTTTCTGTTGTGGCTTGTTGTTTATGTGATTGAATGAAATTTATTAACTATTTCCTGTGGTTGTCAAGCTCTTGGACTTGGATACACTATTTTATGCTTATGATTAGTCTCTGAAATGATGTATACATTGTTTTGTGATTGAGACTTTGACTTGCAAACCTCCTTGAAAGTGATGTATTCACTCTTTTGTGATTGTGATTTGTCTGTGAAATCACTTAAGTGATATATCAAATTAGGACTTCTAGCCTTTATGAGAAACCTGTAAGAATACTTATGAAACTCATAAATGCTCTCTGAAATTACAGTAATGTGGATATTAGCCGTAAGAAACCAACATCATAATTTGAAACCTCTGAAGATAATTCCTGCATGATTAGTTCAACAACAAGATAGAAAAACCAAAACTTAAAAACATGTGAATTAATTCGTAATTTTCTCATGTCATTTAAACAAATTACATTACGAAAAACACGCGGATGCAAATATAGGATCAGAAAAAAACATTAGCGATGTTATTAGCATGCTTTCATAAGTTTTCTTCTTGATCACGTAAAGGATTCAACAAAATAGCAAGACCGAACCCTAAACATGTTAATGATGCTCTGATACCACATGAAAGAATACAAACAAAACTGAATGTTATCAAAAAACAAAAGATTATGGAGAGAATGGAGAGAAAGTATGAGATATGGAAATGGGATGGACAAATTCTGGGAGGTATAAGGAATTTTTTTGTCTGTCACTACACTCATTTGTGAATAGTAATCCTTATACTACTTATGTATTGCAAATCGGGTGTCTATTGCAACTCCATTGTACTGATATTGCTGATATATCTCTTGCATATTGTTTTGATCTTGCTGTTCATTTGGAATTTCCCTATTTTTAATATTTTCAATATTTTCACAATTTACCTAAATTCCACTTTTGCTAATTTCCCAGCAAGACATTTGTCCTGTTTTCCAATTTTATTGCCTATTGATTGCCCCTCTTTTGGTCTTGTATTATATCTGTATTATAATGCTCTAATTAACACCCCAACTACATACCCAATTTCCATTATTATAATGCTCTAACTTCTGTTTCTGTCTATGTTTTATTCTAATTTGTGATTGATATTTAAACATTTATTTCAATAGCTTCAAATTATTCATTTTCAGTCATTTATGTATCAAACTTTGCCAATAGCATAATACTAGCAATATCTCCAGCCAACCAATATATAGCCACATCTGATGCTTATCAAACTTGCTAGGGAAGTGGATCCAACCGGTACGCTCCATTTATTGTAGTATGTTGGGCAGATCAAATGGGCGATCTAAATCAAATTTATTGTTGCTAGCTGAACAGTTTCAATCTTCGATGCGGCCAGTCATTGCCGTGGATGCCACACATTTAATGATTTTTGATTGAATGATTTATTTCTAATATGCATTTTTGATCCGTTTTATACAGATGGAAGATTGTCTTGTTTCAAGTGGCGGCGTTTTTTTGGGGAGGAAATTGCTAACTTTCAGCTTAAATTCGGGTTTAAGATGAGATGTCCTGGAATTTTGCTGATAGATATAAAATGTGTTAAAATTCCTGACCAAGAGGAGATGTAAATTTTTTGTTTTGGTATTGCCATTGTATACCCCTCTATTGCCTTAGTATTGCCATTGTATTGCCCTTATATAACCCAATTTTTCAAGCCTGTGTTCCAAACCTACTTGAAAAAAGGATATATGGGAGCAATACAATAGCAATACCTAAGCAATAAAGGGCTATACAATGACAATACCAAAACTCCATAATCCCACTATAATTTTATCCCAACACAGACTTGGAAAAATTGGATATACGGGGGCAATATAATAGCAATACACAAGCAATAAAGGGATATACAATGGCAATACAAAAATTCCATACTCCCCCATTAATTTCATTCCAACATAGACTCGAAAAAAAAAGGTTATACGTGAGCAATACAGTTGCAATACAAAGGCAAGAAGGAGCTATATACACATAATGTATATAATGCGCTCTATTCAATGTATAATATAAATAAAAGTATTTTTCCATTGCATACGCTTGCGAATATATAAAAACAACAGGTTCAAGATTGAAATTTCACAAGTAAATTGAACTCAATTTCATTCCATGAGGACTAAATAATTACATGGTCTGTCTGATACACAAATAGTTCCTCAATTACATGTTTTTTTTTCCTTATAACTACAGTACACTTCCTGCAACTGAATGGAAAGTTGTCCCACTCCAAATTGATGAAGGTTCTCAACGACAACAATCTTCTAGAAGCCAAAAATCTAGGTCCAATTGTCATGAAAAAAAAAGGTCAATTATCTCAAGACTCGAGTTAGGGTTTCAAATCATTAGAGACCAAGCTTTTGGGATATGGGCCGTGACAGGATCTCTCGTACTCTACCAATTGTTGCTTCACCTTCTCAAATTCATCCATCATCTTCCTCTAGAACAGAAACAAAATAAAGCAATGTCAATATGTATATGTATAAATATGTATATACATAGTAATACAAAAGACAAATTGGTATTAATGAGGTACATCTTTGATATGCTCTATTGGAACCATCATTTTTCTTTTATTGCTATATATGCAGATGCGCAAAAGCACAAACAAGCCCAATTTAAAATCTCCTACTTACGTATCAAGAAAAGACAAACTTCAACTCAAAGCAGACTAAGTTTCTTATGAAAATAGAGTTCATTGTTTTTTGTCTCGATTTCATTTGCAACTTATAACTCACATGGTATCCAAAATTTCAAGCAGTGCATGACAACTCAATCAAGTTAACTCCAGAATAATGAGAGAACAACAATATTAATCAATGAAAGAATTATGAAAGAGTTTGATCATTGATCAACAATATTAACTCTAGAACATAGACACCACAGAGGTATGCAGTACAATTTACTTTCATTCAATTTCTACACAAAAATAATCTTTTAGATTGATATAGCCATTCATTGCAAACTGAAATTTCACAGCCATGAGAATAATGCCAAGAGGAAGAGTATCATATCACCTTAGAATTGGAAAACATCTAATGGAGTCGGTATTGGCTTTGCACCATTTATGTTTTAACAACATACATGAATTGTTCCAAATTAAAAACTTCAAACCGCAAGTCCTAATTATAGGCAGTAAATTATGACTTAATAAAAAATAGCCATTGGAGTTGGATCTAGGGATCTGAAAGCATCACATGGGTCAAAGAAACCAAATCAGGGGACCACATACAACAGAGGCAGTAGTTCTAGCTAGTACTGTAGGGCAGGGCATGGCAAGGGACATTTGGATGCAAATGCTAGAGATATAGACCCTTTATTTTAGGTAAATGAGGAAGAGGAAGCAGCATCATCAGACCCTTTCTATGTTTCTTTTGTTTGCACACATACTTTTTTGCCATACCATAGGCCTTAGAATTCCTGCAAAATAATAACATGAACTTTATTTCTCAATTTCACAATGACACAAAAAAATGTTAAATGACGATGTCCAAACGAAAGAAACTCAAGACATGACACAAAAGCAGAAAAATAAGAAAATAAATCTAATAGAATTCCAAATATCAAATGACACAACCAAGTATCCATTCATTATAAACTGACATAATATGGCACTTGTGTAAGTCTTCATGTAAAAACAGGGACATTTCTCAAGCATTGTTAAAAGGTAATCAAACTAATGTCAACGGTGATCTAACAAAACCCATTATGCACACTGTAAAGACATCTTCGTAAACAAATTATAATAAAACTCACATGTTCTTCCTTCCATTTAGATGGGCTCATTGGGTCCTCCTAGAAGTTCACCTTTAAGTATATACCATGAGAATTGTCCCAATTGGTTTGTATCTCAAAGAAAACCATAGTGCGCTCATTAAGGTGATTCATCGAACACCTGCTGCATGCCATTTTTTTTCATGCACTCATCAACTCAGCCTAACCAAACAAATAGAACCATATATTTAGAACAAGCAACTAAGCATGATAAATAAAACGATGTACCAAGAATTTGGATTTTGAGCAATTTTCTAGACCACTATATGAAATTGAAACAAGCAGAAGAAAACCCAAATAAGAAAGAGGTATGAAAGTAAAGGCGAAAAGCTGAGCTGGGTACCTGGGACGTCATCTCTGCTAAAATATGAATATGGTTTGAATGTATTAGGTTGAATTTTATTCTTCTCCATAAGGAGGTATGTATATATATATATATATATATATATAGGAGTTTACATGAGTGCTTTACAAGGAAATAGATATAGAAATCAATTAGGATAATATCTTCTAATTATACAAAGATTTGTCATCTAAATAAAATGGGAAAGTAAATCCCTTAATTAATCAAGGAAATAAATCTCTTTGATTAATTAGGAGACTCACGTCAGCACTCCTCCTCAAGTTGGTGCATATATGTCACCAATGCCCAACTTGGTAAGTGAGTTATGAAATACTCTGCCACAAACAGCTTTTGTTAAGATATCTTCCAGTTGATCTTTTGATTTTACGAATGGTAGGCGGATGATCTTCTTCTCAATCTTCTCTTTGATAAAATGTCTATCCACTTTAACATGTTTGGTTTGATCATGTTGAACTGGATTATGGGCAATGTCAATGGCTGATTTGTTATCACAATGTAACTCCACTGGTTTTCCTGACTTGAAACCCAATTCTGTCAATAGTCTTCTGATCCACAGTAGTTCACAAACTCTGTGAGCCATTCCTCGATACTCTGCTTCTGCACTAGACCGAGAAACCACATTTTATTTTTTACTCCGCCAAGTGACTAGATTACCTCCCACGAAGTTCAAGTAACTTGAAGTAGAACATCTATCAGTAATGGAGCCAGCCCAATTAGCATATGTATATCCAACAACTTCGAGATCTCTATTTTTTGAGAACATTAATCCTTTTCCAGGTGCTGACTTTACGTATCTTAAGATCCGATCAATTGCATTCCTATGGGACACACTGGATGAATGCATAAACTGACTAACCACACTCACAACATATGCAATATCTAGTCTTGTGTGGGCTAAATTGACAGGACCCGCCCCGAATTTCCCAGAACCCGAGACGAATCCTGCGGAGACCTCGGCATCACACCCATGCCGGGTTCACTCCTTAAAACTATGTCCTCTTTTACCAAAGAGGATTAAGGGTACGAGACTTTCTGCCGAAATTCCGGCAGAGTCTCCCCTGTAAATTGAACATTCCCCAAAATTTCCACCTCACTTGCCGGAATCGGTGGCCGGACGACGGAGAACGAAGCCGGCGAAGTTTCTGTCAAAACCGGAGCTTTTCTCCTCGTTTTCCGGCGAAATCACGGCGGCTGGCGGCGGGACCTGGCCGGGGTAGGAAGAGGACGGCGGCCCGGTCATTTTGGTACCGGCCCCGTCGACTTTGGTGGCCGGATGAGAGCACGGCCGGCCAAAACGTGGCCGGCTGTTTCAGCCGTAGCGAACCAGAGGAGAGAGAGAGGGACGCGTGGGAGAGAGAGAGAGTGAGAGAGAGACGGGGGCAATTCCGTCTTTTAACCAAAAATCCATTTTCCAAATATTTACGATTATGCCACTGAGCTTCTTTTGATCATATCTTTCTCGTTACAACTCCGATTCGAGCCCACTACGTGTCTACGGACTCATCTCACCGTGCTCTACGCAACGGTACAACCGGAATTCCCAAAGTCCTTCCGAATAAGAAAATAACTAAAATATCCCTATCCCACGGGTAATTTCTCAATTCCACTTAATTAAATTAAAGCATGTGATAAATTTGGGGTTGGGGTGTTACATACTACCCCCCTTATAAAAATTTCGTCCCCGAAATTTCATACCTGCTACTCCAAAAGGTGTGGGTACTGGGCCCGCATCTACTACTCGGGTTCCCATGCTTCATCCTCCACAACCAAGTTGGCAGCCAAGTCATTAGCTATATCCAATCAAGCAGAAGGAGAGAAGTCTCTTTCTTCCACTAAGAATATCCTTTAATAGCTGCTGTAATGCTTAATCTTCCACTGAAAGCTAAACGCTTCCATTTGTGATTTGATTCTCTTCTAACTCTCCCATGAAAAGAAGTCCAAACTCCTTGACTTGTTGATATCTTCCTTCTTTCTTTAGAATCGATAAGCAACATTGCCAACACGATTCTTTGAGAGGAATGTCAGAAAGGATCATTTTTACCGAATTGTAATCATCAACTTCCTCTCCCTATCATGACCCATTTCTGATTCTAATGAAAGATTTCTACTCAAACGTGTGCACATGAGATGAGACCCCAAAGCACTCTCTTCATCTCCAGGTAGGTTTACCAATCCATCTAGGTCTCATCCTTGGTTTTTGCTCGTGGTATTCCCACCACACACGAGCCTCCTTGGTCAGACTCACAACTCCTCCATTCCCTTGTAACTTGTCCATCAACTTCCTCTGACAATTTCATCTCATCTCAGCGGACTCAATACTTTCAGCTCTTCCGTTTCCTTCCATAGGATATTGAGATACGACAATTTGGATAGACACGTTTCTAGGAACGTGACACCCTTAAGTGTAATCCTCAACATCCTAAATCCACCCATGTCAAAGAGTCCTTTGCGTCGAAATGAGGACGTCCTGTGATGGAACCCATCATGCTTCCACAACTTAAGGATGCACACAAGGTGCGGGGTCCACAAGAAATTGAACGTAAGCTCTGATACCAAGCTGACAGGACCCGCCCCGAATTTCCCAGAACCCGAGACGAATCCTGCGGAGACCTCGGCATCACACCCATGCCGGGTTCATTCCTTAAAACTATGTCCTCTTTTACCAAAGAAGATTAAGGGCACGAGACTTTCTGCCGAAATTCCGGCAGAGTCTCCCCTGTAAATTGAACATTCCCCAAAATTTCCACCTCACTTGCCGGAATCGGTGGCCGGACGACGGAGAACGAAGCCGACGAAGTTTCTGTCAAAACCGGAGCTTTTCTCCTCGTTTTCCGGCGAAATCAGGGCGGCTGGCGGCGGGACCTGGCCGGGGTAGGAAGAGGACGGCGGCCCGGTCATTTTGGTACCGGCCCCGTCGACTTTGGTGGCCGGACGAGAGCACGGCCGGCCAAAACGTGGCCGGCTGTTTCAGCCGTCGCGAACCAGAGGAGAGAGAGAGGGACGCGCGGGAGAGAGAGAGAGAGAGTGAGAGAGAGACGGGGGCAATTCCGTCTTTTAACCAAAAATCCATTTTCCAAATATTTACGATTATGCCACTGAGCTTCTTTTGATCATATCTCTCTCGTTACAACTCCGATTCGAGCCCACTACGTGTCTACGGACCCATCTCACTGTTCTCTACGCAACGGTACAACCGGAATTCCCAAAGTCCTTCCGAATAAGAAAATGACTAAAATATCCCTATCCCACGGGTAATTTCTCAATTCCACTTAATTTAATTAAAGCATGGGATAAATTTGGGGTCGGGGTGTTACATAAATATATCAACCTTCCAACAAGGCGTTGGTACTGTTCCTTATTGGTTGGTTCTTGATCCATGCCTTCACATAACTTGTGATTCATCTCGATGGGTGTATCAACAGGTTTGCATCCAAGCATTCCTGTTTTAGTGAGCAGATCTAATACATACTTCTTTTGAGACAGAAATATAGCAGTTGTGGACCTGGGTACTTCAATTTCTAGAAAGTACTTCAGATCACCTAAATCCTTCATCTCAAATTCCTGAGACAAATACTTCTGCAATTTCAGTTGCTCTCCTGTGTCGTTTCCAGTTATGACTATGTCATCCATATAAACAATCAATGCAGTAAGTCTTCTTTCATCACTTTTCAAGAATAAAGTGTGATATGCATTACTTTGTACATATCCAAAATTCTTCATGGATTTAGTGAATCTGCCAAACCATGCCCTGGGGGATTGCTTTAACCCATATAATGACTTTCTAAGCTTGCAAACTTGACTCTCCTTGTCACGAGCTAAGTTACATACTGGTGGTAAGTCCATATATACTTATTCTTCCAAGTCTCCATGTAAGAATGCATTTTTTTTACATCAAACTGATGTAATGGCTAATCGAGATTTGTTGCTAGAGACAGAAGAACTCTGATAGTTTTAATCTTGGCTACTGAGGCAAAGGTATATTGGTAGTCTATCTCATATCTTTGTGTGTACCCCTTCGCCACCAATCTAACTTTATATATTTTAATGGATCCATTTGCTTTGAGTTTCACAGTATAAATCCACCTACATCTCACTGTCTTTTTTCCATAAAGTAATGGCACGAGTTCCCATGTGCCATTCTTCTGGAGAGCTCGCATTTCTTCATTCAAGGCTTCTTTCCATTTTGGGTCTTCCAGTGCTTTAGTTGCACTGTTGGAAACAGGTATGTCGGCCAATTGTTTCACAAAGTATAACCGTGACTTTGATAATATGATAATGGATACATAATTGTTGATGAGATATTTTCCTTTGGCATTAAGATTTGCTTCGTAGTGTACTGGAGGTTTGCCACGGTTCTTCCTTTTTGGAATATGATATACAGGCTCTGTGCCTTTTGAAATCAAATTATCATGGGAAATTTCATTAATGTTATCAGTTTCAGGACAAGATGTTACCTAAATAACATCCTAAACAGGTGATTGGTGTGGTACTGGAGCTGAAGAAGTCTCCGGAGTGGGCAAAATCTCATTAGTTTCCTCTTCCTGAGTTGGACAGCAAGGAGACGACAGATCAGGTTGAGGCTGGTTTTCGGGCAGCGAACGGTTGCTTCCAAGCTGCGATCGGTTGGTTTATGGTAGAGTCATAAGCGACTGGTCGTTTTCAGGGAGAGTCATTGGCGACCGGTCGCTTTCAACATTCGACCGATCATTTTCAGGCTGGGATGATGATGGAGGAAAAAAATCAAAAATTTAAGATGTGGTGGTGTTGCAATGCTCCTCCTGTGCAACTGAAAAATATATGTCATTTTCCAAGAACACAACATCCATAGAAGTATAGACTTTCTAACTAGGAGATGATAACACCGGTATCCTTTCTGATGAGGTGCATAGCTAATGAAAAGCACTTTTCAGCTCGGGGATCCAATTTGCTTCGTTAGTGATCATGTAAGTGGACAAATACAACACAGCCAAAAATTTGGGGTTCCAATTTGGGGTGGGAGGTGTTTGGATATGGCGGTGAAGTGTTTGAAGTGGTGTTTGAAAATTTAGGATACTAGAGGGAATCCGATTGATAAGATATGCTGCAGAGACGACGGCTTCGCCCCCGAAATGATCGTGGCATATTGGCACCAAAGAGAGAGGCACAAACGACTTCCAACAAGTGTCTGTTCTTTCTTTCAGCCACCCCATTCTGTTGGGGAGTGTAAGGGCATGAGATTTGATGTATGATGCCATGATCTTGTAAGAACTGGTTAAGATCATGGTTAAGAAATTCTCCACCATTATTAGAATGAAGAACCTGAATTCTAGCTTAAAACTGAGTCTCCACCATTTGATAAAACTATTGAAACCTGGAACTGACTTCCCCTTTTGTTTTGAGAAAGGAAACCTAAGTCATGCGTATACAATCATCTATAAACGTAACAAACCATTGCGCCCCTGTCGGAGTGGCAATTTTAGCACGTCCCCAAACATCAGAATGAACAAGGGAAAACGAAACCAAACTTTGATTTGAACTTAATGGGAATGGGACACGATGGCTCTTAGCCAATTCACATGTATCACATTGGAAGTTGGAAACATCAAGACTGGAAAATAATGATGGAAACAACTTCTTAAGATAATCGAATGAGGCATGCCCAAGACATTTATGCCATAACCAAATTTTGTCTCTCTCTCCCTGAGGACGAGTTACACTGGTTGTGAAAGTTTGACCACCTTTGACCTCATTATCCGGTGCCCAATCCAAGTAATAGAGTTTGTCTCATAAGTACCACAACCAATCATCGTTCCTGTGAGGATGTCTTGAAAAACATAATGATTCGGCCAAAATGTTACAGTACATCCCAAAGTAGTAGTAAGTTGTGCAACAGATAACAAGTTATGATTCAAAGATGGAATAAGCAATGCAGAATCCAGATGTAGGGAAGTAGAGAAAGATAGAGAGCCCTCCTCAACCACAAGGGAAGGGGTACCATTAGCATTAGACATCACCGACGAAGTGGATGATTTGCGATTAATAAGTTGGCTAGGATCAAATGTCATGTGATCCGTAGCACTTGAGTTGATAATCCATGCAGAGTTTTTGGAGGACGTATGAAAAGTAGAACCTTTGGTGGTGGTGATAGAAGCAGGAGTCCGTGTAGCCGAGTCAGCAGGATTGACTGCATGCTTTTGTGAGTCTACAATAAGATGGAGAATTGTAGGGGTTCCTGACATCGCAATGGAAGTAAGATGTGATATGAGAAGGTGATGAATTTGATGTGAGGAATTTGATGTAGGAATTGGACTTAAGAGGTATGTGTATAAGATTTGATGGTATGTGTTTAGGGATTTGGATAAGAGGATTTGAGGACTTTAAGTTTGAGGGATTTGGATTTGGGGAAAATTATGAGGAATTTGATTTAGGGTTTTGGATTTGAATATGAGAAATTTGAGATAAGGGATTAGAGACAACCTAAGATCGATGGCTCTGATACCATGCTAAAATATGAATATGGTTTGAATGTATTAGGTTGAATTTTATTCTTCTCCATAAAGAGTTATATATAGGAGTTTACATAAGTTCTTTACAAGGAAATAAATACCGTAATCAATTAGGATAGTATCTCCTAGTTATACAAAGATTTGCCAACCAAATAAAATAGGAAAGTAAATCCCTTAATTAACCAAGGAAATAATTCTCCTTGATTAATTAGGAGACTCAAGTCAACAATCTCTAGGTATATGGATTTCAGGAATACAAAAGAAAATTGAGAAATTTGTTGAATCGGGGGAAAGAACATCGGTTGAAATAGGTGACAGAGAGTGAGGAACAACGGCCAAAAGAGAGAGAGTGAGGTCGTTTTTGCTGATGTGGGTTATGAGGAGGTGACAATTGGCGTCGCCCATGTGGGTGAGAGGGAGAGAGAAAACATAAGAAAGGAGAGATGAGTGAGTGAGTAAGTGAGAGTGAGAGCTCTGAGCTTAGAACCACAAAAAAAAAGTGACACAAGGGTGATATGGGCATCAAGGAGGTTTTATTAGGAGTGGTTGCGGTTTGGTAACTGTGAATTTTTGCTCAAGCCGCAAACCGACCGACTATATATGGTAAGGTGATTTTTGAAACTGCAAAAAGCGTTCGGTTACCGTGAATTAACGGTTTAAACCGCAAGTTCTTTTTGTATCATAAAAATCAAATCTTCCACATTTTATGCCTAGTTTTGATGCTTCTTAGCCTTTTGAGTTCAAGCATACTTTAACCGAAAAATATAAATTCACAACCTCAACCTCAACTTCTCAAGCATTCACAACCTAAAGAAAAATCCAATTCCAAATCCTTTAGAGTTACAAACAAAAGGAAAATGCAATGCAAAATGAATTAAAGTTACAACCCAAAGGAAAAATCTAATTCAAAGTTAATTAAAGTTACAAACCAAAAGGAGAACTCAAGTGTTGGTGGTGGTGAGTGGATTTGAAGGACTCCGTTGCGTTGTTTGAGCACCAATACTATCTACAAATAAAACAACATAAGTTTAGTACATTTTATTATAAGAAGAAGCATAAATAAACTAATTACTTACAAGTTGTCATATGTTCTATTTACTAAAATGCAATTTTATTATAATTTAAAATATGATTGCGGTTTTCAGTAACCGCGAGTTGACAACTTCATCAACCGCAACCGCAATTGCGGTGCAGTTTTTAAAACCGTAATTTTCGGTCGGTTTCCGGGTATTACGGTTTCAATACGGTATAATATCGGTTGATTTTTATGATTTTTCGGTCTAAAATGCCACAATTAGGTTGTATAGGGAACATTTGTGATTTGGTTTCAAAGAGGGGATATTAGTGAAAAAAACAAGAGCGCCGGGGGCAAAGCCGCGTATTTCCCCCAAAAACCCTAAAACTAAAACCTCCAAAGTCCCAATATTTCCCGAGTTGTCTTCTCTCTCCTTTAAACCCTAGCACTCTGCCCCATTCTCTTCCTCTGCCTCCATGTCTACGACCACTCCAGCTCCTACAGCTTCCACAACCAAACCCACCAAAGCCATCACCAAGACCGTGCGGAAAGCTGTAAATGCCCTCCTCAAATGGCGAAACTCCAAGTTGCAGACCGAGAAACCGGATCTCTTAGAATCCGACGAGTTCGCCTATCTCGTTCTCACCCTCAAGAAAATCCCACCAAAGGCTCGCATAAACGCCTACAAAGTCCCTCTCCCAAATCCTCTCCATTCCCAGCTCTCTGAGCTCTGCTTGATATACGACGATGGACCCAAGTCCGATCTCACCAAGGACTTCATCCAGAAGAAAATCAAGGCCGAGAACATACCCATCTCGAAAATTTTGAAGCTTTCGAAGCTCAAGACTGATTACGTGCCCTTTGAAGCCAAGAGGAAGCTGTTGTATTCTTATGATATGTTTTTGGCTGATAGGCGGATTGTGCCTTTGCTTCCGAAGTATTTGGGGAAGCAGTTTTTTAAGAAGAAGAAGATTCCGGTGCCTGTGGACTTGGAGCACAAGAATTGGAAAGAGCAGGTTGACAAGGCATGTGGGTCGGCCTTGTTGTTCTTGAGTACCGGGACGTGCAGCGTGGTGAGGGTAGCGAAGGTGTCGATGAGCGTTGATGAGATTGTGGAGAATGTGCTTGCGGCGATTAACGGGATTGTGGAGATTGTGCCTAAGAAGTGGAGGGATGTGAGGTCATTTCACTTGAAGTTTCTGGAGTCGCTTGCATTGCCGGTTTACCAGGCCGTGCCCGATTTGACATTGAAGATTGAGGGAGCTAAGAGTGATGAGGAAGTTAAGGAGGAAGTGAAAGAGGTTGTTAAGTCTGAGAGTAAGGGTTTGAAGAGTGAGAAAATGAGTAAGAAGAAGGGTAGAATTCATGAAGTGAGGTATATGGATAGCAATGCTGGTGAGGTGCTTGATGATGATGAATTGGTTGGTGATGGGGATATTGGAGAAGGTAAGCAAAGTGAGAATGAAGAACCGGGTAGTGGTGAGTTGGGGAAGAAGAAGAGGAAGAAGGAAAAGGTTGTTGGTGAGTCTAAGGGTGACAAAAGGTTGAAGAAATCAGCGAAGGTGAAAGATGATGCTGAATTAAATGGGGAAAAGGGTGAGTTTAACAATGAGAAACAGTTGAAAAAGTCGGTCAAGTTGAAAGATGGAGATGATGAGGTTCCTGTTGAGAAACAGTTGAAAAAGTTGGCTAAGATGGTAGATGAAGATGATGCCACTATCAAGCATAAGAAAGATGGGTTGTCTTCGAAGGGGAAGAAAAAAGATGTTACAAAGAAGAAAGCAGATGATTTGCCAGTCAAGGGTGAAGAGTCTGTTGGAAAGAAGGAGAAGAGGAAGAGTGAACATGAGAAGTTGAAGAGCGGGGAAGCAAAGCTGAAGACGGCTAAGAGAAGTAAGAAAGCAACAGAGTAATTCAGCATAGCAGGCTACAGACGGTAGACAGTCTTTGCAGCGGGATTCAACACATCCGAGCAAGTATGGCTGTCCATGTTGAGTCTGTCTGGCAGAAATTTTGATTGTTCCGTATTTTATTGTGGTATTGATGATATGATCTTTTTCTTAGTTTATGAATTGACTTTGCTTATTTAATTTATGTCTTCGTGGTGGCGATCATACAAAATGGTTATGTTTCTATGGTTTTGTGCATGTGCTTAAATCTGAAATTTGAACAAAGGTTGAGTCACTCTGAGTCTATTACCTCCCATCATGGGTGAATTTGCATCTCTATTTCCAAGAGGGTGAGACCTTGAAACTTCAACAAATGAAAATGAGTGGTGAAAACAATCTCTGTATAATTTTTGGGAGTTTGTTTCCTTATTTGCAATCAGTAGTAGTTACAAGTGATCTAGAGAAGTTATGGCAGAATGACGACAGCTAATTGAAAATTATTTTTTATTAGCAAATCCATTCCTTTGTTTATAGTTCATTCCATTAGCCACTTGGTGATTGACAAATCACTTATGATTAGAGCATGAATAATTCAAGCATATTAGCAAGGTCCTTGATGATGTGCTATAGTTACAAATCAACAGATCATCACAGCATTTCTTTGCATCATCTGGTTCTTCATTTTAAGTGCAGCAATGTGTAGCTTAATATCATGCAAGCCTTTCAAATTGATTGAACTGCTCCTTCATACCTCGTGTATTGAATTAGAATAATTGTGGAATATATATAGGAGGTGTCACTCGGTCAATTTTCCTTGTCCATGAGTTGTCTGCTGATTTTGTTCAAGGTCTGCAAAACCCACTCTGAGCACTGTTATCTCTTTTATCTGATGAACTCTCGCAGACAGAAGTATGGGGTTAACATTTAATATCGTTTGAACTCTGCATCGTATTACTACTGATACTTCCTTAAATCCTCTCATCTCTTGATTACTTTGAAGTAGTCAAATGCATAAATATTGCAACTTCAAGCAGGAGGGAACCATATATATGTTCTTTATGCAGCCACCTTGTCTATTTTGGTATTTCAGGGAGTGGTTTTGTGTCTTGGTTAAGAGTTAAGACTGCATGGACTGACTTTTGCTTTCGTTTCTTCACAAATCAACATGGATTGCTTTCTCATAAATAAATAAAAAACCATGGATTGTTTACAGAGAAATTGCATTTGTAATGAGAGTTAACCCTCTAGCTTGGTGATATTCTATGCTTGCAAATACCAGAAGTTTGGTAAACATGTGAGTAAATTCAGTTGCAAGTTCCTATCTGAAGCCCATCATTGTGCTCACCTTAGAACAGATTCATTTGCAAGATCCTATCTGAAGGCAAAAAAAAAAAAAAAAAACACAGCGCGCTTAATGCCAATCAACCTAGGATTTTAGTTTGGTATGTGATAACAGGACACAGGGTAAGATATTTACCATTTTGGCTTTACATATCACCGAGATAAGGTTTCTAAGAAATCTGTTTGGATCAGGTTGGCATGATGTGGAGTGAAGCTTTTACAGAAGCATACTAGGCTCAATCACAATCACAGCCTTTCTTGTAAATGACTTTTAGCTTGAGTGATTTAGAGTATCATCTTGCACCTGAGGTCCTTATTCAATTACCCTTTGCCAAATATTACTTTTTAATTTTAAAGAAATACAGCCCTGTTTTGGTTTAATGGTCAATAACATTTTGATCTTAACCACAATATTAAGAGAGGAGTTGTTTCTCAAAGTAAAGTAATAATACTAATAAACAATTAGGTGTTTCTTCTGCTAACAATTTAGATGGCAACAGAAAAGAAAGATAAAAAATTAAAAAATTAAAAAAAAGTTAATTGGTCCGACTGAAATTACTGTAGAATGGACTGGACTGGACTGAAGGCCAACCGACAAGAAAATTTGGCGGGAGGGGCAGAAGAGGAACAGTCAAAGTTTAAGCCTTCTCGTAATTCGTGCAAATCCTAAAACCCTCCTTAAACCTACAGACACAGCACAGAAGCACCCACGCATAGACTATATATATATATATATTGTCGCGAGAGAGAGAGAATCAAACCAAGTGAAAGTGTAAAGGAAAACAAAAAAACAAAAAAGCAAGAAACAATGGTAGCTGCAACTCCAACCCAATCTCTTTGTCATGGCTCTTCTTTCTTGTCCTGGAGGCACATCTCATTGGAAAGCTGTCTCCAATCCTCAAGGTAACTGCTTTTGGGTTTCTCATTTAGTGCACAAATTTATTTCTCTTCTTTTGTTTTTGTTTTTGTTTTTCCGCTGTGTTGCTGTTGTTTTGGGTTGCATTGAACCATCCAAGAGGGAAAGTCCTCAACTTGAATTTATTAGTCACATTGGTGCTCATTGGTTCGATTGAGAATGGGTTTCATTCTCTGGTCCCAAATGATGATTTTTTTTATTATTCTTCTGTATTTTTCTTCTGTAAGATTTTATAAAAGGAAGAAGGAAAGATTCGCATATTTGGGTCCTTTTGAAATTTACATTTCCAGCAAGTTTTTCTCTTGTTTCATGTGGGTGGGTATATATCTTTATTGCTTAGATAATTTTGATAACTCTACTGAATGCTGAACAATGTTGCATTCTGAAATCTGAATTTTTGGTGTTTGGGTTCCGTTATTCCAAGTATTATGAATCTTTGTTGTATGAGTCACTGTTGCAAAGTGGTGTTGGTTTCTTGAATGGTTTGAGAGAGAGAGAGATCATACACTTTGCGAGTACAACTCAAATGCCAATGTGATAGTAGCTCCTTGCCTTCCAATTCAAAACTCTGTGACATGCTATTTCATGACTGAAAGCGCAAAGAACTTTAGGAAACATAGAAAGCCTTGCCAAATAATATCCACAACACTGTTGCACCCCTTTTCATCTGCCTGCATAAAAGCATGTAGTTTGAAACAAGGTGAGGAGGAGCAGTGGAAATTAATATCTGCACCAAGGACATCTGATACAAATAGCTCTGCAAAATTTGAAAGGGAAGAGATATATATCTGCTAAGGACCTCCAGGCCACCTCCTGGCTACCCTTATGTACAAGTTATATGGTCAGAATCACTGTTAAGACTAGAATTAATTACCTTGACTGTAATAAATAATGGAGAACAAATGCATCTTGTCAATAGTATTCAACTTGATTTGAATATTAATGGTGTACAGTGGTTTGAGAGATAAGAATAGTTGCAACGAGCTTAGTGCCCAGTGCTTTTTTTCCCTTTTCTTTCCTGGAGGTGGTTCTTGGTACTGAGTAAATGGCATCAGATCAGAAATTCAATCTTGGGCTAAAGAAAGCGATAAAAAGCCTGTGAGGTTTCAAGCGAAACAGAAAGTTGAAGCTGGCGACAAAGGTCTGTTTCTGTGATGAGGTTCTGAAGTAACCTGATTAAATTTATCAGGCCTCAATAATTGCCTCCATTTATGTCATTGTGAGGCTTTTCTGAAGAAGTCGTCCATAGGGTGGTAGGGCTGAAGGAATAAGAGTTTAAGTCTAGAGGGGCCACACCTGAAAACTGATGCCTTGATTAAGATAGATTCCTATCAGTCTTGGTTCCCCTGTTCTCATTGTGTGTTTATATGGTCTTGTAGGCTTGAAGATGTTAGGCTTGAAGTCATGGGACTGTTTTTATTTACAACTGAAACTTATTAAGAAGGAAGAACAATGTTGCTCGAAGGTTTTCATGAGAATTGTGAGTGAGAAAATAGATGGCTACAAAACTGATATATGAATGTTGCAAACCGCAGAGTTATTTCATGAAAGGCATCATTGTTTCCCTCTTAAGTCTGGCTAAAAAGTTGGTTTGGGTGCATTTGGCTTTTTGACTGTTGTGTGGGCTGCAGATTGTGCTTTTGTTAAATTTGAGGAAATAATATTTTCTGTTTATGGTAATTGGAGTTGTCTCATTCAATTCTGTTGTCTTCAATGCCAGAGGTAGCAGTGATGCATGCTTTATGGACTTTGAATGGTTCAAGTTTCATACAGGAGTGAGCTCGCAATTCTGCACATCACTGCTGGAGTACATAAAGCGATAAGTGGTCTGTGGAGTAGGGAATGAAGCTATTGGTCCGTTGTGCATTTAAAAAATGTTACAATTTGATAGTTCTTGTGGAAGAATTCAGAGATCTTGACGTAATTTGGATTGTAGTCGTTGTACTGAAACTCTATGGTCATTCCATAGGCTGATTCGGTAATTGTGTCGACTATGTTGTATCTGATTCATCGTGAAGAAATCTAAATTTTATTTTCCCCTTCTGAGTTCTCTTTTGCTATATATTGGAATGCGACACTTCTTTTTTGTAATCTTAATTTCCATCTTGACTGTTCTTTTTTTATTTGTGGTGAGATGTATTGTAAATCATGAACTAGAATTAGAAAATCAAGTTTTTCTTTGTCCGAAAAAAAACCCGGGAGATTATAGCTTGCCAAATTTGAAATTGAAGATTGGAGACACTTAAGCAGATAAAGATGAAACGGAAAGGAAAGAGCCATGATAATGGAGAAATTATGCAGACTGGGTTGGCCAGGCACTTATATTGGTGCAGCTGTGGAAATCACCAGTTGAGTAATTGAAATGTCAGAGCCACAACAACCACTTGACAAAAGCTAATGTGAAGGTGTGTGTTAAGAGAGAGAAGTGAGAATTGAAACTAGTGTACACAGGTTAGAGATAAGAGGTTCTGTAGACATCAGAAGATTTATACTTTGGGTTTTATTTTCTGAGTGGTCCTCCCCTGTTCCTCTCTAACTGTTTACAAGTTTGGCAGAGGAATAGTTCCTGCGAATATAGAAGCAAAGGCATATGGACAGAAAGATGACATCTTTCGTTTTCGTTACATAAATGAGCTTAGACAGATAGAGTGTAGGACTAGAAGAGAGCTGTTGAAGTTGAAGTTTGAGGCCTTTTTATGCAGAAGCCCCTTGGAAAATTAGCCTTTGACTCTGCAGGGACAGCCCCAATTGTCCTTAGCATAAAGCTTCTTTCAGAGCTGGATACAGTGTTCTGGTTGTGGTCCTGATCCGTCTCTGTAGATGCCTACACAGCAGATTGCACTTGACACTCGTGAGTGAGTTAATGTTTAGAATATCGATATTTAAATTCCTTTTGTTAACTTAAAGTTGTGGCAAAGTGACAAACTTCCTGCATTAATTGTGGATAATGCCGTTGCTATTTGCTACCAGTCTAAGTTTCAAATGCTAAAGCCAAAAGCTTTCTTCATGAAGATTGTGCTCGTGACTATTTCTGTCCTAGCCAGTAACAGTTGCGATCTGGGTTACAAGAATTAAGCAGGAAAAGAAAACGAAGTGTCCCGAAGATTGCATCTTTATATTGGTATTACATATGCAGGACTGGTTTGGATTTTGAGTATTTTTGCTCAAGGAACTGGGTAGCTGTAATCCTGAATTTATTAAGCTCAATTTTGACATGAAACCCAATGGCATTGTTGGAGAAATTTGAACTATTATCATCTAATGATTTGGTCTCCGTTTCTATAATTTAGAGAGCTAGCTTAGATCATTTGGCATCTGGTGGCCTCTCTAGAAGAAATCTAGACCCTCGAATGCTTGCATTCGCGTGGGAGACCTTTCGGGAACTTAGGACGGTCAGTGCAGTAGTCATAGACCATGAACTTGCGTTGCAACCATCGAAGCCTGTTCCGGCCTGCAGCATTAAGCCCTTGGTTCTGCCATGCTGAGGAATTGGTAGATGTAGAGCAAGATGATGATGGTGATCCTTGTGACCCAAGGCAGGCATTGATGTTGAAGTTTCTGTAGGAGGCAGAGAAAGGAGCATGGCTCCAGTCAGTCTTCACACGCCCACCTTGTGTTGCCCAGTCATCAGCATTCCAGAAAGTTGCATAAATCTTCATGGATTGATTTTTAGGAAATGGAAGGCCAAGTGATTCCAAGTTGTTGAACACTCTAATTGGACTTCCATCCACCAAGAATCTGAAACAGTTGCACATGCATGTGTATCACAAAGTTTTCAATCAACAAATGTTGTAAATCGGAAGAGGTTAAGATGAGAAACTTCTAAAGAATTTGATTTAAAAGTAAATATTGTTTGCTATTGGATACCAATACACAATGTCGATATTGACCGATAACGTTAGTCTACCAGAGGTGGGCCATATATGACCCTTATTAGAGATGTGGTTTACATTGTGGTAAGAAATATGGTCCATGATGGGGGGGTTACTTACATAATGCGCTTGCTGTTCCAAACAACGGAGTAGGTGTGGAAGTCCTTTGTGGGATCAAACCATAGGTGGAATTGTTGTTCCTTGGACCCCTGCCCTTGGGCATAGACATTAGTATGGAGAGTGTAGGGCTCCCCAGTAGAGTTGCCCAGAAACTCCAAGTCAATCTCATCATGATTTGGACCTGAAGAAGATAACTGCATATGCATGCATATGTTTCAATAATTGGCAATGCATGCAGTGCTTATGCAAATATATACAGAAAAATTAGAGCAGCACATGCAATCACAATGGAAGAGCTATAGGGATTGAGAGTTGTTACATAGAATGTGGTGACAGTACCAGCTGAGTTCCCAGGTGGCATCTTCATTTGCACATCAAACCTTCCAAATATATATCCATTTTTGGACTGGAAACCAGCGCCAGAAACCTTGTCAAGGGAGAGCGTGACAAGTTTTCCTTCCTCGAGTATCTTAAGACGTTGATCGCCGAACATAATGTCAAAGTCTTGATAGAAATTACCAGCTAAGGCAGCCATGGCCATCAGAGAAGTTATGATCGAAGAAATAAAAAACATCAATGAGACCTTATGTGAAGACATTTTGGTTTGGTGATTGTACACAGAGCTAGCACCAGAATTAGCTTCGAAGAGAGTTGATTGGTTAGGAGGATACTTTATATAAACAAGAATTTGAAAGCTACTCAGAAAAAAAAACAGTTCAGAAAATGTAGAATGTTGCTTATAAATTTCTAAAAGTACTTGAAAAGATGTTCCTAGATATAAAGATAAAAATATTGAAACTGAGAATACAATCTAAATTTTCAGATTGTACCTCAGTTTTTCAAAAATTATTTTCGAATCACCATGACTTTGTTTATTTATGTATTGTGGGTGCTTGCTGCGTTTGAACTTTGAATAAATCAGCTATATTTAGAATATTGATTTGAAATTACAATCTGGCTTCCTTTTTCAAGTTGAACTTGTGGCACAGCGCCGAACTAGGTACATGTTTTTTGGACAATGCTGTTGCTACGGGTCAACGAATGCATGGGATGTCTCTTTGAATTACCAAAACTTTATTCTTCATCCTCATGACTATATTTAGGATACCAATTAGTACAAGTTATGATTTGGATCACGACAAAATACTGTTACGGTGGAGTTAGGATCAACTAGTACTTAGACACAAATTTGAAATGACACGAACACGACGGCCAATGGTCTCATGACTTACTGAACTCTATGTAATCCCAAAAATAGAAAAACACAATCCATCATTTCTCAAATGAACATGTTTTCAACTCTATCAAGTGTTTGATTCTAAATTCAGGATTACAATAAAAGAATACAAGGACCAGGTATGGAATAAGAAAAAAAGAAAAATAATATGAAACTACAAAATCTATACTTGCAGAAGGAATGAATGAATGAATATTTCATAAAATGAACTAATTACAGAAAAGAATGATGAGGCTGCACATTGGAACAGAGAATATGCGATCATGTGGCATGATCTGGATGCCTCGCTAGAACCTCGACCGTCTGCATTCAGCTGGGAGGCCTTGTGGGAAGCGTTTGAGGTCAGAGCAGTAGTTATAGATCATGAATTTTTGTTGCACCCATCGAAGCCGGTTTCGGCCTGCAGCATCAAGCCCTTGAGTCTGCCATGCACTCTGCTCTGTTAAGGAGTTAGTTGATGTGGTGGAGGCCTGGAAGTTTCTGTAAGATGCAGTGAAAGGAGCTTGTGTCCAGTCAGTCTTCACAAGGCCACCTCTTGTTGCCCAGTCATCTGCATTCCAGAGGCTTGAGTAAATCCTCATGGGTTGGCTTTTGGGAAATGGAACTCCAATTGTTTCCAAGTTGTGGAACACTCTGATTGGAATGTTGTCCACCAAGAATCTGCAGTTGCATGTGTATTAGAAAGTTTCTTAATTAATAATTGATGTTGTAGTTTGTAAAGTAAACTAAAAGAGGTTAATTATATTTTAATTCAATAAGGTGGTAAGTGTTACTTACATAATCCTCTGGCTGTTCCAGACAATGGAGTAGGTGTGGAAGGCCTTTGTGGGATCAAACCAGAGATGGAATTGTTGTTCTCTGTTTCCTTTTCCTTGGCTGAACACGTTTGTGTGGAGAGTGTAGGGATCTCCAGATAAGTTTCCCAAAAACTCAAAGTCAATCTCATCATGAGTTGGACCCTCAGAAGATAACTGCATACATTCATGTGTTTCATTTCATAAATTAGCAATGCAGTAATTCAAATTAAGACTAGAGTCTTATGTATCTTAATCACATTGGAAGAGGGTTGAGGAGTTAACACTTACATAGTATGCAGTGACAGTGCCAGCTGAGTTGCCAGAGACCAACTTGATCTGCATGTCAATTCTTCCAAACAAGTACTCATTCTTGGATTTGAAACCAGACCCAGAAGCCTTGTCAAGGTTAAGTGTGAGAAGCTGTCCTCCGTTAGTATCTTAACGCGCTCATCGCCGAATGTTACATCAAAGTCTTGAAAGAAATTACCAGCTGAGGCAGCCATGGCCATCAGAGAAGTTACAAACAAAGAAACCACAAGCACCATTGAGACCTTAGAACAAGAAGAAGAAAAAGGCATTTTGATTTGGTGTGATTGTAGACAGAGCTAGCAAGAGAAGAGAATTAGCTTCAAAGAGAAATGAGTGTTGAGTTGAGGCTGTTTGTGTTTGATGGTATCATTTGAGCTGTGAAGCTCTTTATATACAAGTGTTGGGGGGGCTTAGAGTATACATGCCGCGTTGAACAGGAAAGCTGGCAGCATCTGAATAATAAGTTGAAAACTGGCAACAGGGTTTGCAAATTAGACAAGTCTAGCTCAATATGGAAGCTGCCTGGCTTTATTTGGGTTAGGCGGTGCCTCACCAATTTGCTGTGCTGGAGACAGTTTTGCATTTTTAGGCTTATAAGAAAGCAGGAAGCAACATAGGAAACAGGACATTAGTTTATGTGAAGGCAGAGTTTAGCTTCTGAAGCACTTTTAATTATTATTTGTTCTTTTTGGCATTTGGTGATGTTGGAGCCACAAACATATAAATGGACAAAAAGAAAAAGTATATGCGCGTTTGCTGAGGTTGGTGGTGATGTAATTGTCTCTTGTGTACCATCTCGAAAGAGGTGGAACCCACCGATTAGAGAGGTTTTACACAGTGTAACATTCAGATTAATAAAATTACTGAAATTCCAAAAAGAAAAATTGATGATAAGTTTTTTTGGGTTTTACCCCCATATTACCACAGAAAAAGGAAAAAAAAAGATTATTAAGGTTTTTTAGCAGGGAAACTTGGGTAACCAGAAAACAGAGGAGATGAAAGAAAAGGAAAAGCAGATTCTATTTGCAGGTTCTTAGTACTAATGCATATAGACCTACACGGGTTGTGTTGAAATTGACACTCGTGAGTTTACTTAATGTTTAGAACATTGACATTGAAATTCCAATCAATTTAATGTGGCTTCTTTACTTTTGCAACACTTCAAGCTACATCATTTGTGGATAGTGCAATTGCTACTAGTTGATGTCCATGAATGTTCTTCAATGCCTGATATGGCTAATTTCGAGTTTTATATGCTAAAGTTTAGAACTTGTACATGATAAATGTTCTCGCGACTATTTTTGTCATACCAAATGAAAGTTGTGATCTGGGTGACAAGAAATAAGCAGGAGTAATGTCTCAAATGTTTTTAAAATATGAGAAAGAGATTCAACGGATAATAGTGGTGATTGGTTGGCATTGACGGACCCATGAATTTTTTACCAGAGGTGCAATTTTGACCAGGATTTATAAATAATAATAATAATAAATAAAACAAGCGCACTGTGCAACAATGCAGCACAACACAACAATGTAGCACAACAGCAGACTAACTTCGTTTAGGCCTTTTGTCGAACACCTAGAGTGCATGTCCTAGGTTGAGCAGAGTCCCTATAATGGTTTTTCCAGCTAAGTGAGGTGCAGATATATCTCCTTGCGCCTTAATAGGTCCACCACTGCTGGTCGCATTGTCTTGATGAAGAAAGGGAGGTTCACTACTACACGACTGGTCGGTCCTGTACAAGACGCATACTATCATCAACGTATCATTAGGACTCATTGTATCGACAAGATTTATTTATATTTCCCCTTTGCAAACCGCTTGTGGAAGCAAATAAAGTCTAAAAAAAGGTGTTGCTATAACGTGTTATGAAACACTAACTTTATTTAATGGAACCATAACCTGCACCCATCATATTTCCAACACCAAAGATGGCATTTAAGTAGGAACAAGAACACTATACAAGTACAAGCAGAGCAGTATCAACTTGAAATGAAAATTTCGTTTTGGCACTAATTTAACCTAATTACCAAAGTTAGGAAGGGAAGTGGAAAACTCACACATACAGATACCATGAGGACTTGAACTCAGGACCATTTGGGAGCATACCAAAGCAAAGGTTTGTACCAATCCAACTAACACCAAATTGGTTGATTAACTTAATTACCACTTGTGGAACAACAAAACAAGAGTTTAAAAACATTTAATTGCTTGATTAATTAATGAAGCGTATGATGTTTTGTTCTTTGATTCCTTGTCAAGTGTGTTCATGGTGGGTTCATCGACCACCCTCTGATGCCTAAGTCAGTTTTTCTTCCTTAAGGAGGATAAGACATTTGAGTTGTCTTTTTCCTATGTGGGACTATTGAGTGGTCGATGACATGGCATCATCTCATTGGTGACAAGTTGACGTGTATCCTTTCCCTTTTTTGAGAACAGCATACGTCAATGGAATATGACATGGGCTCATTCGGACGCTTTTTACTCCCACGTGCAGGCCCATAAGAGAGAGGCACCTTGGTTAGTGCACTTGGGTCGTGGCCTTGTGGGCTCTGATTGGGCATGGGCAGCCTTCTTTTACATCTTTTGGGCCTCCTCAAGCACGAGATAATGCCAATGTAGTCTACTGACTAGTTCCTCAAGTAGTCTGGACCTTTACTCTTTGGGCTCTTTTGGGACGGGCCCCACTAATATTTGGTACCAACAAAGTGGTTTTCCACAATGTAGTAGTTGTTGTCGAGCCATATTAGATGATATTGAACCATTATCATGTGATCACTATTAAAATTTGGTTCCAAAATTCATTTCAGTTCAAGCATGCAAAAAAGCCAGGAGAATTAAAAAAATCGACTTGTTAATAATTTGTTACAAAATTTCTATTTGCATAATGAATGAAAGAATATTTCATAATTGAAAATAAGTAACACAAAAAATGAATGCTGCACAAGAGAACTGGGGATATGTGATCATCTGGGTTCTGTTCTCTCTTTCAAACTAGAACCTCGATCGTCTGCATTCAACTGGGAGGCCTTGTGGGAAGCGTTTGAGGTCAGAACAGTAGTTGTAGATCATGAACTTTTGTTGCACCCATCGAAGCCGGTTTCGGCCTGCAGAATCAAGCCCTTGAGTCTGCCATGCACTCTGCTCTGTTAAGGAGTTAGTAGATGTGGTGGAGGCCTGGAAGTTTCTGTAAGAGG